AGGGCACTAGCCACTGCAGAATCACTAGCCACTGCAGACTCACTAGCCACTATCCTCAGTCAGTACTGGTATAGACATCTTCTCCCAGTCCTTCTCTCTAGTCCCAGATGGGATATCCATAAACTGGCTTACCATCTGACAAGAGTCTTTAGCTGGATATATAGGTTAGCAAACTAAGATAGGACTACAGCCCTGTTAGCAGGCTAAATTCTAGATCTTTTAAATGCAGATTATATAGTTTTTAGCTTAAAAGTTTCTCTGTAGAAGTCCCTAATTGCATAGAGAAATTTAGTACAGTTATAGTCCTTATAACTCTAGTAGACTACAAGCTCTACATGTTTCTTATTATAGTACTTGTATAGCTAAAAGATTGCAACGTTGCAAGGCTAGAGAATATATAATATATAAGGAAGAATAGCATATAGGATAATAAACAAGCTCTAGGCTAGGAAGATAAAGTTATATATAAGATGGGAGCTGTAGCTATTAAAGATTAGAAGCTGCTACTTGCTCTGCTACTAGAAGGAGGAGTACTTGTAGAAATAATATAGATAGTTAATAGCAATCTAATTATTTAAATAGCTACTTTCTATAACTCTAAAGAGCATATTTAGGTCTAGATTTAATGCCTCTAACATATAAGAGTACTAGATAACTAATCCTTTAAGGATGCAGAGCAGCAGGATAGTAGCTCTATCTATGCTAATTGCCTCTACTATAGAGACAAAATCTCTATTAGTTTCTAATAGAGATTAATAGATCTAAAATGCCTGCAGAGTTACTATATCTTGTCTGCTACCTATACTAATTCTAAAGCTAGTTTTATTAAAATTCTAGACATTATAGTAGCAGATACTATAGTCGTATATAAGCTTCTTAACTATGTTAAATTAGAGTTTAATAATTATAGTATCTTATATGTATACTTTGTCCTTTTCTACTAGTTTCTACCATATCTTTTTAACGTATAGGTTACAGCATAGATACTGCTTAAAGAAATCCTAGCTAAGTAGATGTAGGGTAATGCCTAGCAGAGTAGTTAACTAGCAGATTAATTTTGCTGCCGCCTCCTATATAGAAATTAGTAGAGGCTAGCTAATCTTATCTAGGTATTTAATATAAAGCTTAAGAGCCTTTAACTAAGTATTATTTAATTGCTAGTTTGTAGGTAGGCATGTATTTTGTAAATTAGCGCCCTTAACGCATTAGTAGAGCTAGTAATAGTCTATATTAAACAGGCACACAACACTAGCTAGATTGTAGCTTGTTTTAACAGATATATACTTTAAGGTGATCTAAATCCTTTTTTTATGCTCTAAATAATTCTCTATTGCAATTTAGGGTTAAAAATAATGTATAGGAGGGTAATCTTAGCAAAATTTGTGTTAAGCTTGGTAATTTGTGTTGAGCTCGTGTCAGATGGTAAGCCAGTTTATGGATATCCCATCATCCCATCTGGGACTGAAGAGGAGGACTGGGAGAAACTGTCTGTACCGGTACTGTCTGAGGACATGTGGCTAGTGATTCTGCAGTGGCTAGTGCCCTGCACAGCCTTGGTGCCCAGAGAAGGAACATCAAAACCGGTGTCAGGCCCCAGCCTCACCCACACAAGCACATACCTGAATACAATCAGTCAACCCATCTTCAATCAATCTTTCTGTCACCGTGACATCTTCAGATACCATCAAATCTGACAGCTCGGTAGCACCTCCGAGCGTAAGCGAGGAGGTGCGTGGCGCGGGTAAGGGAACCCTTCATGTTTATATACCCATCTGCCCATCACATTTTCCAGCCCACAGTAGCTGTCCTCCAAATCAGAACATTCAAGATTTTCGTGTGAAAAGCGCGCAATACTTTCTCGCAGTGATAATAATATCCATCAGCTCCGCAATACGTGCCAGTGGAAAGAGTCAAAACATTCTTGTCTCGCACCTTTTCGTCAATATTATAGGAGGACGCGACCTCTCATAGGCCAACATTTTGTGGTACTTGACAATTTTTGTATTAGGCTTTGAGCCTACAAAAGTGCTCGAGGGAAGATGACAACAGGAGGAGGAGGAGGATTGGTACGAGTTATCTATATATATGCATGCGCTCTACTGCGCCATCGTCGTGCTCTTCAAGTTCTCAAAGACTTAGATTGGCTTGCACATGTGCGTGTGCGACACTAGGCTGCTTCATTAGGTGTAGTTCCTGATTAGACGACAGTCTCTCCATGCCCGAGGACACACATCTAACATTCTTACATCACAAGCACCCTCGTCCAACCCTAGTTCCTCGAGCACTGGGAATGATACACCACACCACCATCGCCCGTCCTAGCAATAATCGCCAACCTCCCAAAGCGCCTCCGTCCCCTCCATTCGGACGTACACAGTACCCCCTCCTCCCAGCTCCCCCACCGTCACCAACCTCACTCTGATAGGCCACTCAAACCCCGCTTCCATATTACCACACTTAACCCTATATCAGCCTGTACTATCACCGTCCCCAATAACGTATATGTACTTCGTACACGCCTGTACAATGAATGCGGCCGCATGCATCGGGTTTATCACTCTTGATATGACCATGATGGTTATGACGCACATTCACCACCGCTCTCCTGGGGCTGGGGAATTTGTAATAAGAGAATATGAGCGTGGGGTAGGGACTTGCGAGAATTGTCTCCACAGTCTGCCTATGGGTCGAAATTGTCTTGCTTCTCCATATCTGCGCCACAATATACCCTCTCAGACATACTACCCTACCCAGTACTCCAGTAGACGCTCTCCTGTGAGTATCACGGTATGTATGCATGTTACTTTCCATCCTCGTCAACGATGCGCCAGCCCTGCATGTATTCTGATCATGCGGTGCTGCAGGCTGTTCGGACTTTTGTCGCACCCTGACCCTCATCCGAGTGTATCCTTCCAAGTGCACTCGTCGAGCTGCAGCTGCAATTGGTAGGCGTGACTTCCAGCTACGGATTGCTATGTCTGGACTTCATAAGGTCTTGTATTGATGCATCGTCTTGTCATAATATTGTACATTTCGACCGTAATCTGGATATCCAAAATGCACCCAGAATAAATGCCTATAGAGATATACGAAAATGGGTATAAGCCGCGCCGCACGTGACATCCACGTGCATTCACTCATAAGACCTGGGCATGCGACCTTGCGCTTCCCTGGGTTATCAGCCGTAATACCAGAAACACCCTTTGTGCACAGTTCTCTCCTTTCATCCACCCACATTCCGACTCCTCATAAACTTCCGAACCCCTTGCATCATTATAGCCGGTGGGTCATCATTGCATACACAGTACAACTCGCGGACACCGCTTCGCCCTAGTCGACGGCTTAGGCGACCCTCGAATCGAAGCTCTCCTTTCTCCACAGCGGGAGATATCCCAGGTCTGGGGCTGTGAAGTGGGTCCCGCTCGTCCTGAGAACCGGAATACATTTCTCTTTGTCATTCCAGTCATCGTTCCTGGGATGCACTTGGCTCCCACTGACAGAATTGGTGTTCGGCATAGGATTGATCGAAAGCGCTTGCCTGTGGCGCCTCTGATTCAGGCGTCGCCCGGTTTCCTTCTAGTCTTGCCGGTGGCTTTGCTGTATGCACCCTCGAAATGCTCTCTTGCGGACCGGGTTAGGGGAGGGCTTTTCGTACGACAGTGAAGTCAGTCCAGCTCTGCAAACATCGTGATTCCCTTCTCCTCATTTCAGACTGCTTGCCTACGGCTCAAACTTCAGCCCGGCGGTCCTCAGCCACATCTGCCTCTTTCCCTCAGCCTCGCGGATCAACTCTGCAGAAAGTCGGATACTGGGGCATAGATGCGCAAGCCGCTCAATTTCGTGAATCACGTTCGTGATGATGTCGTCCATAGTAGCAGGTGGAGGGAGCAGAGCGGAGAGCGAAGCAGACATGGTTGCGCCCATGACGAGGAGTGTCTGGGAGATGATTCTGTATAAGACGTTAGGAAATAAAGCCTATAGAGAATGCAGCTGCACAACTTACGATAAAGCGCCCTGGAAGAGATAAGGCAAATGGCCCGCATGATGTGCTGTGATGTACTCCAACTGCCTGATACAAGCCTCAAGACACCTATGGCAATTCTCCTGTACGCCCTGATCCATTGCGAGACTCTCGTCTTGCAGCACGAGCAAGATGTACGGCCTGAAGATGATGGTGCGGCAGGCAAAGTATCGCAGCCTCAACACCGTCTGGACTGGGTTCTGCAGCGGGACTCTGTCGAGGGGAAATTGCATGGCGGGTGGTAATCCCGCATACCATTGGTTGAGCTGGTAGTCGAGTTCGATAACAAGGGGGTCGAGTTGGGCGATGGAGGCAGCAGCTGGGGAATTGGAGAAAGGTGACTTTCGAATGTAGAGCATAGAGCTGACGCGATTGAGGAGACGACGGAGTGCTATCTCGGCGAGAAAGTACCACAACTCGTCTCTCCCTATGGATGGGTCGGCGCCAATGTCCTCAAAGCCCGTAGGGAGGGTGAAGGTCTCTTCATACTGCTCAATACCCGAATGGGGGAGATCGAGCTCGGCGAGAAGGTCGCTTTCAATCATGACAGCGTTCCAATAGACACGTTTGCTAAGCTCTTCTTCAGCAGGAGATACTCGTCCCGGGGCCATGAGAAGGAGTTGCAGCTTCATGCTTGCACCCGAGAGGATGTTCCACGCTTCCACTGGTCGAACAAGGTAGATCAGGTAAGCAGCGGCTAGGATTTGGCATTGTGCTGAAAGCATGTTGTTGGTCGTCATCAGACTGGGCAGGAGTGCCCACGCATGTGCAAAGTATGCCAGGCCGGGAGGCTCTTTATCTCGCGGTTGTTGTGAGATGGTCCCAGTGCTTGACGCATGCCCCAAAGCCAACACCAGAAGCACAATACAGCTCTCCGGCCCTTCGCGAAAGCCGCGGGACAGGGCAATCTGGTAGTAGCTGTTCCAGGTATACGGGTTTACAATGGCATAGAAAACGTTGACTCCTTCAAAGAATGCCCGCACATATGTCCCCGTGTTGGACAGGTCCAGGCCGAGGGAAGTGCCAAGCCTTAGGGGTTCGCGGCTCATCTCGAGCTGGAGCAGGACTTTTGGATCGTACGGACGGGAAACCAGCTCCCGGATCATGGGAGATTGTAGCAAATGCAACGCAGCAGTCGTATGCGTCTTGGGCATGGTGGAGATGTTGGAAGGGGTGCTATTCCACGTTCCGATGCCGTTGATTGGTGGAATCATTCCCAAAGCGGCCATGCCGCCCGTACTTCGAGCCAGAAAGTCATCGCTCGTGGAATTGCTGGCAGCAGGTGAGTGAGTCGACAGGTTGAAGCCGTTTGCGAGATTCGTCTGGAGGAGTCCTTCGATGCGGTTCAGGTGCTCAAGAATCAGCTTGTCACCGGCATCGAGCTTGATGCCTGGTTCGCGGTAAATGCACTCGGCGTTTAGCTCGGTGCAGAGCCTGCACTTGGGTCGAGAGCCATCGCAGCGAGATTTCCTCGACCTGCAGATTTCGCAGGCAATGGTTGCCCGGCGGCGGGGATAGTCTATGGTATCGGTACTGGGCCGTTTCTTCGTGGTTGGCCTCGGCTCGTTATTGGTGTTGCTGTTGCTTGTGTTGCTAGCAGTGCTCGGATTGCTGTTGGCAGAGGTACCATTTGTGCCATTACTCGTGGGAGCAGTTCCATTGCTGGTCTGGGGTTGGGTGGTGTCTGTGGACATCTCGCGATCTGTACCCGAAGACTGCGACATGTTGCGCGGACGCTTCTTGAAGGCACCATTCAGACCAGGTGAGGACGAGTAGAAGCCGCCGGGAGACTCGAGGAGGTGAGGAGACTTGAGCGAGGACTTGAGGACGAAATTGCTCTGATCGGGTAAGGTATTCAGGTTAAGGCAGAATGAGTCTCGCGGGAAATGGCCATTGGTCGTGGCGGCTGACACGGGACTAACGTCTGGAGAAGGCGTGACGGCGGCCATGATTGGGTGCAATGCGACGTTGTCGGACTATCCCACTTGCTACCCACAACTGTCAACTGCAGGCTGCACGACCGGCGAGTCGATGTTGCAGCGGTAAGACAGGAAGGAGAGAAACGTCTCTCAGCAAGGGACCCGGAGCGGCAGCGGAGCAGCAACGAGATATATTGTGCCTGGCGTGGATCGTCTGGACAGTCCCGTGGCGGCTCGCCTCCGCTCCAGGGCCCTCATCATCCCATCATCCCATCCCCCTCCCATCCCCCAGTCCCCCAGACCCAAATGGCAGGCCTTTCATCTGGAGCTGCTGCTGATGCGGGGGACAGGGCCCCGGCGGACCATGTAACCTGGGGATTCTGGGGAGCAACCTCTGACCAAGTGTAGCGCCACGAACCAAAGCCAGGGGGACTGCTAGGGCGCAATCAAACTCTGAACAGTGAAGCCTGAGTGGTGCTGAGTGACAACTGGAGAAAGGACGAGTTGGTTGGACTCTCAGGGGCGGACCGGAACAGGAATCGAATGCCAACCGGACTGTGCCCCGGGAATAATCAACCTCTGCGTTTCTCCCAGCAACTACCTACTGGCGGCTGTTCACATCGCACAGAGCGGATGCTGCGCTGGTATGGCATCCTTCTGGTGGTGGTCAGCCACCACGAGTGCAAGACTGAAGTCCATGGATACCTGCTAGGTAGATAATGCACGGTCCCCGTTAGTCTCGCATCGCCTAATAGTCATTCATGATAGGTACCTTGCCAACCCTTCATTATTTGTGGACCTCTCCCTCGCAGGCCAACAGGGTCCAAGAGGACCTCTCACGACGTCTCATTTGCTGACTGAGAGACACCTCTCTAGCAACCAGCGACTCGCACTTTTACGCGGACTGCATTATTGCTGCTGGACCTGCAGGAACCCCCATATGCATCCCTGGCCACCACTCACCGACCTCGCTGGCAGCGGTAACCAACCACCTCCACTTCGTATATTGCATGCCAAGTCTCTGCATATATCCTCGTCGTCCTCACCGAGATCTCATAGGCCCACATGCTCCTTCTATGCATCGGCGCGCTATAAAATTTGCTGCCCAACTGTTCCCTTCTGCAGTTCTGCCCCGGTCATGGAAGCCATCGAAGACATCTGGAAGACATCGAGAAGGTGTCAAGTGCAGCCATTGCTGGGATATATCCGCAGAGCACCCACGCCTGGGTTGATGCCGCGACATAGGCTTGTCGCAGGTGTCTCTGGCGAGATTGGATATTGCAAGGGAGGAGGTTGATATTTGTGACCGTCGACCCTTTGTTGTTCGTTTACCTTTCGAGAAGGCTTCCAGAAGGATTGCGCTGTGCTGCACTGCACGTCACATCACGCGGCTATCGAGATACCGCAACAAAAGCGCCACACAGACATGGATGGAGCTGGTTGCTCCGCTGTGGCGCTATGGTGTGTGGTCATGAGTGCTCGTGTTGTACGATACGAGGAACAGAGTTTCTCGCTACCAGAAAATGACAGTAGTTGGTGCTGTTCGTTGCAGTTGCCTGATCTGCAGAAAGGGCGTGCTGACAGTTGCGTACGCTTGCCAATCCTTCAGCATCTCCACAGATATGCGTAGGAAACTCTACTGGGAAGGTGGCCTGTGTCGTATACGCTTGGCTTCTTCTCCCTCGGCAAGTATTGCGGCATTGACAATATTCCTTAGGTTTTAGGTGCTGTGTAATCCGTACCTGGGGCTCTGTGATTTGCACTTCGTAGTCAGGATTGCGGTACGCGTCTCCCATCAGCCCTAAGCTCAACAAGTAGATTGGTTCTACGAGCGCCGTTTCCGGGTATGTCCTAATAAGACACTGGCGATCTTTAATATCACCACGCCGAAGCGACGACGTGCAACCTCGCAAAGGCATGCAGCTTGGTAGAGCCTGATGCTTCGTCATGAAGCGTAGCTGGAGGGTGCTAGTTTGACAGTAGATATCCGGTGTCAATATTCGTGTATTGGAAGATTGTGAACCTGTGTCAAACAGAGAGGAGCGCAGATGAAGAGGACTGCCTGTTTACATACGGGCGTGAGATGCTGGCCTTGTAATGCAAGTGCTCGGAGATGAAGGCTTACCGGGAACAGCGTAATGTGGAGATTGCCGGTACGCCTTGTACCAGGTATTGCAGATGTAGTGCCGGCGCAGGCGACGACAATGGAGGGGGTCGGCTAGATTGATAGTTCAATTCGTATTCGAGGAGATTCTGGGCAGTGGCAGCAATGGCCAGCCATAGCAGCGAGTCCTGAACCTGAAATAACCCCAAGGACCAATTTCTCGGTCCAGATCATGTCCCTGGACACCGAAAGATATCTCTTTCAGGAGAAGACGACAATGTGATCTCCACACATGACGGCGGAGTCCATCCCGTTGTTCTCCCCTAGGCGGGACATTGTCGAAGCTCTTTCACGCTCAAAGGAAATCGGTGGCACTGAGGTCCATGCAGAGAGTATCTCATCCTTGGACTTTGATCGCAGAAGAAGTAGAAGACACAGTAGTGCGGTGGGATGGGCCATTCTTTTCGCTGCAGGGAAAGTCCAAACATGCTTGAGGTGAACAGATTTTGGTGAAGCCAAGCTGGCCAAATACGGCAACCACGACACAGGAGTTCCTTCCTCTACAACACCTGGGCAACGAATGACAATGGCACATTCCACAATGGGCCAAATACACAATCTTTGCTATTGGCAGGTAGTCACAACCAGCAAACAAGCAAACATGCCACCTGGGCACTGGCGATTGCATCATACCACTGTCCAACCATTTCATGAACAGTTCAGCGAGCAGTGAAGCACACGCACACAACATTGAACAGGACAAGCAGGCCACACAGAACCGACTTCCACACTGCTTGCTGCTAGAAACAGCTACTTCTCTACCTCCACAATCGTCGAAGCGGTATAACCACAGAACTTGAACAAACCACCATCTTCTTCAGGCTCACTGTCCGTCAAGTCCCAATGTCTACCCAACCAACGCCTCCTCCCTCATCGTCCCGAAGCGGACATTGGGAACAGAGCAACAACAAAACACTCAATACCACTCTCAGCAACACCATCACCGACCCCGTCACAGCCGAACTCCGACCTTTGACTCCTTCCACGTCCCCCACACCCCCAGCCAACCCACTCACCGCGGCCGCCACCTCCGCCGCCTCAACCGTCAAGGACATCTCGTCCAGCGCCGCAGAGACCGTCAAGTCTGCAACGGAGAGCGTGGTTTCTGCCGTCCAAGGAGCCGCGGAATGGGTAGAGGAGAAGGCAGAGAAGCTGGCTGGCGAGGAGAGTGAAGCGGCGAAGGGGTTGGGACCGTATGGAAATCCGGGGACGGCTGTGAATAGCGATTTAGATCCGTTGAGTGGTGGGGCGTGGTTATTGCCGGTAATTGAGGCGGAGAGGGCTGCCGCTGGGGAGGGGGCCAAGGATGAGGAGAATGAAGAGAATAGCGAGGAAAAGCAGAGCAAGAAGGACAAATAGGGAGATGGACGTGGTGTTGAGGCCGTAGAGGATGAGCGTCCGAAGGCTGGCGAGTAATGGTATAGCTTCGAGTATGTTTTCAATGGGTCCGGGATGTCCGAGGCGGCTTGGATGCCCACACAGGCCAAACAGACATTCTTAAACTCTCAATCTTAGCATTTCTTGCTCACACTCATCTCCTATACCTCCTCCTCTTCTCAAATGCCGCCCCAATCTGCGCCCCACTGCCCCTATCCCCGTCTCCCACATCCCTGCCCCTCTTTCTGCTCCTCTCCAGCATTCCCATTGCTCCCTTCGATGAACCTCCCTTCTTCTGCGTCAACCTCTCAATCCGATCCAGCCCAGCTCCAAGACCCCTCCACTCTTCACCACCCCAACCACCGTCCCTGCCGCCCCTACTCTTCGCCTTATCCTTCTTCCCCTGCGTAGGCAACCGCACAAAGTTCGCTTCTTCGTATTCTCTCCTCTCGGCCTCCTCGCGCCTCTCCTTGTCGGACTTCATGCGCCGACCTCCTTGCACTATGGTGCTTCCAATAGACGGTTCGGCCATTGGCGCGGCGGAGAGCTCGGTAGCGACGAATTCGTCGAGTGTGGCGGATTTGGCTGCATGCCGCGCCTGCCTTTCTTCTCTCGCCGTGGTGGTAGGCATAGCCATGGGCGTGATGCGCGGTGGGCGATAGATGCCGTCTTTAGTGGAGGCAGATGCGCGGGATTCGTCGGCGGCGCTGGGTTTGGAGCGCACAAAGGCGGCCCGGTTGGGTCCGAAGGAGGTGGTATCCAAGTCCTCTGCATCGTCTGCTCTTCCAAAGCCGTTCTCAGCAGCGGAGCCATCGTCGCTAGTGATGTCCGATTCAACGGGATTCATGATCTTCTTCGTCTTCGGAAGACGCGGTCGCTCAGCCTGGACGGTGGGTTTGCGCTCGCTTGTCTCTGCCGTGCGGAGGATCTTGTCGATTTGATATTTCAGTCGGTTCTCGAGCGGCCAAATGCCCTTTTCAATGTATAATCGGAGTTCGGCGAGCTTCTTGATGACTTCGCGGTCGAGGCTTTCGCTCTTTCTGTCGCCATTTGCGACGGTTTCATCGATCGTGCCATTGGTTTCCGCCGACGTAGGGTGTGACTTTCCGGAGCGCGAGCGTAGCTTGAGTAAGATAAGGAAGACAAGATTTTGGAGGTAGGAGAGGAGTAGCTCGTTCTTCACATCGAGGAGGGATATGCCGTCCTTGGGTGGGAGGATGGTGTCGGCCGCGGGAAGCGCTTGGATCGCAGAGGTGATGGATTCTGTAAGGGTAGTTAAAAGTGCGGAGAGGGAATTGTCGACTGCCATTTCGAGGGCGTTTCAGGTGGACTATTAGTCCGGTACAGCGTCGTAGAAGTAGAAGTGCGCTTGTATGCGATGGGAGACGGATTTCAAAATAATTCTCTTACAAAAGTCGGCCAAGAGTTCGGAGCAGGGATGTTAGTGCTTGGGCCCTCCGAGACGCTTATCCAGTCTTTGTCAACCTCGGCAGCGTGTCAGAACAACACGATGAAGGGTTGACTTGGGATTGATTAGTATATGTAAGTACACAACGGAGGCAATATATAATCCAAGTGATCTTGCAGGAGATCTTACTTGTACTCTTTAAGGTTACTCCAGTGCATATACTCCGTACTGTAGCACCATGTCCGCCGGAACCAACCGCCTCTTCCTCACCACGGCCATTGCCCATGGCCTTCTTAGCTTGGGACACACTGTACGTCACCAAAGCTCGATCGTCTATCATATGAAGATATAGAATCCAAATGTTAATCTCTCTGCCTTGCCGTACAGGCGAAAGGCCTGGAGCAATTCAAGGAACCGTCTCTGAAACAGATTCCCGCACTTCTCCGTACGACTGTGAAGGTCGGCTGGTATGAAGGCAGCGTCTTCTTTGTCATTGCTGGTATGTCATCTCAAGCTCTTTGCACACTTCGGGTCCCTGACAAGACCATATTTCTTCTCCTTATGTCTTTGATATCTCGTTACGATACGTTCATTTCACTGCCTTGTGACTTCAGTCCATTATGATTGGTGTACATCGCCCGTTAAAGCCCGCCTCCTCTCCAGTACATATCCCAAACTCCCTCTAAACAACCATTCGTCCCCGTCTTCCCTCTGATCTATCCTTTAACACCCTGTGTACCACTTTCGAGATATCAAATTCCCCCCTTCCCTCTCCACACTAACATCCTCCCCAGCCCTCCTAAACCTAAAATGGTCCCACTCCCCCATCGGCCTCGTCGACCCCCTCGACAAAGCCATCGCCACCCTCCTCACCACCCTCCTCTTCGGCGCAGGAGCAAAGTACTACGGTGCCGGAGACCGCGGCACGGGCATCACGCTCGCGATTGTTGGGATTCTGCAGGGTTTGGGGTTGAAGGGAGGTCTGTAGATAGCTTGTGTTGGGGAGAGGAGTGTGTGAAGAGGAAAAATCTAAGGTCGACACGTCAGCTCGCAGCGGTGTGGTTCTGTCTTGAGGGAGGACCGCCCAGGACGGGAACGAGATTTTTTTTGTGTCAAGCTGCAGTGCTGGCTTCTGTCGTGTGGGTGCCCATACACAGCAAGATGCTGAACTGGGCTCGGAAATGTGAGCCGTGCAGCTGTTCGACCGACTCTATGCAAAGCCAAGTACAGATTTCCCTCGATTCCGTTAGGTGCATAATCTTAGAATGTAAAACCTGCGAACTCTCTGTACCCGTTCTCATAGCGGGACCGAAGCCTTTTGATTGTGCCATGAAAAAGCCATGAAAAAGCGCCCTTGTTCCTATTCCCTTTATAAGAACGCGAAGGGTCCCTATGCATATCCTTAAGCGTTCCTAGATCGCATCTAGCGGAAGAGTGCTGGTTTGACACTCATTACATTAAGAAGCCTGCTATCGACCCAGATGTCTATGCTTCTGCCATCTCGTCCCTCCATACCTTTTCCGAAAACAGTCACCAGAGAGCCTTGTTTTCAAACCATACCAAAGGCAACCAGTTTCCTAGACTTCCGAAGCCTCGTGGACCTTGACCTCGAATCCCAACTCAGCCGTAGCCAAGGCCTCCTCCAGCCTCTCCTTGAAAATGATGGAAGCCTTCTTCGCACCACCAGAAACGTCCTTCTCGTCCTCGGCCAACTGCCTCAGACGCTTGAGAGCCTGTTCCACATACTCCATGACTTCTTCAGCCCAAACATTGCCTTCTCTAACACCTCCCTTGCTCGTAGTCGGTCCATTGTCGGCGAAATGGGCAAGACGCTCGTTGAGGATGCTTAAGCCACGGGAACGCTGCCGCCCACGAAGAACCACGCTAGGCGCCGGAGAGAAAGTGACGGGCGTGGGCGCTGGAACAGTTGGGTACATTGCTTCCTCGGCGGCTTCGTTTAGGTCTTCCTGGATTGGTGCAAGCGCGTTGTTGACAGCGCTAAGGTCTGGCTTATCGTGCAAGCTACCCTCATTGACGGGCGTCGTGTGCGGGGCATTGGGCTTCTCGGCGATGGGGGAGAGCGCAGTGATCGTTTCGGTGACTGACATGTTGCTGTAGAGAGGAGGTGAGTAATTGTGACGCTCGGGAAGACGGAGGGACCCTTATTACGAGACTGCAGAGAGTTGCTCTGAATGCGACTTGACAAACGAAGCGCGTAGGCGTGGTAAAGCGGAGTTTGTAGCAACGTCGGCAAGCGCAAAGGACGGTGGAGCCCGAAGGTGACCCAGGCGAGGCGAAAATGTACGTGCGTTTGTATTCGTCGTGGAAGCATCGAGCGCAACCTCGCCTTGGCAGTGAAAGCCAGAGCCCGAGTCACACGCAGATATTGCAAAACCACGAACGACGTCAGGGAGTATTTGCCAATCCTAGCCCGTCCATCTCTTCATTGCGTAGTGATATACGTCTGCGAATGACATTGGCTTTGTGGATGACGTCCAAAACACTGATGTACTCGAACGCAGGTTGTCTGAACCGATTAGGCCGGCTAGTGTAGCCCACCCCAAGCGCAAGTCCGTGGGCTTCGGCGGAGGGGGGTTGGTGTGCACTTCTGGTCGCAACAACGATTTAGCTCGCAAACTTCTTCCCATCCACGGCATGCAGTTGTTATAACTGCCGCATACAAATCCGCTCATCCATAGGATCAGCTCTACGCCATCAATGGTGAGCCCAAGCAGTCCCAGCTCGGCTTAGAAGACGCTAGAAACCGAAGAGAGCACATCTCCGGCAACGCCGATGTCAACAAACAGGAATGAAGTTCCACGCACAGTAGATGGCCATAGATGTTCCAGAATGCCTTATGGTAAGGAGAACAACGGAGAGTACAGCCATGAGGTCGAGGGCCATTGAAGATGCCAGTCCTTTGCAATCGGAAGGGCGACCATGCGAGCAGCTTGAATACAGGCCTTGCTGGGAGCCATGGGGAGGATGACGGCAATAGATCGTAGGACTGTCGAATTCTACATGAACTATTAACAACATATACGCAGCAATATGTTGAGTTCTCCACGGATTCTATACACACCTAATCGAATTGGCTTAGGGCCACAGCATCACGGTGGTGGATAACGACTTGAGGGATCAAATCTAACATTCATCATCCCAGGCTCTTCCTCATCGTCTTTCAATTGTGTGCCTTGCGGCTAAGAGCAAGTACAAAGAAGAGTATTCTTCGAGGTCTCTGAACTGACAGCACCCAGCGTGATTGCGGCAATCGGAATGTTCATTTCACCAAAGCGAAGGTTGAGGTCGAAGGACGTCTGATGGATGTAGTGGATTTCATAAACGCTAACGCCGAATCGAGGCCCGAACTTTCCCGCTGCAGGGTCCACCGCTTGCCGAGGATTAACCGATCAATTGCTTGTAAATCCACCATGTCTCCAAACCGCAGCACTCAGGATGATCCACATAAGATGGCGACAGGAACGATAGAAACGAAGGCAGACGTACCGCCAGAGGAGAAGAAGCCGGCGAAACTCCCACCGGGCGTCGTACTAGGTCCGGACGGCAAGCCGTAAGTAGGCTTCCCGCGCGATGGCGTCACAGCTCAGGTACTAACGTCGCTCCACTCATAGCTGTCGTTCGTGCTCGTCCGGCGCCGCATTCAAAGCCTGGTCGTCCTTGATGAAAGGAGGTGTCGCAACAACCGCACCGGCTGCCGCGCAGGCCGTTGCGTCTACACCATCGGATTGCCCGCCGGATGTCGAGGAGCTTGGCCGTGCGTCCTGGACCCTTCTGCACTCCATAACCGCCACGTATCCTGAGAAACCTTCGCCGCAGCTGCAATCCGAGACCAAAACATTCATGGGAATATTCGCAAAGCTATACCCCTGCTGGTACTGCGCAAAGGACTTCCAGCAGTGGATGCAGGACGAGCGGAATGCGCCGCGCGTGAGCAGTCGAGACGAGTTTGGGAGGTGGATGTGTGAAGCCCACAACCACGTCAACGTCAGGCTGGGGAAGAAGGAGTTTGACTGTACCCTTTGGGAGGAGCGGTGGCGGACCGGCTGGAAGGATGGACGGTGCGACCGAGCCTAGGAGGAATACCACTGCGACGGTGCCGGAGGGCTGTATGAATACCGTGTATAGCGAATGGGGTACAAGCACAGAGCGAGCATTAGACTTGGGCGTTATAATGCAGCATATAGAGCGGCGTTAGGAATACCACTCCCAGTTTTTCGAGCCAAAACATCTGAATGTGGCCTCAGGAGCCAGGGTCAAGAGTTATGTGTCTAGTTGACGGAACGAAAAACAAGTCTGCAATGAAGGCGGATTGTCTATCAACTAGGAGATGGTATTGTAACTATTCCTGTTGCCAGACTATGCAACGTTTTCTCAAATCAAGTAGACGCGAACGTGTGCATCCACCTTGCAGCAGAAAATCGACCGTGCAGATTATGGAGTGGGTATCACCGTGTGCTCAGACCAGCTGCACGAATCACCGCAGATGCTGCTATGACGCTGCAATCGCATTCAATCATCAAACAAATCACTCATCGCATGATCTCCTGGTAAATAAGAACTTTTGACACGTCAGCATTTCCGTAACATAACTGCTGTTATAGACTTACGCTTCAACTGTTCCTTTGTCAGGTTGTCCTTGTTCTTGTCAAAATCGAAGAATTCCTCGGGGATGGGATCAGCCGTAGGCTCATCATCAGGGTCATGGTATGGCTCGAGATATGGGTGCTTTAGTGCCTCCTCGACAGTGATGCGCTTCATGGGGTTGAAGGCAAGCAGCTTCTCCAGAAGGTCCAGGGCGAGGTCAGAGGTCCTTGGGAACATGGCCTTCCAAGGAATCTTCTTCTTGAAAGGCAGGGAGCGAATGTACTCTCGTGCACGCCTAGACTTGATACCGTAGTAGTCCTCCATCGTCGGTGTGCCAAGGACATCCAGGATCAATGTCAGTTGATGGTGGTCTATATGTCGAGTCAGCAGGGGTCAGTGGCTTGGTTCATGAAACACTTACAGTCCTTTCCTGGGAACAGTGGTTTGCCACTAAGCATCTCGGCCAGGATGCAGCCCACACTCCAAACATCGATTGCCTTGGTGTACTCCTTGAACGTAAGCATAATCTCGGGGGCCCTGTACCAGCGGGTTGCGACGTATTCGGTCATGAATCCCGAGTTATCCTCAGTGGAAGCTGCTGATCGCGCAAGACCAAAGTCGCACACTTTGAGATCGCAGTTGGCGTTTAGTAGGAGATTGGAGGGCTTCAAGTCGCGATGCAGGACGTTTGCAGAGTGCATGGCCTTAAGAGCACGTAAAGTCTGATAGATGAAATACTGGCAATGGTCGTCGGAGAGCTCTTGGGTACGAATGACGCGATGCATGTCCGTTTCCATCAGCTCCTGTAACTGGTATTAGCGCTGACCCCCAATCTGCATTTGAATCATACACGTACTTGAATCAGATAGACCTCTGTGAATGTCTCATAGTTGCGGGGTTTCTGGATGTCGAGGATGGAGATGATGTTTTCGTGATTGAAGTACCTGAGGAGCTTCATTTCACGGAGAGTCCTCAGACAGAACATGGAGTGATCGAAGGGTGTGATCTTCTTGATGGCGACCTTTTGACCCGAGGGCTTGTGCAGAGCGGAACTACAATAACTATTAGTACCCAACTGAAAGAAAGTATCCTCAAGGTGCTCCCTTACCAAACAACGCCATACGCACCCTCGCCTACCACATCCTGGATGTCGTACTGCTCGGAGACGTTGAAGGAGATCCTTCTGGAGCTTCCGCTTGCCGCAGGTGCGCGAGACATGTTGGGACTCTGGGGTGTTATGAGCGCGGTTGCGCGTTATCCGAGGTGGAGAGAGCCGCACGCCGTTCCGTTGTCTACGAAGGACAGACGCGGGAGGTGGATAAACGAGAGAAGAGGTGTTGAATAGCGATCACCCTATTGCTGTTAGTGACATTGAGGCCTCCAAACTTGGGAAATTGAAGACAGGTCCGAAAAATCAACTTCACGCAACAAAGGCTGCTCTAATGGAGCCGCAAAGACGTAAGGGGAAAGCTGCAGCGGAAACAAGCGGTTCTACCATTGTACACTCGCATTGTATGCAGCCTGAAAAGAAACCCGAACGCACCTTCGCTATAAAGACAGCTAGACAATCGTCACCAACTGACAAAAATAACTCCCTGTGGCGCTCGAACGTTGCCCTCCCTGAGTAGAGCGGCGCTGTCGAAAGCAGCCGGAACGGCTAGAGCGGCGGGGGATCCCCGGTGAAGTTATTCGACGGTAAGGCGAGGATTAGGCAACCAAGGGGCGCAACGAGCGAAAGAGCAGTGAGCGAAGGTGTGTCGAAGGGTGAGGATCAACGCGCTCGAGATATTCCTGCGAGTGGGGGGGTGTGAGGTGTGAGTTTCTGGGTGAGGAGGGAGGGATGGGGTGGACAACTGATGTGGGGTCGTCCGGGCGCGATTTTGGGTGCCGCGGCGCTAAGCTGAATGTGGGATGGCGTCGAGGATGCGGATGCTCTTCAACGCAGGAGACGGACGGTGCAGAGGAACAGAACGAAGCTCCAAAAAGGGGGGCTTTTTGGCAAAGTGGTCTCAGGGCAGCGCTGATATATCGTGGTGCTGGACAGCAAAACGCTCATCCCAACAAGAGTCCAGGTCTCCCCTCTTCCAAAGCTGCACTAGCCGCCGGACGCGTGAGCTAAGGTTGATTGGTGTGACTCTCCTCGCATGTCAGACGCCTCCAGGGGCCCACCAACCCATTCACCATCCAGACATGCTCTCTTTGCTCCTCCCAAGGCACCTTTGCCTTTTCAGCACTGTCTCCACCGTTCCGTCTCCTCATGTCTCACCTCCATCTCCGAGCTTCATTGCCACCCACCTGTTGTCACCACGCCGCAAAGCAAAAGCAAGTTCTCCTCAGTGAGGCCAAGCATCATAGGGTCCTATCTGAAACCATGGGAGCTCGCAGACTTCTCCTTAGTCTGACCTCTGAGTCTATTCATACATAGCTGGTACCGGAGGCTTACCTAGAAACCCCTCAACATTATCAGGAATAATGCGGCTATACTATCACCCGACATTCCTTAACACCCTCGCCGTGTGACATGGCCAACCTTTCATCTTTGCCATCCAGCCGTCATCCATCTTCAGCAATGATGCTGTGCCTCCTGATGCCACTAGGCGCCGAAACCGCCATGTTCATGCCTGTCCCCTGTCGATCAAGACCCTAGCGTTTAGGATGGAAGAATCTGAGACCTTCCAGAAGCCCGCCGCGCTCGAGCCGACCGTTTCCGTACTCAAAAGCTTCACCGTGGTACCATCTGAGTACATGCCCTAATACCTGTTGTGCAGGCTTATTGTCCGTGTTAATGCTCTCTGTGGTTGTCTATGATAATCAATCCCTAGCATCAAAACACGCAGATCGAGGATGACGAGTCACATTCATCTCGATTCTGATGAAGTACACCAAGTGGCAGACGGTCCAAGCATTCTGCTCTTACCTAGATACCTAGCAATTCGCAGACTACCCTAGGGTAGCGTAGCCCAACCCATCGTCTGGCATGCACATGACGGTTCATCCTGTACATAGGTATTCTCGTTCAAGTGGTCTTTTGGTCAACTACACACTGTGGAGGCTATCTGCTTGTGTACTTCGGAAGATGTGATCTAGAATATTTGATAATAGACCTCATCAACCCCACGTGTGATCCTCTACGCAAGAGAACATATCCATGTAGCTTCCACGCAAAAGTTCCGCTCCTCCATCGAGTACTTCCACAGCTTTTCTGAATCAGACCCATACCGCACTGCGCCGAGTTTGTCAGGTCTTTCAACTCCTCCAGCTTGCATAAAACCGGTCAAATGGCCACTTAATCCTTCGCTCCTCGAGACCTCCAATGACTTCCATTCACCTTTGAGACCTTCGTTTAAAGTCGAACATAACAAGATTGATTCCCGCTTCAACACCAAACATCCATGGTTCTACGTCTTTCCGATAAAGTGGATCTTGGAATTTAGACAAGCAGCATGTCTTCTTGTTAGGTCGCTTTTCACCCGAATGCAGTGGATATTGAGCGATTATGACAAGATAGCAAGAAAAGTAGAAGTGCAGACATGCAACCAGTGATCGGTATTCAAGTCAAATGGTTTCTGTTCACCTCGGGAAATATGTGGCCCAGAAACTGTCCTGGTCCTGCATGAGGGACGACAGCACTGCTTTTCGGCTTCATAGCGCCACACCAAAAAATCGCGCCGTGTGCTTGAGTATTGGGCACGGTGGTAACGTTCTTTCGGGAACTTTTTTCTCACCAGTTCTTGCCATGTTTATGTGCTGATGTGTCGTTTGTCAGGAGCGAGGAAGATAAGAGATGGCACCGAGTCCATAGAACATTGGAAGCGTTCATTCTTGAGAGGACGCGGAAAAGACATGTTGAAGTCGTTAGGTCGGCGAAGTGAGTTTCGTAAGAATGCCGTCATATGGGGAACGATGTGCAAATTTCTCGTTATCCAGGAGCGGAAAGAGCAAACTCCATCATAGAAGGGCGCTCAGAAAACTAGGTATGTGGAGAGCAAAAGTATGAGCGCCCTCAACCAATGGAGGAGATTGTATACTCAATTATGCGAAGGAAGCCTTAACATGACCTTTGTTCTTGTGTTTGGGTATAATATGTCAGGACTTGTAGAGCCAATAAATGTGTAGATTTGAAATTGTCCGTTCCACATAGAGATGCTGCTGAACATTCATAATTTCGGCTGTCAGAAAAACACTGAGAAGGCACTGCCGTTGACCCTTTTAATGCTGATACCTCCACTCCCAATAGGTAATCGTGAGATTTGATTTTCGAAATTCTCCATTGTCTCCCCTTAGCATTTTTTCGATCGTCACTAACTTGCTTTCTCCGTAACAACATAATGTTACGAGTCCTGTTTTTAGTGATAGGCGGGAAGAGGGCGGGACGACATGTCGTGTCTGGAACTATATTCCATTTCTTGAATCGGAGCTGTCGGTATTTGCGCACTCAAAACGCGTTTTCCATAGCAACGACCTCTTCGGATTCCCAGCAAGCAAGGGTGGAACCATCACGGTTTTCTTCGAGCGCTTTAGGAACATCGAATACCTTCCAATTTGGTATCTTAAGAAGCTCATTAGGGTAGACAGTCGAGTGTGCGCCGAATAAGTCCAGAACAAGATCTAAGAACCCTAGGAGAGGACATGTACTGACGCTCCGATACGGTGCCTTGACAGTCGCAACTAATTCCATTTGCATTGGCCTCATGAAAAGTTTTAGAAGAAACATGGAATCGTCCTAGCGAGGCTCCAACTATGATAAACAACATGGCCCGAGAGAAAAGAACATTTTGTTTCTTTGTGTTCTTGTCGTGTATACGAAGGTCTCACCAGCGTGGCTTTTCCCAAAGACCATCAGTGTTTCTTCGCTCGATTAGGTTTTTAAGCTGGCAATGGCGGGCCATGGGCCATACCTGACCATCCTCTATCCCTACGCAAAGTTCCGACCAACCGTCATGACTGCCCGACATAAAATTTTTCAGGCTTACAAAAGGAAGTCCATGAACCGGTAACCGGGAAGATATCGTTGTTAAACTCCGAATGGAATCGAACATGTGATATATCTCCAGTAGATTTGAGTTTCGGTGTTCGAGCACATTCAAGATTCTTGTTTATGGTTGTAGGTTCACTACAAGGGAAAGCGACACGCGCGTCCTTATATCCATGATGCTCGTCCTGTTCGAATACCAAAGACAGCAGAATGGAAACGGCATGGAATTGCGGTATACCGTTCTTGAGGTCGAGAAAACCAAATCTTTGAGAAGAACAAACGCCATCATCCAACCTCTCTGTATGTTTTTCGATCCGCACGATTCCATGAATGTGTTTGGAAGACGTTCACAATCTAGCTTTAAATCCACACATATTGTAACATCGTAGAGTTTTAAATTTTCGGGGAAACACCGACGCCCCACACATGGCGCTTAGGAACCGTGCTTGATATTCAGTGAGCAGTCCCCGAGGGACAGGTGCGTTGTTCATAAATCGTGTATGTGCGATTTCGGAAATGTGTCAATCCCCAAGTAACCGCTGGACCGACATTTCCAATTTTGCTCTGATCTTTAGTCCGGTCAATCTAGGTTTCAGACAAGGAATGTCGCCAGAGGAAGAAACGAGAGGTGTCGACATAGTTGAGCCGTACTGGAGTTCTTGAGGGAACGGTGCTTCTTCATGAGTCTAGTTGTCCGCTCTTTGTGTTTGAGCTGCACTGCCTACTTCAGAAAGCACTTACATGCCTCCATTCGCACTCATGTTTTCAACGAGCTCGCCGAAGGAGAGATGCAGAGACATTCGAATAGCTTTTATCAGCTTGTCGTCTTGGGGACATAACTTGAGAACCCTGACAGTTTGATTTTCGGTGGATCCTGTCAGAGAAATATGGATTCTAAACGCATAAACAGCATTCCCTCCATGACGTTTCCGGTTCCTCTGATTTTCCCTTTCAAGTCTTTCCTGGGAGGAAGACATTAATTAATCCCTTTGATATGTGCTTCCGGGAGAACAGAACATGACAGAAAGACATCGTTGATATGATGTTCAAACTTGTTCGGTATCTGAGAGATATGCCCCAAGCATGTGGTTGTCCTCAGTGGACAGAAAGAAGACAATATTACAATAAGGTCCAGTTTACAGGATTGTAAGGGACATTCTGGAGGTGATACGGAATCGTCATTATCTCCATGAAGAGCTTGGTTTACTGGCGCAATCCGGGATCCATGGAATTTGAATTTTGAATTTCGAAATCCGGAATTCATGGAAAGATTCCTTTCGCCAAAAATGGGAGGTGAATGAGGCTGAACATAACATGATCTCCGGCTTTCTTTCTTTTCTTTTTTTTTTTTTCTCGAAAACCCAAACATGTAACAGGAGACGATTGGTAGATTTGGGTCAGAATACAAAGGTGAACAGTACAAGTAGGGGAAAGAAAGAGACGAGCGACGAAGGAAGATGAGGAAGCCTTTTATACATGCCTGGTGTCAGCTGATGGATGTCACGCGTGGATTGACAGAACATGAGCAGGTTTGAAACATTTTCTACAAACAAAAGAGTCCCCCGCATTTTTTGAATGCCCCGTCTACCCTACTTCTCCATCCCCTTCAGATAAACTGCATACCCATCCTCCAGCAACTGCCTATCCTTCCTCAGCACCTCTCTCTCGTTCCCCTTCATCCACTCCGCCAGCCTCTCCCTCACATCCTCATCCGCTGCGCCCAGGATCCTCACAGCCAACAGCGCCGCATTCGTACTATTATTGATCCCCACAGTAGCGACAGGCTCGCCCCTCGGCATCTGCGTCATCGAGTACAAGCTGTCCACGCCATCGAGATGCGTCGCCTTGACGGGGACACCGATAACCGGCAGCGTGGTCCAGGACGCGCACATCCCAGGGAGATGGGCCGCGCCACCGGCCGCACCGATGATAACTTTAATGGTGGTTTCTTCGGCGCTCTTGGAGAATTCGCGGAGCCAATCTGGCGTGCGGTGCGCCGAGGTGATGCGCACGGTGAAGGGGATCCGTAGCTTCTCGAGGATTTCAAGACCGGGTCGGAGGACGGGGAGGTCAGAGTCTGATCCCATGATGACGGCTACGAGGGGATCTTCTTTGCGTGGAGCTTCGTTGGGCCCCAGGGCTTTGCCCTTCATGTCGTCGACGAGGTCGATGAGGGGTTGGATTTCCTTTTCAGCGGCGGCGAGAGTGGGCGCCGTGACAGTGATGTGGCCCATCTTACGGCCTGGTCGGGCTTCACCTTTGCCGTAGAGGTGTGTGGACGCATTGGGGAATTCGAGGGCCTTGTTGGCGACCTTGATGTGCGAGTCCGGTGTGTTGCCTCCTAGGATGTTGAGCATGATGGCAGGTTCTCTGAGTCTTAGTCCCGCCTCCGGGAGGGGGAGATCCAGAATCGCTCGCAGGTGGGCTTCATACTGCGAGATGGGACACGCCTCGATGGTGTAGTGACCCGAATTGTGCGGCCGCGGCGCAATTTCGTTGACCAACAGACTCCCATCCTTGAGCAGAAACATCTCCACGCCGAAGACGCCCTTCCCCTCGAACGCCCCAATTGCTTTTCTCGCCAGCTCCTGCGCTCTCTTTGCCGTCTCCTTCTTCACGTGGCGCGGCGGCGCATACGTAAGTTTGCAGATACTGTCCTCGTGCACAGTCTCGACGGTCGGGAACGTAAGCACTCCATCCTTCGTCTTGACCACCATGACCGCAAGCTCCATCCGGAAATCCGCCCAGCGTTCCGCATACAGCGGCCGGTCCCCCAGTGCCTTGTACGCCGCCTCGACCTGCCCAGCGCTCCGGACGACAAAGTTGCCCCGTCCATCGTACGCCTCCGTTTTGCTCTTCAGCATATACGGATACCCGAACTCCGTTCCCACCTCTTTCAGACCCTCCATTCCTTTGCCCTCCAAATCCACACTCTCGGCAACCGCAACCCCGTGGCTCTTGAGGTGCTGCTTCTGCGCAAATTTGTCCTTGATGATGCGCAGCGTCCGCCAGCTGGGTTCGACCGTGACCTCTCCGGATACATTTTCCAGCATGTGCGTATCTACATGCTCAATCTCCACAGTTACTACATCGCTTGCTTGTGCCAGTCTCTTCACTGCAGCTGCGTCTTTGAAAGATCCCGCGATGTGACCGTCGTGCGAGGAGACTTGCTTGGCGGGTGCGCCTTCTACGTCCAGCACATTCACTTGAATGTTGAGCCGATTCGCGGCCTCAATAAGCATACGACCCAGCTGGCCACCGCCCAGCAGGCCTACTTTCCTTTTGTCTGCCATAGAGGTGGTGTGTGGTAGCGGAGGGGCAGAGAGAAGTTGCTGTATGGAGCTCACTGGTTTGACGTTTTGTTGCAGGGATATTTGATACAGATCGCTGGTTGGCTGGCGCGGCAAAATCACAAAAAATTATAGTCTGGCGGCCTTTGAGAGAGGCTGGCCGAATTACACTTCAGTTAACAACCCAATCGTCCTCTCTCAATGCGCGGCACAAAGGGTATTTGCAAAGCTTGTACATCACGATTTGGAAACGAGCAAGGTTGTAAATGGTATGTTCCAGTTGAAGTGCTCATTGTGCGCTTCACTGTATGATGGACATTGACTATCATTTTTTTGACCTCACTAAGAGCCCTTCCCAGACATGATTCACGCCTTGTTTGAACCCAGCCGACCATGCCCACGCCGAAATGAAGAAACCATTCCATTCTCCACAGTCGCTTACACCTTGAAACCGCGGGATCGTCTGCGGCCACGAGCACGCTCGAACTTGCGACCCTTGCTCTGCACGTAGGGCTTCTTGTTCTTGTGGGGACCGAAACCGAAGTGCTTGACGGCCTCGCGGGAGTTCTTGGGGCCACGGAGGAGGAGGGTGTTGGCACCGGTCGGGGCGCGGAGGGCGAGCTCGTCGATGGTCAGAGCCTCACCACCGGCAGCAACAATGCGAGCGCGGGCGGAAGAGGTGAAGCGGAGGGCCGCGACGGAAAGCTTGGGGATTTCTACCGCATGTCAGTGCTGCCTTGGCCTGGAATTGAAAATCACGAACCCAGAAGACGGTTGTCGTCAGTGACGGTGCCGACCTGGTCTGATGTTAGATGAGTCCACCCTCAACTGAACCGGGAATTCGTACGATGACAATGGTCTTGTCCTTGTGAGCCTCCGCAGTGTGCTTATTGGCAACCGTCAAGACGATCTTGGACAGGCTGACCGCTATTCAACGGTTAGTCTGGCCTATGTGCGAGAATGGCGCGTGGGGGTCTCTTACGAGGGCGGTTGATCTTGGACATCATGAGCCTGCGAAGAACGGTCTTGTTGAAGGGGGCATCGGTGCGGCCTGGCCATTGCCGTCAGCGAGGATCGAGGTCAATCGGATGAGTTGCACTCACGAGCCAGGAACTTGTAGAGCCTCACAAGCAGCCTAACATAAGGGTTCTCGCTCTTCGGGACCCCTGCGTTACGATCAATACCCGCAGTCTAGGAAATCATGCTGCGTCCTTAAGGACAGCTGGGCGCCAGCGCATTTCTGCGCCGACTCGACGGGGAAATCACATACTGCGGTGCCCGTCTCGAACATGATGCCTCTTCAGATCGATACCCTAGGAAATAGATATTAGCGAACGCTCGCTGAGAATGTCGAATGCGGGATCAGAGTATATCGTAAAGACGTCGCGAGCGATTGAGATTTCCACGGAAAATATATCGTATCGCGCGAGCAATCCTTCGCAACGGCAGAGGACCGTCTTACCATTCTGATTGACGATTGGGGGTGTCGGCGTGGGTTGTCGTGTCGTGGTCGTCGCTTGAGGTCTCCATGTGCGAATTTCGATGCAGTGGTGTGGGCGGTCCTTAGCGGGCTTGGCAGGCAAGCTCACCGCCTTTGGCAGAACTTACGAGCACAAACAAGCACTCTGACGGCAACTCCAACCTGGGCACGCGAAGAAGTCTTTAGGTCAAATGGCAGATTATTGTATGCACGGTACAGCTTTATGTTCTGCAAATCTCTCATTGCGACAGAGTTGAGTATATCAAATATCTCCTTGGTATTCATCGTCACCGTTGCAGTCGCGCGTAATGGCTTCACAAATGGCACCCCAATTCCCTCTCTATTATCATTACATACCTGTTCTGTATATACCCATTACATGTCGTCCAACTCCGCTAAGACTGTATATATGACAATACCAATGCGAAGTTTTCGCCGCTTTCCGTTACAACTGCGAGGCAGGTCAAGAGATGGGAAAATGGGAATGTATATCTATCCCTACACTCGCCTGGGCACTGGATGAAAGCCTCTAACATCACCGAACGAAGACACAGCGCTCGGAGGAAATGAAAGTTTGTCTATGCCGTCAGCTGTACAATAGCCCTGCCACTCCCAAACCTGAAGCAATACCGGTAAGAAAACAAATATGTCGAAGAAGAATGGAGCGCTTCGTCTTCTCTGGTGGTATGCAGCATACCCCTGAACTAGCCGATGGTCGACGTGCCGGAGATAGGATGCATCATCATATGGCCTTGTCAGCAACATAGGTGCCGATGCCGTCATAGAGCTTCTTGGTGGATTCTGGGGCGATCCTGGGAGCGAGACCACCAAGAAGAACAAAGAGGGTAACTGCGACAAGGGCGAAGATGAGTAGCTTCCGCGTAACAGGACGGGCAGCGCCCATCTCAGCCCATGCCATGCCGCCTTGACCGATCAGTTCCTTCATCTTCTGCGCGCCGAGTTTGTAGAACATGAGGCCCACAAGAGCAACGCCGTAGCCGAACGCCTGGAGAAGAGTGACGGGGTCGCCGAAGATGATCATGGAGGCGAAGACGAGAAGGATATCCTTGAGGACGCCCGAGAGGGTGAGTACAAGAGATGAGGTCCGGCCAATCTGCGCACAGTTAGAAGCAGGTTGTGCAAAGGACATGTGAAAACACGTACCAGGAATACCACAGAGACGTTGAGCATAAAGGCAACCAGAGCGTTGAGCAGCAGGTTAAAACAGCCAACACGGTAGATGTCGTCCATGCCCATGCGGGGCATCTCGTAGAAGAGCCAAACGGCCCCGTTGATGATGGCACAGGCGGGCGCATAGTAGTAAAGCGACACGAGGGGATCCATCTTGAACTCGTCAGAGCTCAACAGGCGCTGCACCATGACCAGGCGAACAGCCTCGAAAATGATGCCGGCAACCTGGAAGAGGAAGCCGATCATGACGAATTTGATCTCGCCTATCGATGCAATGATGACACCGATCACGATCACGGACACATTGGCAAGAGTCTTCATATCAGCTTTGCTGACGCCCATGAACCAACTCGAGAGGAGAACGGCGACCGGAGTTGTAGCCTAGGGAGAGTAGAGTCAGTGTCAGGGCTCGCGGCTATGGAAGCAAACATACCTTCAACATCTGAATGAAAGCGACGCTCAAGTACAGATATGTCTGGTTACCGCAGATCAAGCTCAAACTGAAGAATATGCCAATGGGAATGATGGCGCGAAGGTAGACGCGACCTGTCATGGGAACCTTTTTCCTCGAGTCGAGAATGGTGGTGAATCGCGCCATGAGCTGGGTAACGATGGTTGCGAAAAGCAAGTGCCATGTTGTCAGGAAGATGGGGAACTCTGCAGAGAGCATATTAGCTTCTGCGGCACCGGATTCCGGGGGGGTTAGGAGCCATACCAAACTTTCTCGACGACAAAATCCATTTGTTGAAGACAATGACACTGGAACTCAGTCCTATCCAGGCCCTAGATGACGGTTAGAATCCAACAAGAAGGCGCAGCGATTGACGGGTGAGAGGCGGCGTACGCGACGTAGAAAGCGGGATGTAGCTTGTCTGATGGTTTTTGCGGCGTCTGGAGATTGGGATTGACGGTTGGCAGGACGGGGGCGGAGGTGTCGCGGGCGGCCTCGACGGAGGAGCGAGTCTTCTCGTCAGACATGGCTACAGGAAGCGCGAAAGAGAGGTCGGTGGAGAGGTATTTCTTCAGAAAGCCACCGTTGGGATGCTAGGCGTGCAAAGGAGCAACTGAGTTGGCTGGTGGGATCGGGATGTCAGCGGGCTGACCAGATGGCGCAGAATGCACTGCGGGAGGTCAACGGGGATGAATACCTCCGTACGGGCTGACGGAGTACAGAAACGGCGGCGTCAGACAGCGAAGGAGCGGATGCGCCGTATGACAGCGGGCACGGGAGAGAGGGTTGGTGGTGGTGGTGGTGGTGGTAGTGGTGTGCAAATCTTTGGGGGGAGGGGAGGAAGGGTGGACTCTCTCAGGGTGCACAGTGAAAAGAAGTAGCGGGAACGGGGCCAAAAGCAGCTAGAGCGGCTTGGCGAGATGATTGGGCAACCTTGGAACGGACAAGCCGCGCAACCGTGGACGGCCCTCTGTACTGTGTACTGTACGTACCTTCTACGGAGTACAGTGCCAACAGTACTCGGTAGTATACCCAAATATGACGGTGCACAGAGTCCGCAGTAAGTTAGTTGCTTTGGGTGACACCAGCTCGGCCCGCTGCGAAGAACCGCAGCGGTGCAGGGTACGGTGTATACATACACTGGTACCTTCATTCAATGTACTTTGATAAAAGAGGCGAGCAGCCGGGCTAGCCCGCAAGGTCGCCACTGCCCCTTTTGCGGCCAGACCCTGGCCAGGCGTGGTAGGCGTGGTGGCCGGGGAACGACGACTAGCGCGCGCCCGTCGATATTTATTTTCAGACCCGCCGACATCCCCCGCCGCATCACTATCACAGCTCCCACGCCCCCCAATCGCACTCCTCTCCTTATTCTTCCTCTGCTACTGCTGTGTTCCTCTTCGATCGTTACATGCTCAACTACGCACGTCAGACCTTGAAGCGTGTTCCATCTTTTCAGGAGTTGCTGCAAGGGAAAATGGGTTCGACCAGGGAAGAGATGTGAGGAGGCCCGCACACCGCCCCATGAACCGCCTCTAACAAACACCCCCCACAGCAACGTAGACGTCCTCGTCATTGGCGCTGGCCCGACCGGCCTGGGGGCAGCGAAGAGGTTGAATCAGATTGTATGCTTGTCTGTGTCAAAAACTTGGGTTGAGCGCTGCTGATCCTCATCCTCAGGATGGCCCCTCGTGGTTGATTGTAGATGCCAATGAGACTCCTGGCGGCCTGGCCTCAACCGATGTCACCCCTGAGGGCTTTGTGAGTGCCTCCCGTCGCCATCAATCCTCATTCCTGCGCATACTGACTCCATCCCAAGCTCTACGATGTCGGCGGTCATGTCATCTTCTCCCACTACAAGTATTTCGACGACTGCATCGACGAGGCTCTGCCCAATGCCGACGACTGGTACACGCACCAGCGCATCTCCTACGTCCGCTGCAAGGGACTCTGGGTCCCCTATCCTTTCCAGAACAACATCTCAATGCTGCCAAAGGAGGATCAGGTGAAATGCATCGAGGGCATGATTGATGCCGCCCTCGAGGCCCGCGTCTCCAACACCAAGCCCAAGGACTTCGACGAGTGGATCTTGCGTCAGATGGGCACTGGCGTTGCAGACCTCTTCATGCGCCCTTACAACTATAAAGTGTGGGCCGTTCCCACCACCAAGGTGAGGGAGCTGATTCGCGTCTACGCATTCGACGACTGACCTGTTTGCAGATGCAATGCGCATGGCTCGGCGAGCGTGTCGCCGCTCCCGACGTGAAGCGAGTCACCTCCAACGTCATCCTAGGCAAGACCGCAGGTAACTGGGGTCCCAACGCAACCTTCCGCTTCCCTGCCCGTGACGGCACCGGCGGTATCTGGATTGCCGTTGCGAAGACCCTTCCAGACGAGAAGAAGCGATTCGGCGATCACGGTGCTGTCACCAAGGTTGACGCCGATGGCAAGAAGGTGACACTAAAGGATGGTACAGTGGTCAACTACCAGAAGCTGATCAACACCATGGCTGTTGATAGTCTGGTTGAGAAGATGGGCGATAAGTCGCTCATCCAACTCAGCAAGGGCCTCTTCTACTCCTCGACTCACGTCATCGGGGTCGGTCTTCGGGGCGAGCGTCCTGCAAATATCGGCGACAAGTGCTGGTTGTACTTCCCAGAGGACAACTGCCCCTTTTACCGTGCGACCATCTTCTCCAACTACTCCCCCTACAATCAGCCGCAGAAGGACGTCAAGCTCTCGACTCAACAGCTTGCCGACGGCTCAAAGCCCAGCTCTAAGGAGCCCAAGGAAGGACCGTACTGGTCCATCATGCTCGAGGTGTCGGAATCCAGCATGAAGCCCGTAGACCAGGCCAACCTCCTGAAGGAGTCTATCCAGGGACTCATTAACACCGAGATGATCAAGCCTACAGACGAAATCGTGTCCACCTACCACCGCCGTTTCGACCACGGCTACCCCACTCCGTCGCTGGAGCGCGAGGGCGTGCTCAAGGAGCTCCTTCCCGCTCTCCAGGCAAAGGATATCTGGTCACGCGGTCGCTTCGGTTCCTGGCGCTACGAAGTTGGTAACCAGGACCACTCGTTTATGTTGGGCGTGGAAGCCGTTGACAACATTGTCAATGGTGCCGTTGAGTTGACGCTCAATTACCCCGACTTCGTGAACGGTCGCCAGAACACGGAACGCCGCCTCGTCGACGGTGCTCAAATTTTCGCCAAGAACAAGAACAAGAACAACAAAGCTCTAGACTAGATTAGTGGAAACGAACATGTCGATGCTGGCATGGCATGATGGGATGAAATCCCGGTATAGGTTGCCGTTGTGCTTCTGGGATAGGAGTAATGAACATTTTGGGTGTAGCCGCAACGATTGATATGATGGTTGTTTATTTGGGGGCTATCTGGGAGCGGGTTCATGAGAATATTTTGGCATGGCTGCAGTGGCTCGCAGGAGACGTATCTTCTCCGTTCAGCGTAACGTTGTCTACAACCTTCCAAGGTTGGAATGGAACGGTGTCGCTTTGGCCCGATTTAGAGATAGACGTATAGATGTATGGATTCTAAGAAGAATTCCCGGGGAGGAACGCGCTTGGCTCATCGGGGAAGTGATTTGTGACCGGCTCGAGGGGTTTCTCTTCCGTTGACGCTTGCCACCAGTAGGGGTAAACCCTATGCGGATATTTTTTGGATGTGCAAAACAGGCGTGCTACGAAAACATTGCCGTGACATATCCCAATTGGAAGACGGTCTCTGAAACCGTCGAAAAGGTCTAGAAGACGTCTTCTAAACTCACTTGCGGTAACGTGTGTATGCCAAAGAAAATGCAGCGCGAGCAGAAGATACCGCACCCACCCTCACATGAATAGAACACTCCGGCAGAAGACACAGAAGACAGGTGTGCATGCTACATAACATACGTCGTTACTCGTTATGTTATTCATGGTCATTTCATTCCTCATTGCCATCCCATCATTCATGATTAATTCCTTCCTCATCGCCATGTCAGTTCCTCACTCATCATTATCCAGTCCTCCTCGCATTATCCTTCTACATGGTTTTGAATTTATGCAGTGCAGGAATGAAGATGCGAAGAATGGAAAACATCAATCCTTGCCAACGCCAAAACGCCACCAGTGAAGTGAAACCCGGAACTCTGAAAATGCAGAATGAGATGTTACCGCTCGCGCTCGCCTTATCCTACAAGACAAGCAGAACACCAAAAAATGCCGCTAATGGGAGAAGACCAACATGCACGAGCAATTGAGAGGCCGCAGCAGCCGGGGCTGGAGGAGGCGATGATGTTGTCGTTGGGCCAGCGCCTTCACCCAATCTGGTACCAGGGGCAGTACCAGAGGGTGCCGCGGTCGTCATAGTTGTGAATCCGCTTTGGCCAGAACTGGTACTGACCTGCACGCGGTTAGGCTCGCCAGAGGACTCCGAAGGCGAAGGAGCAGAAGATGGCGTAGATGAAGCGGGAAGGGATGTCAACTGTACACAAGTCGTTAGCACTTTGCAGCAAGCGGTCAAGGTGGGTGAAAGGAACGCGGCTTACTGACAGGCGCCGAGCTGGGCGGGACGACTTTGCCAGAATCCGTGACCGTCCACCCGCTGGGAAGGCCGGGGTAATTCTCAAAGGTGCGACTCACAGGCTGATCAGGAGCCTTGGAAACCCAAGGGTAGACGTTGGGTCTCTCATATGTTGAGGTCGGCGCGAACGGGATTGGCTGCCCCGTGGCTTGCGAGGTGATGGTAGGAGCATTAGGGTCTACCGCACCCCCTCCCGAGTTGATTTGGCCGCCAACTGACTTGATGGACTGCCACGTCCCGCTTTGGTCCCCGTAGATATATTGCGTTCCCGTAGAGTAGTCAGACACCCTCAGCGACTTGACCTGCATGGTGAACGGCCCTTTGCTATAGTCCGTGGGTCCCCTAGCCCACTCGATGGTGCCAGGGGCGTTAGCTGGATCACCTCCGCTCCACGCGCCGATCTTGATCTGCATGGGTGTTTGCGGATACTGGCCCTTTGAGTCGGCGGGTACAAGCGACCTGACCGTCTGGCCATCAATCTGCCACACAATCTGATTTGCAGTCCATTCGATGGTGTACGTCTTGAAGCCTGCCTGGCTCCCGGGGTCGGCGTGGAAGGCACCACGGTCATACGTTGTTGTTTGGCCCTTGCCGAAGTAATTTGTCTGAACTTCGTCCGGCGAGGCGCCGAGCCACTCCCAATCAATCTCATCGAGGTCGTCCGACTGCATGACAAAGCTGCTAACAATCCCCGCACCGGGCGCAGCCTTGAGGACGACTTCGACCCTCCCAAACATGATGAACCATTTTGACGTCAACTGAGGGGAGTCACCGGACTTTGCGACTGTGAAGGATACCCCGTCGGAGCCATATGTCGGGTTGCCTTGAGGCGTGAAGCTGTCGGAGGGGGAAGTGAAATCAATGTTGACTGTCCTGCCCAGTGCGGAGTCTGGCGGGCAGTCGGATCGCAGAGTGGGATTGCAGTTGGTATATGTTTGTGCCGCTATGGGGGCAAGGAGGTACGCTAGAGCGACCGTTGCTTTTCCGGGGGACCGCATGTCGGCGGTGAAGAGGGTTCGACGGCAGGCTGTTAGTGAAGGGGAGGTTGCTGTCGAACTGATTTGAGTTGAGGTGAGCCGAACTCAGAGGCGAATGTGCTTATGGAAGACTGAAGAAAGCAAAAGTGGTAAGAAAGGGTCAGAGTACAATTGGGAGGATTACGATGCGGATGTACTCGGTACCCAAGACGAGATAGCGAAGGTGGAGTGAGGAGGACAAGGAAGCGGACCAGGGAAGTGAATGTTTATAAGGATACTGTGTGGTGAGAAGGACGGGCGAGTCCAGCCACTCTTTAGTCCGAGGCTACGAGACTACGTGTTAGCTGTGGTCAACAATGGTGTGCATCATCATGGCGTGTCCAGTCTCGCCGCTGGCGTTGGTTGGAAATACTCGAGGTTGGAGTCCTGCGGAGACCTGGGGGGCTGGAAACCCAGCCACATGCAACACAATACACAACCGAAAGGTCTGGCCCATAATATTTCAGCGTCACCCCACCCGCGACGTGGAGAACATTGTGAGGTCGGCAGAGAAGAGGGTTCCGATGATGATGGTCGGACGAACTGGCGTAGATAATCAAACAGCTCATTGGCTTTGCAGCCCGGAGAGCTGTTCTTGTAAACTCAAAGGTGTGGAGAAGGATGTTGTTGATGATCCGTGGACCGCGAGTCATGTCTTGGCAGCTTGGCACGGTGCACCGCCACAGGAGTGGCTGTACAGATCCTCAACACCACCACACAATCCATCTTGAAGCCGAACACGGAGCAAGGGTTTCGCCAGGTCCACGGCCATTCTCAAGGGCCTGAACAGAGTACTCGGACATCGTCTCGCTCGGAATCAAGGCGAAAGGATCCTGCATCCGCATCTCCGCTCTGCGTCTCTACTTTCCTGCCGTTCTGCACAGTGCAAAGTTTCTCCACTTTGAGTCACATAGATCTAAAATCCACCACCATCAGCGTCTCACCAGGACCGCTGACCGCAACCTTCCACAGAAGCAATGTCTCTCACCAACGCAACCCCGCTAGAAGTTGCGCAGGCCGCCCAATTGGGCTCCAGGAAACTCGCCGTCCTGTCCACCGAGGACCGCAATGCCGCCTTGACGGCTATTCACCAGGCCCTCGCCGACGCAAAGGACGAAGTGCTTGCAGCTAATCGGAAGGACCTGGAGGCGGCCAACAAGGCTGCCGCCGGGGGACAACTCAGCCAGAGTTTGATCAAGAGGTTGGATTTGGGCAAGCCCGGAAAGTATGAAGATATGTTGCAGGGTATCTTGGATGTGCGCGAGTTGGAGGATCCTAGTATGTGGCCTCTTGCCTTCTTCTTGTTTCATAACAATCTCTCTTTTTCCTTTCTGCCAAATGCTCGCTTTTTGAGCACTTGTCTGTTCCGTCAATTCCCCGTTCGAAATTCCAAGCCTCCTTGGAGCAGAGCCAAGGCGCCCATTGTTGCCCCTGAACTCTCTGAGAATTTCAATATGCCATCTCCATGTCTACCGTTTAGAGCTCCCTGGTCGCTTCGACACTCTCGTACACCTCGTTTTCTGACTGCATCGCGACCCCACCACTGATCGCTTTTCCGAACAGTAAACCGCACTACTGCCCGCACCCTCCTGGACACCGATCTCACTCTCACACGCGTCACCTGTCCCATCGGTGTTCTCCTCATCATATTCGAAGCCCGCCCTGAAGTTATCGCCAACATCTCCGCCTTGGCTCTCAAATCCGGCAATGCAGCTATCCTCAAAGGCGGCCGCGAATCATCCAACTCCTTTGCCGCCATTGCATCCATTATTTCCCGTGCGCTACAGTCTACTGCTGTCCCGAGCGATTGCCTGCAACTCGTCCAAACGCACGATGTAATCAAGGACCTTCTCGCGCTTGACATGTACATCGATCTCTGCATTCCTAGAGGCGGCAATAAACTGGTACGATTCGTCAAGAGCTCGACCGCGATTCCTGTGCTCGGCCATGCAGACGGCATCTGTTCAACATATCTGTGTGCAGACTACCCTGTCGAGAAAGCAATCAGGATTCTCGTTGACGCCAAGACGAGTTACCCCGCTGGTTGCAACGCTGTGGAGCAGCTTCTAGTCGACGAAGATGCTTTGGGTCGGACATTCCCCGCCGTTGCGAAGGCGCTGCTAGAGAAGGGCGTCTCGCTGCGATGCGACGAGGCATCTCTAGCTGCCCTTGAGAATGCCAACATTGGCGACAAGACCAGCGTCCAGGGCGCCACGGATGCCGACTTCCATACCGAGTTCTTAGACCTCATCCTCGCAGTCAAGTCTATCAAGGGAGTCGAGGAGGCGATATCACATATCAACGCGCACTCTTCCCACCACACCGATGCCATCCTTACGCTGAATGAAGACGTTGCGAATGCGTTCCTCGCCGGTGTGGACTCTAGCAGCGTCTACTGGAATACCTCGACTAGGATGGCGGATGGCCAGCGTTATGGCTTCGGCACCGAGGTTGGCATCTCGACGAACAAGATTCATAGCAGAGGCCCTGTGGGGCTGGAAGGTTTGACGATCTACAAGTGGGTGATTAAGGGAGATGGACAGGTTAGTGCTGACTATGGAGCTGGAGAGGGAAAGAGGAGATGGAAGCATGAAAGGTTGCCCGTTTCGGAGGGTGACGAAGTGGCGAGGTCCGAGGAGGAGAAAGAAGTGTTGAGGAGATTCAGGACGGGTGAGATTAGACTATAGCTATACCACAGTAATCGGTTTCAATCTCCTACCTTGAAAGGGTAAACTTCTATGAATAGTTTGGCAGAGTAAAGAGACACCAAAAGTTCTGCTCTTATGGAGGCGGAGCATGCAAATATCTGCACCATCCTTGAGCTTGGGTCTAAGAACGAAACCACTTGAGTTGATGTAGATCTCCAGGTCAGCATGTGCCCTCTCGAATAGACACCTCGTGGACTGATGGAAGGTGTGGATGGTCCGTGCTCTCAACAATCCGTCAATTGCAAGTCCAACGCTTCCCCACATGATCCGATTCCCATCATCGAAGTTGCATACTCATTACTTTCGTAGAGCCATCGAGCTGTCGTTTTTCTTGAAGCGTATTCAGCTCTGGGAGTAGCCGCTTTCCAAGATCTCTACTGTGAGCTCACACGCTTCGGAGTCGTGTCTGGAAGACACAAGTCGCTTTGTTTCTTCCTTCTGATATATCCACTGAAAAGGAGTTCATTCTGCTAGAATGTAGAAGATGGGGTTGATTATCAACCTCTCGGTCGCCCTCATCGCACTTCTGCAGGGAGCATCAGCAATATGGCCGATTCCTACTTCCTACGAACATGGTGAATCCGTCCTGTTCATTGCTGAAGATGTGTCGTTTCATTGGACCGATACGGATGAGGTAGGTAGTCTAGAGTCTCATTAGCTCGAATGCACAATATGAGACTACTATCCTCACATGCTCCTCGGTCCGTTTCTAACGTCCGCAGTTATATGACAAGAACGTTCAGAAGACATTTCAGAGGCGGTTTGCGCAAGACGACCAATGGTGGTGGGCAAGCGGGAATGTGTCTTTAAAAGATGGGCAAGGAGTCACAGGCCAGGAAATACAAGACTATGCCATCAAACAAACGCATCGTACCATTTTCCAAAAGAGCTTCGTTCCCTGGAAGTTCCATGAGAGGGGCTGGAAAGAGCCTGACTGCAAAGGAGCGACTTATATCGAATCCATATACCTGGAGCTCCAACGAGAAGAAAAAGAAGAAGAAGCCGTGAAGACACGGGTCGGCGACGTAGACGAGTCGTACAGACTTTCTCTCACAGAAGACGGAAAGGCAACGATCCGTGCAAACTCTAGCGTTGGAATTGCCAGAGGTCTAAACACATTCACCCAACTCTTCTTTAAGCATACCGGAGGCGGAGCGTATACGCCTTGGGCACCTGTGGAGATCTATGACGCCCCGGTATTTCAGCATAGAGGTCTCAACATGGACGTTGCCAGGCAATGGTTTCCAGTCGCGGATATAAAGAGGATGATTGATGCGGCGGCGTACAACAAGATGAATCGCTTTCACCTCCATGTCACAGACTCGCAATCCTGGCCTTTGGAGATACCGTCGCTTCCAGACCTTGCTGAGAAGGGAGCCTACCGTCCAGATCTGGTGTACTCAGTGGACGACTTCAATGAAATCCAGCGCCATGCAGCTATACAGGGTGTGGAGCTGATTACGGAGATAGATATGCCAGGCCATACGTCTTCCATCTGGTTCAGCCGGCCGGAACTCATCGCCGCGTATAATATCCAGCCTGACTGGAATACGTATGCTGCCGAACCACCGTCTGGGACACTCAAGCTCAACTCTTCTGAGGTGGATGACTTTCTCGAAACACTGCTCGATGATTTGATACTGAGGATATCTCCCTACTCCACTCACTTTCACACTGGCGGGGACGAGGTGAACAGGAATGCCTATGAACTGGACGACACGGTGCGCTCGAAGGAGTATTCCGTGCTACAGCCACTGATGCAAAAGTTCATTCACCGTAACCATGACCAAGTCCGCAGACTTGGACTCACACCTATTGTATGGGAGGAGATGCTGTTGGAATGGAATCTTACTCTCGGCAAGGATGTCATAGTGCAGAGCTGGCGCTCCGATGAAGCCCTTGCGCAGATTGTGGCCAGAGGTCATAAAGCTCTTGCTGGGAATTACAAGTACTGGGTAAGCCGCTGCGCACATGCTCTGTCTCATGAGTGAGGTCTAACACTCAGCAGTATCTCGACTGCGGCAAAGGCCAATGGCTGGATTTCGATCCGTCAGTGGCAGCGGACCACTGGCCTTACAATGATTACTGCGCCCCCTTCCATAACTGGCGTCTGATTTATTCCTACGATCCCCTTGCCGGCATCCCATCTTCCCACCAGCATCTCGTCATTGGCGGGGAGGCACACATGTGGTCTGAGCAAACCGATCCGGTGAACCTTGACCGCATGGTGTGGCCACGAGCGGCGGCAGTTGCAGAGATACTGTGGAGCGGGGCCAAGGATAAGGAGGGGCGAAATAGGAGTCAAATTGAGGCGAGTCCGAGGTTGAGTGAGATGAGAGAAAGGTTGGTTGCCATGGGAGTGGGTGCAGAGCCAATCCAAATGCCATACTGTTTGATGGAGGGAACGCAGTGTCAGCTGGGATATAAGCCGTGAAGAAGATGACAGCAGAGCCCTACAGTATGGCCCGACGGAGGGCTATTGGTGCCATGACGCCTCTTTACATCCCGAGAATGGCTTCTCTTGTGTAGAGTGAAGTATAGAGCAGCTTTGAAGTGAATGGATACCACGCCAGGTATGCATCATGCCGGAAGCGCTAGGCCCAGGCAAATACTGCATTGCTATGCTTGTGAGACTACTCCGTACTATACTGTTCTACAAGTACAGGTGAAGTGATGCTGACTCCACCTCCGCCTACATACCCTAGAGCAAGGGCCATATCATATTGTCAGATCGACAACGAGAGCAGGATTTCGGACATGACAACCAACACGAAGCACATGCTCACCGTACGAACCATACCCGTTGTAATATTACTGTACAGTAGGATTCCCGACTCTCCGCCGTTTTTCGACCTTCCCAATGATAGGTTAGGTTCGACAAGTAACGGATAGAATCCACTACTCAAAGTGGCCGACTGGAACCACTCGGCGCATTACCCTAGGGTAGGGAAAACGGCCCCGCAACGCCCACACCACCAGCACCGTCCTTCACCATCACACGAGTGCACTCTGTTTGGCTGTCGCAACTCTACAAGCAGGTGTCATAAGCAGAGTCGCAACTTTCCTGATTAGGCCAAAAGAGCGATGCCAACCTTTTCGTGTTCGTGCCGAGGTTTGACCAGGGTTGTCATCATGCACATGAAGAGACATGGGCCGTATACTTAACCAGGCTGCATATGCGCCGGGTTCGCGAGCGGGGTGTGAATGGAGGATCAGAGAGGCGGTCTTTTTCGTATTCGCTGTTCTCTCGTCATCTTCTCACTTTTCCTCGTCAAAGGTATGTAGGAGTGGTGGAAGTCGTCCGCCAAAACTGTTCTTTGTCCATTCATCCCAAGAGACTCCAGCAGGATATATCAACGTCACAGCGCCCCACTCCTCAAGATCATCCAAAGGACATGCTGACCTCGTTGCAGAGCTGGATTCTCTCTTCTTGACGCCTACCCATCATGCTCGACCTGATCCGCCCATGGCTCACGCCCGCCTATGCGCTCCCAGGCCTGGTGGTCTTCTGGTTCGTCTGGAAGATGCTCTCCCAGGCCTACACCACCTTTCGCGTCAGCAGCCTGGGTGCGCGTGCCCCAGTGCGAACTACGTACCTCCCTTATGGTATCGATATGCTCTACTCGCTTCTGAGCCGCGTGCTCCGGGACGAGGCGCACGAGTTCTGGTTTGATACCATGAAGAAGTATGGCAGAGGAGGTTACACCGTTGAGGCGGGGACTGGCGAGCGGGTTATCCTGACGGCGGAGCCGGAGAACATCAAGGCGGTGTTGGCGACGCAGTTCAAGGAGTATGGCAAGGGAGAGCAGTTTCACAAGGACTGGTTCGACTTCCTGGGCAACGGCATCTTCGCGGTCGATGGCACCCTCTGGCACAATTCCAGGCAGCTGATCCGGCCGCAATTCGTGAAGGACCGTCTCAGCGATTTGGAGATCTTTGAAGAGCACGTTCAGGTGCTGATGAGGAAATTGGAGGGAACCGAAGTCGACATGTTGGATATGTTCTTCAGGTTTGTTTCGAGTGACGTTCCACAGCCGCTGAGTCTGGGTTAACCGAAGCATGCAGGTACACTCTGGATGCCGCAACTCACTTTTTACTGGGCGAGAGTGTGGATAGCTTGAATCACCCGCAGACCGCATTTGCTGATGCTTTCTTCAATGTTCAGCGCGTGCAGAGCATCATTGCCAGAGTTGGGTACGTCATGATCCCCTTGCCCGTGGTGAACAGCTCTCACATCGTGGCAGCCCCCTCAACTGGCTTGTGCCGCGGAAGCGGATGGGCTTCTACGACTCTCTGAAAGTTCTCAACGATTTCGTCAATGTCTACGTGGACAAGACTCTGTCCCTTTCTCCAGCCGAACTCGAGAAGAAGACGAGTCACGACGAAGGCTACACATTCCTCCACGCCATCGCAGGCTTCACCCGTGACCGCAGCCTCCTTCGCGACCAACTCGTCTCCATTCTTCTCGCCGGCCGCGACACCACCGCCTGCACCCTTTCCTGGGTCATCTACCACCTCTCCGTGGAACCCGCCATTACTGCCAAACTACGCGCCGAGATCATCCAGACCGTCGGTCTCCAACGCACTCCCACTTACGACGACCTCAAGAACATGAAGTACCTCCAGCACATCTTGAACGAGATCCTCCGCCTCTATCCCGTCGTCCCCTTCAACGTCCGCTGTGCTCTCAAAGACACCACTCTTCCCGTCGGCGGCGGTCCCGACGGCTCCCAGCCCGTTGGAATCCCCAAGGGCACGGTAATCGGGTACTCGACACTCGTGATGCAGCGCCGTCCCGATCTATATCCGCCCCCTGAGTCAGGCTTCCCCGACATCAACAAGTTTGTGCCCGAGCGCTGGGACGACTGGACCCCCAAGTCCTGGACGTACATCCCGTTCAACGGCGGGCCCCGCATTTGCATCGGGCAGCAGTTTGCTCTTACTGAGATGGGATATACGGTGGTGAGGCTGTTGCAGAGGTTTGAGAAGATTGAGAATAGGATGAATGGTGTGGATCCCGGATTGCATTGTGATATTGTGTTGCAGCCCGCGAAACCGGTCATGGTGGCTTTCAAGTAGACGTTGTGATGCAGGGACGGGCTTTTGGGCTGGCAAAATTTCGACGTGTGCGCATCGGAGGGAAATCGAAGCGGATGGGCGTTGTGTTGGTTCTGGTTGACTTTGATAGCGAGAGAGCTACCATTTAGCATGATTGCTGATAAGCAGTTCTGACAAACAGTAACTTTGAATGTACTGTACATATCATACTTTGGGTTTCCGTGTTTTCGAAGCGGGAAGAAGTCATGTTGCCTGCGTCCCTGCGGCTTGTGACGGGATTCAATGGCATACTGCCTGGGGATGGACATGCTGTCAATTGGGGCGATTCTTCCTATCGTTGAGAGCGGCCGTGGTTAGGAGCGGCCGTGGTTAGGAAGTCGAGCTGTAAGACATATCAAAATTACAAAGATATTCTTGTTGCCCAGATACGCCTGCGCCAGAAACGCCAAAGCCATGGCGAAGGCTTTTGACCAGAATGATGCCCAAAACCTTTCCTCTATCATACCTACCGGTCCCAACGCCCGAATCCCGGATCGTGCGTTGCGCAACCTGTATGCGAGAGTGTCGTTATTCATCGTCATCCTCGTCCTGTTCATCCGTATTTGAGGGTTTTACATCCGCTTCCTCTTGATCCGCCCGTTGCTCTACCGGAGAAGCATCCCCGTCAAAGTTCGGCCTTATAACCTTGTCGCCCTTCTTCGTCAGGACCGATTCAATAAGCGGGACAGCCGACATGAGAGCATTGTACTGCTCGAGCGTGAGGGAGATGCCCTATCCAGACACACAAGATCAGCCTAGTTGGCTCGAAACACAGCTTCACATTGATCGCCCACCTTCTTCCCTGGCAGTAACTTGCCAGCATCATTTGTATAGTATTCCCGTATCCCAATCATCGTATTGCCCTTGAAGTCGCCAATGGTGACGCGTCGCAAACCGTTCGATTTGAGCTGCAACCAATCGTCAGTAACGTCTTCGGAATGAGTAGATGAGCGCATTTCGCATACCGGAACGTAGTAATCGCCCTGTTCATCCTTCTGCAGCTGCGGTACGAAGGGGGTAGTCACGTCGTCTTCTTCAGCTACGCCGCTCTTCGCCTTCTTGAATGTGCGGGGAGCGCTGTCGTCGTCGTCTGGGGAGACCCGCTTCTTGCTGTACGCTGTACCCTTTTTGAATCGCGCACCGCCTGTCATCTCGAGGGATGGATGGTAAGCCCGAAGACTTTTGTCAGTGTCTCCTGAAGTTGTGCGTCTGCGAAGTAGCTTACAGCCGTCGAAGATAACGATGAGGCGACCTCTGGATGCGCCCAAGGTTTCGGGCGACGCGTCCGTCCGAACGCGGTCAAGCGCGGTCACCTGACTATTTGTTTTCATATTATGTAAGCCGCACATTCACCCTGGTGACCAGTTGCTTGACATACGATTCCCTCTTTAAGCAGTCAATAGTGCAATTTTCTGATATCGATCCAGTTAAGGGAGCACCAGATTGGGGAGAAACGCGTTCCCCCGAGTAATCATTGGCCGACTCGAAAGCTGCGACGGGGTCACCCAGAGATAGATGCCTAGGTAGTATGCCCACACCCCGCACTCCGCAGCAAGTACAGCCCCCTTCGCACACCCAAGGTTGGGCGTACGCTTACGGGGCGAAGACATGGTCGGCCAAGTCTTCCTCGGGATGTTTCTCATCACAGGCGGATGATGGATGCCTTAAATCTGAGTACTTGCTCTGTATTCACTTATCGTGCCCCAGGAGCTGTAATTCTTAGCACTGGCCCCTATTTCAGCAGGACTCGGAATAGAACCAGTAGAAGAGAATCAACTCCTCCCGTCCAATATGGCGTCTTCACTGGAGTTGCCCTCCTCCTTCTACTGCACCCAGCCGATCGACTTCTCCAAACCCCTCGACACGGACAGTCTGAAAGAGAAAAGTGTCATCGTCACTGGAGGTGCCAACGGGATCGGCCTCGCAAGTGCAAGAGCTTTCGCAGAAGCAGGGTTAGCTTTGGTTTCTCTATGACATTACTGAAACGCACTGACACCCCCTTTCGCAGTGCCTACGTGACCATTCTAGATATCAATGAAGAAAACGGCCAGAGGGCGGCGTCTGAGCTGGGAGAAAGAGGCCTTCAGTAAAGCTCCCACTTCGGCAACTGCAACCTACGACTGATTTCCCAAGCGTTCAATTCGTCAAGACGGATACAACCTCCTTCTCTTCCCAGGTCGCAGGCTTCAAGGCCGCACTCTCCTTCTCTCCGTCCAAAACGGTCGACATCGTCCTGGCCAACGCCGGAGTGGCAGGCAGCAACTTGAAAGCGTGGCTCGAAAACGCAGCAAAGTCAACATCGGATGATCCTGAACCCCCGAGCACATTGTGCCTGGACGTCAACCTTACCGGTGTCTACTACACTGCCCACCTCTCCTTCTTCTACTTTAAGCATAACCTGCGCAAGGAGGATACGGCCGGTCCAGTGAGCAAGCAATTGATATTTGTATCTAGCTTAGCCGGATACATAGGGCTAAGCAACGTCGGCGAATACGGTGCGAGCAAATTCGGGGTTCGTGGTCTGTGGAAGGCTGTGAGACACTCGGGAGCTTTGCTTGGACCCAGTGTCCGTTACCGCTCCAACCTCATTGCACCTACCTTCATCCGTACCAACATGACAGCTGGCATTGATTCTGCCCTGGAGAAGCGTGGGATAAAGTTGGGCACGGTTGACGACGTCGTTGCAGGGGTGATGAGGGCTGCTTGCGACGAGGAAGTCAGCGGGCGAGCGATCGCTATTGCGGCAGGAATCAAGGATGCTGGAGACCAGAACTTTGATCTTTGCGATGATTGGGAAGGGCGGGATGCTGGCGGAACGCTCCTGGGCAAGATACAGGAGGGTATCCTTGGGGATATTGAAGGTTTAGGTGTTGATGCGACATGGAGGATCCATCAAGACCCCAAATCAGTATAAGCACATATCCCGGTGATATACGATGTACTCTGTTTCCAACAAGGGAAAATCGCTTCCATTACAGGTTGTACCGTCGTGCGCCGTCTCTCCAGGATTTCATAATCCTCCTGGGTCGATAACCCGACCAACGGTGCCTGGCCAACGTGCTGATAAAGCTCGCAACTGCCCAGTATCTCGCCGAATGTCACCTATAAACTATAGGAGAATGGCTTGGGAACCCTGCCTCCCCATAGTAGGGAAGACGAGAAGTAGTTGCGTATCCTCATCAAACCACATCTCTCCACATCCCAGCCCAGAGGATCCGGAATGGCAATGGAAAGTAGTTACCACGATTCGGAAGACAGAGAGTCGGAAGTCTTCATTCTGAGCTAATGGGAAGGCGTCGATAGCCGCATTGAACGTTCAGAAACGTTGTATCCATTTGATACGGCTACGCCCAGTCGCGAGGAAAGACATGTGTTGACTATGAGAAACATGCTGGATTTGATAAGAACAGCGTCCCTCTGATGGCACGTCTCGGATGGAGTAGGGCTTGATCGCCTGCTGTTGGGGGAAAGTTCGCAAGGAAACAGGTCGAAGAGGGAAATCCCACCCCAGGGAGATCCCACCCCAGGGAGAGACGGCTCCGTACCGTTCCAACAATGCGTCAGGGACGGGAAACACGCCACGGGAGGCGGGGCGATGTATCCTTCTCAACGTAACGATAGCGATATGGGAATACCCTTTCCTCAAGTTGCTGTGTGATAGCACAAGATGCTGTCGACACGCTCTTCACTCCTCCAAACTCAGACGCCCCGTGCCCAACCAAGAAGTCCACACGCCTCCAATTTCACGCGCTAGGTCTTCCGCAGTTCTGCCATCGCTGTCTTTCAGACTGCGAATGTCCGCTTTTCCTGTAAGATCGCCCCTCATAATTCCCAACTTCTGAGCCTCTTGAAACACCTCCGCTGGGAATTGGGTCATATCCAGGTTACTGGCCAGGAGCAGCAACAACCAGGCCACCTCCTGACTTCCACCTTGTACTGCAGCGTGCAAAGCGGATTGCATATCACCGATCGGATCTTGGTATCGTAGAAGCTCGTCCACATTGACCTTCCCACCATGAGTCTCTGCCTCTTCCTCCTCCCCGTCCTCCTCGTCCTCTCCTTTCAGCATGTAAACGATGGCATCCAGGTCGCCCTCGCGGCAGAATTCGAGAAAGGCGCGGCGTTTGCGGTCTTCGGGATACGCTTTTAGGTACGACTCCTCCGTGAGGAGGGGTAAGATATCGACATTTTCCTCCAACCCCCCTTCATTGTGCAACGTGCAAAGGACTTGGGGCCCAAGAGATTGTGAGGTCGTCGCGATATTGCGGCCGCAGTTAGGGCACTCGGTAATTTGATACGCTTCAAGGAGGCAAGTCCTCAATTCAATCAGCTAAGAAGCATGGAATGAGAGGAGGGAGGTCGGTACCAGTGAAAGTGGCATCCGCAGTTCAACAGCACATCGTCAGGAATTGTTTCCGGCTCGGCAGCGGGAGCTTTGCCAGAGGACGAGCCTCCCATTTCGAAGTCCTCATGTTCGTCATGCTCGAGTTCAATCACGAGTGGCTGTTGACAGCTGACACACACGGCCATCTTGCTGGATATGTTAATGTCTTCCTTGTCCGTCGTTCTCTGGGTGAGGCGCGGTAGACACCAGCTATATTTTATGGCGGGGGTTAGGTACTCGAAAACACATCCTGGTGACTTTTCCACCCCCGGAAACAACGCTAGCTGTGATCGGAATAGCTCCCCATCTCGGAACCATTCATGGACATTCACAGCTTTCCCAGTCTCTTTAGACCGTAACACCTCACCACCCGCCCTCAACAGCATATATAACGAACTAGACTCGACATTACCAGCTGTGTTAGATATCAAGTCAACTTTTACTCTCGTCTCCGAGACAGATGAAGACAGAGAAAGCCGTTGCAATTTACAGCTCTCTGAGACTGTGCAACCCTCTGTCTCTCTATCCCTTCCTCGGTGCATCGCTCCAAGGCCTCGCAGGTCTCATTTGCTTGACCATGTCCGGCTTTTCTAGATTCAAAGGCCCAGATATTTCCCCCTCTACAACCGTGCTTGATTCGCTAATCACCGAGTCTCTCTTGCCAGACGCGCTCGCTGCCACAGAAGAAGTATGCTTTGGTGCAGTAGAAATTTTTGCATATGTCTCCGGGAGTGGCTTCGCGGGATCATATATGGTTGGAATCGTTGTCCTTGGAAGTGCTGGAGCAACAGCCTGATATCCACCGCCCATTCCCAAAGCGGATGCAGTGGGCTCGAACGAGCAGCTCTTCTTCTCGCGCAAACGCCGATAGATGCCAACCAGAGTGATCATAGATGTGGTTGTTATGAGAATCCTATCACTTAGTGCCGGTCTACCAAGGTGATGAACCAAACTTGGTGACTTACCAGCTAACGCCAGCTTGAATAAGGGAACCTTTGCTAACATAGCATAGCAACGCGGTTGCAGTCAGTTCTGGGGGAGGGGACGACTCAATCGTCTTGCAAAAAGGAGCAACAATGAGAACCAGGGAAAGTGAAGCAACTAGTGCGGCTGTCGCGGATATTTTCGCACCAACATCCAACGACAGAAGAATGCTTTGGGATACTGTAAGTCTCTTGGCCCTCTGGGATAGGATACTAAACGTTCCTATGAAGACAACAATGACATTCTGCTTCGCAGTCAGTTTCCTCTAGCAAACCCATTCCAACCGACATCATACAGCGGTGAGTGTAACCCAGATTCTTGCGTTACTGCCGACAATCGATGACAGGAATTCTTGCCATTTCTTCTCGCTTTCTTCATCTAGCCGCGACATTTCCAGAATTGTGCCGCCTCGGATCCCCGCATCATCGATTATGTGCAGAGCTTTCTCTGTCAGCATGCTACGTCCCATTTCGAACAGGAGTATGCTTGCCCCATCCGCCTAGGCCGGCACCGACTATGGCGAGAATAACCACCACAGTTCTGAAGCCGGCTGAGATTGCGGCTGTAAGACCCTTCACCATGTCTTATCGCCGGAGGAACGACTGTAAAAAAAGGAATGTAAACCAGTCCTGCTGGGCGCAACTCACAGAGCGCGAGAATCAAACGAACGTCGAGGCTAGAGGTTCGAAGACGCTCAGGCTAAGGTGATATCTGGACACCATGCCTCAGTACGTACGATCTGATTATATAGCTTGCCACCTGTCAGCGCGGATAACGGAGTTTACCTGCCGAAGTTATGTGACTAGTGTCTTATAAGACTCTTGCTATCTATCAATCATGGAAACAGTCAAGCCTCAGAAAAGGTTCTACTATGCGTGGCTCAGCAAGCCTATGCTGCCATATTTCTGTACATCAGAGATAAGCCTCCGAATTATGGACAGTCCGAACCTTGATCTCCAATTACCAAGGACCCGGAGACAAGGGTCGGCGCGGTGTAGTCGGACAGGACTCATCCGATACAGGATGAACGGTCTCTAAGTGGGAAAAGGCTAAGCGTTGCATTCTAAGGGCCTCTTGCGCACGGCGACTCTTCATATGCTAACATCCTGCAAGTGATACCATCATGCGCTTGGCAGATTGGCATGATGTTGGACGTCTCAGCTTGCTCGTCGCAGAACAGCTGAAACAGTGAGCGCCTCACGCCACACTTGAAAGCATCAGAACGCCACTCCAAGACCACTAAGCCGCGGGATTTGCCTAGCATACTGCCTACCTACTTTCTCCCTAGACATTTTCAGCGCACTAGCTCTCATTGTCTGGACCGTGAATCTGATTTCACGCACCATTGCCTTCGCGGCTTGCATTAGTAGGCGCGAATCCGACAGAGATAACAGCGAACATAATCGATCAAAGTAGCACAGCTGCAGAATGGCTGTTGTCTCTCTCCATAACCCAGGAGACCCCTTTGGCCCAGGAGACCCCTTTGGTGGATCAGCTTCTTAGAACTACCCTTCACCATTGCAATCCGCCCTATCAGAGATACCGTGGGACGGAGAATGGAGAATGCTATAGTATGGAGCCCCTTTCAAAAAAAATTTCACTCGTGGGCGTGTGGGCGGCACGAGCAAAGCGGCTCGATAGCTTTAACTCCATCCCATGTGTTCCTCAGGGCCAGGGCGCTTATCAGTCCTCCCCTTAAACAAACTGCGTCTTCAAGGCAGTTAACATGATGGTCGCCAAATTCGAAGTGAAGTGAAGATGGGGCATACTATCAGTGCACAAGGACTTAAATGGAAGAAACTGGGTACGGATCGTAACAAATGCGGTCAGGAATCTCGTTATCCGTAGGACCAGTATGGAGGAGCAGAGATAAAATGCTGAACTGACCGGATATCTCGCTGCTGTGACGTGTCAACTGCTTTAAGTCACTGTAACAGCAACCTTGAACTGCCTAATGGACGAACGTCCTGTAACTGTTTTCCAGTATCAGGTCGATTTTCAATACTGGAAAATAGGAGAGAGGACTAATATAATGGGCAGTGGATAGCAAACAGTGCTGCCTATTGCAAAGGGTAGGTGCGAACGGTTTGCTTTTCTTCGAATGGCATGGATATCGGCCAAGTCAATTTAGATATTCAACTGTCGGTTGCAAAGTACAAGCACTGCATCGATATGTGGGTCATCCACATAATAACCACCTCACGGGGCTGGAAGATATGGAGATTGTCCAAAGGCAAAGCAGATGCACATAGTGAAGTAGGAAGGGACAGTACTAGGGGCTCTTGTGAATCTATTAGTAAACGAAAAAGTGGTTTAAGGGTGTGATAGGAACAAATGCATCATCAGCAAAGAGTGACTTGGTTTCACGAAAGAGGGTATTGGGAAGGAACATCCTGTCACGGAGAATTGAGAACCGCATAACCTGAACTTCTTCTTGCTAACTATTGGCTAGTCTGCATGTAATTGTCCAACAGTCCAGGTCACCGAAGGCGTACCGACAGAGGGCTGCAGCGATTGCCGCTCAGTCAAACCCGCCAACCTCCCTCAGTTGTTGATCTTGTACGAGGCGATGTTGTTCTTGGCCTTGTCGCTCATGCCTGGCAGATGCCAGTCTCCGCGGGAGCGGCCCAATTCCGTCTTGCAGTCGGTGGTGGCGTAGAGAACAACCTCAAAGTCGCCGTAGTCGGAGTACCAGTGCATGGATTCGGCTCTGTCCCTCGTGCTGGCCGAAAGCGCGGTGCATCCCTTCTTGGAATGTCCCTGATCATACCAGATCTTGTCCTTATATCCGGGTTTGTTGAAGAGATGCAGACCCCAGGCGGAGCAAAGCGGGGCGACGGCCAACAGAGCGGTGGCAATAACGACCTTCATGGTTGCAGAATTCTCGGGGCGGACCTTGATAGAAAGTCAGCCAGACGATTCTGTCAGTCGATCTCACACTGACTTGTTGTGGTCTTGACTGGATGCTCAAGCTTTCTTGACTGAGAGGTGATGTCGAGATGAATCCTGAAGTCGAGGATCACGGCGACTTATATACCTTTTTCCTCCCCTCCTTTACTCCACTTCTGATGATAACCCTTTGCTGATTTCTGAGTCCGTTCAACATCCTGGGTTCTAAACATAGCACATTTGCCTGGCCATGCGTTTGATGAGAAATCGAAATATCCCAACTCGTTCCTAAGAAACAAACAAACCGACACATACGAGCAGAGGGCTCACCGGTATCGAGAATATCGTCCGACTTCGTCCAGTTGTCTCTTGTCGGACCCCGTGGGTGAAGTCGTATTTCGTTCCTCTTTCCATTTCCTGCTCGGTTGGAGATGTTCATACGAGAAGATAACTCGTCGATATTCAGGATGGTGTCACAACTCATGTTCTTCCTGTTGAAGATGGTAAACAACTGGCGCCAAGATCGTATTACGTTGTGAACCTTCTATGTCCTGCCTAGATACAAAGGCTTAGGGTCTAGGCGATGCATACTTCGTATTCTAAATACGAGTAGTAGCGTAAGAAGCGGTTTCGCCTCAACGGACGGGCGGCTCTGGTAGATGGTTCAAATAATGTATAGGGTCTTCGGGAAATCGCTTGTTGCAGAGAAAGCGAAAGAATATGTAACGAGAATTGTCTCGATCAGTGTGTCTCTCTCTGTGCCAGCGCAACATTACATAGTATAAATTGGATTCCGTGGGTATATAATCGTGGATATCCTAGCATAGTCTTTTTAGACTGTGAACAACGTTTAAGGTACGGCCGAAAGGACCGTTATGCCCCATTTCAGCCCTAACCCCGTTCCGTTATAGCCTCACTCACGTATTGGGCGCACCTTATTAGCAAGGTGAGCTCAGCCCCATTTGCTTGGCAGGAACCCTGAAAACTAAAAGCGGACGTCCAACTTAGCCCCCTTGGCTACGTCCTCTATCCGGCGAATCCGGTGAATCAAAACTGAATCAAACAATCTAGGCAATCTCCAGGCTGAACGACGAAGCTGTTTCTCGCGGCTTCTAACAGGTTGCTTTGCAAATGAATCAAAAGGCGTGTTATCTAGGCGCCAAATGTTGCCTTGGCAAAGCCGGATTCTCGAAGACGCCGACTCCGATCGATGCTGGTGAAATGCGAGGTGTAAGTTTAGCACAACTGGCTCACATGCAGGCAGATTGTGGGGAAGAACCCCTACCCGGTATCTCGGAAGAACGGCTAGGTTGAGGGGACAGCTGGTACAACCCAATCACAATCGATGAGTCCCTGTGAAAAGCCAGGACCGACCGTCCTGCTTGCAGCATGCCCTGGGTTCGAGTCCTACTTGGCTTGTCGACCGGGCCTCACCTGTTCGGCTCAGAGCCTGTCCTTAAAGCTCCTGTCGAGAAGTTCCCGTCCACGGCGTCCGAATGCCGACAACTCACGCTGGTGGACGCAATCAGGACAGCTCGATTGGTAATGGTTTAGCTTTGTTGTGCAAGGGTCAAGGCGAAAATGATGAAGAAGATTGGGGCCTATGTGCAGTCAACGCCGACAACGTCTGAGGCTGCTCCTGATCTGGAACCTGAGACCGATCAGGAAGTGGCGAATGCAGGCGATGTGAAGGTTGAGGTCCCGCCATGTTACCCGCAGAGTTCGCGGTCAAGGCAGATGATGATCGGGGTGCGTTCCTGCGGCTGGCCTCCAGAGTGTACGCTCGGGTGCATAGCGGGGAAGAACTCTGGGGAACCCTTGGGAAGGGAAGAAGAACCCGCTGGTAAGAGGAAGCCGCCGCAAAAGACCCTCCAATGGCTTGGTGGGGTTTGGCAGGATCAAAAGGAAGAACATGGTGAAGACGGTCAAAGCAGACGTCAAGGCAGACAGAGGAAGAGGACGCAGCCGCATCGGCAGCGGAGCCGCGCAGACCCCGACGCTAAGAAAAGGAAGACCCTGAACAGTTCCTTCATGCCCAGTAGTTGCCATTTTGAGAACGGAGTGGAAGAGAAATCAGGGTGCTGATGGCGGGGTTCAGTTCGATTTCGGTTGGTGGCAGTACATACCGGCAGTACACAGTAGGCTAAGACGGAAAAGAAGACGGAAAAGAAGACGGGAAGCTACACAGGAGAAAGGACTTGGAACTCGTGTGGACAAGCCTATAAGCCGGGATTAGGACCCTGCTGGTTAAGGATTCACTCTTGGCCCGAACCTGAAGGCGCTTTTTATAGGAATATATTTGACCTAGTTGCTAGGATAACTTATGAGCTAACCGTTAAAAGAGCTAGCCAATCGGCAACTACTCGTACCACAGTATAAGGCTGTTCGTTGTCCAAAATTTACCTGTACCTATCAGTTGCCACAGCCCCTTTACACAACGCGTATAGTTGCTTGTCCACCAAAACTGGGGTCGCTTAAGGTCCCAATGCAAAGTCTGGAAACCGAAGGGGATGGGTGTCTCAGCTGATGAGAAATCATGGTCGGTCAGGTCGGCGACCTTATCCCGCCGCGTCCCGTCGACGGGAAAGATAGATATACCGCAGACAGGGGAAGGACGAACCACAGGACGAATGCGATTTTGACTGCATCCTGACTGGTGCTCACGACCTCCATCGTCCACCTCACGAACCACCTGTTCACCATGCCTTTTGCAGAATATGTACGAAGCAACCATCTCGACGTGGCAAGTCATCGCCGCTTTGATTCTTATGTACACCGCCTACGATGTTGGGCTTGCTTTGTATCATCTATTTGTTTCCACTTGCAAAGTTCCCAGGCGCCAAAGTCGCGGCTGCTACGCTGTGGTATGAGTTCTATTACGATTTCATCAAGCGGGGCAAATTTGCATGGGTAATCAGAAGAATGCATGAAGTCTACGGTCCCGTTGTTGCTTGATTTTCTCAACGCATTTCCAAAGCTAGAAAGTAAGTGTGTCAGGGTTGTCCTCAGATAACAACACAGAGAGCGCCTGGGACATCTTGTGTTCATCTGAGGGTGCAGGACGCGCTACATGAATCCTTTCAACTGCTCCTCCGTCCATGCCCAAAGCTCAGCTGCCAGCTTGTCATCCCTGGAAGCCGAGGTCCTTCGTCCTACTTTCCCCACGGGTTCGTAAAACTGACCATTCTTGATACTCTCCCTTCCCGTAGTCGCGGCCCATAGTTGGTTCTTCGAGCCTTCCGTGACGCTGACCTGTCGGCCGATAGTAGCAAGCTTGATAAAGTAGCGATAAAACGTCGAAAAACGGGATGCCATTCCTGTCTTGACGATACCAGGATGTACAGATACACTAACGATTGAAGGATAGTGCTCCGCCAGTTGCCGAGCGTAGAGGATATTCGCCAGCTTGGACTGGCCGTACCTCTTCAAAGCTCCTAAAATCCCCATGTCATGTTCAGAGCGAAGATGGGGGAAGTCGATGGTGGTAGCGAATGTGAAACCGAGAGATGTGGTGAAGACGATGCGCACATCCGAACCCGGGCTTTCTGCTGTGCGCAACAGAGTAGGCAACAGCACCTCTATCAGAAGTGCATGGGCAAGGTGATTGATGCCGAACTGGATCTCATATCCGTCTTCTGTTGTCCCTTTCGGGACGGCCATAACGCCCGCATTGCAGAAAACAAGGTCAAGACGAGAGGCTGCCGAAGCGATTGCATCTCCGGCCTTCTTTACGGATGTGAGGGAGGTGAAATCGCAAGGTATAAAGGTGACTCTGGTTTGCGTAGCAGAATTGATGGTTTGAATTAGACGGTTGGCACCATCATGGTTTCGGCCCGTGAAAAGGATATGCTCCGGGTTATGTTGGGATAGCTGTAGAACAATCTCACTGCCGAGGCCAGATGTGCCTGGAGATCTACTTCAATAAAGGAACGACCAGAGAAGAGTAGACCCTACCTCCCGTGACTAAGATGACCTTTCCGGTCAGTGCGGGGATTTGGAGTGAAGTTCCAGACTCTAATCGACCCATGACAGAGTTCTTACAGTGATAGCAGTTGTGCTCAAGGTTTGAATGTGTAATTAGAAGGCCAGGTTATCGGCACTTAACACTAGGTCGTAATTGCAGAGAGCTCACAAGCTATTTCCGACGCGGGGCTCGGTCTTGCCTCGTCCAGTCGTCGTCCACTCGTCGTCCACTCAGCTTCTAGCTTCGTACGACCTCGGAAGAGACTGACTGCATATAAGTTACTGCAAGTTTTCCATTTCCTTGTGGAACCAACTCACGAAAACCGTAAGCGTTGTCTCTGCGAATGATTATTCGTCCTGTTGGGCGTCTCGTTTCATGGAACATTTATTTACGACGTCACCCCGCTCTGACATCTTGATGCTTATTGGGTATTGGATCTCTCCTACCGTCTCCCATCCAGCCTCCCTTGGTGTCCATGAATCTTCTGATGGTGCTTAATCCCCTCGTGCGTGCTATCAGCACCTGATAAGAACCAGTATTGAGCCCTTGTTCGAAGGGGGGCCCGATTGGAGATCTCGTCAAATCAATAGATTTGTACCAGTCACTCTGTGACATCGAAAACAACCTCGCCCTCGCCTTCGGGATTCTCGAATCCTTCCCAGTACTGATCCAGGATTTCAGGCGTTATTTCCAGCGCAGAGTCGGCATCGATGCCCGCTGCTCTCCTTCGCTGGATCCGGTTCCAGATGACATCCTTGCTAGCGGGACGGAAAAAGACCAAGATCCATCTTCCTCCCTTCTCCTCCACCAGCTTCTTGAAGTAGTCGCGATCTTCCTTGCTGTATAATGCTCGATCTAAGACAATATCCCGTTCACCAGAATCCAGCAAGTCGGTCAATGTTCTCCTGATCTCGGTGTCGGCTTCCTCTGTGTACTCGTCATACTTCTCATGAGGGTAGTCGGTGCCATACAGCCCATGTTTGGCATAGACAGTGCTGTCGATGGACAAGCGAGTATAGTTTGGGTGTCGGGCAACGATAGCTTTTGCTAGTGTTGACTTGCCAGACCCGGCGATACCACATGTCATGACCACCACCGGGCGAGGGTCTTCGCGAGGGCGGGACAGCGGGAGTCGCAATTGATCCAAAACGTCCATGGAAGAAACCTTGTGTCCTGAAATGCGTCGCTCGTCCACCCTAAATGAGGCCCTTTCTATGAGTCAGTTCGAGCATTCAAAGTGTGGCGCAGCGAATGCCAAGGCGGAATATATGCTGCTGCCTCAGCGAGATGATTTGCTGGTACAGGCGTTTCGTCGATGTTCGATTCTCCTCGTCGTATCGCTATCTACATAGTTCAGTTCCTCACAAAGAAGCTTGGACTGTATACAATCACCGAAGAACACCTTACTCCCGTGACGGTTACCGTATTCGATTTCTTGGTATGATCAAAAAGCCGAAACACAGCTCTACGTATATTATTAGGATCTTGAGGAACTCTCTCGTTGAGGCTCTTTACTGAACCTTTCGAGTATATGAGTCGGGTCTTGTGGCCAGCAGCTCATAAGCTTGCGCTGACTAGGTAATGTCACGTACCGCACCTTGTCACATCCGACGAGAATACCCACATTTTGGACGCCTCCAAGATCTGCCTACACAGTACCAAGTAATTATTGAACTTGTATAGGCTGCTCGTCGTCGAAAAAGCAAAGGAATGGCTGACTTTAAGCGGATTCAGCTAATTACCTGCCCGTAAAAAGAAACCGTGCAACTCCTGCGACCCCCTGTTTTCTCGTCGGACCTTTTTTTTTTTTTTTTTTTGTATCAATATGTGTATTGAGTCTAAGACTATGACACTGCTATCCTAAATACAAGAGCGAATGCTATATGTGTAATAGGTTATAGCACGTAATAATACCTAGGGTATTATTACTACAGGAGACAACAGATAACTAAGTACAGGCCCTAATTTTTCCACTGTTCCCTATTGATCCAAGTTTTTTCAATTTTTTAAAGGTTTGCTCTTTTCTTCAGCTGTAGTTGTTTGTTCCTGGATTGAAGATAGCTCTTTGTCAGCGGCTAGAATAGCCAAGATTGGTGTTGGTAGCTAGGGAGGCTAGCTGTTGTCGGGTGTTGTTAGCTAGGAAGGCTAGCTATTGTCGGGTGTTGTTGCAGGTTGGTATTGTTGTTACCTGACACCAAGATGCCAGGCTGCTGCTCGGCAAGCCGAGGCCATTTTTTGGTATTGTCATCTGATGCCAAGGCACCAGGCTGCTGCTCAGCAAGCTGAGGCCATTTTTCTTGAGCTAGGGCTCATGTTTTTCCGGGCCGACCCTGCCTTACCCCTCTATGTGGTTTGCCTTTGACGGCTATGGGAATCGAACCCACGACCTTCACATGCCCTAGCACATGATGCCACCAGATGATCTTACCACTAGACCATCCCACCGTCTCTCGTCGGACGTGGAAAGGTGCGGTAGAGTGCGTCACCACGAACCGAGCCACCCCCCCAAGCGAGCCGTCGCGTACAACACTAGTTACTAAATATAACTATCTTCAGCAGAGTATATCTTTAGCACCTGTATATATTTTCGTGTAGTTTTTTATATAAATTCTAGCGCTGTATTACCTTAATTACTTGTAAATTTTAGATTGTAAAAATATATTGTTGTTCTGTAGAGATACTTCCTCTACTAGAGGCACTCTTTACCTATATACTGCCTGCAACACCCTCTTAGAACTTAGCTAATACCTCTTTCTGCAGTGCTGCTAAGTTACTAGTGCTTGTTAAAGGAGAGGAGGCTATTTAGAAAGCTCTTTAAGATTATTATAACTGTCAGATGGTAAGCCAGTTTATGGATATCCTATCTGGGACTGGAGAGGAGGACTGAGAGAAACTGTCTGTACCGGTACTATCTGAGGACATGTGGCTAGTGATTCTGCAGTGGCTAGTGCCCTGCACAGCCTTGGTGCCCAGAGAAGGAATATCAAAACCGGTGTCAGGCCCCAGCCTCACCCACATAAGGACACACCTGAATACAATCAGTCAACCCATCTTCAATCAATCTGTCACCGTGACATCTTCAGATACCATCAAATCTGACAATAACAGAGTCTCTCTATCCCTTAGGTGTGCAGCATTATCTCTAGGTGTTGCGCACTCTACTGCTACCTACTGCGCTGCTAGCTGCCCTTCCTGCACCTATACCTATGTCTATAAGTGGGCACTTACCTCTAAACAAGAAGATATCCTTAAAGATTATATAGACAAATACTTAAGTTTTAGTTTCCCCTTACATATGTACTATACTAGGAAGATAGCTAAGCAGCTAGCAGGAAGGAAGTTAGGCAAAAACTAGTTAACTAGATAGGCTAAATACTAAAGACTTTTATCTATTACTATAATAATACTAGACTATATATAGGCCTATAACTATAATAAAAAGAGCTTTAATAACTTTATCTAGCTTCTCTACTATATATAAAATACTTATAGAGTAGAGCCCTAGAATATCTAGAATATAGATAAAAAGGGGGTCCTACTTAGCTAGGCCTACATCACCTGCATCCTTATCCCCTAGGTTAACTTATATAAGGATAGAAAATATGCCTTTATACAGCAACCTAGGAGCTATAAGCTTGTTATAATTACTAAAGCTGTAAACACTAACAAGGAAGATATTAGCCTATTTATAGTCTTTAAGGCTAGCTACTTTTAGGAGAAGTAGATAAGGTATAAGAGCATCTAAATTAACTAGAATTTTGCTATCTTAGATAAAGGGTAGACTAATAATAAGCTAGCACTTAAATAGCTTAATATCTTTAAGCAGGCAAGCTACGTAAGGCCTAATCCTTATGCCTAGAGGCTGCTTATTATTAATAATTATAGGTCCTATATTACTAGAAAGTTCCTTAAGTTTACTATTAACTATAGTATCTATATAGTTGCCTTTTCTCTATACTATACATACCTACTCTAGCTGCTAGATATAGGCCTTTTTGCTCTATTACAGCACTACTACACCTAGGAAGTTTAGGACTATATATGCTACAGTAGCTAGAGTAGTATTAACAAGGCACTGTTCCTCTAGATATACTACTATACCTATAAAAAAGCCTTTACAGATAAAAACATTAAGAGCGCCTAGAAGGCTAGTGGTTTTAAGCCTCTTAGTAGTTGCCTATCTAAGCTATAGCTATAGTTATAGAGGGTAGAAGAAGCAATTAACAAAGCCTCTTATGTCTAGGCTTCTACAGGCAGGTGTAGAGCAGATATAACTATAACTGCACTAGATTTTTATAAGACTACTAAGTAGCTATAGACTCCTAAGAACTAGAGGCAGGCAAGCTGCCTAATTAAGGAGATTAAGACCTTTAAACTGCAGAGAGTTAATGGCGTTCTAGATACTCTAGTAAAAGTACAGGTAGATAAGCTAGCAAGGGGCTTTTAAGTAGTAGAGGCTGCTCTTACTATTAATGTCAGATTTGATAGTATCTGAAGATATCACGGTGACAGAAAGATTGAATAAGGATGGGTTGACTGATTGTATTCTAGTATGTGCTTGTATGTGTGAGGCTGGGGCCTGACACCAGTTTTGATATTCCTTCTCTGGGCACCAAGGCTGCACATGGCACTAGCCACTGCAGAATCACTAGCCACATGTCCTCAGACAGTACTGATACAGACACCTTCTCCCAGTCCTCCTCTCTAGTCCCAGATGGGATATCCATAAACTAGCTTACCATCTGACAATTAAATACAGACTTCTAGAGAAGTATAAGTACCATAAAGTTAACAAGAAGGCAAATAATAGGCGTCTGCAGGCTAAGGGCAGAGTATTTACTGCAGAGAATGCTACTAGGCTTATAAAGGAGGAAGAGGGCTAATAGCTAGCAGATAAAGCTAAGAAGTATTATAGACTAGCCTTAGAGTTGAATGCAATAAGTGTCAATGAAGTTATTGAGATTCTTAGGGAAGGCTAAGGACTATGGATAGAGTTTTATAGGGGTAGCTTGGCAGGAGAGTTGAGCTCGGATCGGGCCTGGGTCGGGCCCAGCTCTCAGCTGTCATTCTCCATCACATATCCCAAGCTTGGGCTGATAGCCCAAGCCATCACAAGAAGGCTCTTAAGGCCTATACTAACAGAGAATACCTGCTAGAAGCTAACGTAGCTACTTACAATAGGTTTATTATTAATCCTAGGGAGGCTTATAAGCTTGACAGTCTGTATTATTATGTTATAAGGGTGCACTAGCAGGGCGCGTGCCTAGTAATAGGTTTTAAATAGGATAGTAGGAGTATACAATGTAGCAGTAGCTGCTATCTATTCTAGCGCCTCTAAAACTACAAATTTAAGCTAGATACAGGCATAGATTTAAAGTACATGTCCTAAAGAGTATATTTTATTTAATATATATATATATATATTTTATAGGGTAGTAGTACAGTTATTGTGTAGTAAATATTCACTGGTGTTGGTGCACGCACTGGCTCGCTTGGGGGGGTGGCTCGGTTCGTGGTGACGCACTCTACCAAGGAAGCGCAGGAGGGCGTTCAGTCGGACGTGAAAGGCTGTCGCGACTCGTTCGCGGTGAGAGCCGTGCGAGCCGTGCGAGCCGTGCGAGCGCGACCTGTCATTGCCAAGAATGACTTCCGGATCCGCGCATCACCTGTACAAATATCACCTGTACAAAAAGCAATCACCACGGCCTGAATCCTTCCTCTCTTTTACTCCACGGTATGCACTGCATTGTCTCCCCAGGTCCGCCATGGAGGAGGAGAAAGAATGGGTGTCAGGTGAAGGCTGGATTTCGGATGAGTCGAGCTTCCATGGTATGTCTACCCAGGCCATTCCCCCCCTTGCGCCTTCACTCCGGCTGACGAGGCTCCAGGTGATGAAGAAGAGCACGAGCTGTTACTGTCAACCTGCAAGAGGGTAGAAGCAGATGAGTTCTGGTCTCACCGTAAAGGTGACCCGAACTACATTGCCATGCAAGCCCGTAAAAAGCCACCTGTTGTGCTCTATAACGTCTTCCAAGGCACACCTTCGGCCTGGCAATTGAACGAACCGGTGCAGGACTTTCTGAAGCGCCTGCCTCCAGTCACCTCTTCTCCTGCCCAGTTTGTGTGGATATGGGTTGCTAACCCATACCCGGAAGGGCGACACGCGCTGAAACCTACCAAAAGTCTAGACTTCGTCCCACGTGGGACACAGTTGCTTGAGCAAGCTAGGCGGGATCGTGAGAAGATTAGCCAGGGAAATGCTCGGAAGGCCGAAAGCACGCTGCGAAAGCTACTCAATCAGCAAGCTGAAGCTCTCAAACAGAGGATCGTTGATCTAGCAGTCGATACAGAAGTACTCTCTGGAAAGGTAATGGCTCATACCACTTCAAACGCCGTCTCATACTGATATTGGTAGTGGATGTTGTTCCCTGCACTGGACGATGTGCCGCGAGTCTGGAAATTGATTGTCGAAGGAACCATCAACAATCGTCTCGGGTTCGCAGCAAAGGTCGCGACCGACGAAATCGACGGTGACAGCCGACTCATATGCGTGTACACGAAGGATTTCCGTGACAACGAAGACGTGCTGCGCGTCCTCAAAGAGCTGGTTTCTCTGGGCCTGGTCAACTCGGGTAAAGCCATCTACTACAAATGCGATGCGTACACGCAGCTCGAGATCTATGGAAAAAATGCGTATGGGTTGCCAGCCAGCGTGTATTCCAGCCAAAAGATGCATGCTTCAGCCAAGTTTCGTAAACAGAGCTCTGCCCCGGGAAAGAAGCAATCGACGCTCTCCTTCGCACGTCAAGCCCCTGCTCAGAAGCCGTCCCAGGCCATGTCAAAGAACTGAGAACTGTCGGCCATCTCTGAATAGGGGTAAGCGGCAGCAGTACCCTTGAGGACGGAAAACCCTTGTTCGTCTTCCCCATGATACTCAGCTTCACTCATAGGATGGACATGTTAGAGTAAGGGCGATAGGATGGAGACGGGAATCGGAAGTGGGCAATACCTTTGTATGTATATGACAGCTACTGTGAGTAAATAACTGTTCACTAGATGAGGTTTAACAATTTGTCCTCGCACGCACAGGGTCCACATGATTGCCATATGCACGTGTACACGTCCCGTACGCCGACCGGGAGCTATCATCATAGTGCCTCTCTAGGGGCAGATACTGTGTATGGTGGTTGGCGATCTGGCCCGGATGCCCAGCCCAAGATTCCATTACTCGATCATAACAAGGTCTCAAGACCCCCGTCAACTGCCAGCAGCATGCTTCGGGAACTAGTCGGCATGGAAGAAGATGTTCGCTTCATCCACTCCGGAGAAGAACAACAAGTTCCGTGACTCGATCACGACTATTTTGATGGAGGAATGATTGGGCTGCACTTAGAAAGGAATTTTCCTTTTTTTTTTTTTTTTTTTTTTCCTCTGGTAAGCCTTGTACCTGACCCGTGCCTAGTTCACCCGGCCACTGTCGGAGGACGCCGATGGTTGCCGAGCCCTGACTGGACGGCTCTATCGTGTACATCACCACCACACGACTTCTTGGCGGCACCCGTGACTGGCATGGATTGCGTCGCGCCTTTGGGAACAAAGGTCCGCTGTGGGAACAATGGTTCTCATGTTACAGTCTGCTGGTGTTTCTCAAAGGAGATGGAAGAAAAGATGGCCCAAAGACCGAAAATGCTTCCATCCTAGTGGCGTCGCCGCAACAAAAGCTGTACCTACACCGCCTGGGCCAGCCGGTCTCGGCGATGTATCGACCATGGACTCCTGTCGCTCTCGAACGATAATACAGGGGTGGGCTGCATGCATCTTTACGGGATCGAGAGCTACAGTGTACATGGACGTGAAAAAGGGCATCGTAGCGCATTTCCTACCCGGCCCTAAGCCACATGGTCTCGATAACGCCTGATTTCTCCGCCGCGAGTTTCTATCGAGTAAACCCTCAACATCCCCACATTCGGCCGACAGGGGGATAGGTCGAGGCTTCGAGGCTTTGACACAAATAGATTTAGCTGTCTACTAATATAATAGTAGGAATGGAGTTTCTCAAAAAGGGCAAGGCTTCAGCTTCTCCGCTCTTCAAAAGCCGCCCGCCTCGTCCCTCGCTCTTTCGCGCTCCACTCTTTTAGAGTCTTCATCCTTCCGCTCGTTTGCTCCACAAAGACCGCATTATTGTACTTTCGACTTTGATTTCCGTGCCGCGTTTGGGACACCACGTTTGCTTATCTTGCTTATCTATCTATCCTGCAGCTCTTTCCGAGCCCCGTATAACTCACATACCGAGCGTCCCCGAGTCTATATTACGCCTGCCTCTCCGCATTTTTGGCCATCGCTCAAAGAACACCGAAGTTCGAGAATTCTGATTCCAGCGTACTCCTGAATCATGGCGTCTCCTGCTGTCACACCTCCTCCGGTTCCTCACAGCGAATCTCCCCATCCCATCACCGTCCTGACCTCCTCCAGAGCGGTGATAGCGGGCCGTCTCACCGAAGGAACCATCGTTATATCCAACCTGACCGGAAAGATTACGGCAGTCTTCCACTCCATACTCCCGGCCACCGACTTCCCGGATGGAACTCCTTACCGGAACTACTCTCCCCACATCTTGCTCCCTGGTATCGTCGATGCTCACGTGCATCTCAACGAACCTGGTCGGACCGAGTGGGAAGGATTCTGGACGGGCACTCGAGCTGCAGCATTCGGAGGTGTAACGACTGTCGTGGATATGCCGCTGAACGCTATCCCACCAACGACCACAGTCGCCAACCTTCACACCAAGCTTGAGGCTGCCAGGGGCAAGTGCTGGGTCGATGTGGGTTTCTACGGTGGTGTCATTCCGGGGAATGCAGGAGAGCTCAAGGCACTGGTCAAGGAGGGCGTAAGAGGCTTCAAGGGGTTTTTGATTGATAGTGGTGTATGCAAAGCCCTGCTGCATAAACACTAGCTGGCATGCCGAGGCTAACATGCTTAACAGGTTGAAGAATTTCCCGCTGTAAAACCGGCGGACATCGAACTGGCTCTCACAGAGCTCAAGGATTCGGCGACTACGCTGATGTTCCATGCAGAGATGATACCTCCCATCACTGCTTCTGTGGGTGATGACGTCCAGAGAGAAAACCCGCCCATGGCCCCAACTGGTCCTCTTACAGCCTACCAAACCTTTCTCGATTCACGACCGCCGTCATTTGAGACTTATGCCATAGCCGAAATCCTATCTCTCGCTCATCTGGCCCCGGATCTCCAGCTGCACATTGTGCACTTGTCCGCAATCGAAGCCATCCCTCTCCTCCGCGAGGCCCGCAGCAAGGGCGTCAAGATCACTGCCGAGACTTGCTTCCACTATCTTTCGCTCGCGGCCGAGAAGATCAAAGAGGGCGACACGCGGCACAAATGCTGCCCGCCTATCCGCGAGCAGAGCAACCAAGATGGCTTATGGGAAGAACTCCTTCAGGATAGGGCTGACGGTGTGATCAAGACGGTCGTGTCCGACCACTCACCGTGCACGCCCAACATCAAACTCTTACCCGCTCACCTCGCGCCCAAGAAGCAGTACAAGCGGAAGACCGGCCACACGGGCGAGTGCGACAGCTGCGAAAGCTCCGAAGGCGAGGAGCAAGGCCCCGAAGAGAAAGGCGACTTCTTCTCCGCCTGGGGTGGCATCTCCAGCGTGGGTCTCGGCCTGCCCATCCTCTGGACCGAGGGCACGCGGCGCTACGGCGACGACTTCAGCATCGAAAACGTCGTCCGGTGGTGCTGCAAGAACACGGCCAAGCAGATTGGACTGGAGAAGAGCAAGGGCGACCTGGCGATTGGATTTGATGCGGATATCGTCGTCTTCGACGATCAGGCGGAGTTCGTGGTAAGTTTCTTGTCCCCATCGGCCATCATCACGGGAGCATGTGCTAATAGATGATAGGTCGAGCCCAGCACGATGCTGTTCCGCAACAAGGTGTCGCCGTACGAGAACAAGACGCTCAAGGGCGTCGTGCGCGAGACTTGGCTGCGTGGTCAGCGCATCTTCAGCCGTGAAGAGGGCTTCAGTAAGGTCGGCCCTGTTGGCAAGTTGCTGCTCGAGCCTAGGAAGATGGGTCACTGAAACCTCTCATCATCCTCGTCCTCCCTGGGTACGTGTCATGGTCGGATGGTTTCTGCCCTGCTGTCTCCTCAGTTTATTTTCATTTTCATTTTTCATTGTCTTTTCCTGCTTTCTCCGAGGCGATTCAGCTTGCACGATATCATTGCATAGAGGCATGGGCGTTTTGCGGGGGCCATCGGGTTCTCATATGCATTCGCATTTTAGCAACCCTTTCTTTGGTTACGGGCTTCTTCTCATCAGCGGCACTTTCCAGTAAGCCTTGCGATTTCTTCTTTCCTTTCCCGCATGCCGATCGAGTCTGGGATGATAATAGGTTCGATTCACATACCACTCGAAGTAGTGGCAAGATTTTCGGCGATGGATTGAGTGAGCATCATAGCATAATTGGGAGCGAGCATGTTGTAGCTAGCGATATACCCTAGCGATTCTGCGTCTTTGATAGGAACTTTTACTTCTTAGCGTATCTGAAGTCTTCTCAAAGGCAACCGTGCAAAAGGTCATCTCGGACATTCAGTTCCAGCACTTCACAACAACGCGGTCATTTGAGGGTCGAGGGAGTTAGCGGATTTTCATTGATGAACAGACATTAGATGATCCTATCCAGCCCATCCATCATTTCCTTGTCATGAACTGCCGTGTCCCATTTGTCATCCACCGCCCCTGGCAGCGAATTTACTTGGTCTCATCAAAGACGTAGGTCAAGTGGCAGCGGCCGCAGTACTGGCGGTTATGCATGGCCGCCATGAAGACACCGGCACCGCACTCGGCGTTGGGGCACTCCCTCCGGAGGCGCTCAATCTTGCCATCGCCATCGACCTTGTAGTACTTGAGGACGGCGAGCTTGGTCTTCTTCCTCTTGTGCTTGATCTTCTTGGGGGTGGTGTAGACCTTCTTCTTCCTCTTCTTGGCACCACCGCGCAGGCGGAGGACCAGATGGAGCGTCGACTCCTTCTGGATGTTGTAGTCGGAGAGGGTGCGGCCGTCTTCGAGCTGCTTGCCGGCGAAGATGAGGCGCTGCTGGTCGGGGGGGATGCCCTCCTTGTCTGCGCTCCGTTAGTCACAATACTTCCACACGAGACTTCCTACTCAAAACGACGTACCCTGAATCTTGGACTTCACATTGTCGATGGTGTCCGAAGACTCCACCTCGAGGGTGATAGTCTTACCCGTGAGGGTCTTGACGAAGATCTGCATCCTGTCGCAGAGTGTTAGCACGAGCAAGGACGTGATTTTGCGTCAAAGAGGGTACCAACCTGGGCAATACCGATTACCTTCCTCAGATGCGGTTGCGATGCGGGAGGAGGCGAGTTCGAGGGTTTTTGAGGGGCAAAGTGCGCCCGACATTACTCATCTGCCGAGGCGCTAGCACTACTAGCGTTAGCAAGCAGAAAGTGTGGCGCAGGCGTGGCGCAGGCTGCAGTTGCCCGGCGCGACGGGCTTGTCGTTTGTGTATTGACCAGCTGCAGGGCATCCGTCAGCCTGCCAGCAACTCCACTAACTACCCACTACCCACCCACCTCGTCACCTCGAAACTACATCACCACTATTCGTTTCTGCTCCACCGCGAGCCCTTGTCTGTCTCGACTGAGTCGGGTTTAAAAGAAACTCAGTCTACTTCCTTTATACTGCTGGGTTTTGGGCCCCGGGCCCCGCACTACTTACTGTGAGGCAGGTTGAGAGACTGCACTTGTACTGAGGAGACCATAAGGATACCATCCGCCCGGCGGACGCCGCTTGCACTGCGTGAGGTGTGTAAAGCTGAGAAGGGACACAATGGCATTGCAGCTAATGACGGTGCAGTTTCGGGCCTAACAGGATTCCCCATTTCCTTGATAAATTCCCCCGGACTCAGACCTGCATACAACATGCTGTCCACAAACGCGCCCTCGAGCATTCAACGCCGGACCGTTCTCCATCGACGCCAAAACTCCACCCCGGCAGCTTTCGAAGGGCCCACAGTACGACCACTTCCCACTAACCTACGACAACAGCGACAACATCGATCAGGCATGAGCCTCGACTTGCGAGGGCTCAACCTCGAAGCCAAAGTGGAATCTCCTCTATTGCCTGGGGGAGACAGTACGGTAAGTAATACTAACCTAGGACAACCCCAACAGCATTTTATGCAAGTAGCGCAGCCGCACAGCCAGCCCCAGCCGGGCCTCCAGGATGCCTTTGTGCCGTCCCCAGTACAGCAGTCTCTCCCCTCGCCTCGGACACCGCACCGGTCTCTGAACCATGACCGGTCTCAAAAACACCTCTCCCAAACTCCGCAGCGACTTCCTCAATCCCCTACAAAGACCCCATCAGAGGAGGAAGTGAAGGAGTTGCAGAGACATATACAGTCGGTATACGGCTCGTATGCGCAAGTCTTCATCAACATCCTTCCCACTCCAGCAGCGACTCCGCAGAAACCGTCACGGTTAGCGAACCAGCTATCTGCGGAGCCCCTTCCAGCACTCATGTCTTCCAACTTTGGAGATATCACGACCGTCAATCTGGAACCCACACCAAGTGCGATGACGTTCGACTTTGAGAATCCCGATGCAGAGGTGGAATATGATTCTTCATCGTATTATACATCAGACGCGTTATCTCCATCACCAGCCTCGTCGCCTCGTCAAAAGACAATTCAAACTTCCTTGGAAGATATCAAAGAGGAAGCTACGCAAGAAATGTCTTTCTCACAACCACCGGCATTGCTTCCATCAGCTATGGCAGCAAGTGGGATGGGAATGCCGTCATTTGTCCCAGCCTCTCCGCTTCGTGCTCCGCTTCCCATTGAGCTTGAATTGAATGCTACCTTGGAGTACACCGGAATCTCGCCCGAAGAAGTGCAGCGATATATTAGTGAGCAAGACCCCGAGACTGGAAAATGGACCTGTCTCTATCCCGACTGCGGTAAGGTGTTCGGCCGCAGAGAGAACATCCGCTCCCACGTCCAGACCCATCTCGGGGACAGGCAATACCGCTGCAACGGATGCGGTAAATGCTTCGTCCGTCAACATGACCTCAAGCGCCACGCAAAAATCCACAGCGGCGTCAAGTCCTACAAGTGCCCCTGTGGAGCTGGATTTGCGCGCCAGGATGCTCTCACCCGTCATCGCCAGCGCGGCATGTGCGTGGGCGGCTTTCCCGATGCCGTGAGGCGGCCAGCGAAGCGAGGGCGGCCGAAGAAGAATCGGCCTGGTATGGAAGAAAGGGTCAGCAAGGCGGCGAAGACGAGACGGGCACTTGCCTCCGCAGCGTCGTCAATATCCGCCGGCTCACCACAGTCTGACTCTTCGTCCGCGGGAAATTCACCACCGTCGTTGGATGAGTATGAGAATCCAGGATTGCAGAAGTTGTTGAGTGGATTCTGCAGTTTCGATGATAGTATGAATGTGGTATCGGACCCTTTCACGTGAGTATTTGTCTGCCCTTGTGCCACATCGCACTGGTACTGATGTTTTTCAAGTAGTTATTCCACCTCAACTTCGTTCGACAACAGCACAGATATCCAGCCTGGAAGCTTGGAAGCACCCCTGTCCTTTGCAAACGACACTGTCTCTTCAGCAAGTACCAAACAGGACATCAGCCGTTCAACGCACACACCTCCCATGTCACCAGCCGATCCCTTGTCCATCACCAACTGCACCACAACCTCGGCTTCCAACCCCCAAAGTACCTCCAACGCGATTCCCACGGCAGCAGACTCATTCCAGGCCAATATTGATCCCGCCCTCAAAGCACCCTCCACGCCCTCGAGATCCTCCATCCACTCGAACCCATTCAGCACTCCGCCAACATCGCCCGTCGAGCCCAAGGACCCGCTCGACGGAATTGACATGTTCGGCACCATTACCGATGGGTCGCAGTTTGAGCTGGAGATGAAGGCCATGGGGGAGAGTGAGTACTCTGTTGGTCTTGGAGGTTTAGAGAGCGGGATTGGAGCGAGTGGATATGAATTTCTGAACTTTGACTTGTAGCTTTGGGGCCTCTAAAAGCTGAGAAGGAAGACAGGAGGAACACCAAGGCACCACGGGGTTATCTAGGGATGACTGAAGGCTTAGGACACGAGCTTGTATGATATGCTTGGAACGACAGTTTTGCAGGCCTTCCAAAGGGCCGCAATGAGCCCTGTACGGATGAATGTAATGACGAGGGCGTTTACGGTCTGGGATGTATGGTCTGCTTTTAGTCAGGGGCATCTTGTGCGTATCTGCTGCCTGTTTGCCAAGTTGGCGGGATAGCGATTGTGATAGGGTTTCGATCAATTATGACAGAATGGCTTTGTATTTGAAATGTTTTGTGTCTCTGGAGAGCCTTCTTTTTGTTTTGGTTTCGTTGAGATGGATGCAGGTGAATGGAACTGGATCGCTTGGAGGGCCGTAATTTGGAATCAATTGGTTCTTCGTAACATGGAAGAGGACTTGCATCAATCTGGATAACCCATAGATATATGCCTACGTGAAAGAGGTCACGGACACATGACAGCGCTCCCCCCTCTTGACGTTTGAAAAGAGCCACTATTCGGTCAACTCGCTCGGCTCACGCACACACGCAATCGCGCACGACTCAAAAAGCAAATCAAAGCAAAGCAGAGCATCTCCTTAATGCTACCTAGCGACGCCCTCCTCCCTCCGGCCCTGTCTGTACATTCATTCCATTCCAAATGAAAATACTATACAGGGGTAAAGGGGTAAACCTCTCCCAAACCCCGTCTATGAGTCCACACAAAAGGGAAATAGGAAAAAGGAACGAAGAGGCAAGGGGATATCTCGTACCAGAACAAGCTCGAGGACGTAAGAAAGCTCATCGAAGAAGGATAGGGCAAGACAAGAATATATATATAATAACCAAGAAATATAAATCAGACGGGCCGGGCCGTGAATCCCATCGGATGAGTAAGTAAACATTCCCAACCCCATTGTCCCTGATAGGCCTGCCTGCCCACCCACCAACAGACCTCCTACTAGCCGATCCTATTATAAATGGAAGGGGCACAACTACCAGAGTGGCGTCATCACACCAGCACCCACTCGCTCCCCCTCTTGATGAACTTATCCAGCATCAGCGTAACATCGTTCAGCACAAAACGGCACACGTAAAACCCAAAGAACTCGGCTGCATGCCGCGCCGACAGCTCCAATCCCACATGCGTAGGCGACGAGTGCTTGAGGCCCGGATCTTCGACTTGGCGAGCGATTTGGTCTACACCGCCTCTCATCAGTATTCTGTGCAACAAAACTTGAGAAGCAGATTGAAGAGAGATTGCTTACCCAGAATCTGCACCGCATCAAACAACCTCGCCAGACTACTCATATACCCGGCATTGGGGCCCTCAAACACCACGCTCGCGACATCGCGCTTCGCAAAGCGGATATTGGGAAGACTCGTCATCGGCAGCGTGGCCATGGTCAGCGAGTCCTTGGGCACTTCTCCACCTGCCGCTTTGCCTCCTCCTGCCATGCTACTGAGACCCACGGCCGATCCCTTCGATCTCAGTTTCCGCCATGAGGTGAGGTACGATTTGCTCTGCGACACTGCGCTCTTGGGGGCATGGTCCTGGGAGCCGTGAGACCCCTTCTCCGAGGTGTCGCCTGTGCTGGAACCAATTCCGACGGTGCTGGCGTCCTTGAACAAGACTGAAACGCCATGGACTCCCACCTCATTGCCGAGCTTCTTCGTCAGCTGCGTCTGCACCTGATCGAGGACAAGTTCCAGCGCTTGCATCTCTTCCAACACGGCGTCCGCATCCAGCGTGTCGACCGTACCGAGCCGTTGCAATGCCGCTGTGAGTAAGTCACAGTTCGCAATCTTGTCGTCGATATTCTTCAGCTTGACGCCCTTTACCCGCCAGACATCGCGAGGTATGAATAGCTTGGTGGAGAGATATCCGCCGCGCGGATGTGCAATGGTCTGGTAGAAACACCGCATAAGCCAGAATGGCCTGAGAAGATATGAGTCTGGACACGGTTCGAGTGGAATGGGGGCATTAGCGACCGTGGCACTCGGAGAACCTGGTGAATACGGCGAATGTATGTCGCTTTCGAACAGGTGCATGCCTCCGCTCGGCAAGCCATCGACATTGAATGTGGGAACACTAGGCGTTGGCGCTGGTGCCGTGGTAGCGCTTTGTTTTCTTGCACCGGTGAAGGAGAAGGTAGTGCTAAGAGGGGTACCAATGGATGCATCGGAGCCATCAGGACTTGATATTGACAATGTTCTCTGCTTAAGACTGAGAGATGATTTGTTCTTTTTGATTCCCAGTCCAGCCCCCTTTCCGGTTTTTGGTGAACTAGGAGCAACGGTCGTGTCATTCGTCATGACATGGCTGAGGGCGGGCGTGGCTGGGGAGACGGTGAAGGCGGTGTCGGCAGGGCTTGGGATGGGAGGTTGTGGTGATGGCGCACGCAGGGTCGTCGGGTGTGGTATCTGCGGTAATGCTGTGAAGGTCGAGTCCGATTCTGCTGTACTCTGCGTGGTGGTGAATGCTGCCGCAGCGGCGGTCTTGGGTATCTGTGGCACATCTACGCGAGGATCCTTCTCTCGAACGCTGGGTTTGTCCGTGTTCGGAGCGGGTGGAACAGGAGGTAACGAAGTTTCGATCTTCAATGTCCTCGCATTCTGGCCGGATAGACGCCGGCTCCTCACGGACGCCGTCTCTTTAGCTATGTTGATAGGCTTTGGAGTAATTTCGGATGCTTCACCTGCCGCTACTTGTGGCTCTGGCACCGGAGGTAGGGGCAGAGGCGGTGCAGGCACCGGCGGCGGCGACTGTTCAGGCGCAGCTTGGGTGACTTCAGCCACTGTAGATAGAGATGTTCCAGCCGTCGTCCGGTGGGAGGACGATGAGCTATGGTGCGTGCTCCTTGAGAAACCAGAAGAATCAGATTGTCGCGGCAGTGAGGACTTGGTTTGCAGGTCGAAATCAAACCCCTCCAGCATATACTCCCTCGTCATCTCGTCAAGCAAACGCTCCTCCTCTTCCGCTTCCCCCTGGAAATCGAATTCGGCGCTCTCGCGCACATGCGGCAATGCCTGTTTCCGCACCTGTGATTCGGCATAATGATACTTGGCAGCCGCTATGACTTGGTCGCGTTCCGCCTCATCTGCACGCTCTTTCGCCAGCTCGATCTCTCTCGGACGGGCTGTATTACTCTCGGCAGTGTCCATTGCATCCTCTTCTTCGTACGGCTCGTAGCCATCATCATAGGCTGCTTCCACGGCGGCATCAAACGCGGCGTCGAAATCAGTGTCAGTGTTCCCGCTTACGGCACGAAGGTGCTTCCTGCGTATACCCCCAGGTGAAAGCGAATGCACAGAGGAATCGCAGGATGAGCCGCCGGATTCATCAATGGTATCCAGCCAGGATGTGGATTCGTTACTGTTCCCCCTCTTGTGCAAGGGTTGGTAGGCTCTGTCTGCCGTGAGGAATGTGTTTGAAGAAGTGGATGCCAAATCCGGTCGCGACGAGAGTAGGGGTGAGGACGGTCTCCTGGGAGATAGCGGTGGGGGCATATACGTGCGATCCATAGGCGACTCCAATGGCGTACCCAAAGAGGCTCCACTGTCTCCTCGCAGGCTAGGCGCAGGCTGAAGATAAAACGAAGAACTGCGCGGGATGGTCCTTTGGACATCACGAATAGCCGTCGAGATGACGGATTCGCGAACACCGCCGGCTTTGTCATCTTGAAAGGGCAGGTGCTTTGAAGAAGGTGAATCGTCATCATCGATTGAGCGGTCATTGACTATCCTGGTCATGGTGGCCGTCTGGATCATGGCAGGTTCGTCGTCGTCGTCGTCGTCGCCGCCATCATTGTCCCCGAACAACATGGATCGTTGCTCATCTAGAGATTCATTACTCATGGGCCTTGCCGGAAGGGACTTTCCGGATGATGGATATCCAGGTTGCTGTCGCCGTAGCTCCTCGATGCGATTGGTATATGTTACTCGCTGTATTACCCATCAGCATGGAGTCTACAAAACTTGGGCATATCGGAGACTTACTATAGCATCCAGTTTGCGGCGATCTTCCTCGCCGGGGCTCCGTATCATGACCTGCTGCAACAGCCTGCACGCATCCCCATAGGCCTCAATAGCACCTTCAAAGTTCTGGGCATTGTCCAGCAGGACGGCAGTGTTTGCCTTTGCTAGCGCCCGAGAAAGCATGGTCTTCTTGTCCTTTTCTCTCCTCTCCCGCGACCGCGGAGGGGTGCCCTGAGGGCTGTCGTCTAGCCTAGCACTGGCGTTGCTTTCGCTCCTGTATCTCGAGCTCTGATCTTTGGAGGCAGCTGGCTCCCGCCCCGTACTTGGTGCTGGCCTCTGGCTCGTCTCCCTTGTGCTGGACGTCGTAGGGCGAGGGGGAGGGGCTGTTCGCGGATTGGCCAGACTGGACTTGTACCTTGCTTCGGACTCGAGCACACCAATCGGAGGCGAGCCGAGAGGCGACCTCCCTAAAACTTTGTCCGCTTTACTGCGTGAAGGGGAACGCTGAGAGGTCTGCGCGGCGGGAGCGGGCTGAGGCTTCGAGGAGAAGTAATCGGTGGTGGGATTGGACGTGTAGGAGAACAGACCAGCCGAGGGAGAGCCGTTGGAGGAGAGGGTATTAGGAGTGCTGGGGGAGAAGACGGTGGCAGGAAGGATGGGCAGAGAAGGGATCTGGGGCGCTGCTACAGACGAAGGCGGCGGGGGTTGAGGAGAGCGTGGCCTTGGACGTCGCTGAGGGCTCGAAGTGGGTGAGCGGGATGTGTGAAGGCGAGCGGGATGCGAGGTTGGGGCTTGCGGATGGGAGTGTGAATGCGAGCGGGGAGGTGCAGTGGCTCCATTGACTGCGGACAGCGTCGTCGAGGCGTAGACGGTGCTGGGGAGAAGAGGAGCAGCAGCAATTGAGGAGTGGGAATTGGAGTGTGAGGGTGGTTGTGCCGTATCACGCCTGGCGCTGGCGTGCGTGGTTGGACCAGGAGGTGGAGCAGAGGGCCCAAGGTTTGTATGGATATGGATATCAGGAGGGTTCGCACCAGGGCCAGCGCCAGCGCCAGCGCCAGCGCCAGCGGCGACGGCGTCGGCTTGTTGGAGGGGGAAGGCGGCAGCGCTAGAGCGACGGCGCTGAGAAGGCGATGTGGTGGTGGTGTTGGTGGCAGAGGTCTCGGTGGTGGTGGTGTGGGGTTGCGATGGGGACGGATCCGGGATGTTGCTGGTGTCGCTGAGCAAGGCGGCGGCCGACGACTGCTTGTACGAGGACGATAAGAATGGCGACACGGCGTCGGTCATGATGACAGTCTCGGTGGGGCCGCGGTCCTCTCTTCTCCCGTCGCCCATGTGCTGCTGTCTCCAGGGCCGCCCAGTGCCTTTATGGTGCCTAAGAAGGTGTGCCCGCGGTAGGCCGGCTTCATGCGCGGGCGTGCATCACGGCGGCCGCTGCAGGGAACGCGCTGTGGACGGCGGAACGGCGGATGGGCGGACCTTGGGCGGACCTTGGGCGGGATGCGATGCTGTTGTGCGGTCGAGTCTGGCAGCGTGTGCAACACACGGCGAGGGAGCGAGGGAGCGAGGGGACGAGGGGTAAAGGGGGTGAAGGCTGACTGGAGGAAAAGAGGGGAAAAGGACTCTGAGGGTATCGTACAAAGTAAGTACTGCGGTGGTGCAAAGTGTGGAGAAGAGAAGAGAAGAGAAGAGACTCATCAGATCAGCGACAGTCTCTCCTCTCTCTCCTCTCCCTCCTGGATTCCCAATCCCGCCAAGCCTCCCTTTCCACCTGCAGGCTGGCATGTCAGGAACGTGCGCAGGTGCAGGGGCTTGATGCCGCGCACGTGCCCCGTGTCTGACTATGGAGTATAGGTACATGTAAAATATACAGTAGAGTAGATAGTACACTACTCTGTACTTATCACCGAGCTACTCCGTTCAGAGCACCTCATCAAACCCAATCGCTACTGGTAGACTACTACTACTCGAACCAGTCATCAGACATAGTCCCGACCGACGACTCCCTACTCTGTACTGTGTAGCCGACTGGTCATGGCCATGATGCATTTCTCATTTAGTTGTCGTCCCTAGCAAGACGCAAGCCCTCCAGGTGCTGCGTCACATTACATATATCTCTCCTTATATGTACCTACTCGGTACCCCGAAAAGCACTGCATGGTGAAGAATGCAAATGGCTTGGCAGGGCTGACGATAGATCCGAGATTCACTCTTGGGCCCAGCCTCGCCGACTCCTTGTGCGTTTTGGTTGACAGGTGACATCCTCTTGATTTCTGGTGTGACCTCCTCGCACTTCTTCAATCCCCCATCAAGTCCTCGTCATGAGCATCCATGGCCGCTCCCGCTACCTCCACGTCTTCATATTGTCCCAGATCCATCGGATCTCCTGCCGTCGCCGCTGCTTTCTTGTTCTGTCGCACCACATACTCGACATACTCGTCTTGCACCCCGACTCGGTAGTGCGCACTCTGTACTTGTTGCGCCAGCTTCTGCGTCCTCTGCGTCTGCTCCACGAGTGCCTGCTGCTGCTGCTTCTCGCTCTTGGCTTGCGGTCCTTCCCTTGCGTCCATGAAGAACCGGAGCACCACGCCCATCTCCGGCTTGCTGCTGCTCGTTTCCAGCTTCGCGTTGATGTACCCTTCCCTGATCAACTTCTCCAGGTACCCGGCTAGCTCGTCGGATTCTAGCGTCGCGTCCCATGAGCTGATCTTCGAAATCGGTATGGCCGAGTAGGTCTGTGATAATTGCGAAATGAAGATCCGGTACTGCCCGTCGAGCAACTCGTTGACTAGGCCGTAGTTCCCATCCTGCGTCTGTCAATTCCCATTGCCCTTGGCATCCACTGGGGAATATGTGTCCAAACCTACCTCGAGCCAAGTGTCGCGCCCTGCGTTGATCATTGCCCGCAGTTTGCGCACATTCCCCCGGTTTTTGAACGCATCCGCGAGCGCCTCGTAGGCTTTGGACACGGCCTTCACCGCTCTCATGGCAGCATTATTCGTACTTCGCGGCAATGGCGGGACCTGCGGCGGGTTAGCGTCTCTGAAAGAGTGATTCACTCTCGGGCCTTCCACGAACCACACCATCCACCAGACAGCTGAGCAGCAACCACTTCTTATAAGCCTCAATCAGGAAGCCGTTGGCTGCCCCATTACTGTATGGCATCACCAGCACATGCTCCACAAAGTCCCTAGCCTTTTTGAACTTGCGCAGTCCAAGGTATGCCGTGGTCCCCAGGAGATAATACTCCTGCACAGCCTGTATAGTCACCTTCCCTGCGTGACCCGACCCAGCTTTGATGTATTCCGCGCTACTGTCATGATCTTCTGCCGGAGCCGAATATTCCAGACTCTCGACCAAGTCCGGTATGGACGGGTTTACAGCGTGGATGTAGTTGGCGAGAATCGGTTCCGCGGCAGCATAGTTTCTCGTTTCCACACATAGTTGGACGAAGCACAGATGCGCCATGGTGAAGGTACCAGTGTTAGGATCGAGTCGGTAGAGCGCAGAGAGTATTGGTTCTATGGCGGCTTCGGGCTAGAGCTGCATTAGACAAGTGACGGACGTTGGGGGAGTCTTCTGTCTGTAAAGCAACGTACCGTTCCCGCAAGTCGTGCCATAGACGCGACAAAATCAACAATATGGCTCCACTGTTCCCCAACATATCGCAGCTGCACTGGATCCGCATTCTCGAGGAAGTGGCATATCAGCTTCCATATATTTCCACCAGGCCTGAAGGAATCCGACGCTGTCGACGTTGACGGCGCAGTCGCAATACGGGCGAACAGAGCATATGCATACACCATCGTATGCACCGAAGGGTCTAGCATCTGGGTGGATCAATATGGCTGGCTGCCTCTCGCGTTGCTGCAATGTGCTTACCAGCAACACGTCCTGTGCCGTTTCCGCACCTTTCTTGAAGCTTGTTAGTGTTAGGCTAGCCAGTCGCTGAGCAAGGCGAAGAGCAGCATAGTGGTATTTCTGGTTCGAGTCACATTTCGCAAACTCCAGCTGGTAGGATTGCGCTAGCTGGAGCACTTCGCCAGACATGTTGCTCCTTCGTTTGGGCGGAGGGACCGACTAGGGAGTGGTTGGAGGCAGCGATTGGGCGACGCAAAAGTCAGGAATCGTGTCGGCAGATTGATCAAATTGCACCCAAAGAGAGAGAACGGGAGAATCGTGAAGTTGAGGTTGCCATTACCTAGAGTTGGTTTGGAGCAGGCACTTGTGGTGGATTTCGGAACTGGTCAAGCCCCCCCGCGCGCGATGTTCAAGGCTGCTGTTCAAAGTAAAGTTGGAGCACGGGCCTTCTGGAGGTGCGGAAGGATGTGGCGGTGCAGTGGACTTCACTCCACTTTCAATGGGGAAGTCGAAGCAATCTATCAGTGAAGAATACTCCTTGCAGTCATGGACTATGAGACGCTCGAAACGCGATCGGATATTCCCAAACGCCTCCAACTCCAATGACTATCCCCAAATCCCGCAATCATCTCCGCTTCGTATTCACGGCATCCTCCATGCGACGTATTAACCCTTTCAATCCGACCTTCTGCTCACAATTCTCCTCCAGATAGGTCTCCATCTTCTCCCTTACACCCTTCATGCCTTTCAAAATGGGCAACTTTCTCCCTTCTTCACCCTCAAGGTGCATCAATGGGTTGAGCAGCAGGTCGAAGACCTCGCCCCAGATATCGGTTTGCCAGTATCTTTTAAGACTCTCACGGATCTTGTAGGTTTTCGTTGCGCCTGCCCCAAGCGTACCGCCCCGCTCGACCATTGTTGAGATATACTTGCCAAACAGAAGGTTGTGGACGATGCCTGCCAGGCCGTGGTAATCCACCTGGTAAGTCCAAGGACGCAGCTCCCGCATTTCGGCGCAGTCCTGCTCACTCGTCTTCCAGTCGGCGATAAACTGGACGTCAGGTTTAAAGACCTTCATGTCGATGCCACGACCGAAGTCGATCAGTACTATGCCCTTCGCGGCCCAGCCATTCCGTCCGTCACGGCGGTACTTGGAGTCCCAATGCTGATCGGGCTTCAGTGTGTCGAACCGGACCAGCACGTTGTCCGACTTCAAATCACCGTGGATCAGGCCCTTCGTGTGAAGTGCCTCGACCGTTCGGAACAGTTCTATTGTGAAGAACATAGCCAACTGCTCGTCCATGACCCCGTTCTCCGCTCGTGCGATGTTTACAAGGTCCAACAGCGTTCCTTGCTCGCGGTATTCTTCAACAAGATAGCACTCGTCCTTGAACATGTGCATCTCATACGCGTCGATGATGGAATCGCCTGCACGGGAGACACCCAAACGCCTCCTCGCTTGCCGCATAATGTAGAATTCCCAGGGTGACGGTGGATCTTCCATTTTAATGGCCTCAAGCGGACGCCTCTTGATTCCAAACTCCCCTTTGCCCATTCGAGGAGGTCTTTCTGTATCCTCGGCTTCTTCCTTTGCCGAGTGGCTTTCGACCAGATACACTGGGGCAAAGGCTCCTTTACCAAGCTCCCGTTTCACAGTGTATGATCTCTCACATCCTTCGAACTTGATGAGCGGCGGTGCGGGAAGGTTAGGTATAGTCTTATCATGGGCGTTCTTGCCCGCTTTGAGCGCTTTTGTGAATCTGCGGATTTCTGCGGCTTTCCCGTGCGTCACGGTCGTGTTGTCGAAGTACCCGTCATAAGTCTGCAAAGGAGGCTGGATCTGCGACAGGATGAGCTCCCTAATTGATTCGTCAACCGGGTTGCATTGCGCATCTTTAATGATAGGTCCTTTCGACTTCGTAGCTGTGGGTTCGGGCTCTTTGTTCAGTACCGCAGAGGGTTTAGGAACAGATGCCGGTTCTTGCTTCTTTGCAGCCTCTCTCAACACAAGCTGGGTCACCTTCCCAGGCGCCCCAACTCCCTGCTCAAGGATACCCTGAAATGGACTGCTCCAGAGCTCGGCATCATCCTCCAGGATAACAGGCGCCCCCTTCGACCTCGAGGGAGTCTTTGCGGAGATAAACTCCTTTTGGGATGCAATCGTTGCGATTCCAAGTGAGGACTCTGTTTTCTCCACGATAGGGGTCATGAAGGGAAGCCGATTGTTTGCGGCCTGTACCGCATCGCGATATGGCTGGGTAGGGATGTTGCAGTCCTCCGGTGGGAGCGGGACAAACTTGGAGGGAAGTGGCCCCTGCCTTGGCGCTGGAGAGGTGGGAGTCACAAGGTCGTCTTCTTGATCGTTCTCCCTGCCTTGCGGCTCGGAGTCGGATACATGTTCGGAAAAGTTTTCATCCGAGTGCGCTGTGTCATCGCCTTCGTTAACAATGCGGTGTTCTTTCGGCACATGCTTGCTCTCAGTGAACTCTGACCATTCCGACACACTCTTCACATCGGTCTGATCTCCATCGGTGGTCTCATCCTCCTCATCCTCATCTATCGTGGTTCTTAATGTGAAGTCACCAGCTGTGGTTTCGTCGCCAAACTCGCTATTGGTACCAGAGATCCGTCCTGTTCCTGTGCTTTCTCCGGCGCTGGTGTAGTCGTCATCATCACTACTGACCTCGCTCTCCGACTCCACGGTGCCTTCTTCAGGCTTCTTCAGAGGTTGATTGAAGATCTCATAGATATCGTCCATGGCCTCTTTGGTGTGAAGGGTCATTGTTGGCTCCGCCCCATTCTTCTTCCGCCTGATCCTGCGGCTGGTAGGAGAGTCCAGATTCGCTTGGACTACAGATTGTCAGCTCAAAGTTGTACGTTGGCACTATGTGAGAGCTTACTGGTTTGAGTCTCTGCATGGATTTCGCGCACGTCCATGACTTTGATCTTCCTTGTCCTATTCGCCCGCTCCTCGCGCCGTGCCTTCTTAGCCACTCTTGCCTTTTCCACCTCTGCCTGAGAAGGAGGCGTGTTTTCATCATTCTCTGCGTCGTCTTCGACACTTCCTTTAAGTGGTATCGTCTGAGGCTTGTGCGGTCTTTCGATGCGCTCTTTCGAGACGAGTAGCTCTGCTTTGTTTTCGGATTGGATTGTCAGTTCGGTGGCTCTGGTCAGCTTCTTATTCAAGTGTTGCTTCTCCCTTCGTGTCTTTGCCCAGTCATAGTCTGCCCACCCCCGGTGCTTGGCTCGCAGCTCCTCAAATGAGTACTCCATTGCCATAGGATCCTCAAAATCAGGGTACACCAGCCTTAAATCAGCAAAAACGACCTCTAGACGCCCCGTTCTAGGGTTGATTGCTTGTTGGTATTCACGCATGGGATGAGAGTTTGAATTTCCGTTATGGCATTTTGATTCAGTCTGAGATACATGCAAGGCAAAAGCCAGCCCATTAGTCCTGCGATCGTGAATACTAGAAGGGGATGTTGGAAGCGGAAGACTTACCCCGTCCTTAAAAACCATCATCTTCTGGACACCTGTATTCTTCTTCCCTACTTGGAGCGTCTCTCCTGCCCAGGGGCGTGCCTCCATCTTATTCTCCTTCTTCCTGTCTGCAAGTGTGCCAATGCTATCCCAGCCCCTCGGAGTACCTGCCGATGCGGCCTTGGCGGGCTCTTCCGCATCAGAGAAGATGGCGAGTTTGGGCTTGCCGGACCTTGTTGTTGCTGTGCCCAGTCCTCCACGATTTTGAGTTTGGGTTTCAGCTGGTGCGGGTCCGAAGGCATCCACCTTTGCGGCTAGGGCTGGGCGAAGAGTGGGAAGAGCAGGGCTGCTAGGTTCGGGCGCATCATGCGGACGACTTTCGTAGCGGTGTTGAAATTCCCCATATTTCCGTATAAGGCGCTCCACTGGGCGTGCTTCGCGCTCGATGCCTAAGGCATAGATCTCCTCTGCTTGTTTCCACCTTCCGGCCGTCTCAAGCCATGCGGCGAACTCCTCGTAATACAGGGCCAACCCCTCACCAATGTTGTGGCGTGCCAGGTAGGCAAAGGTTTCCTTGGGCGCGTCGGAGAAGAAGCGGATGTAGTGCAACCACAATTTGAGATAGCGCGGGTCGTTCTTATAGAGCGATGAGGATTGGAAAGCCTTGGTCGCACGTTCCAGCAGCGGGCAGAGCTGAGACTGAGGGGTGTTTTGGGCAGAGGGATATGTATCGAGTGTCCACTTTACGTAACGGTCGTAGATGTCGAGAGGATCGTCCGACTCGTCGATGGTTTGCAGCTCTTTCTCAAACTCTTGCCGCGCGGTATTGTGGGAGTCCTGGACTTGGAGAGGGGACAAGGCTTTTGCTCCACCTGACGACAGCGGTGGTGTGTACAGTTGTGCTAGGGCTTTTGCGGACCGACCACTTGGGAGCGCCTGTATGTTTTCTTTCTGGTTTTCGATGATCTCGAAGTCAACCAAGTCCCCCGACCCCATGGTGTGTAACAAAAATAATTGAGAGATCGGAAACCTTGCTGGCGCCTGGAAATTGTAACAACGTCGGCGCTTACCTGACCGAAACCGTCTTGTCGTGGTCGTTGTGAGTTGTCGTGTCGCGTGGGGCTGCAGGTGAGGAGTCGCGCACGCGTTGTTGAACATAATAGCTGCCCAGGTGCCAAGACTCCGCTCCGGTTGCTAGGCAACGACGGCTTCCAGGGTTCCACCTGGGCATGTCTGAGCCGAAAAGACTGTTCGAACGATACATTCACAGAACGACGAAGGGGAAGACGCCCGCGCAATAAGAGCAAATCCAAAGATGACCAATTTTAGATTTCGATGATGTACTCTGTTCATTTCATTTCGATATCTCGTACTCACGCGCTCCTTCTGTGCTGAACAAAACTACGACAGAAGCCGCATCCAATCCAAACCTGTCCTTGGACTCTATCAGCTTTCTGAGTGCAGCCAGAGGCGCAGCACCGCAAGGTCCACAAGGCACAGCGTGGGCACCAAGGTATTCTACCTCGCGATGCGCTTCTAGATCCGACACTGTGACACACACATCGACCCCCTTCCGGAGCACATCCCAGGCTATATAGGAGACTGTGCCACAGTTCATGCCGTTCATGATGGTCTCATCTGTCTTGATGGATACGATCCGTCCTGCTTTGAGACTTTCTTGAAGACAGGCAGCGGACTCTGGCTCCACTGCCACGACGGTTGCCCGATCCCGCTTGCTCTTGTAATGCACAGTTACAGCTTGCGCCCAACTGCCAACTCCGACCGACGCAATCACATGGGTTGCGGGCTTCCCAACCATCTCCTGTAACTGTCTGTCTGTTTCAGCGAGCATTGTACTGTACCCTTCTACGACCATCTGCGCAATCTGGTCAACATCACGAGCTCAGGAGCGTCCGAGATACATACACGCGGCACCTCCTCATAGCCTTGCCAGGAGACGTCCATTACCAACAAATTCCCTTGGATCTTTGCTAAATCTCTCGCGGCCTCAATTGACATGTCATAATCGCCATTGACAACCAGCACCTCAGCGCCTTCGCTAGAGATCGTCCTTTGCGTAGCCATGTCCATGAATTTAGGGACGAAGACTGTGGCGGGGATCTGGAGGTATCTCGCCATCCTGGCTGTAGCACGACCCCAATTGCCTTCCGTACATGCTACAAGCCTGAGCCTGCGACTCCGCGCTTTTGCACCAAGCGTCTCCAATGAGCAAGGTAGAGAGGCTCCACACTCCGATGCGACGGCCTTGTATATGGCCCAAGAAGCACCCAATATCTTGAAAGCTGGCAGCCCAAATCGATGCGATTCATCCTTTACGAGCACGCGACCCACTCCTAGCTCTTTTGCGGTGTCGGGAAGCTCGATGAGAGGGGTGATGTTGTAGTCTGGAAGGAGTTGATGGAAAGCTTCAATGGCGGGATCGGGGCTTGGTCCTTGATATGCCCAAGAACTCGCCGAGGGGTTCAGGAACATGTTACAGGCGACAGTACCGGGTAGAGTGTTGAATAAAAGGAAGCGAGATCCGCTTTATATTCTCCTGTTGAAAGCGATGCGATGTCTCGGGGCAGAAAAGGCTACGATGTATGGTCCTATTTACCTATGTACAGCTGCAGGTTCCCCGTCGGAATCGGGCTTGATTTGTCACCCACCGACCTCCAGAGCACTTGCAGCTGCGTGCCCGGTGCAGCACAGCAACCTCAGGGCTTTTATAGACAACCAAGATACCAAGATCGATGGCGGCCAATAGTCCACTCGCTGCAATACCACGCGTTGTCCTATATCCGACGCTCGATGGACTAGTGGCATGCCTTTATCCCCTTAAAGTATGTACTGTCATGTGGATGTCGGATGCAAGCAACATGACTGACCTTCAAAAGGGCATCTTCTATTTCATCACACATCCTTTTCTGTACCCCCTGCTCCGGGCTAGGCTGCTCCCCGCTTTTCTTCTCTCCATATTCGTTCTGCTCAACCTCTTCCTTTGGACCTATCTCCCACAGGTGGCGTTTCTGGCGCTCTTTCAAAAGCATGGGTCTGCATGGGTTAATGGCACCTTTCTGGTGCTTGGAGAGGGTGCAGCTATAGTAGCCATACTTTTCGAAGCTTTCCTCGTGGTATGCAGAAGCTACCGGCAGCGAGAACATTCCATCTCTGACATGAACCTAGGATGAATCCCAAGTGGACGTCTTCGACGCCGTCCTTGTTGAGGAGGGTTTCGACGATCTCGTCCGCAACTACCGGCCAGTATCTGAAGATTCACTCAACAATCCCGTTAAACGTCTAGGGAAGCCGACCAAACCATCCGTATACGGGCCCTTTTCGTTTCGACAGATTGCAGAGTTCGTCCTTCTTCTCCCGCTGAATTTCATACCGTACGTGGGTGTGCCTCTGTTCCTGTTCATGACGGGCTATCGAGCTGGCCCGCTACAGCACTGGCGCTACTTCAAGCTGCGCGACTTGGACAGGAAGCAGAGGAATGCGTTTGTGAAGAGGCGCCGGTGGCAGTATACGTGGTACGGCGCAGTGTACCTACTTTTACAACTGATCCCGGTCTTCAGCATGGTATTCCTCTTGACCGCTGCAGCGAGCTCGGCGTTGTGGGCCGCGGATTTGGAGAAGCAACGAAGAGCATGTGAGGTCAGGGTGGCGCAGTCTCAGGAGTATAGGGATGAGCCGGAGGGGAATTTGGTATAACAATGAGCCGTTCTGCGGCTTTCTTGTCATGGATGGTCATCAAACAGTGAATCGCAACTGTGCAGCCCATGGATGGTCTTGTGGAACGTATCACCATCACGTCCCAACGCAGCAGTCTGATAGTCTACGCATGTCCAGTTACCCCACGAATGCGCTTCCCAGAGTTCATAGTAAAGCCGACCTGTTACTGAGGAGAGTAGGTAGGTACATGGTGGGAACTCACAAAAAGTACAACATGGGAGCAGAGCAGAGGGTGGAGAGCTGGGGCCCGCTGGACACACTGAGGGACTTGTTAACGGGCATACCAGTACGGAGGTGTTGCCAATAAGTTTATTCCGCCCGGAGGAGCCACACTAGAGCTGAGAGGCTGCAGGGGTAGTTTCTTGGCGGCACAAGCTCAGAGTGAATGCTCACAAAATTGCATAAAATATATAGTAAATGAGCTAAATTCAGAACTCCTCATCAATCTCCCCTTCCGCATCTAGTTCAGAGTCCCATCCACTTGAAATCTCAGCTTCTTCTGCCTCATCTAGCTCACTGTTATGGACCTCTGCCTCATCTAAATCACAGAGCTCAGCCCAGGTCATCTCATCCCTGAAGTCTCCAAATATAGGCCTGTTTTCTGGAGAGGATAAGGAGCTTAATGAGGAGCTTGATGAGGAGCTTGAGGAGTAGCCTTCCTGCATAGTTTGAGGTGTAGATTTATCTCCAGGTGTTGTTTCCCGGCGGGAGAGCTCCTCTGGGGTAGGGCCTGTATGGTGGGTAACCTTTTCAAACCTTCCTTCCTGATACTCATTTTCTCCCTCAAGCTCTATATTCTTTCGAATATGGTGCAGAGTCCTTTCAATCCACCTCTAGATCCTCCACTGAGGTAGTTCCTCCCATCAATTCAGCCAGTCCTGCTTCATCTTCTTAGCATCTGTTGCTGCTCCTTTTGCTGTAGTCCTCCTTTTAAGCCATGGCCAGGCTGGTTCAATAGTGTTCAAATCCAGTGAATTGCCATACCAGAGGATCTTGTTAACCTCTTCCTTCAGATAGATAGTACCCTAGAACCAGTGGGTGTGTGAAGGAGCCTTATCTTCCTAGACAATCGTGCCTGGCCTTGTTTTCAAGCACTCTTTGGCAAAGAGAAGAAGCTTTGGCTAGAGAACCTCATTGTAGTATCTCCATCAGTCAATGCTTCCTCCTCCATCTCTCACAAGCTTCCCAGTTTCCTTAATCTATCTCCACTGGGGTTTTGGCCCTGCCTTCTTCCTTAACCTAGCTCTTCTCATCATTGTATTAAGCTCTCACTCAGCCTTCTTTACGGGCTCATTTTCCTCATTCATTTCATCAATCCTTGCCTACACCTCTTTCTTCTGCTTAGCTGTTTCTGTTTCGTAGATGTGGCAAGGTCCCTTTCTGTAGTAAGAGAAGCAGCCCCAGAACATAAACTCAGAGTAGCTTTTCCATCTAGCCTGGAGAACAGTAGGATTGTATTTCTCTGCTGGCTGCCTCCATACACATATCTGGCCTCTTCTGACACCTAAAACAATGCTTGTTTCATCACTCCAAATTACATTCTTCCAGTCTTCAAGGGTCTAGTGTTAGTGCTTCAAACAGAACTCTAATCTCTCTTTCCTCATATGGGGAGAAGGCCTAGCTTCTTCATCCTTTTCACCTTCCTGAAACCCATCTCATGAAGAGTCTTCTTCACACTCTCTCTCTCTATGGCTTTTCCCTCTAAAGTAAGCTCATGGGCCAATATTTCAAGGGTCTTTTCATGGCTGTAACGGTCCTTGCGCACCTTCTCAACTAGCTCCTTTGCAAAGGAGGGAGTTCTTTTGTATGTAGCACCCGTATGAGCTCCATCTTCTATGTGAATGTTTAGAAGAAGTGAGCCATCAAAGCCTCTATCTTTTGCCTTCTTAACCATAGCTCTTTGAGTCCTTTCTTCTACTCCTGTCAGCTCCTCAACCTTTGAAGAGGGAGCTCCATATAACCGTAGAGCTACAACTTGGGCTCGGGTGGCAATTTCATAGTTTGGGCATGGAGGGTGAGGCATAATAGCTTTAGATGAACAAGGAATATTCAGATTCACAAGATACTTAGGTTTATACAAGAATCTGCACAGGAAACTAAGTATATATATATAACTAAGTTGTGCTACGTGGTATGCCAAGGAATATACGTTGCCTAGGGCAGCCACCCCTGAACACCAGAATAAACTTATTGGCAACACCTCTGTAAATAATAGAGGGCATACTAGTAAGGCCCATAAGGCCTCTCCGAGTATAGTGCTTACTGTAGGGTCCTTAGCCGCCCTACTGCTAGCCTATTAGAAATATATAAGCGCTTAGCTGTAATTAAAACAGCTGCTTAGTTAGCTTAGCAAGTAATATCTAGCGCTTAAGTTACTAACAAGGCCTAAGTAGATATAAGGCAATTCAGATATATAGAGATAGCCTAAACAGGCAATTTTATAGTATTGTAGGTAAGTATATTAAGCTTCCCTATCTAAGCGCTAGCGAAACTACTACTCTATACTAGAATCTAGAGATATTCGCTATCTACTACTGCTAGTATATCGCTAGTATATCTTACAGTTATCTTAGAGCGCTAATAATACTGTAGAATTAGCGATTACAGTGCAAAAACAAGGGAAGGCTAGTCGCTAAGGTGCTAGCATGCTACCGCGTAAGCACTATACCTAGAGAGCTTATTAGTCTACCTCTCTATTACTTGGTGTACAGGGATAAATATTTAATATTCGCCACCTCCATGCTAAGGGCATAGCACGGGCCATAGAACTATGGAGAATAAGCTAAGGCCTAGCCTTACATTAATAACTACTGTACTAAATAACTCATAACTCTAGAAACCAACGTCTTACTAGCAGGGATCTAACCTCCATACTAAACTATATAGGGTGATGACCAATGCCGATGGTACACTAGTGGCTGCACTTTCCATCGGACGTGGTAACCTATAGTACTATGGTGTCAGACATAAGTTTTGTACATGGCCCATGCACTGTAGGGGTGCTGCCAAGGTATTACAAGATAGCTCTAATGCCATATATACACCTATTCCTACATACTTTAGTATTGAATTTGCTTATACTGTCGCAAGCTACAGCAATACATCACCTCATTTATCATACTATAATGTCGGCTCCATGCATCCCTCCTCCGCAACAGCACCTTTCACACAACAAACGACTACAAGTACAGACCCTATATCTTGCATAGTATATACAAACTGAGATATCCTGCCTCCTAATATATCATGTAGACAGGTTGCCTATATAATTGCTAGCGAACGTGTCATACCTCGAAAGCGAAATGGCCGATCCTGGAAGCTGACTGATGCTCAGATTGATGAGCTTGAAAACTATATACGTTCATCGTGAGCTGCACGACAGATGAGCTATCTAGCTCTTGCTGAAGGTCCCTTTGAGGCTTGGGGAGTTAGTCAATATACAATACGAGGCGCTCTTCGAAGTAGAGGGTTGTCAGATTTGATGGTATTTGAAGATATCACGGTGACAGAAAGATTAAATGAAGATGGATTAACTGATTGTATTCAGGTGTGTCCTTTATGTGTTGCATATATGTGAGGCTGGGGCCTAACACCGGTTTTGATGTTCTTTCTCTGGGCACCAAGGCTGCACAGGGCATTAGCCACTACAGAATCACTAGCCACATGTCCTCAGACAGTACCGGTACAGACAACTTCTCTCAGTCCTCCTCTTCAGTCCCAGATGGGATGTCCATAAACTGGTTTATCATCTGACAAGGGTATATACGCCATGTAGCTCATGTAAAGCCATCTCTTTCTGAGCAGAATCAACAGATATGGCTCGAATGGGCAGAAGCTCATAAAGACTAGGAGCCTAGGCAGTGGTGGGCCATCCTCTGGAGTGACGAAACTTGGGTCATAGGTGGCAGGCACCGGAAGGTCTGGGTGACTAGAAAAACTGGTGAAGAACTTGAACTGACCTATATCGTGGAAAAGGTGCATAAGAAGTATGGGTGGATGTTCTGGGCCTGTTTCTCTGGCATCTCAAAGGGGCCTTGCTTATTCTGGGAGAAGGAGTGGGGGAGTATTAACAAGGAGAGCTACTGTGAGCACATAGTACCTCTAGTACATGACTAGCTCCAGCTGAATCCTCACCTTCGATTCATGCAGGATGGAGCACCAGGCCACTGCACAGTGTACACTCTAGAGGAGCTGAAAGAGCGAAATATTCAGCCTATCTTCTGGCCAGCCTACTCTCCTGACTTGAATCCAATTGAGGCTGTCTGGAATAAGATGAAGGACTATATCGAGCTAAATTATCCAGATATAGATGGGGGGAAGCAGCTATCATATGATCAATTACGAGTTGCAGTACAGGAAGCCTGGGAGTCAATTACTGTTAGCACTCTGCATGAGCTTATTGACAGTATGCTAGCTAGATGTCAGGTGGTGATCGACGCCAAAGGTGGTCACACAAAGTACTGAAAATTATATGTAATATTGGATGGAGTCAGGCTTATGTCATTTTAAGACATGTGGCAAATACCCCTGTAGTGCACGGGCCATGTACAAAACTTATGCCTAACACCACAGTACACCAAGTATGCTCGTTAACAAGTCCCGGACACTGACTAGACCGCGCCGTAACGGGCTAGCGCATCGTTTCAATCGTTTCATCCAGTTCCAGGTTCCACAGGTGGGCAAGGCTCCCGGTTAAGGTTGCTGCACTGTGCACGTGCCAGACCTTCCAAGCTACCTCAGCTAGGCGGCCATATGACGACTGCAGGTCCGCCGTCGCCGCCCCCAGCCACCTCCGCGACAGCTCCATCTCCTTCTCCATCCGTTATCCTCATCGCGAGCCGACGCAGTCATATCTCACCTCCTCAACCGGTCCTTCGCTGGTTCGTCACTCTTATTTTTTTGTTCAGAAATCAACTGTACCCCCTCTGTCAGCGTCTGTCTCTTCATCATGAAGGCCGCTATCCTCCTTGCGGCGGGCTCGCTGCTGGGCCCGGCAAGCGCCGGTGTTCACAAGATGAAGCTCAAGAAGGTTCCCTTGTCGGAGCAGCTGGTAAGTTGCATGGCGAGAAGTCTACTTGGCGCTCAAAGATGCGTGCTGACATCCCTTCCAGCAATATGCGAACATCCAGGAGCACGCGAGAGCGCTCGGTCAGAAGTACATGGGCATCAAGCCCGAGACCCACGCCGAACAGGTGTTCAAGGCGCCTTATATCGCCGAGGGGACACACCCGGTGCCCGTATCCAACTTCCTGAACGCCCAATGTACGTTGCTGCTGACTTTCCCCCGCTTCCGTTCACATTCACAGCCCGGATGACTAATGATACCTAGACTTCTCCGAGATTTCCCTGGGAACCCCTCCGCAGGAGTTTAAAGTCGTCCTCGATACCGGCAGCTCGAACCTTTGGGTGCCTTCCACGGACTGCAACTCGATTGCGTGCTATTTGCACAGCAAGTACGACCATTCGGCATCGTCTACATATAAGAAGAACGGATCTTCGTTTGAGATCCGCTATGGCTCCGGCTCGCTCAGCGGCTATGTCTCTCAGGACATCTTCCGTATTGGGGACCTGACAGTCAAGCACCAAGACTTTGCTGAGGCTACGTCGGAGCCTGGTCTCGCCTTCGCCTTTGGCAGGTTCGACGGTATCATGGGCTTGGGCTACGACACCATCAGTGTGAACGGCATTGTCCCACCCTTCTACAATATGCTCGACCAGGGCCTTCTGGATGAGCCCAGGTTTGCCTTCTATCTTGGCGACACCAACAGTGGCGAGGAGTCCGAGGCCACCTTCGGCGGTATCAACGAGGACCACTTCAAGGGCAAGCTCACCAAGATTCCCCTGAGGCGTAAGGCCTACTGGGAGGTGGATCTCGATGCCATCACCTTTGGCGGCAACACTGCTGAGCTCGAGGATACGGGTGCCATTCTTGACACTGGCACGTCCCTCATTGCCCTTCCTTCTACGCTTGCCGAGCTTCTGTGAGTATCGGCCCCGGTGACTTTGGAAGCTGCATATGCTGATATCAACAGGAACAAGGAGATTGGCGCGAAGAAGTCGTTCAATGGGCAGTACACGGTAGAGTGCGACAAGCGTGATGGTCTGCCGGACCTGACTTTCACGCTCACGGGCCACAACTTCACCATCGGCCCTTATGACTATATCCTCGAAGTTCAGGGCTCGTGCATCTCGGCCTTCATGGGCATGGACTTCCCTGAGCCGGTTGGCCCGCTTGCCATTCTCGGAGATGCCTTCCTGAGGCAGTGGTATTCTGTCTATGACCTCGGCACCAACAGCGTTGGCCTCGCCAAGTCGAAGTGAAGATGAAGCTGTAGACTTACTTGCCGCGTTGCTCAGATTGACAGAGAAGATTAAGTTGAGGCAAGGCCGGTGAGGAACGCACATATTTAGTTGCAGTGGTTTCCTTTTGTATTTGCTCATGGGAGCTGTGTATTGTGTTACCATATGATGAATATATCCACTTTGCAGGTGGCAGACCATGGATAGCCGTGTGGCAGGGCCCCACTCGTCGCGTGCATGTTGAGACCAGCCACATGCACAGGCGGATCAGTGAGGACCTTGATGGCATGTGACGTGGACTGTGGCGGTGTATTGTGGCTTCTCCAGGGCGGTGCGGCCGAACCTCCAGCGTCCAAGAGCTGCATCTGAAAGGGAACATGTGTGGAAAGGGAGGCAGTATTGGTTGGAAAGGCGGTGCCTATCCTCAAGAAGAGAGTGCCCATTCCGACGTGCTAATCATCACCATGTCTTCCTGCATCAACTGTTGCCTTCCAGTGTTCGCTCCTTATCGGGCAGTCCTCCAACGGTGATTCGCTGTCAAGCCCATCCTAAAGCGAACCCGTGGACGTGCGAGCCGCTGCAGGGTGGCAGAGCATTCGATCCCCCCATCACTTCCCTACACAGTACAATATGTGACGGCACCCGCCTCCTGACTGCACCCAGCAGTAGTCCATGGCTACTTGATCCTACTGTCTGGTGCGTGCAACTCTACACGTGCAGGTGCTCAGCACCTCCCATCGTCTGCCGCGCCGCCTCTGCCTCTGCCTCTGCCTCTGCCACCCGTCCATCTCTTCATCACGACGTCCTCAAGTACCACGTTCGGCGTCGCTCCCCGCCATCTTTCCTCGCACAGTACACAGACATGATGGCTTCTGAATCTCGGGCCAGGGATCGCCCTGCCCGCAAACTGACCAAGAGGCGGCGTGAGTCACGGCGCGTGTCGCTGGACATTCCCGAGCGCTTCAAGGACGGAGACGATGCAGACGACGAGGATGTCATGGCACCGACGAGACCCGACGGCATACCCATAAACCAATCTCTCTTCTCTCTGATAGCGAGGGTGGGCCAGCAGTCTCAGACGAACCTTGAGACTATGCACGAGCTCGACTCGGGCGACAGCGACGATGAGGGGAATAAGGACGCTTTGTATCGCAATCTGGACGGAGCCGCACGTTTAAGCCGCATCAGCACCTCCAACCTCTTCCAGAGCCTTCACCACGATTCGCGTGCTGCCGCTTCGTCGTCAAGTAAACATCGGAGGCGTCTCTCGGATCATAAGCTGCTACGGTCCTTGCCCAAGCTGAAGATCACAAGCCGAAAGGACGCGCGCTCCGACGATATGACATCTTCGCAGTTGCTTCCCCCTCAACTGACGACAGCCGGCGGAACCACGGACTCGCTCCCTAACAACCCCTCGCGCCAACCTAGAGCCTCTCACGATCACTCCCGCAAGACGGAGAAGGATCGCACCGTGGAGCAGAGGACCCCGGGCACTGGCATGTCGCCGAAAGGCACTCTCCCTCTAGCTGACCGTTTACAACAAATCTTCGAGTTTGACAGTGTCGAGGACGTCATCGCCGGTACGTCACATGGCAGTACCTTGGCTCCCACGCGCTAATCGAGATAGAATATCCGTGCTGGCTACTGCAAAGCATCCTACTCCAGGGCTATCTGTACATCACACAGAAGCATGTTTGCTTCTATGCCTACATCCCGAAGAAGCATGTATGGAGGCTTCCAAAAGTATTCCCTGCACCGTTACTCATACACTACAGCACGACGTCACTAAGACAGGCTATCTTGCCAAGCGCGGTCGGTCCAAATACACCCGATACTGGTTCAAATTGAAGGGCGACGTCCTCTCTTACTATTCTAACCCGGAAGACCTATACTTTCCACGCAACCGTATCAACCTCCAGTACGCGATGTCGGCCGAAGTGTTGGAGCCAAAGGACAAGAAAAAGGACGAGGCTGTGTTTGCCGTTACCACGGACCAGAGGACATACCAGTTCAAAGCTGATAGCGCTGTGAGCGCAAAGGAGTGGGTTCGCGCCATTCAGAAGGTTATTTTCCGAACGCACAACGAGGGAAGCAGCGTCAAAATTTCGCTACCTATCCAGAACATCCTCGAAATTGAGGAGAGTACTATCCTAGACCTTGCCGATACGTTCAGAATCCGAGTGATAGATAACGACGAGACCTACGCCATTGACGAGGTGTGCACCCAACTAGCCATCATGAATTGCTTCACTCGAACTGACGTATCCAGTATTTCTTCTCGTTCTTGTCAAACGGACAAGACGCATTGAATGTGCTACGTATAATGGTCAATGACAATGAGCATCACCAAAAGCAAGATGCCGAGGGCAAAGGGTTGGCCGATAAGCTAACAATTACCGTCGGCGCTCTGGACCAGACAGCGACATCTGGCAACAATTCCTTTCATCCTCCGCAAATCACAGAGAACGTCCGAGCCACCTTGTCACCGCTACCATCGCCGTACCTTGAGCGTACAAGTGCTGAGTCGGGAAGGTCGAGTCTTGACATTAACCGCAGAAGTGCAGACTTGCGGCGGAGTATGGACGCAAGCCGCAGCCTGCGACGCCCTAGTCATGAGACGCGTCGTAGCTTCAGTGGAAGCCGTCAGGCGAAGCAGAAAGGTCGGGACAGGTCCCCATTATCTCCAAAGCCACAGGACTCCTCCGGCTCCGCTGCAAACTCTCTCGGCCCTGGAACAGAGTCTTCAGTTGCAGTAGAGTCTTTCGATGAGGTCAACAATTCCGCGAGCCAGATTCTGAGTGGGAGTGACGTCTTCCGCGCACCGACCTCCCCTCCACCGACCAGAGTCGCCCCTCAGGCATCCGGACTTGCACTCGGTCATTCTGATGAGACGGCCCGGTCCAAGCGTCCCGAGTACACGCAACATGAATCTTCTACACCGTCACCACAACACCCCACCACTACTCCGGATAGAAGGCAACCGCAACTTGGCACGCCAAGTCCTGAGGGCGATACAGACTCTCAACACCTTCACAATCGTCTGGAAGCTTCGACGTCTACACTGCAGAACATTGCTTCCTACCCCATTCAAAAGGCTTCGGGGATCGCTGGCTTCCTGCGCAACCGTTCGAAAAGAGTGAGCGGCTTCGTCGCTGCTGAGTCGATGCAGTATTACGAGAAAGTGTCGGGAATGCTGGCGGGGGGAAGGAAGCGTTACACCGCCAGGGAGGGTTTAGAGGGGTACGAGCAAGGCTATGAGGTGGAAGACGATGAGGACGCGGCCAAGGCGACAGAGAGCTTCCGCGAGCATTTTGCCCTACCGGATACCGAACAGTTGCAGTCTTCTTTCTTTGCTTCGCTACAGCGGATACTACCCAACTACGGCAAGATCTATATCAGTACCCGGTTCTTCTGCTTCCGCGGCCTGATGCCAGGTTCGAAATTGAAGGTAAACTTTCCATGGAGCGAAGGTGGCAACCGTGCTGATGTATCTAGGTCCTCATACCAATGCGCAAGATAGAGACCGTCAACAAAGAGAAGGGATTTCGACCGGGATATCATGCGCTTACCCTGGTGATCCACGGATACGAAGATCTATTCTTTGAGTTCAGCAAGGGGGAATATCGCGAAGAATGTGCCATTGAAGTTCTTCGCATAGTGGAAGAGGCGAGATATATGGATGATGACCAATCGTCCTCTGGCGTCGAAAGTGACGATGAGCTGGCCAAGGCGGAGCATGAGCTTCTGCAAGACGGTCGGCCAGCTGCCGAGCCCGCGAGCTCCACAGACATATCCCATCTTGCCCTTATGGACCAGGATCGTATCACGTTGATCTTCGACGACCCTCAGGCTTCCATCGTCGACTTCAAGCCGTCGGAGCCTTTGAATATCGTATGCTTGACTATCGGCTCCCGTGGAGATGTTCAACCCTACATAGCTTTATGCAAGGCGCTGATGAAGGAAGGGCATAAGACACGGATAGCAACCCATGCTGAGTTTGAACCTTGGGTCAGGAAGCATGGAATCGACTTTGCGCCTGTCGAGGGCGACCCGGCGGAACTGATGAGGATCTGCGTGGAACACGGGATGTTCACCTACAGCTTCATGAAGGAGACGAATAGCAGATTCCGCGGTTGGCTCGACGGCCTATGCCACACCAGCTGGGCGGGATGCCAGGGTGCAGATGTCCTGATCGAGAGCCCAAGCGCAATGACCGGAATCCATATCGCCGAGGCTTTGCAGATCCCGTACTTCCGCGCTTTTACGATGCCCTGGACGCGGACTCGGGCGTACCCGCATGCGTTTACCGTCTTGGAGAGAAAGCTTGGGGGTACCTACAACGCCATCTCGTACAAGTTGTTCAACGTTCTCTTCTGGAAGGCGATTGCGGGGCAGATCAACACTTGGCGACTGGCAGAGTTGGGTCTCCAACCCACGTCGTTGTCGGGAATGCAGGCGGACCTGAGGCCGTTCCTGTACAACTTCAGCCCCTCTGTCGTTCCCCCACCGTTTGACTGGCCAGACTGGATCCGGGTTACCGGCTATTGGTTCCTGGACGAAGGGGAAGGGGACTATGAGCCTCCCGCCGACCTGATGGACTTCATCGCCCGCGCAAGGCAGGACAAGAAGAAGTTGGTGTACGTGGGCTTTGGGTCTATTGTGATTGACAATACCGCAGCCTTCACGAAGACGGTGGTGGACGCTGTCCTGAAAGCTGACGTACGATGCGTCCTGTCGAAGGGTTGGTCTGAACGGCTGGCGGACGAGGATGCACCGAAGCGTGAAGTCCCTCTCCCACCGGAGATATTCCAAATCCAGTCTGCGCCCCACGACTGGCTGTTCAAGCAGATGGATGCGGCGGTGCACCATGGTGGTGCTGGGACTACTGGTGCAAGCTTACGGGCGGGCCTCCCGACGGTCATCCGACCTTTCTTTGGCGATCAGTTCTTTAACGCTTCGCGTGTCGAGGACCTTGGTGTCGGCATCTGGCTCAAAAAGTTCTCCACCAACTCTTTCGGGCGAGCCCTGTGGCAGGTAACGAACGACGAAAGGATCATTGTCAGGGCAAAAGTGATAGGGCAGAAGATACGCAAGGCACGCTCCAGCACGACCGTGGAAGTTGAGGGTGCTAACGTGGAACAGGAGAACGGCGTCCAGGTGGCGATTCAGACCATCTACCGAGAGCTTGATCGTGCCAAAGCGTTGGTTGTAAAGCACTCACGGAAACCGGGCGACGAGCATAACGACGACGAGGACGACACAGTCGAACTGGATGATGGCTGGATGATGGTGTCGGACCACCCCGAGCTAGACGTAGCTCAGGCGGATGCGCTCAAGGAGGCAGTGGCCGGCATGCAACAGGCTTCGACAGAGGCACCCGGTCCGGGAGGCAGTTCACTGGCAGTAGGGAGCATGGTCTTGAAGGGCGCCGCCACGGATGATGTATTTAAGAAGGATTGAGATGGCCTACGCTAGTTTTGGAGGGCGACAGCATGTGGCAAGCTTGCTTTAGGATGGATACGACAAGGCGCATTCCAGGAGTTTGGTAGAATGTTGGTGTGCATATACCTGGCGTTCTAGAGAAGGCATACTAGAGGTGACGGCTTTTCTGGAGGTCTTGATCGATTCTGGGTTAGATACCTGGATATATTGATGCCTATGGCGGAGAGGTCTTTTGAAGATTGCCCTCTCACAGCACTGCATGACCTCTTTCTCTGTGACGAACAGGTTGCGGACAAGGGTTGGTTTGAAGAAGCCTAGTATATTGCCCAACGGGTACCGCGCACCGTGTACAGCCTGGGCTGGTTTGTGCCCTTTGTTCCTTGGTGCCCGTGGTTGAAGTTCACTTTGAGCATCATGCCCCCCCTGCTCCTCAGCTATGCTAATTCAAGCTAGCGCAAAGGTGGACCCCCGGTCTCGTACTTTTATAAGGAGCTCGCTCCGCCCCCTCCCCCCTCCGGCCCCCCTTCGCAACCCACGAAGCTCCAGCATTCACGCCGCAACCACGCACGGAACCCCCCACACCAAAAGTTGACGCGCACGTCTTGGCATCCAACTGCGCCCACGATTCCCCCTTCCATCTCCCTTCAACAACGCGCACCTGTGACGGTTCATTCGCCGATTCTCGAGTTGCGAATCCATAGCCCGTTGGTCCTACAAACACCAGTACCCAGCTCGACGCCGCGCACACAGCGCTCCTGTTCCCCAAGCTTCATTCGAGCTCCGACCCGCCCGGCGCGCGTGATGAGGAATGAGGATCCGTTCGCCCCCCCACTTGCGCTACCCCATTACCATTGTCGAGCTCCTCTGCAAGCAGGGTGAAGAGATCAAGCGCTCCGCGCCCCTCTTCAAGTATTCCTACGAGACGGTTGTGAGCGAGGCGGACAAGTATGGCGAGCTGAAGGAGGTCAAGAAGCGCTTCCCCGAGCGCTTCAACTCCCCCAACGATGGGACCGTTAGCGAATGGTTCGTGAAGCCAGGCACCCTCATTGAACGTCCTGGGTAAGCCGAGTCGCGCAGTATTCCTCTGACATGATCCGATACTTACGTTTTGCGCGCAGAGTCAACATCGCCGAAATCGACGAGCCATGCTCCCACGAAGTCCAGTTCGGCGGCCTCTGCGCCAATTGCGGGAAGGACATGACCACAGTCGATTACCTGACCGTCCAGCGCAACTCGGAGCGCGCGACCATCAACATGACGCACAACAATGTGGCTCTGCTTGTCAGCGAGAAGGAGGCCGGTCGCGCCGACGAGGAGGCCAAGGCAAGGTTGTTACAAGCCAGGAAGCTGTCCCTGATTGTCGACCTCGACCAGACCGTCATTCACACGACGTGCGAGCGCACCGTCGCAGAATGGCAGGCCGATCCGGAGAATCCAAACTATGAGGCCGTCAAAGATGTACAGAGCTTCCAGCTGGCCGACGACAACGTCGCCCATGTCGCTGCCAACTGGTACTATGTCAAGATGCGCCCCGGCTTGAAGGAGTTCCTGGAGAGGATGTCGAGCCTGTACGAGATGCACATCTACACCATGGCGACACGCGCATATGCGCAAGCCGTCGCCAAGATCATCGATCCAGATGGCAGGTACTTTGGCGACAGGATACTCAGTCGTGACGAGAACTACACGGACAAGCTAAAGAGTCTCCACCGGCTGTTCCCTACCAATACGGACATGGTCGTCATCATTGACGACAGGGCGGACATATGGCACTATAGTGACAATTTGATCAGAGTGCCCGTTTTCAACTTCTTCCCTGGCGCTGGAGATATCAATGCTAGCTTCTTGCCCAAGCAACAGGAGCTCATTACCACGACTGCCAAGGGTGCCCGGATCGAGGCCGCTCCAAAGGAAGAAGAAGGGGCTGGACAGGAGAGTGCTGCTCCCGCTCCGACGTTCTCTGTCGCTGGTAAACCCGCCGAGCCTGGGCCCACAGAAGCGACCAATGGTGAGCTCACGGAGCTGGAGCAACAGCTGTTGTCTATGGGAAGCGAAGGTCACCCGGAGGTTTTGGAAGAGCAGGTGAAGGAGCAGGAAAAGGTGATTCAGAGTCAACAAACCGAGCGGCCTTTGCTGCAGAAGCAGCTGGAATTGGACAAGGAGGACGAGGAAGCAGGGGAAAGAGATCGCACTGAGGAGGGGGCCAATGCCGAAAACGGAATCACAGAAGAAACGCCTCACTCCAAGCATCGCCATAGTCTCCTCAACAATGACGACACGGGCATCGAGGTCATTGAGCGGAATCTGAAGGCTGTACACCAGAAGTTCTACGACGAGTACCGCGCGAAGAAGCGGGTTCCCGCTGGCGGCCGTGTCGCTGAACTCAAAGGCAGTCCTAAGAAACGGATTACGGAGTTTGTCCCGGATATCAAGGATTTGATGCCGCGGATGAAGCGAGAGGTGCTGGATGGCTGCACGATAGTCTTCTCTGGCATCATTCCCCTGGGTATGGATGTGCAAACGTATGTGGACCCGTAACTAACCTTGCGCCCCCTACTGACGTGTTAGATCTGATTTGGCGTTGTGGGTCAAGAGTTTTGGTGCCGAAGTGGCGCTCAATGTAAACAGACGCACGACGCATCTCATTGCTAATCCGGAACGGAGAACCAGCAAAGTGAAGAAGGCAGCGCGCTATCAGCACATCAAAATTGTGAACGTGGATTGGATGTTCCAGTGCTGCACACGGTGGGAGCATGTCGACGAAGCGCCTTACCTGATCGAGCTCGAGCCTGGTGAGCGAGGCGACTCTCCTCTGGATGATCTGGAAGACACGGATGTAGGTGCCTCTGGGGACGAAGGGGCGGATGAGGATCTGCCGCTGAGCATGTCTCCAGATCAGTGGAAGAGTGTCGACGACGAATTCGAAGCATTCATGAATGAGACGGATGATTCGGAGGACGAGAACAACTCCGACTCGGATAGCGTCCGGTCGGACAACAGCACCAGGACAACGGACAGCAAGCAGTCGACGAGGAAGAGAAAGAGGGTCATGGTCACGGCGGATGAAAGCGGTGCTGAAGAGAGCGATGCAAGCGCTGGTGGCACGTCGCGTCTACAGAGGAGGAAGAGGCGCACCATGGAGCGCGTGTCGTCGCTGACGAACGTCGTCAGTGCGGACAGGTCGTCTGGCCTCCCTAGTCCAGAGACAACGGGGCCCGAGGAGGAACAGGGAGAGGAGGAGAATGCGGTCAAGCCCACGGGTTTGGACGTGGCAGACGACGACTACGACGATGGGCTCGAGGCGGAGATGTTGGCGCAGTTTGAGGCGACCGACGACGAGGCATAGAAGCGCCTGTCGTTGCAATTGGGGTGGTCGTTGGGTGACGTCTGCTTTTCGTTCGCTCTTTGAAGCTGCATAGCGAGGTGTTTGGCATTTGGGCGTTCGGGAAGGGCTACTGCGGCATGTCGCGGGCAATCTATTGTAATCTCTCCTTTGTAGAGACAAGTTAGCTTGAAGCAGGCATGGCATGGCAAGGCATGGCATGGGCATATGGGCATTGAGACCGGGACGTCGTTGGAGCAATACCGAATCAATTCACTATCCGACTACGCCTGCCTTGGCAAATACAAGCTTTCCTTTGCTGCCTGAATCCTCTGTCCAAGAATGAAGCTGTACTTCATCTTTTCACGTCCGACTGAACCCCCCCATGCACTTCCTCTGTACTGCCGTTTTCTATTTGTATATCTAATTTGACCAGCTAACAGGCGCAGCGATATAGGAGGTCCTGCAATTAGCTTTATAGCGCACCTCTATAAAAAGTAGTATATTCTAAAAAGAAAACTCTACCTCTTATATTATTAAGTTGTAGCTAGTTAACTTGTGCTAGGTAGGTAATTCTACCTACAGAGGAATTGCAGCCAAATGTTCACTCGGACGTGGAAAGCCGCAGTACTCTGTCTGAACCCCCCTTGTAATGTGTGGCAGTGTGGCAGTGTGGCGGTGCAGGCGCATTCACGATGCTGGTTCCCAAGCCAGCAACATTGAACAACCATTTGCTGTTTCAATCTGCACGTCCAGCAGTCCAGCAGCTCGTCGCAGCGGCTGACACGCAACCCAGCAGCGAGGCTTGTTGCTCTTGTCCCCAAGGCAGCAGCTCGGCGGCGGCCATGTCCAGGAGCTCTCTTTTTATACCTTGATCTATGTGCGCGGTCCCGGCATCCTTCACACCCACACGCCAGCCATCACCGTTCCCCACGCACGCACGCACGGACGGGCTGCGACAGCTTTCGTTTCTTTTCGACTTGCACACTCACTTGATCTAGCTAGCTGCTACACGGACGATTGTCCTTGTAGATACTATCAAATAGCAATCACGCTGTTCACTCCCAAGTGTCCATTCCATATCGCTCCCCTCCTCCAAGCCAAGTGCAGCAGAGCAGCGGCTCGAGATGGCGCAACCACTCACTTTCATGGACCTCTCTGTAGAGATCAAGACGAACATCGTTCAACATGTAGGTTCCTACACCACATTCCCCCCAGACGATTCTGACCACCCAGATCCTCCGACCTACAGACCTCAGAAACCTCGCCCTTGTTTGCAAGCAGCTGCACGAGATTGCTGTCCGCGAACTATACTACGAAGTCGAGCTCGACCTTGGCTCCCCCAACGACACCCGCCTAGCAGCCTTCCTCAGCCCTAAAAACATCGGCCTCCAGCACATCAAGAACCTCGAGCTGTACCTCGCGGACGTGCCGGACAAATGTAACCAGGAAGTTCAGGCAAACTTCGCCGTGCGCATGATACTCGAGCTCCTCCCCGAAAACACACTCGAGCGGTTCTCATGGCATCCCTGGTCGGCCTTCTCCGCGGACAATCTGATATTGCTGTACAAGAAACAAAAACGGATGAAGTGGCTCGAGGCAATCGCGCTGGACAAGAACGCCATAGACGAGATCCAAAAGATTCCAAACTTTGACGACGTCTTCCAGAACGTCACCAAGCTCGGGCTGTACCCGGATAACCGCCAGGTCCTCGATTACTGCCACTTGCTCCTCAAGAAATCGCCGAAGCTGGAGAACCTCACCCTGCACGCCAACTTTGATCAGAATCCTAACCAAGGGCCAAACCCACTTTCCGAGCGTGAGTTGAGCGATTCGAGCACTGGCCCAGGGTTGATTACTTCGACTATATTCGCGCATATGCAGCCGTTTGACAAGTGTGTGCCCTTGGCCTTGAAGAAGGTTTATCTCCACAAAATCAGTCTGAGGTATGCGGCGGATACGTTCTGCAAGGTGATTGATTTCCGGACCGTCTCGTCGATTGGGATACATAGCTGTCCGGGAGCCGATGCTCTGTTCGCCGCCTTGTCGAAGAGCGCACAGCTTCCGAATAAGCTGGAGAAGCTGGAATTCAAGCATTTCGATAATCACGAGCAAGACGGTCTCAGTGCCCTGGACGGGTTCCTGTGCCTCGTTTCGGGCTTGAAGGAGTTGACTATCGATATCCTATGCGGAAGAGAGATGCCCGCGGCCGCTGGTATTGTGCGGCATTCCAAAACGCTCAAGACGCTGAATGTGCATGTGCATATGAGACCCGACGAGGGCGAGACGGAGCTGTTTTTCAACTATCCTGCGTTCAGCGACATCTGCAAGAACTGCAATAAGTTGGAGCAGTTGTCAGTGGCGTTTCCACCTGCCGTCGTCACGGCGTTGAAGCAAGGCATGTATGCCGACTTCGAGGTAAGACTTCCCATATCGGCTGTCCATTGACTTTCCATCTGCGAGAGTGGGAATGGTGCTAATAATACGCCCTCCATGTAGACCTGCCTTACCGACCTGCCCAACCTCGTCACCCTCAACATCACCACCTGGCCGGCCCACGACCCCCTCTCCGAGAAGCTGCCACGCAAAATCTACGAACACAACCTTCAACGCCTTGCCCAAACCACATTCGTCAAACACTCCAAAGCCGTGGCGGCGTCCTCCTCCGCATCACAGTCGCGCCGGTATTCCAAACTCGCAATCATTGCTTTCGGCACCTCGAATAAGATCTACGAGCGCGAAGAGAGCCCTAATCAAATTATCTTTGTAAAGGGGAAGCAGGTGGATCCGCTGGGCACGGAGAAGCCCGTGGCGGTGCAAATCGGATGGTGTCTGAGGAAATTTATCGATGCAGGGCCGAAGAGTGATGTGCTGGATTATGGCTTGAGGAGTTTGCCCCCGCCGGTGCAGGACGATATGGGGAGTGATGATATGACGGAGGTTTGAGGGGTGGATGGAGAGATGAACATCGATCTGGACATGTTTTGCTGCGATTTAGCTTGGAGTCAAGATACCCTTAGGGACTTTGTTAAACGGAAGCATGTGCTCCATAGTCTGAGGCTTGGGGAAGGGGACATGGGAAATATGGGCATTTACACTTGACTACGACTTGGTTTCCATGCAAGGAATTTACCGTACAGAAACATAATTTACCCTCACTCCCAACCAAGAAAGCTTTCAAGGATGCGGCAACACCCATTTATACAGCGTGGAGTTGCCTCGACGCGGAATTTGTAGCTCTCAGTAAAAGTGGCGTGTGACGTACTTTTTTTCAAAGTTCTCACACCTCAGCTTCCCCAACCCCCATCAAAGAGCTCCATCCCCAGCAACCTCACCAGATCCGCCCTGGAAACGCGCGCGCACCCGCGCGGCGTGACCGACTTTTCCTTTTCTCCGTCCATCCCATGACGGCCTCGGCGCACCTGAATAGCGAGACGCGTCCAGATACCCTCTGACACCGCGACCAGTCTCTCTGGTCAACCACACCCACAGGTAGAGCTAGCTCCTCCCCGCGCCGACTCCCCTCCGGGCGCACGTCACCAGTTGGCAGCTCAAACCAGCATACCTCCACCAAATGTCGTCCCAGTACCCCCCTCCACCTCCGTCCGACGAACCCTTCGCGCCGTGGAACGATACTCCGCACCCGCACCAGACGTCCCCATCTCAGGCGCCACAGTCAGCACCACCCCAACTCCCATACAGTCCGCAGAGCCTGTACCCCAAGCTCGAGAGCTTGGGCGATGTCCTCCAGCAGCAGGCGCACCAGGCGACGCATGCGCTGAGTGACGCGCGCAATCATGTAGGCGTTGGCCCTCCACCACCACCACCACCACCGCCAGCGGCGCCGCAGCAACCGCAGGAATTACCGCATCAGTTCCAGCCGTTGCCGCATTTGCAGCAGCAGGCTCAGCAGCAGAGGCCGAATCGATTGAGGAAGGCGTGCGATTCGTGCAGTATACGGAAAGTAAAGGTGGGGTCCTAACTTTCTCTCTCTGTGGCGGACAGATCTAACACGAAGAAAACCAGTGCGATGAATCCGGCCCACCATGTAGAGCCTGCGCCGCCCTCGAGATCCCATGTACCTTCGACCGCCCCAGTCGTCGTCGCGGCCCGCCCAACCGCCACGCCGAAGCCATCAAGAAGAAGCGCCGTCTCGACGGAACAGACGGTGGCTCTGGACCTTCAACTCCTGCCTCCCCAACCAATGCCGCCCATGCCCTCGCCCAACTCTCCTCGCACGCCCCGCAACAGCTGTCCGCCGAGTCAATATGCCCCGTCCCGACCATGAATGCCCTTATCGACGATTTCTTCACCCATATACACCCGCTATGTCCGTTCCCGCACGAGCCGTCATTCAGAGAAGCATGGGAGAGACGCGAGGACTACACGAATCCGCCGTTCCTGGCCCTCCTCTCCGCCATGATCGCTTGTCTGGTCGCCTCGTTCCCCAGGAAACCGCGGCTCCATCTCAAGATGCAGACGCGCGACCACTACCCCTCGCACCTCGCCCTCGTAGACAAATGCCGCGAAGTATGCGCCCAAGCCCGCGGGCCCGGCTACCTCGACAGCCCGTCGCTGAACGTCTACGACGCATGCACGAGCTACTTCCTCGGCCTGGCGGGCGCGTACACGTTCCAGTGGCGGCAACTGAGGCTGTATTTTGGCGAGTGTCTTACGGTTCTGCGGGCGCTGGGCTTGCACAAGGCGAGTGAGCAGGGATACACGTTTCTGGGGGGTGTGCCAGGGGCGTTGGGGTCGAATGGGCCGGATTACGAGGGGAGTAAGGAGTTGAAGCTGGATAAGATTACGGAGCAGATTGGGCGGAGGCTGTTTTGGACCGTCTTTGTTGGTGCTCGGTGAGATGAATTCCCTACGTGTCATGGGCATGTAGCCTTACTAACATTACCATCCAGCACCATGCAACAACTCGGCGCCTCCTTCGGCGAACTCACCATCCTCCCTTCGACACCGTCGGAACCCCTCCCTCCTCTCCCCGCCGAAATCGACGACCCCTTCATCTACCCAGACCACATCCTCCCCCAACCCCCGCACGTCGTGCCGCTCCTCGCCGGCTTCAACATCAACGTCCGCATCTACTCGTCCTACGCCGCCCTCTCTACGGCGGAAATGGCATTCGGCTCTGACGAGCTCTTTGACTGGGACCGCCAGCAGCGCATCCTGGAGCACAGTCTCAAGAGCGTGAAACAGGTCCTCGTGGATATACCCGAGGTGCTGAAGGTGATGCCGCAGGATAGCGTCAATGGGCGGTTTGGACAGAGACGGCAGCCGTACTACCCGCCCATGCCCGAGTATGGACATGTAAGGGACGAAGCGGCGGCGGCGGCGTTGGAGGCGGCGTTGGGGGGTGGTGCCACGGGGAATGGGAGCGGTGGTGGTGGTGGCTCTGGTCCGGGAGATGCAGTAGGGGGAATGGGGGCGATGCAGCAGGATCCCGGAGCGAGAAGAGCGGCGCAGTACGAGATTCAGAAGGCGAATATTTACGCCAGTCATTTGAGCATTCGGTCCTACTTGGTGGAGAAGTACTTTACGCTGCTGGAGAAACATCGAGAACGGGAGCAGCAGGGCAAGTCGGTGAAGGTGGAAGAGGAGGGCGGTCGGGCGGATGTAGCGGCTGGACTGGATCGACTGGTCCCTGGGGGTGCGGCGGAACAGCAGCAGCAGCAGCAGCAGCAAGAAGATGCGGCGCGAAGGCTGGAAGAGGAGATGGGCGTGGAAAGGGAGCAGGTGATTAAGGATCTATTGGTGGTGCTGGGGAGCATTGACATGGTGAACATGGAGCCGAATGCGGACAGTTTTGTGAGTCCCCGTTCCGCCTTTCTAATACCACACCTCCCTCCCCTCGTTGCGCGCAATCTCTGAGAACTCAGCTAACAAATCTTATCGCACAGATACAGAAGATCCGCCAAATCGCATCCACGCTCCTCTCGCCCCGCCACCCCTCCTCCTCCTCGTCTCCCTCGCGCGCCTCCACCACCATATCCCAGCAAAACCAAGAGTACCTGCACAAATTCCTCGGCATCCTCGCTCGACTGGAGCGCGTGAATCCCGGGGGCGCCGTGGCGGGCCAAACCCCCGGTGAAGGCTTTGTGCAGCACCAGCAGCACCAGCAGCAAAACGGGAGTAATGGGGCGGGTGCGCCGGTGGCGCCCATGATGGATGAGGAGAGCGAGTTGAGAGCTTGGGCGGATCTGAGGGAGTATCAGTTACGGTTTCAGGAGCAGGGGGGGATTTATGGGTTTGCTCAGTAGGGTCGATCCATGGAGTAGGAGGAACGTTCTTTATTTATATGTCGGCACCCCGTGGATCTCGCATGGGATTTTGACCAGAAGGGGTTAGGCGGGTGTCTATTTCATTCCTTCGGGAAGGGTATGGGTTTTGGCATGGAGAGTGCCAAAACATGGGGTATATGATTATTTTGTACAACAGCCGACGATGGGCAGTAGCGGCGCGGGTCGCTACGCCTTCTGTGGGAATGGGAGGGGAGGGATTTATCTGTGTATTCTTAGAGTACCGATCTTTTGGAGGAAGAGTAAGAGTATTTTTCACATGATGCAGGTTATCTGTCGAAAAGCACGCTAAGTATAGCCAGGAGATAGCCCTGTGACAGGGTATCGATTCTACATGGGAATATCAGAAGACGATAGCACCACTCATCGTGTTTAACCAATCACATTATTCTTTTTCATCCTCTCACCCTGAACGACAAGTATTGAATCGAACCTGTTAGTGTCGATGAAAATGATGGTCTTTGTACTTCTATTTTATACATGCTTTGATACAGTAACCTAAAAGAATAAAAAGGGTATACCCCGGCACGTTTCCGACGACTCATACGTCGATGCTTCTTTAGATCCCACAGAAAAGTCCTCTCTTCTCAGGGCAGGATAGGGCGGCGGATACAAGGAGCTCCATGCCCCCTCTCATGCAAACCACTCCAATCGCGTTGTCCGGCCCGCGCGCATTGCCCTTACATTTCCTCATCTCTTTCCGTTTCAATCCCATTCCGTCCTTTCCGAATTGAACCCCCCTCTTCTTCCCCAAGTCTCCAAAAACAAACGTCTTACACCATCCAACAAACCATCCAAAGACCTACGGCACGACCACAACCCCCAAACTCCCCGCCTGCCCCACAACACTCCTACACAACCCCTCGAGACTCAACCCCTTCAACCTCCCCTCCTCCTGCTTGATCCGCGCAATCTCATATACATGCTTCAAGCTCACCGTGCCCACGGTCCCGAGCGTCGCGTTCCCCGCCGTAGGCGAACTCGTGCTCGTCTTGCCCTTTGCGCCCTCGTGGTTGTTCATGGGGCCCGGCACGTTGCCCGCGCCGCGGACTTTGGATTTTGTGGGCAGGACACCGGCGGCGGAGAGGAGGAGCGTGGCGGTCGGGGGCGTGCGGAGGGAGAAGTGGAAACTCCGGTCTGGGCGGACGGTGATGCGCGCGGGGATGGGCGTGCCGGGGATGTAATGCGCGGTACGGGCGTTGAATTCCTGGGAGAGGGTTAGCGGATGGAAGTTATCTATATTGTGAATATGGGTTGTGAGGCTGCTTCGCCTGCATCGCGTCCTTCGTCTCGCTGCTCAATCATGCGCTCGTTGGTTCCTCGCGGGTTTGGTCCTCCGGACACCTCAATTGGCGGTTCTTCCTCTTCCTTCCCCTCCTCGAACCCACCTACTCCTGACTGAGAAAAAGAGGTACATACCTTGCAGAAATCCATGCTCTTCACACCTTTACTTCCCAGCGCCGGACCGACCGGCGGACTCGGACTCGCCTGTCCCGCGCCCACAATCAACTTGACTATCTGGTCCTTTGCCAGCGCCTTCTTTGCCATTGCCAGTGAGGTTCCTTATATATCGATCTCGAAGAAGAAGAAGGAGAAGGAGGGGAAGGAGGGGAAGGAGGGACGCGCTTTCGATACGCTCTGTATTTCTGCGTCGCGGAACTTTTGCGGAGCTCGTCGGAGTGACGTCGGAAGGCGGAGTAACGATCTTCCGAGATGTTCTACAACTGTTTACTACTTTCCTTTGAACATACAGGCCGACAGCAGGTTTATCATCTGTTGATTGCGAGAAGCCGAACTACTAGTCACGCATTCTCGCCAGTACCCACTTAGATTCACATATTTGGCTAGAGTGGTGTGCTACGTCAGTGGAGGACCTCAACATCAGTGTGTATCCCTAGTATGAGTTCCATTGCCGTCATGAAACTGCTTGGGTCTTGATCTATAGCTGCTAGACACTGAAGTCGTGCTCTTGCCCGTTTCCCCCATGGACTTCACCATCCACCAAGACCACACAATCCGATCGTACAGTACCACGTCCTCCCTCTGCTCTGTCCATACCCCGACGGACCACGTGCATATCTTCACGCCTAAACAATCGTCTCCAGTTCCCGAGCATACCCCAAGGTATGCTCAATCACCTGGTCACTACTTCCCAGCACATCCCTCCCCGCAGCACCATACTCCTCCTCCTGCTGTGGGAAATATATCCGTCCGTCCTTCACGTCCCAGCCGCACTCTTGCGCGAAGTTGACGACGGCACCCTCGGAGTCGAGGAAAAGGTGGGATTTGGCGTCCGAGATCGGGATGGAGGGGTATGCTTTTTCGCTGCAGGAGGCGATTTCCTTGCGGATGGTATTGATGAGAACCTAGATGATGTGTTAGAGTGAATGTACAAATAGCAGACGAGAAGGAATCATGGCAGCGGGGCTCACATCAGAGAATAGCGCAAACTCCTCCCCCGGCACCCTCTCCCCCTTCGTTTCGCCCCACACCTTGTCGTACGCCCCCTCCATCAACGCCTGCTCCAACCTCACCGGATACTGCACATAGCGATCATCCTCCAACCGCCTCCCCTCCTGCGCCGCGTTCATCTCCAGCGTCTCCAGGAGCGTATGGAACCCTGCATAATCCCCATCACTCAGCAGCAACAGCAGATACAGCCCTGTGATCTTGCTAGCCTGGGACCCCTCGCGCGGCAGCGCAGACGGAGGTAAGCTGTAGAACGGCTGCAGTTGCTGGAAGTACCGCGTGAATGCTACGGGGTCCTTGAGGCGGATGGACAGGATGGCGCCGAGTTCGAGGGTTTCGCGCGCGAGCTGGAGGTGGTGTCTCGGTGTCTTTTCGGTGGGGATGAGGGCTTTGAGGGAGAGGAGGGCGACTTTGGCCCGGGAGAGCAGCGAGGGCGCGGAGTCGTAGTTGTGTGTTTGGAGGGATTGGTGGAGTTGCTTGATGAGCGAGTGGATCTCGCCTTCGGCCATGGTGGGGTTGATTGCTGTGGAGATTACCAGCGGGATGGATGTGCGGTCGTTGTCGAAAGCAGTGGTAGTGAGCGAAATGACTGGGAGAGCGGTCGTGGCGGGCGATATTGTGGTGGTTCTGGACTGCAAAGCTCGAGGCGAGCGCTTGCTGGTGGAAGGTGAAGCTCGGACCGCACGTGACGTTGGAGCTTCATCGCAGGGCTGCTTGGCGATAGGCGTGAGATTGTACCGCGGTGTCGTCCAGGTGGAGCTGTAACCTTCGAATATTCTGTTTCGAATGTATGCCATAGCCTTCAGTTGGAATTCACTTCAGAAGGATTAGATTGACTTTCTATCCTTAAGAGGCCGCACACACCCATTGTTCTCCGCTAGGCTGCTGGCAGCTGACAGTCTGAAGGTCACAATATCACAGATTATGTCATGTCTAGTAGGCGGCCACCAACAAGCCAATGTCCCAATAGCAGCGTGTAGCCTACTCTCTGCCCAAAACTTTGAGCAGCCATGGTGCGACCGCCCGAGGCATTCCACAAAGGGGTATTGTGTAGGACAAAGGCTGATCCCAAGTGGCTTCCTCGTCTCCAATTGGTACTTCTCACCATCGACGCCCAAACCTCTTACCGCCATTTCCGGCTCCTTTGCTCTTGATTTTGAGTTTCCTGTAATTGGCATGCGCGGTGGCTTTGATTTTCCTGGCTACCTTTTTCACGGGTTCCATGACGCTGGACTCCTGCTTACCCGCTACTTGGCTCTGCTTAGGTTGCGTCTTCCTCTTCTTCGGAGTGTGCGATGCATCGCTATCGTAGTCCGAACCGTCGTCGTCCGTGCCGGTGTCTTCATGGAAACCGTCCAGCTGCGTCTCCAGAACGGCATCTTCCTCCGACGAATGCACATCTTGCAGGGGAGCGACTGGCAGTGGCTTGACGAAGTTGGGTCTCACTGTAGCCATGTTAGCAAAGGTCGAAAGAAACCGGCGTCATGCACATACTAATAACGCGTCGAGTCTGCCTCTTCTGTCCCCGTTTCTTCCAAACTTTCCTAGGCTGCCCATCCGGACCCTGCGCATCGTCATTCTCCTGATTTCCTTCATCCTCAGAATCAACAGCCCCATCCGGTCCCAAGGGCATGGCCTGCTGACTATCCTCAACCACAACCTCAGGTGCGTTACTCTTCCTAGGTACCACGATCCCCTCCGCCTCCATTTCCATTTCCCGCATAATCTCCGCCTCCTCGTCCAAGCGATCCTCCTCCTGCTTCTTCAACGACTGAATCATACTGCTCAAACTGCGCCCAAGTCCCCGCCGTTTCCAGGGCGCAGGTCGCGGCGTGGGTTCATCGTCCTCAATGATGACATCCAGAGCAGCGTCGCGCCGCAGAAAGGCGGGCGTTGCCAAGCCCTTGAGCGCAGATGTGGGCGTGCCTTCTTCCCCTCTCTTCCTCTTCTGAGGTGTTACGAATCTGTCCAGCAAATTCCGTTTGCCAATTGACTGTGGTGTCCTTTCTCCTCTTCCGGGCGGTAGAGACGTCTCGCTCTCCGGGACCTCGAGGTTCCTGCTCGGCGTCTGAAGTACATTGGGCGCAACCTCTGCTAATACTGCGCGACGCTTACTCGGAGTCTCGGTAGGCAGGAGGTCGAACAATCCTAACACAATGCCGTCGCGTTGCGGAGTAGGGCCAATCATGTCCGGGCCTTGTGGTGACAGGTTTTCGTTCACTTCAGTAAGTTCACCAAAGCTGACACCGGAATCACGTTTTCTCTTCAAAGGCGTAGCATTGAGGCTCTTCTGCTGTGCTTTGGGTGTCTTCTCCCCGTCGGAAGCGGGTTTGCGAGTCGCGGTCCGTTTGGAGGGGGTTCGAGGTTGTGACCTGCCCGAAAGAATGTCACGGAGTTTGTTGTACTCTTTATATTTTGCAGCTAGCATAATTCGTCAGTTATTCTCATCCAAAACGATTCCAACATGTCGTGTGCATACAAATCGTCGCATCGGCCTTGATATCCTCGCGGCCCGCCTTCCTCCCCTCATGTTCTGCTGCAAACGCTTTTTCCCAAGCCTTCAACTCCAGTCTGAGCGCATTACAGCGCGTTTCCAATTCGGAGCGGTCCATGGTGTGTGTAAAGATAGATATGTATGTGGTTTTGTGTATGTACTAGCTGCGGCCATTTGAGGTTCGCGGTTAGACGCGACGGACCACGGCCGCAACGCGACCAGACCAGACTTCCCTCGCTACAAGCCACGCACCAGCCACTTCGGACCCACTTTCATCACGGCCTGCCGCGACTATCTCCAATCCTGCCCATACACAGTACATAGCATGTGTAATAGCTTCGCGGCTACCTTCGATACAATTTCATTCCCCTTCGCGGCTTGGAAAGCTGAAAACGGATATCTACACAATGTTCCTCAAACTGTGTACAAAGAACTCGTATTCCAAGCCGCGTAGCTCAAAGTGACGTCACCCACCAAACGCCCATTGCCTTGGTGTATGTAACAGCTAAAACTCAAGAAGTTGGATGTATCGTGACCGCCCGCCTTTCCAGAAGGTGCCCCTCCAAGTACAACACCACAGCTTCACAACAGGATATATCACAACAGCCCATCCCTACATTAACACAATTTTCTAGCCGCCACCACCTCCATCTCCAGCAACCCCATCCACCAACAATGACAGCACCCGTCTCCCACCCGGCCCTAACAACCGCCATCTGTCACCTGGAGCATCGCTGCTGGCAAGCTCTCTGCGCCTCGGGGCCCTCCCTCATTCCGCTTCTGTCGAAAAATCCCGTCATGATCTTCCCCGGAGACATTCTCCTCACTGCCAACTCCTCGCCCACCCTACACGAAATGCTACAAAGCCCAGAATATCGACCTTGGAAGAGCTACAAGCTATCGCACGATGAGGTAATACCCCTGGGCAGGGACGCCGCCCTCATCTACTACCGCGTCGAAGCTGTGAGAGACGACACAGTCTTCCGAGCCCTCTGCTGCAGTGCATGGGTGAAGGAGGGAACTGGAGAGGGGACTAGCGACGAGGAATGGAAGATGGCAAGTCACCAACAGACTCTCATCTAAGAATTTCAGACTCGTATTATGGCAGAGGCAAGCTGAGAAACCTGTGGCTTTTGGGTAAACAGGCAAGATATAATACAGGTACTATGCACAAGCCCCCTATCGTCAAACGCGTCAAACTCGACGTGCTAATGGTGCCGCAGCTGCTAAGAAAAGCCTCCAGGAAACGAAAAAGTCTAGTAGTGAATTGCCTTGTCATAAGTCGCCATAGCTGCCTCCTTGAACGCTTCTGAGAGGGTGGGATGGGCGTGCGATGTGCGGGCGACGTCTGCGGCTCTGTCAGCTTCTCTCTTCTCCAAGCGATTACTGCTATGGTCCGCCTTACCTTCGGAGCTTGCGCCATACTCGAGGGCGAGAGTGCCCTCCGCAATCATTTCACCGGCGTTGGGGCCAACAATGTGGATACCCAATATCCGATCAGTGTTAGCGTCCGAAATGAATTTGACAATACCCTCAGTGTCCAAGTTGGTCTTCGCTCTTGAATTGGCAGAGAAGGGGAACGTGCCAACTTTGTACTTGACGCCAGCGGCCTTGAGCTCCTGCTCGTTCTGGCCAACCCAGGCGACTTCCGGGTGGGTGTACATGACGGATGGAATTGCTCCGTAGTTTACGTGGCCATAGCCCTTCGTGAGGTACTCGACGGCAGCAACGGCCTCCTCTTCGGCCTTGTGGGCAAGCATGGGTCCAAAGGTGACATCGCCGATAGCGCGGATGTGGGGAATCTTTGTACGGTATTCCTGGTCAATGACTATGCGGCCCCTCTCATCCGTCTCCAGACCGATGTTGTCGAGCCCAAGGCCAGCGGTGTAGGGTCGGCGGCCGATAGCGACGAGGACAACATCAGCATCGAGCTACTTCAGTTAGACATGCACTAGGCCAGGTTTTCGAAGAACATACCACTTCCTCCTTGCCACCCTTGGCAGCCTCCACGTTGACCTTGACGCCCTCTCCAGAGTCATCACCAGCAGTGACCTTCGTGTTCAGCTTGAACTTCATGCCCTGCTTGGTGAGCATCTTCTGCGTCATCTTGGCGATTTCAGCATCCATGCCAGGTCCACCAATCTGGCCCAAGAACTCCACGACAGTGACTTCGGCACCGAGACGGGACCACACAGAGCCCTATGACAGTTAGCTGTGCTCACAGCAGCTATTCCATGGATCATACCATCTCAAGACCGATGATACCGCCGCCGATAACAACCATCTTCTTGGGAACCTCCTGGAGCGCAATAGCACCGGTGCTGGTGATGACCTTCTTCTCATCGATAGTCAAACCGGGGAAAGGCGTCGCCTCGGAACCAGTAGAGATGAAGATGTTCTTCGCGCGAACAGTGGTCTCGCCGCCATCAATGAGGTTGACTGCGACAGTGTGTTCGTCCTGGAATGCGCCCGTGCCCTTAATGTACTCCACATTGTTCTTCTTGAAAAGAAACTCAATGCCCTTCGTCAATCCGGATACAGAAGTCTCCTTGGCCTTCATCATCTGCTTTAGATTGACGCTGACACCTTCCACCTCGATGCCTCTTTGCTTGGTGTCGTGCAGAATTTGGTGGTATAAATGCGAGTTGTTGAGGAGGGATTTTGAGGGGATACAGCCGACGTTCAAGCAGGTTCCGCCGAGACTGCCACGCTTCTCGATACATGCAACCTGCATCATGCGTTAGGAATGTGGATTTCCATCTTGAAAGTGCCCGCGCACCTTCAATCCAGCTTGTCCAGCTTTTATCGCGGCGACATATCCGGCAACGCCTCCACCGATGATGACCAGATCCTTCTCCTCTGCCAACGGTTAGTGGAAGCTCCACAGACTGGGAAGTTGATGATAAAGCTCACCAGAGTCCGACGCATAGCCTCGTCGTAACCGGCCCTGGAAATAAATGTTTGGAGCGCAAAAGGTGCTGGTAGGCACTGGTCGCGCAGGGAGCAGCGACCTTGCACGAGGAACAGCAGCTCGGAACATGATGTGAGGAGGTGACCACAAGCCAGGAGAATACCGCAAGCAATACGGCAGAAGAGGGAGAAGAGTGCCAATTGGGGGCGTGGAAGATGCAGATGACGGACACTCCGCGATGAAGTGTTGAGCCCGTTAAGGATTACCGGAACCAAGAACTGTGGCGCAGAGAATTGGTCAGCCACATCGCCTTGTCCACCAGTAAGTAATTCCCGCAGCCCTACAGCGGCATTGCGCGGCTTAAGGCGGGGGGGGAATATCTGATGCTAAAATCACGATTACTTTATCTATTATTTGAGGCAAACAAGCTCGTCATGGTATCTAGTCTTCATCCAAAGCCATTGTTGACATCAGTCTTGTCAACATCTCCGCGACCTCCTGGCATGCCCACTGCACCGTCTCCTTTTCGCCCTTATCCGTAGTGAGCTTCGTCTTCCGGACGACCTTCTTCAGGAAGTACTGCAGACCAGGAATCATCTCTGGTGCCGTGTCCGCATTGACAAAGATATTCAGCAGTTTCTTTTGGTCTCTTCTCCCTTTGGCCCCCTTCTGTGACTCCATTATGACTGTGAAAAGCAGGATCTCGATGAACGTCTGAGTTTTGGGCTTCAGATACTGGAAGCTCAACGGCTTGAGGCAAGCAATGGACAAGCAATCATTGGCAATCAGTGTTCCATAAAGCTTGCCAAGGTTGACCAGCTTTCTCAAGGATAAGTCGACATTACCGGACTCATCTTCGTCGTCCGATCCAGTCCCTTCTGCTCCCTGCTCTCCCAAACTCTTGAATACATCCCAAAGCGCAAATTGGAAACTTTTGCGTGGTTTATGATCTCCGCAGAACTTCCGCGCAAGGAAAGTATAGTAAGGGTTATAGGTCTTCTCGCAACCCGCACAATGGACGATGATGCGAGGGATCTCCGCCTCCTGGGATTTCTTCAAATTCAGCCTCAGCAGACGCATGTGTGCGTCATTGTAGTCAGAAGCTGACATGATGGTGATAAAAATGGCCCTCCGCACGTCCGTGTTCATGCGTTGTTCGCGTGCCAGTTGAAGCAGATCAACATCATCGTCCTCTCCCAAATCGAGGACTTGGGTAGTTTTTGCCCCGCGGTGTTCGTCCTTTTGGGATGGCACACTCTCGTCAGGGTCATTCCGCCAACTTGCTCCAACTAACCACCACTTTCCTTTCTTTTCGGTATTCTTGATGTCCGACAGACCTATCCGTAACGGTTCCGTGCCCTTGATATTGCGCGTATTCAAAGACCCTAATTGCTTCTTCATTCTTGTTCTGTGCTCGCTGACTATGGCGGAAGCCGCCACTCCTGTCTTCATGCGATTGTTCTTGAGATTGTTGATCGTCTCGATCATGAACTTCGTCCGCACCGGAAGCTTGCTCTCTCCGACCTTTGCGACGGATTTCTGAAGCAGCAATACGATATCCTTCAGCGAAGTGGGATCATCCTGCCGCAGCTGGGGTCCGGAAACCTTGACGATTCGTAAAAGCAGCTCTGTGTTGATCTCAGACAGTTCCTCTAGAAAGAATTTGATATAGTCGAACACAAGATTGGTTCCAATGACTTGGAACATGTATAGCTCGGAGACGACTGAGATGAGATTTGTCGTCTGCTTCCCTGTTCCGGTCTTGTTTGTTGGGTAATATTTGTCAAACTCCGACACTATCCGCTCCACCAACTGGGCACTGAATTCGGTCCCGATGACCTTGAAAATAGCAGCCATAAAGCCTGAATGCAGTAAAATGAACGTATCAAGCAGAACGGTCTCGTCGGTCAGCTGACCTACGAGCAGATCCACCAAAGTAGTAGTAACGTAACCGCGAGCATTGCTCTGATATACTTGTTCGATATCGCGCAAGATCGTCAGCATATTCGCGTCTGAGAGCCTGTTAAGGAGACCTTGAATCTGTCTCCTGAGGCGAGCCAGAGCCTCGGCATCTGATGACGGGGGAGCCCGAAGGGCTGGGGGGATGTACTTTGCGGGTTGTGGTGTATCGCTTGCGACAGGGGCGACGTACGGGTTCTCTCGTACGCGTGGCTTCTCAGGTACTACATCTTCAACGCTTTCATCCTCTTCACCCGATTCGAACCCATTGAAGGAGTCGTCATCCTCGTCCATCTCCTCATCTATGTCTGACTCCATGTCTGACTCGAGCCCTGAACCCCTATCATCATCTGACGCCTCATCGAAGCCTCCTTCGTCAGAGCCTTCATCCTCTGAGCTTTCTTCACGTTTGTTCAATGCTTTCCGCCTCTTACTGGCAAGCCACTCCTCGTCTTCGCCCCTTTTCCGCTTGGCTTGTCCATCACCACCTGTGTCATCTGGGCTATCCAAAGCGTCTAGATCTCTGAAAAGCTCGTCCAGGCCATCATCAAACCCGGACTTTGAATTTTTTCCCTTGATTCCGAGTTTCTTCTCCAGCGCCGCAATTTCTGCATCGTCTTCAGCAAGTCGGTCCCTAACCGCTTTCGAGATACGGTGAGGTGGCGAAGGTGACGGTGCCTTCTTTCTTTCTGGAGCGTCCTCGTCATTCGTTTTCTTTAGAATACTCTTCAGCGGCTTCTGTTGCGAGGGCCTGGTATGCACCGGCTCCGGCGTGGAAAAGTCGTCCTCGCTGAACCCGTCCGCTTCCTCGTCCTCTGATTCCGGCTCGGTACGCTTATGCCGAAATCCGTTTCTGCCCTGAGCTTGCTTCTTGTGCCCCTTCTTCTCTTCTCTCTCAGCCTTCCGTCTCTCCTTGCGGTTAAGTGGACCGTTGCGCCCGCGCCCGTTCTTCAGATTCGCCGGATCTATGCCAGGTTAGCAATTTCTTCCTTTTCCGAAAGATGCCACAGTATCGCACACACCTCCAATCTGGTCGCGAAGAGCTTTCGGCAACTGAGGACCCGAGAACTGCCGCTGCCGCATCGTTCCAAGGTTGATGTTTTGAGGTGTAGTGGGCTCCAGAAAAAAGTTCCAAGGGGCGCTCGGAGGTCCGAAATGCAAGCCAGGGTCCTCTCTGGCGTAGTTCCCCGCCTTCCGAGCCCGCCCAACCCCGTCCTTCAGCGCACATCATTTGTCCCACCTTCAAATTCACGTCTGAGCTATTTGCGCAAGGACAGTGGAGGCGCAATATGGCTGGGGAGCACTTGACGAACGATGAGGTAGCCACATCGCTACTTGCGTATTGCAATTCGACTAACGAGGCGGCAGTTCTTCAAGCAACTCGCGAATCTATTCGAGCTCAATCGCACCAAAGGCCACGGCAGTGTGTACCTCACGCAGAAGCGCTTCACATACAGAAATGTGCAACTCCCTTCAGCGGATAAAATGATTGAGGATCCGCTATGGGACACATATCACCCAGAGCAGCCAGTGCCAGTCTTAATCCGGGCATCAAATAACGATTCGTCGAAGCGGGCGGGGACGGAGAGGAAAAGCGTCGAGAAGATAAAGATATCCACAGTTGTGCAACCGGACCAAATAGAGGAGTTTTATGCGCGGTATGCCGAAGCTTGTAAGGCAGGAATGAGCGGGTTGAAGAAGAGGGATAGGAAGAAAGGCAAGAAAGACAAGAAGAAAAAGAAAGGTGCAAGCGCAGAGACGAAAGTATGAAGAGGGAAGTGTAAACAGGCAAGCACAGCGATACATTGAGCATATGGTTAAATGCCTCATGGAACTTGAGTCTGGAAACACGTTTGTCTTCCAGCGGATGGGAACATTCACATATCCCGTGATGAGCACTTGGAGGCGCTGTTCCCTCTAGGGGTAGGAGTCGGAACCATCACACACAGAACTGGCGAGGTGGGAGAGAGGGTATTAGACGCCAAATACTGAGAGAAGCCAAAAGAGAACCCAGACGTATTCGCCTGTAAAGTTAATACCTCCATCGAATCACGCTCGACCCCACGTATTACGTGAATCAGAGCTCTATTTCCTGCTCATCCTCTTGAAAAGCCGCAGATTCAATGGCAGTGGCTGGCCCATCCACGTAGCCCTCTGCGTGTGGTCTCTCTCCTCCTCATCCGTGTTCGGATGAATCAGAGCGGACAGTGGACCTCTATTGATCACCAGCCAAGGTATGAATGCCCCAAACTGCTCTGGTGTGAATATATTCACCTCAAACATGGCCATAGGATGAGGCCCAATCGGCTTGTCCCATATCTTGTAGATTCGAAGCTCGGGGACTGCAACAGCTGGTCAGCGTAGGTTCTCTGAATGGCACAAGTAACGGACATTCTCGCCTTATCCGTTCCCAGAGTTCGGTGGCAAACTTGACCTCCTCCTCTTCTGTTTGGAGGAAGTATATATGAACGCTGGTGGTGTCCGTAAATAAGCACGTTCGTTGGCATGACCTCGAGACGCATACTCAAAGCCGCTACGCTCATCGTTTCTGATAGGAGAAACGAAGGCATTGTATGCTTCGCTCTTCTTCTCGGCTGGTGGATTCACGTACGACTTCCCGTCAGCAGCTTTCTGCCTATATCAAACAATCAGATCAGTACGTTTGTAACAGCTTTTCCTAACGTACTCAGGAAGGGGTTCCAGACCCTGGTAGCCCTCTAGAGGGGAAGGATAGGTGTAGAGACTCGGATCCGACATATTCACTTATAGGAGGAGACCTAGGAAAAGCGGAGCAGCTTCAGGTTACTGCGACATTTCTTCCTTCGATGAGGAATATGTATTACAAAGGTAGATGAGGGGTACAGTTTCAGCGCCACAAACAGACTCTAGCCACATTTCGATGTACCTAACTTGCTATAAGAACATATACATGTACACAGTAAACCAGGGATATGTTATGTAGCCTTTCCCCTGAGGCTAATCAAGGATTCACTCGGAGACATAGCGCGTATCAGAGGCGGATAGGCCACTTATTTAATAGCGGGGCTTCGGCCAGGGCCCCGCCGACCGAAATTGTGTATGAGTCTTCAACCACACGTCCTCACCTTCACTTTGACAACAAACTCAGTACACGCTCCGGAGGCTGGTCCGCCCTCCTAACTCTACGTGAATCGGATTCCTGGCCTGCCTTTCCCACAATTGTCTGCCCAACATGGCTGAACAGACTTACTACATCGACGAGGACACCGGAGAGGACAGTTCGCTCCAGAACGGCACCGACGATCTTCCCTATAAATCACTTGCTTATGCGGTTTACGTTCATGGCGGGTCAGCCAAATTCCTCACTCGCAAGAGTCTAACAGGAGAGATTCCAGAGGGCGCGGAGGCCAGCGCGCGGTTAGAGTGGAAGCCCGCTCCAAAGAGTGCACTCAAGAAGGCCGTCAACATGGCGGCCGCAAGGAAGAAGAAGGAAGAGAAGGAACAGCAACAGTTGGAGATGCGGTTAAAGGCGGACGCCGACCGGAAAAAGGTGCTCGACGAGGCGAAGAAAATCGTTCTCACGGAAGACAAGTCGCTCCCGACCCCCATCAGGATCAAGCTCGACGATACAGACCCAGAAAAGATACAATTGGGCGATGGGGCTGAGAAGAAGGGTACCAGAGTCCGTGTCTTTGGACGCGTACACAGAGAGCGGAGGCAAAAGGAGGTTATGTTCGTTACGTTAAGGGACGGCTACGGTTTCATGCAGGTCATCCTTCAAGGTGACCTTGCGAAGACATACGATGCTCTTACTCTCACACGCGAGACGAGCATGGAGATCCTAGGAGAGTTGAGGGAGGTTCCAGCAGGCGCACATGCCCCCAACAACAGGGAACTGCACGCGGATTACTATGTTATCCATGCAGGAGGGAAGGCCGCCGGCGGTGATGATGCTATTACCAACAGGGTCTCCAAGGACACGGAGCACGCGACCCTCCTAGATTTGCGACAGTAAGTGAACTTGGGTGTCCTGTTTTCCGTGCAGAATAGCCCGTTGCTAACTTTCATCCAGTCTTACCCTCCGAGGAGAGAACGCTTCCAAGGTCATGATTGTGCGAGACGCCGTCGAATTCGCCTTCAACACCGTCTACAAGGAGCTCCGCATGCGCAAAGTCAGCCCTCCCGCTCTTGTCCAGACCCAGGTCGAAGGCGGCGCCACGCTCTTCAAGTTCCAATACTACACTGAAGAGGCCTATCTTACCCAGTCCTCTCAACTCTACCTCGAGACCTGCCTGCCCTCGATGGGAGACGTCTACTGCATTGAGAAATCGTTCCGCGCCGAGAAGTCCCTCACCCGCCGCCACCTCAGCGAATACTCCCACATCGAGGCCGAACTCGACTTCATCACCTTTGACGATCTGCTCAACCACCTCGAGCACGTCATGTGCCGGGTGCTCGAAGTCACCATGTCCGACCCCACGATAAAGCAATACATTCTGGACCTCAACCCGGAATTCCAGATGCCCGAGCGCCCCTTCAAACGCATGAAGTACTCGGAAGCCATCGACTGGCTCGTCGAGCATAACATCCCCAACGAAGAAGGCCACCCGCACAAATTCGGCGACGACATCGCCGAGGCCGCCGAGCGCCGCATGACTGACATCATCAACCGCCCCATCTTCCTCACCCACTTCCCCACCGAGATCAAGGCCTTCTACATGCAGCGCGACCCGCAGGACCCGCGCGTCACCGAGAGCGTCGACTGCCTCATGCCCGGCGTGGGCGAGATCGTAGGCGGAAGTATGAGGATGTACGATTACGAGGAGTTGATGGCGGCATTTGCCAGGGAGGGGATTGATCCGAAGCCGTATTATTGGTATACCGATCAGAGGAAGTGAGTCTCCCTGGGTTTCTTTTAATGGTGCTGTGTGTGAATGAAATATGCTGACTTGGGAAACAGATATGGTAGCTCTCCCCATGGTGGCTACGGTCTCGGTCTCGAGCGTTTCCTCGCGTGGTTGTGCAAGCAGCATACGGTGAGGGATTGCTGCTTGTACCCCAGGTACTTTGGTCGCTGCAAGCCTTGAGTGGAAGTGTCGACTTCATCTTTGGGAGTCTAGATAGGTTCACGCTGTTAGGGGCGGAGTTGCTATAGACGTTGTCTATTTCCTCCTTTCGTCTCCGGAGGAATTCCTTGGTGTTGAGGACTGAGGCGAGCGTGTGAGGAGGATGGATTGAAGACGCGGATACGAAGGTGGTATGACTTGGAGAGATATCAAGCGGAAGAAGCCGTAGCAGCGTGTAGTGGCAATACCAATAGACATGACTGTCAAAAGCACGCACAGCCTTGATCCCCTCTCAACGTGGTTTCTCTTTCCCTCCGGGGACGCTGTGTAGACCCCCAAACACCATACTTTACATACACTTTCGCAGGTAGAAAGAGCACATCACAGTCAAAGTCAAACCACGTTTGAGATCTCATAACCCGCGTGACAAGATTACATGTCCATTGACGCAGCATGCATGCCCATGAGCATACCTAAGCACGCAGACTATGTCCGCTCTCAATCATTCCCATCTGCCATAGCTATGCCATTCCAACTCCAGCCGGACCCATGCCCTTCCACAGGAGAAGACGCTGCCATGACGCCAGAACCAGACACGATATGCAAATCCCCAAAGCTCCAGCTCCAGCTCCGTCGCAAGTGCACCGCTAACCCCCTCCCTGTGCGTCAAATCCACCTCTCCATCAATCAATCTGAGCATCCCGCGATCACCAGCTTTCTCCACCTCTCGATCCCTTCGCGCTCCACCCAGGTCGCTTGCGACCCAGCTCAATCACCCGACGAGCGAAATTAATCCCCTCCTCAGACGGAAATCGCCGCCTACGCAAAAGGGATTGGGAAACCAGGAAGAAATAACTCCACGCTATGCAGTCCGATGTGTGTGTGTGCGTGTGTATACACCGATAGTAGTAGCAAGTAACGAAAGTCGGAAAAGACTCCAGGGGAAAAAGCCAAGCGGGAAAAGAAAGCAACCGGACACTTCGGGCTCAAACGGCAATCAGCCTCTTCCAGGGCACGGGAATCGCCGTTGATGATGTTGACGGACGCCAAGAAGATTTGAACCATATCAAACCAACTGGAAATGAAAATGATGCCGATGATCTGCGCAGCCGCTCCGTTCCAAAACCTTGTTGGAGAGTTACGGCAAAACCACGCGTCATTCCCTTGCTGCTACCATCCGCTCCTCTCCGCGGAGTAGTGTAGCTCAACCCTTCAGAGCGCGATCGATAAGCTCCTTGAGTTTCAGTAGCTCAGCGCGCTTCTCCTCTGTCAATGGGCCTGGTCCTCCGTTCGAAATCGCGGACACAACATCAGCAGGGGCTTCGGCCTAAAAGGGCGGAATGTTAGCGCTGAAACAGGACGATGATAAGCGGGGGACGTTTAGTGGGTAATGCTTACCATGAGAGTGAGACAAAGCGCGTCAACGTTCGCCTCATTGAGGCCAATGTCGCTTTCTTTCTTCGCAAGCTGTGCAAGATGGAGTGCTGCTTGCTGCTGCTCGATCGGGCGAACGGCGAACATCTGGTGAGAGGCTTTGCGTTGGGCTGCAGCTCGGGCTGCAGCCCTGGCAGCTTTGCGCTCTGCCCGCCTCTGTTCGATGCGTTCACTACAACCTCATCAGCATTTCGAGTCAAAATAAGGGTAATCGTCAAAACTTACCGCTTGACCTTGTCAAGGAAGTCGAGAATTATGCCCTTTTCAGGGATGCGGTAAACCTTTGATTTGGCATCTTCCGGACCGAATATGTAGTTGCCTTCGCCATCAGTCTCATCATCAGAATCATTGATAATCTCGACAAGTCCATCGTTGCGCATTCCGCGCGAAAAAGTCGGGTCCACAACAGGTGCTTGCTTGGGTTTGCGGATCTTGCGCGTGACCTGCACGCGAGGTACAGCATCTGTCATGTCCAGGTCCTCATCGTCAAAGGCACTCAAGCTTCTCTGGCGGAGAACTCCGTTGCGAAGGTCGTGATCAACGTGACGCGGGCACTTCCAAGCGTCCCGAGTAGTAGACTCCAGATTGATCGGCGGTGGGTTAGCAAGTGGCGGGTCACAGCAGTCCAGGTGCCAGAAGGCGTCGCAAAAGTTGCACTGGATCAGTTGTCGCTTGCCCCCGGACGACTGGCCGCACTGAACACAAAGGATCATCTTGTTATTTGCATCCTGAGTCCGAATGTAATCTGGCTTCTGGTAGCCATACGGATTCTTAGACCTGGGATGCGTGAGTGTGGCGCAATCAACACATGTGCGACCGGACTTACAAGGGTATCTTCTTGACTTCTTCTGCGTAGGACCCGTCATCTCGAGCATAGACGCCTTCGAAGTAGTTCTGGATGTCCAGAGGCAGGGAGAATGTCCGGGTGATGGTAGACTCCAAGTTTTTGAAGAGGGAAACGAAGTACTTGGGTGTTGGCGCATCTACTCCGCGGTTTTCCGAACGTTTCTGCTTTGCGTCACAGTCATGACACAGGAATGAGCCCTCCGGAGGATCGAGGCGAGGAGGATCGCAACAGAGGAAGTGGAAAACACGCGTGCAGTTGTCGCAGCAAACAAACTCGCCCGGGCCTTTGCAGGCAGAGCAGAAGTCGTCGCTCTCAGTCTGCGGCGAATCCTGACGTAGAGTTAAAAAACATGATACAACAGAGCTAGGAGGTGAAGGAGGCAAATTCGACTTTTCAACGAGTGTTGTGAGAAGCATGGAGATGGATTATGAAAGTGACGGGTTCTGTGTTGATGATGATGTGGTGGTGGAGGAGGAAGAGAGGAAGTGGGCCGTGAGTGGTTGGGCGCAAGCACTGGGAAGTGGCACTTACGGGGTCATTGTCATCAGGCCCGAACTGTCTCGAACCGCCACCACTTTGTGACATGCCAGCGATAGGCCCATTACGATTCTTGACCGGCCTGTGCACACAAATGCAGTTAGTGATAATATTCGAGTCTCTCAGAAATCCGAAACACATAGGCAAACACGTAAGACACGTAGACGGTGCTCAGTCGCTCACGCCTGTGCCTGGGCAGCGCTCTACGCACCATCGAGAGCACATCGGAAAAACTCAAAATGCATGTAACGCGGGAGGAAAGGGAACGAGGACTTACGATCGTTTGATACGAGCATTGCCATTATTCAGCCGAAGCTTCTTTTGCGGAGGTCCCAGTGCAGGAGTAGAGGGCCGCGTCGACGCAGCTGAGCCAGGCCGGGACGAGGACCCCCCAGCAGTGTCTTCCCGCAACCGCTTTCCCGTAGCCAGAGAGAGGGCGGGATGCGATGCTTTTCCGGCGCGACGCCCTTTACCACTGTCCATCGGTGGGCCGACAGCAATCTGAGACTCGGTGAGGGACTCCGTCTCGAGCATCTCGTCTTCAAAGCGCGTTTCCGACACCGGCGGGTTGACGAACAGTTTAACGGGCTGTTTTTCTGCCAGTTGCTCCTTACGCCTCAGAATCTCTGCCTCTTCAGCCAGCTCTTCGGGGGTCGGGGGTTGCTTCTTCTCCTGCCGACCGTTTGGCTTTGCCGAACTTGCTCGCGACTTCTTACCAACCCGCGCAATAGCCGGAGGTTTCTTTGCAGCCGCTGGAGCAGGAGTACTTGCATTGGTTCGGAGAGGCTCTGGAGGGCCATTTTGAACGATTTCCTCGTTGACGTCCGAGAGATCGGAATCACTGATTGCAGCGACGACCGACTCTGGTGTCTCTGCCGCGGGAGACTGCGCATTGGTAGCGATGCCAGCATCTGCGTCTTGCTCGACCGCAGAGAATCCGTTGATCTCCTTCTGTTTGGTCGGAGATTTTGATGACATTCGTGTGGGGTTAGGGGACGGTGAGTGCTTGGCAAGGGTGGGAGCGGTGGCAAGTGCGTGAGATTCGACTGCTTCAGAAACCGGTGAAGTTGGGACAGTCTGCAGCGCCGAAGATAATTCATCCCCATCGATATCCATCGGATCAGAAGGCAATACAGTAGATCCAGCAGCGTCGTCCAAGGAGGCTGTGGCTCCGGTGGATTTCGTGGGTGAGGCAGTGCGTGTTCCCCTGGCGGGTGTGGACGAAGCAGGTGAGGAATTGCGTGCAGAGTGAAGCTTCGGAGGCCGACGTGAAATATGGGTTTTGTTGTCTCCTCGTGCCTTTGCTTCGTGTTTGATGCGCCGCTTCGCCTGTTTGATGTAGGTGCGGAAAGTGTGGTACTGCTCCGGTGTCGCCGACTGAGAAATCACCGCTATCAACACGTCGCGAAGGCCTTGGTCCCTTTCAGACTCGTCGTGCATCCTTCGCAGGGCTTCCCCGACAAATGCCCTGTTGTCCGCTAGGGCCCGTGCGACGGCATCGTTGATGACGATGAGCATACGTTGCCTGGCAGCGCTCTCTGCAACGTCGTCGATGAGCGGAGGTAGACCTTGGCTCTTGATGCTGTTGCCCGTGGCCGGCGTCCTGTGAATACCATTCTGTATGGGCGTCTTCTGCTTGGGTGTCTTGTTCTGCATTGGCGTCTTGCCCCTGACCGGAGTTTTCGCGACCTGCGCTTTCGCCTTGCTCTTAGCGGGACGCCATTCTTCATCATCGTCTTCATCCTCCTCCTGAGTCTTAGCCTCCATGGAGTTTTCCTCATCATCCTCCTTGCCGTCATCGTCGCGTTCGAGCTCCCGCGCAGGTGTCGCCTCTGGGGTGGACACGGCATCCTCAACACCAGAATCGACGCCAGCTCTTCCGGAAGGCCCGTTACGGGTGGCGGGTTCAGTTAAGGCACGCGCCTGTTGCCTCATCTTCGCATTTGGGCGCACTCCCAGAGGTGCCATGGTCTCGAGCACGCCGTGTCGTGCGAAGCCGTGATCTTCGAATGAGGGAACGGGCTTTTTGGGTGGTGGCTCTATCCAACCGTCAAGGTTGCTTTGCTGCTTGTCCTTTCGCGTGTCGGAGGGTGGAGAGTCGAGGTCGGTGGGAGTTGCGTACGGGGTGCTAGTCCGGCTCTTGCGCGCGCTCTTGCGGAGAGCCGGCATGGCGACTCCAGGGGACTGGGTGCTTATCAGCGTGAAAGTCGCGCCGACGAGTGAAAGGCATACTTACCACGCGTACTACTGGATTATTTTACGTGCAAAATAGCTCCAGCTGTGCGTGTCCTCCTGTCGGGGTGGGGGACGGTGATTACGTTGGAGTGGTAAAGTGAGGAACAGAGTTGGAGCGTAGAAATTGGCGAGTTGCGGAGACCTGGGGGCCCCTAGCCTCACCCAAAAGCACAGCAAAAGTACCGCAACGATGAGTGCGGTCGATGTTGGAAATTCTTGACGATTGTAAGTCTGCAAGAAAGAAGACTTTTCGAAAAGATGGTCGGAAAGTGGAGGGTTGAGGGAAACTCTCCGTCGAGGGGGGAGAGAGCTTCTTATAGGTATCTCGTCCCCCTATACTCTTCACTCACTCACTACTGGTGGTCGTCCACTTATTGAGGATAATAGAAAGCACAATCAGCTTTTTATCATTGTATGCGCATCATCATACACCCCAGATGTTTTTTACGGAGGGAGGCTACACCACATGACCTGGGAGCTAGCCCCCTGCTTGATCGTGGTGAATCTCACACAGCAGACTAGATTGCACTAAACGGAGAAATACTTGTGCTGTTGAAGATCGCTATAGGCTTTTTTCATTTGTTTCCAGGCTGCCTAACCCATATCTGCCTACGCCTCCACGGTGACACCTCTCATCGGCCAGCCGTGGAGGCCCCCAAATGTGGGCATGCCAATGGGTAGCTCTCAGTAACCGGAATTATTTGCGCTCAAATGAGTCAAGGCTCTCAGACGATGTCTTCTCGTGAGCCTCTTTGACGATTCTCCTCTCGACGTCGAGTTACTCCTCGTCGCCGCTGCTCTCCTCCTCCTCCTCACCACCACCAGCAGCAGCCTTCTTAGCGGGCTTCTTCTTCTTCTTGCGGTTCTTATTCTTGGTTGACGTTTTCCCGATGGGCTGCTCAAGGAGTTTGAGGATTTCCTCGTCCTCAATCTTCTTATCCGTCTTGTACTTTGAGACATCCAGTGCAGGAGGAGCAGCGATGCGCGTGATGCCGTTTTTGGTTATCGCTGTAGAACCAGTAAGCATAAGCATCGAAAAATAACCTTGGAGCTGTGAATAAAAAGAGAAGCGCTTCGCTGTTCACGGCTGACCAGCTTGGTCGCCGTTCATCAGCTCCGCTCAGCTCCATCAGGAGCGATAATGCAAGGGAGTGCCGCAGGAAAAGTGTCACATACCAATGGTGGTGAAGAGTCTGGCAACAGGGTCATTGTTCTTGTCTCCAACGACCTCATACTGTCGGAGCACGCCGCCGCGGACACACTCAACGACACCAACCTTTGCGGCCTTCTCATCATCAAGCTGTCTCAAACTGAAAGGGAAAGTTCCGAACTTCTTGACAACCTCCGAGAGGAGAGCCCTTGAAGTTGGTCGCTTCAGGCCGTACGTCGCAGCAGTGCGGCGGTGCAGCGTCGCCCTGTTGCTAAGAGTCTTGACCTTTCCGCTCCCCAGACTGACGCCCATCTCAACACCCCACGCCTCGCCCACCTCGGGAAGACCCTCGCCCTTGACACCCTCGCCTGGTGCAAGAATAATCTTTTTCTTGGCCTCAATCTCGTTGTGCTCAAACTGCCAAATGGTGGTGCTCTCAACCAGATTGCAATCGTACGCGTGAACCACCTTCTCCAGCATCTGAGTGATTTGCGACTGGGTATAGGGCTTCCGCGCCCGGGCTTTCTTCTGTTCCTCGTCATCTCCAGAAGCCAGGAGTCCGGGGGGAAGCATGAGTCTCAGGAGTAGCTCATTGGCATAGTATGTGGCCAGCATAAGATCCGCCTCGCGCCCGCTGACTTCGCCAGACTCTCCCACCAGAATGGTATCGCAAACGATAGCAGGGAAGCCATCAATCTGAGCGCCCAGTTGGATCTTGACCGCTTCACCCTTCTTCAGCGTCGTAGCCGCCTCCTCTGCGTCCGACTTCAGTGGAGTATATGGGGTAATGTAGGAGCTCGGGGAGACGGTCGTGCAGTGGCCGATGCCCTTGGCTACTTTCTTGCCCTTGTAGACCTTTGAGATTTCTTCCTCGAGAAGCTTGTCGCCGCGCTCGCAGAGCTCGACGATGTTGGCGCCTTCAGTACACCATCCTGGGGGCCTTTAGTCCGAGTCCTCTGCTACGGAAAGAGCTCTGGCGTCAAGCTTTCACCTACCTGATACTTCCTTAAGGACTTTCTCGGATATTCCCGCCGCTACCTTGTACTTGGTAAGGGTATCCGGGTTAGAAAGAGTGTAATCTGCCCTCGGATCAGCAAAGTGAGCTCCCATGACGTCGCATACATGAAGCTCCGCCGTGGTGGCCGGTGAAGCGTGTGTGCGCCTTGTTCAAGAGCCAGACATACCGACAGTAGTTTCTTCGGCCATGTTCAGAGTCCTTTGAATGCAGATTGGCCTCGAATGGGGAGAGGTGGAGAGAAGGTGAGCTCGGGAGCGGGCTTGTTTTGTGCCTGGCGTGCTACTTTCGTGCAGGCTCGCGTGCCCCTCTGCGGGGTGCTCCTCGCTTGGAGTCCAATAGATTATTAGCGGCTCAAATATAGTCCCCGGTAACAACAATAGATAAATTCGACGGATTAGGCAGTGTGAGACATTCACGGCTTCAGTAGATATTGCAAGTAAGTAGTGTTGCAGGTGAGACGGCTGTTTCGACCGCCAAATAGAAAAGACTGTGGGAAGTCACCGAACCCGAGAACAGAATCGGAAGCAGCCTCACAAGTAGTATCATGAAACAACCTTGGAGGTTTTCTGGGCACGCGACCAGGCATCTCTATCATTGTATGTACTTTATATAGATAGACCTTAAAATAAGACCTTCATGAGCCCAACACCAAGTCCGCCACAACAGCCCTATGATCCGAGCAATACACCCCATCCTCGAACCGATTCTCCAACACGGCATACCCATCCACCTCCCATTGCTTCTTTCCACCTCCATCCACACCTCGTTCTTTACCTTTGCCCCCAGCAAACACGAAATCAATAACTTGCTTATCCTCCTCCCTCCCCTCAAACCCCGTGAAAGTAGCCACGTTCCCATACCTCCTTCCCGCCTCCACAAGACCCCTCACGTCCCTCACCGGGCTTTCTCCCTCATTCAACACCCGGTATGGGTCCTGCTCAGGCGTAGAATTCAAGTCCCCGGCCAGAAACACCGGTACTGGCTCCCCATCCCGCTCCCACTCCTTTACCTTCCCAACAATCAACGCCGCGCTCTCCCGCCTAGCAATTACCCCTTGATGATCAAAATGCGTGCAGCAACCCCTCACCGTCCGCCCTGTCCTTCTATGCTCGAACGCACCGACAGTAACGATACGGGGCAGCGCGGCGTCCCAGCCTACACTGCCGGCCTTATTGGGCGTCTCGCTGAGCCAGATGGTTTCGAATGAGGTGAGGTTCCAGACGGAGGGCCGGAAGAGGATCGGGGAGTATTCACCGGATTGGCGGCCGTCGGTGCGGCCGACGCCTATCGAAGTCCATTCTTGGGTCGTAGGGGTAGATGTAGATACGGGTGTAGACCTGTTAAGGCCGTCCAGTATATCAACAAGCTGCTCGTGAAGTACCTCTTGCAAACAAATGAATGATTCCGGGTTATGTCGTGTATGGTACCGCAATTCATTTAGGAGGAGAGGTTTCCGCTGGCTCCAGGGCTCCTCACCAGGACCAGGTTTAGTCGTTGCATAGCGGATGTTGTGCGAGAGGATGCGGATGGGTATGGGAACTGCCGAATCCCTCTTCATGGCTGGAGTGGCTGCAAGAATGAAAGAAAGGACAGGATGAGGACGGGGACGAGGACGCCTCCATTTGCAGCCAAATGCATGTTTATAGTCCCGAACACGTGATGGATTCTTGGTACCTGTGTATTTAGGATTAGCGCGCTCAAGTTGTCCTTCCAGGATAACGCTGGAAAGAGCTATATTGGTTCCAATGCTGCCCGTGAAGAAGGTTTCGAAATCAGGGGAACACCCTCCTGCGTTTATAATTGGTTGCCTGCAAGAGAATAGAAGGTTCCACGACCGAAGGGGTTCCATATTTCGACGTCCAATGCTAAACAGTACACGCCGTTGCCCTTTAAACATCTTTGTTTGGGCTTCCTAGCAAAATGAAAAGGTAAAAATAATGCAGCTGTTGGTAGGCTCTACCTAGGTACGAAGGACAGGCTCTCGGACGACCTTCTTGACGTCGTTTACCGACTTACTGATCTGGTTTCGGAATGGAAAGAGCATTTGCAGATTGAAGCTTCCACTGGCAACAACTGCTCCGTATTCCGAGACCACCTAGATCCAAAAGCCACCCAATCGACATCAAAATACGGTAATCCAACAAGAGCCAGCTGACCGCTCTCCAAAAGCAACCGACGAGGGATAAGCGGAAGCGACACTGATACAGGCTAGCGAAACCTCCTTGGCTTCAATGTTTGCAATTGCTCCATGGTGACTTTGTACAGGGGTTTCTATAACACATGTTGATGGGATATAATAAATGCACCGCTGACTCGAAAACCGCCAAAGTGTAACAGTAACAGTCCCACGGGATGCCCAGAGTTATGATGAGTTTCCTCTTCCAAGCCGACGGTCGACATTCGCCTTGTGATGCTTGTTCTTCAAATGCACCTCGAAATTGTCGGCCGATTGCCCGGGCCCAGCAGTATACGCCTTCCCGGGACAGTCATTGCAGCGGAGACGAGGTAAATATTGCGCTTTGAGGTGCGGGGGTAATGTCTTGGATGGAGGAAGTTCGCTGATATTGACATTCGTGTTGGTTTCCTTGTTGATGATACAGTACCGCATTGTAGCCTCGAATTGGTCATCGGGATATTTCGCATGCAGAGCCTCGCATGCTGCCTGCAGCCATGGAGGCGGTGGAGGCTAGGGAGAGTGAGTCCATGCATCTACGAAGGTCGTGCCAGGATACTTACTGCTGCAGCTCCGGGAACTTGAGGGAACGGCGCATCGGTGCGTCCATCAGGGTAATACTGCCATTTCTGCTGGGATTGAGGAGCGGGACTGGGTGTCGACGGTGGCTTCGGAGACGCCTCCACGGAAGCCGCGTTACCAGAAGACTTGGATTGCGATGCCATTGCCGGAGAAGGCGGTGGCGGCATGGAATTGGCACCGGGTGTGCCTCTTTGGGGTGTGGCGGCTAAAGAAGGGGTTGGCGCTTTCGGTCTTGCAAATGCCTTCGGATTTTGCCAGAATTCTCGAAACCTCCTGGGATTGATGCGGAGCTTCACAATCAGGGAGGATGGCTCAGACGCGCTCTCCTCACGGAATTCGTGCCTAAGAGATCGAGACGATGACCTAACTTCATGGAGGGACGAGACCTCCGGGGTAGCAGATCTTCCCAATGCGGACCGCATGGCAGCGTTCGCCACGCTGGCCGACTGGCGCAACCCTCTTGTTCGCGCAGTACCGCCTGTGATCTGCGAAGGAGCGGGTGACTCTGGAGCGGAATCCTCGCTTTCAGACTCATCCGAATCATCATCATTGATGCGGCCCGGACGAGCACCTGCTTTCTTGGATCGCGTAATCTTGAAAATGTGGCTTTCTTCAATGGTTTCGGCCGCCCCAGGAAGTACAGAAGATACAATCAAAGTGCGGACTGTTCGTTGACGATCCTTCAGATCTGGCAGCGCCGGACCTCCACGACGATTGACAGAACGTTTCTGCCGCCGTTGTTCACGCATAATCGAGAGTTCGGCTCTTTCCAATTCGGCCTCGTTCAACTCATACAGGTATGGCTGATAGTCCTTGGCTGAGAGCATTGGCCGGAATGCGGATGGTAATGGTGACGGGAGGAAGTTCTCCCGTATGTCTGAATCCTCCACAGGCCTTCCGTCGAATGGATGACCTGTTATGTAGAGGCTTTTAGTGAACATCTGACATTGCTCCCGAATCGAGTGTGCAATCGCAGTGGTAAATTCTCCGGACAAAGCAAGGTCGCATGCCATTTGCCGGGCAAACTCCTCAGGCGAATTCAAGGGATTGTTGAGTTCCCACTCGAACTGGTCGACCAGTGTGTGCTGGCCAATAGTGATGTTAAGCTTTATGAGTATGCGCATCTCGTCGTTTTTATATGCGGTATATGGAAGGTGTGGGTCAAGGGGTTCCTCATCTATGCAAGGGTGCGGATAGTAATCCTGTATTTGCTCATTCATCTCACGATGGATATGCTGGATGAGGGAAGGTCGAAGCTCTATAGGGAGGCGGAAGTCCTCCACCAGATTCTCAGCGAAGACTGCCGTGTCGGTAATGCGATCATGGAGATTCCAGGTAAAGGTGTCACGTAACTTGATCTTGTCCAACTCAATATCCAGCCTCAGCGGGACCAGTTCTTCGATCTGCTCTGCCTGAGCTAGGAATTTGTCCCTGGGCACGCGAGGGTAGGGTCTTGACTTTCGGTTTCCTGGGCGTCTGGCTTGCATTGGGTATTGCAACCGCGATCCTTTCATCTCCGTAACGCCGTTTCCGTAGCCCATATAGCCATACCCGAAGACAGAGCCAGGATCCTGGTGTCGCCGCGCGGCATACCATTCTCTGTAAAGCTTGCAATCTTCATTAAGCTGATCGGTGATTTGGACGCTGAGCTGGTCGCGTTCGAGTAATGCTATAGTGGCAAACTGGTCACGGTTTATGTATCTCTGCAAGAGGCTGTTCTTCGAAGGCGGAGGTTCATCCCGTGAGATCTCCTGTATAGGGGACTGCGAGGGCTTCGGTGACCCTGAGCGCGAGCGCTTCCGACCCTTGGAGGCGCCATTAACACCTTCGGCGACAGCTGACGAGGCCATTCCAGTTTGCATGTCGGCGTTTGTCGGGGTGCTAGTGCCAAGGTTCACTCCCGAGGCGGCGAGGACCGCCTTTGCTTTCTGTTTACCCTCTTGTATCGCCTGGTCGTCATCTGGTCTGTCTACTGTGTCATGGTCATCGGGCTGTTGCACAGCGCTCTTTCCATTGGTACCATTCACGTGGGGCGATGCTCCTTGAGCCTGCTGGGATGGAGAATCGAGTGTCTGGCCGCGGTCGGCCGGCGGCGGTTGGGTAGCGGGCGAGGGCATCGGAGGATGCGATTAAGAAGTGAGGTACAGCGCGCACCTAGCGAGTGCCCTACGCGCTGTGTCGCGGTCGTGCTTGCTGGAAGATATTAGACTAGTGCATGCGGACAATCTATGGTTCAGGAGCGCTGAGGAGCACCGCGCGGGTCGCGACAACAGGCAGGGGCAGCGCAGGGCTCTGGCTGATGGTCGACCTCCACCAACGTCCAGCGCCCTCTGCGCAACGACAACCATCGCGAACCGACAGCGCATCATCTCGAGGAGAAGGAGCACATACCGCGAGGGTCATGCAAGTTGCGCGTCGTCAATAAAATCCAGGCCGGGCCAAACAGGAACTGCCGATCACGGGGTCGCTCCAGCGCGCTCCAGGCCAACGTTGGGCACAGCGGAGCAGGCGCGGATATTGGCCTTGGGCAACACGCCGACAAGTCAGTCTAGGAAGAGCCTCGAGAGGGGTTCACGGGATCCCCAGAGCGGGTTTCGGGAGCGCGCGGCGCAGATAAGCGGGAAATGCGTTGACGTAGAGGACGTATGACGAGTGGCAGTGGTCGCAAGGCTACAGAGGGAGCAAAGCTGGTCAAGCCAAACGAGTTGCAACTTGCTCCGCCCCAGTGCCAAGACCTCCGCCTCGGCCAAGAGCAATTCCCGCCACCCGCTGCACTGTGTCAATAGATGGAGAGTTGGCAGCGGAGCGGGACGCTTCTGGCGTTGCGTTTCTGTTCCCCAAGGTCGTGTACTTCAAGACTGCCCTGGACGCAGTGGTTGCGCTCTGACGCAAGAGGCAACACGAGGTAGCGGACAGGAACACAGGTGGCCATCACATCCCAAATGTGTTTATGCACACAATAGTCCTGGATATAACATCTAGAGTATATAGGTATTACGGTAATAGGTCAACGCTTCAGTAGCAGCAAGCGCTTCTGTTTGCCAATCACAACTGACAGTTTTTGCAACGTACGTCCATTTTCCGCAGAAAAGCCAGAAGTCAATTCCCAGGTACCACGGCCGTTGAAAAACCGGGCCAGACGCCTTGTCACCGACGAGAGTTTTGAACGAGAAATTGAAACAGGAACACACGATGATATCAACGAGAAAAATGAAGTCCCAGAAGCTGTCCAGAGTACCCGTGCCTGCTCATTGACGCACCAGTTTCACTGGTGCAGTGGGCCCCTCTCAACCGCCAGCCGATCCCGTCTGCGTGTCCAATGCTGCCGTAGACCGAGGACACTTGACGACAAGATCGGTACAGCCCCAAGCCGGTCTTCACAAACCGGCCTTCACGCCAGAATGTCCATAAGCTCTGCTCTTAATACCGTCCTTCACAGCAACGAATCCAGCCTCGTAAAGACACTCAGGCAGGCGGCGACCACCTATAGACCATCATTAGTACGGGCTATATAACCAGAAGCCTGAATACTCACCTCAAGCTGCAACTCCTTGTCTTTGTTGCGGTTGACTTCTTCATTGACCACCTGGCTGAGGTTCGCACCGACACCACCAGCACCTCCTGGCCGCCGTGCGAACGGCCATTGCGAGTACTCGGCGAGGAGCTCATCCACCTGCGCGAACGCTCGTTCCCTAGCTTCATGTCCGAGAGTGGTGAGAGCATTCTCGAGGACGTTGGCCGCATATGCGGCGCATACCATCGCTATCGTTCGTAGGTATCTGAATTCCATCTCCTCTGGGAGGAATTGACTGGCAGGGAGAACGACCGTGCGACTCGTGAGAACGTTCCTTACTCGCCGCCGTATCTCTTCTTTTGCCCCACCATCCGCAACGGGATGAGTGGCCATATCAAATAGCAAAAAGTTCTTCTTCTCTGTGCGCAAGATACCCTTATCCACAAGACCTTTACACAACCGCTCACGCACCTGTTTAAGCTGATAGCCAATCTTCATAAGGTTCCACGTCTCGCCTGTGTGCCCAAGTCAGCGGCGCGGCCGATAGGTTTCTCAGAGGGGGACGGACCACTGAGAAGGTCAATCCAGGAATTGACACTCATCTTCTCGCTCGACTTCATCATCTTCAGCGTCTCATCCAGCAGTACCTCCCCGGTCATGGTATCATCGATAACCTCGATAACGCGGTCGGCGAGCTGGAACCGCCGTCTTGAAGGGTCCTTTTGCATGCTGATACGGCCCCTGAAAGCCAACTCAATCACGATGCACCCTCTGAGCGCATACGATATATTGTCGTTCCAGAATGAGAGATATCCCTAGTCCGAGATCAACTGGCGTTCTTTACAGACGGCGATCACCCCAGGCCCTACCTGCTTATCCTTCAACCCCATGAGAATAACTTCCTCCATCAGCGTCAGTTTCGGTTGCTTATTTCTTTCCGCGCTTTCACTAATATCCCGCGGGTCGAACGCAATCTTGTGGCCATTGGCGGTGCTCTCATATGAGGTTTCTGGCGTGCGGTCGTCGATCCTCCTAGGCCCAGGCGAGCTGACCCGACTGCCATCCTCTTCTCCATTGTTGTTTCCAGCGGCCCCCCCTCTCCGGCGCGTGAGTCCAGACGTACTTGAAGCCATATGTGGTGCAGAAAGTGTGTATCGAATGCCTTTGTTCGGATTATAGGTGAGGCTCCGCGCTGGAAGCAGGGTTGGCCCGTCGCAGGCGGAGGCGCATGCGTAGGGGGGAGTGGTCCGAGGCGTGCAAACACCACTAGGGAGAGGTTGGTTGCCCGAAGCAGAGGCGGGAACAATAGGGGCAATAACAATTGTTATTTGCGCGTGTTGCGTTGTCTAACGTGGGACGATCCTGCGAAGTTCAGCAGAGGGAGGTTGCGGCGTCGGCCTTGCTCCTTGGCGCGCCGCTTTTTTGGGAGCCCGCCAGGAGGGCAAAAGCATCACGCCGAAGCATACTACACAGGACGGTATTCTTCCAAAACCTGTAAGTTACATTAAGTGAGGACAGCACCATTATCTTATTGAGAATACACGGCTTGCCAATCCTGGGCGTATGATTTTACAAGTAGCGGAATAAATCTAACAAGTCGGATGATTGCCGACTACCCAATTCCTGCCACATACTTCGAAACTAGCAACGCTCTCCACCCTAGACTGCTCAGTGCGCTGGGAAAGGGATCAGCTTGTCTGTAGTCCAATAGTTATATGCGCGCTTACCGTCGGGCTGAGCCAGGATATAGTCCACTGCTTGCTTGACTGGACCATGATTAGTCTGCGCCTTGGAGATCCAGAGCTCAATTGATGCACATACCGCTGTGAATGGCATCCGCCTCCTTGTCCGGGATTTCAATGCTGAATTCCTACCCCGAGTCAGACTCCATATCGATTGTTCCCAGTCGCTGGGTAACCAACCTCCTCGATAGCCATCACCACCTCCACAGTGTCAAGGCTGTCGAGCCCGAGATCGTTATTGAAGTGGGACTCGGCGTTCAGCTATCGCGCGTATGAGTATATAAGTGTACTATGAGTGGCGATGATGCTCACCTTGGACACATCCGTGACCTGTTCCATTGTTAGCCAAGGTAAGCCCCGACGCGGGAGACTGTCGTTACCTTATCGAAGTTCTTAAGGAGATCCATTATCCTGCCCAAAACCTCTTCTCTTGAAAGACCAGCCGACGCGGCGTAGCATCGTACAGCCTGGAAACGAGCGGACGGAGCAATCTGCTGAATCTGGACCAGGGAACCTCTGGCAATGGGACGGGCAATTGGCGCCTGGCAGCGTGGCGCGGAGCGAATAACCTGCCTTGCAGATCTGAGAAGAGCTGTGCGGAACATGGTGGAGAGTGCTGAGGCTGCGGAGGGCGGGTTGATGGAGGTGGACGATAGAGTAAATTCAAGAGTGACGCTGTCACCAAAGCTTGGAGGTTCATGACCGGGATTATGTAAGCATCCACCAGAACAACCTTGGAAAGATCAAGGTGCTCGTCACGTGATGCTTCGGGACCCAATTGGAGAGCTCGCCCTGTTCAACTCAGAACAACCTCATATAACCACCCACCAGCTACGCCCACGCTCCGCGACCTTCCAGCGCCCGCAATGGCCAGCACAACGCCGTTGATTATGCTGGCGCGCGGCCGCCCTGCTGCCACCCTTCTGAGGCAGACTCAACTCGCGACGCACCGTCCCTCACCCGCCACTGCGGCCTTCTTCTCCACGACGATTGCTCGAGCGGCCACCCCGCATGGCCCTCCGCCGCCAAACTTCAGATTACCGCGTCCTAAGAGGTGGGATGAGGAGAATAAGAGCGCATTGGATAAGGCGGGGGAATACTTCTTGCTGCTGGAGATGTTCCGGGGCATGTATGTGTTGCTGGAGCAGTTTTTCCGGCCACCGTGAGTATCGCCACCATGAGGACTTCTATTCCTCAAGAAATAAAAATGCAGAGTGGGGTTTTGACGGGCGGAAAAAGGTACACCATCTACTATCCTTTCGAGAAGGGTCCCATTTCTCCCCGGTTCCGTGGCGAGCATGCGCTGCGGCGGTATCCCACAGGAGAGGAGCGCTGCATTGCTTGCAAGCTTTGCGAAGCCATTTGCCCGGCCCAGGCTATCACGATTGAGGCAGAAGAGCGTGAAGATGGCAGCAGGAGAACTACTCGCTACGATATCGACATGACCAAGTGTATCTACTGCGGTCTTTGCCAGGAGAGCTGTCCCGTTGATGCAATCGTTGAAAGTGAGTATAAAGCTCCGAATTGCGAAGACCAATGGCTAATCTTCCCAGGTGCCAATGCGGAGTATGCTACGGAAACCAGAGAAGAGCTTCTGTACAACAAGGAGAAACTCCTCGCAAATGGGGACAAGTGGGAGCCAGAGATTGCGGCTGCAGCTCGTGCAGATGCGCCTTACAGATGAGAGATGCCTACAAGGGCTTGAACGTGTAAATATTAGCAGCGAAGTCGGATGTAGCAACAAATCATGATCCCTATTGTGCGAGGATGCGCAGATTCTTGTCAACGCACGGTCTAGACTTGTAACTAAACACGTTACATTCACATGGGAAAGATCCACACAGCTAATGACGCAATCGTGTTATGAGGGATGGGCGGTCGACTGGATAGGGGCTATGTCCTACCATGTTGTTCCCTATCTAAGAGGCTGCCCGCTTCTCTCTCGATAGCAATATGAATGTTTCATCAACTATGAATGAGAGCGATATACATTTGATAAAAGTGAATCGACTCAACTGGCTATACATATCCTATACGGCACCGGAAATGCAACGATTCCGAAATCCACGCGCCGGACTCCCAACAGACGCTATACTATGAGAAGAAACCTGGAAACCCGCCCTTTTGATCTCATCCACTTCCCATTGTCCTATCTCGCCTTAAACGTTCCCTCAAAGCCAGGTCTCTTCTTCACCTTCTTAGCCGGCTTCTTACCCTTCCCCTTGCTCCCCTTATTCCCCTTTTCCTCCTTCCGCTTCTTGAGATTCGCCTCCCTCTTCTTCTGTCTCGCTTCCTGGCTCTTCTGCACGCTTGTGAGACGATCCTTCCACTCCTGCTTGCTCTTTGCCTTCTGCTTCTCCAGCCTCTTTACACTCTTCCGCAGCAATGCGGGGTCATCATGCACCTTCTCACCCTGAGCCCGCTTCTTCGCGTTGAGCCAGGCATCCTTCTCCTCGATATCCTTGCGCTTCGCCTCGTCTAGTGCGCTGAGGCGAGCCCTCTTCTTCTCCGCTGCCTCAAGTGCTGTCTTCACATCGGACTTTCCCTTCTTCTTTCGCGGATCTAGGAACCCTGATAATTTCTCATCCATCTGTTTCCCGTCCTTCCACGCTACTTTAGCGAAAGCGAGATTGGGTTCCTGCTCAGGTGTCGCACGAGGGAATATAGAAGGGGAACCGGAACCGCCCCTTATCCGCGCAAGCTGCTCCTCAGCCTTCAAACGTTCTTCCTCGTCCTTGGCGAGCTGACGATTAGCCTTCCTAGCAGCCTTGCGCTCGGCTTCCTTCCTGCGGCGGGCTTCAATCAGCTCTGCACGGTTCTTTGCAGGACGACCATCGGGGCCGTCGGCTTTTCTTGCGGCGCGAAGGGCTTCCAGTTTTGCGTGAAGACGCGCGCGATACTCATTGTGCTTTTCAGGGTCGTATCGAAACTTGCTTTCTTTCTCTTTCTCTTTCTCCGCAGAGCTATCGTCGGCAATACCTGGTGCTGTAGAGGACATGGAAGATGCGGCTGACACCACTGAACCGGTGGAGGCATTGGACTGTGCCGATGAGGGAGTCGCAGTGTCTTCCACGAGCCCGGATACGTCCAAAGCATTTATCCGCTCGCCGTCCTGATGATCAAAGGTTGCCTCGTCGGCCTCTTCTGCTTCGTCCTCCTCTGCTTCGTCCTCCGCTTCTTCCTTATCGTGCAGACTTGTGCTAAACTCGTTCTGCAGCGCACTTTTGTTCTGTTCTTTCAGCTTCTTTTGCGCCATCTTCTCTTTCCGTTTCTCCCGTTTCTGCTGCCTCTTTTCGGCTTTAGCTTTGGCCCTTGCAGATTGTGGCTCGCTTTGCGCAGCGTTCGGTGATTTCCCCTCTTTAGCAGGCTTCTCATTCTCCTTAGTAGTCTTCGGCTTCTTTCTCTTCAAGCCTTCATATGGCTTCTCCATCTCAATGTCCAGGTCGATGCTCGACGAGTCCTCGCCCTCCTCTTCCCGTTTCCGTTTCCGCGCAGCTTCGTCTAAAACATCCATAGCTGTCTTATGAGAAGCTGGATCCAGCCTCGCTTTCTTCGCAGCTCGTTTCTCGGCTTTGCTCTGCTTCTTCTGCTGCCATTGTGTCTGCAGCGATGAATGTCAGCTCGAGCGCGGGACGGGGGGAGCTGGCGGCGTACACTTGTAATGCTGTCGTCCTTCCCATAATATGTCTCTGCTGGGAGAATAGACATTAAGCCCTCAAATGCGCGGGCATGGCTCCTCAAGCGCTCCTAGGCAACATGTGAGCGAGGGCGGGTGGACGTGAATAGCTTGGTCGCCACAAACCTCTAGGTCGTCCGCCATGATGTCGGAATTGGCAAACTTATGGCACTCGACCTACTTCCTCCGCCTGGACCGACGATGTAACTCGGAATGGGGTCGGGAGCAGTCCGTTTCGCGAAGTCGCGTGCAGGACTTCATCTGCTGGCAAAAAATCGCTGCGTAGTTAGCGGTGGGCCTGCGCCAAGATTCCGACCGCCTCCACTGGCGCTGGCCAATGAGCAACTTCAGCGTATTTACTTGCCTACTTGCTTGCTTCAGCCACAACACACGCATAGATTCGTAAGTCATCAGCCGCAGTTCACTCATTCATATAACAGGCGCAGCTCCTCCGCCATGAGCAATCTCCAGTACCGAGTTTCACAGGAGGGACTTTGATCGACGCATATATACATGCATCTCCATGTCGGCCGTCGAAGCAAAATCACTCTCATCGCTTACGGCGCTCGCATCCAACCCCCCTGCATACCCCAGGAATCCTACTCACGTAAAGCATGAACCCTTGGTATTATACATTGCTCGTGTGCCCGGTAGTAGAGGTATGGATGCTCCGTGGGAGGCCAGCTCCGGGAAAGGTCCTAATCTTTCTCTTAGATGTGTTCCTGTCTCCACTGAAACCTCGCGACAAGGTAGTCACGGCCGAAGACATCCAGAGTTGCCTGTACTATGTCCACGTAAATGAACCAGAAGACGTCCGTCTCATCTCTCAAGTCTCCCCCGTAGAAGCGAGGGAATCTCCTCTAGTCACCGGAAATCCGGCACTCACAGGACGTCCTATTTCGAGGAAGGCCGTCCCTAGCAGTCCGCCGCCCGTCAGTGCGCCCACCGTACCGCGGAGGAAACCAGTAGCAGGAGCACTTTCTCCCGTAAATGATTTTGACAACAGCAACAATGTTCATGCTTCTACCTACTATCGGTATTCTCAGGAGACACCGGGATCTGAGTTCGCTCAGAGCTCGGCCACCTGTATGCCGGAAGCAGAACTCAAACCTCCGTTACCCCCTAGAAGGCCACCCGAATACTGTCCTTCTCCTCTCGGAACTTCTTTGACCCTGATCCGGCGCGATCCTGCTTCTGGAGCGCAATGGAATGTCGCGTGCATCGATGATCCAGCAGTGTTTGATGTTTCTTCATCCGCAGTCAATGATGCCAGCGCTAGGAAGAGGGCGGGCGCACCGATCTACATCGAAGTCACAAATCCCGGATACTCGAAGTTTCTCAATGGTCCAGAGTTTAGGCCAGATCTCATAGCTCGAATGGGCGACCTTACCGCGATATCACCGCAGTCGAACTGGAAGGCCCAGGCTAACGTTGCCTTCGCTCCCGCGGTCCTACCTGCGGCAGGTGATGAAGCCTATCAGGATGACACCCTTTTCCGCCGACGCTTGTGGATGGAGACGGGCAAGCATCAGAGTAGCCACAAGAGAACCGGTTCCCACGAACTATACCTAGGACGGCGCCGTCTAAGGAGCAGCTCAGAAGCTTCACCTACATCTACAGATAACTCAGCCGGGGGAACTCCTCTGGACACGCAAGACCAACCGCACTCATTTCCTGACCCAGAGATTAAGTCCAGCTTTCGAGGCTACGTCTTTCTGAGCCCCTGGAACGGTCGGTGTGAGTTTGTCACTGGAGCGGCTGGAGGGTCACTGAAGGCTAGTGCCAAACCCCACCTCTGACTGATCGGAATTAGCTTACAGGATCACAGTGTCGACATGTTGTTCCTGGACTCCAGGGTGCCCCTCCAGCCGTAACGCAAGTTAGCGAACTGAGGTTCAATCTCCCAAGCAGTTCTAAGAGCTCGTCAACTGCAAGTGATGAGCCAGTAAAGCGATCGTCAATCTTCCATCGCTCAAAGCACGCCCGCAATAACTCGTCAGCATCTGAGATGGACTTATCTCTTGGACAGGAGCACGCAGGCGGTGGCTACGGCGGCAAACAAGCGAAGTTGGGAAAGCTCATTATCGAGGATGAAGGTTTGAAGATGCTGGATTTGTTGGTGGCGGCGAATATGGCCTTGTACTGGAGGGCTTATGAGAAAGTGGACGCAAGGTCTAGGGGTGATCGAAGTTCCACCTAAGGTGTTATTTCTTTGTTGTGGTTTTAGCGGCATAGCGAGTGGCATTTGTTCTGCCATACCGACTTTTGTGGGTCATATTGAAATGCATTATTTCCTCCGTTGATTGGAACGAAATTCCAGGATCGCATGTGAAAGCGGCATATCGTTTCCTGATGTTCTTCCATTGCTTTCTGGTATGGGAAATATGGAGAGCTATAGGGTATTTCATAGCTATTGTAACAGATAGCGTGTAATTTAAGAGATATATTTGTATGACTTTCGGATTCCTGGAAGCGGCCCGACTTGTCTCTCCGAGGATAGGATCCGGAAGGGGAAAACACGCGGGGTGCAGATATAAACCACCCTACTAGCTACTGTGCACGCATTTCGAGCCTCATCCATCATTCCCACTACGTTGCTAGAAGCTGTGAATGATTCAGAACAAAGGACGAATGTCCAGACGCTTGGCAGCTGCATTGCTATCAGCTGTGAATCTTCGATTATTTTGATTGGAAAAAAAGAGTGAAACGTGCTCTGTTTTTCCGAAGGCTCAAGCTACGAGATGGAACCTTTCACTGCGCACCTGTCTGCCAATGAGGATCGCACTTGATGGTCAATGTGACCAACGTAACTGGAGAACACAAATAACCGTTTTATGATCACCTATCAGCGGTGAATGTGAAAGTAAAGATGTCTAATGAGGCTAGTCACCCTCCCGCTACTGAATCGCGCCACCAACCAAACTCAACTCGAGCAGCGCGCCAAATCCCGAGCAACGGGATTTCCTTGAGAATCTTGTGCCAAACTCGCGTTGGTTCTTCCTCTCACTGATAAATCCGAACCTGTCGGCAAAATGAGTCTCAAACCAACCAAGACGGTGAGCTGTTAGAGTGCAGTGGTTGATGCTTGTTGTCCAACCAAATTCAGACGATGCTCGCGCAGCAGTACGACGCTCGTGACAACAAGTTGCACCTCAACGAAATCCCCATCCCGGAGCCGGAGGACCATGAGCTCCTAGTTAAAGTTTCTTGCGCCTCGCTGTGCCATTCCGATCTCATGCTCTTCGAGCCCAATGACCAAGGACTTATCCTAGGCCAGAACCCGCACACAATCGGCCATGAAGCTACAGGCCTAGTTGTGCAGGCCGGCTCAGGAGAGGTGGCCGGTCAGTTCAAGGAAGGTGATCCTGTGGGCTTCATTTGCGCTACCGAATGCTGCTTCCAGTGTAGGCAGTGCAAGGAGGTTCACAATGTCTGGTGCGAGACCGGAAAGACGCAGATACAGGGTTTCTCCGTTGATGGGTATTTCCAGGAGTACGTTGTGGTGGATGCACGCGAGGCCATGGTGCTGCCTGAAGGATGTATGTGGGCTTGAAACAATATTCGCCAAGCTAGACTTAACGCCTGTTCATAGTGGATCCTAAGTCTGCCGCTCCTTTGTTCTGTGCAGGTATCACCGCGTATCACGGCGTAGAGGACTGTGGACTGAAGCCAGGCGAATGGATGGCCATTATTGGATGTGGAGGACTAGGCCACCTCGGTATTCAATATGCGAAGTATGCGTAAGCTCTGAAAGTATACGTACCAGACATTTAACAAGTACAGGGCAATGGGCCTGAAGGTCATCGGTATCGACATTGCGGACCAAGCTCTTGAGGTGGCTACCAAGTGCGGCGCTGACCACGTCTTCAACTCCATGACCGACAAGGACTGGCAGAGGAAGATTGTCCAAATCACCAAGGGCGGCGTCGAAGCTGCTGTCAATTTCACGGCCTCCAAGAAATCGTACGATGACTGCCCGCCTATCATCCGACATGGTATCGGCACTTTGATGGTCGTTGGTATTCCGCAGCAGCCGCTGGAGTTGAACGCCTTTGACATTGCTCTGAACCGGTACAAGGTTAGGGGTTCCAGCAACGGAAGTAGGTTGATAATACCCTAGTTAAAGGGACTATTTGCTCACAAATTCAAGCGTGTTACAACATGAAGCCTGCTATCGAGTTCAGCGCCAAGCATAACATCAAGCCTCATCTTACTACCTACAAACTGGAGGATGTCCCTAAGATGATGGAGCTCATGGTAAGTTCATACCCGTGAACTCGGCGTAGTTGCTGACTCGGCGACAGAAGTCGCACAAGGCTCAGGGCAGGATGGGCGTCGTCTTCGACTGAGGGTTCAATTACGGTGAAATGCATAGAATTGGGAGATGAGGACGGTTTCCTTAACGAGGTGTTCTCATCGGTGTACATCACGTCTGGGATCGCATGCCCGGTTTCTGCATCTGATCAATACAACAGAAAATTTGAATGCATCAGGCGACAGCTTCAGATATACTCTGATGGTGTGCTTCGCAAATGGAACTCCCTTTGAACTGTTCGAACCGATAAGAGCAGACTTGAGAGATCTAGAGCGGTCGACGTGAATCGTGTGAGACGACCACGATCAAACTGTGTAGTTGGCGGAATGAATTGCTTAGTAATCATTTTAACAAGCCACGTGCTCACGCGTACAGGCGGTCGACGCGTCAACATACCTCTGGCACGCTCAACTCAATCAAAGTGCAGCCTCTCACACTCACTCTCCGTACTTCGAAAATGTAACTATCTGTCTCTGGATAGGTTTCCAGCCGCTAACGCACTCAGGCACCGGCTCAAGTCCATTGGCGAACAAGGCACACCAGCATCAAAAGCCACGCGTCTCTACGGGACACCGTCAAATACCGAACGTTTACACAAACCCTTCAAGTGTCCCGGTTCGGCGACCTCGACACGCTCTTCCGACAAGCCCGCTAGAAAGAGAAGAAAAATCAATTACGCAGGTGCGGACGGCGAGAATGATGGCGGTGACAAGGCGTACTCGAACGAGGACAGGCTGGCGCTCGCCACCCGCGACGTGAACCGCTTCCCCGTCTTCAAACCGAAGGATAAGGAAACCATTTTCAAAAAGCAGTTCTCGGTGCCTTTGATCAATAAGGAAAATGGGGCGTACAATCCTTTCAGGCCAGCTCCCTTGCTCGGCATGCGTCAAGGGAGAGTATTCGTTGCGCGACCACTGCACGATCCAAGCGGGGAGTTCGCCATTGTGCTTTATGATCCTACGGTCGATGACAAGCCCGTTCCAAAGGACAATGCAGTGGAGAAGTTGAGCCGAGAAGAGGTCAAAACGCTTGATACACCAGTTGTACACAAAAGTCTAGCGGACATTTTGGGCTTGAAGAAGAAGGTTGAGGAGCGACCGAGAGTACCTGTGGTGATAGATCCGCGGCTGGCGAGGATTCTACGGCCCCATCAGGTTGAAGGTGTCAAATTTCTGTATCGATGTACGACAGGCCTGATTGATGAGAAGGCGAATGGTTGCATTATGGCCGATGAGATGGGTTTGGGCAAAACAGTAAGCCACACGGTGCAAAATCAATTCAACCTCCGCTAAACAGCAACAGCTGCAATGCATAACGCTCATGTGGACCTTGTTGAAACAGTCACCCGAAGCTGGGAAGCCAACAATACAAAAATGCATCATTGCCTGCCCGTCCAGTTTGGTACGCAATTGGGCGAATGAACTGGTCAAGTGGCTCGGGCAAGACGCAATCAATCCCTTCGTCATAGACGGCAAAGCATCAAAAGAAGAGTTGACCCAACAAATACGACAATGGTCAATTGCGACTGGACGCGCCGTTGTGCGTCCTGTCTGCATTGTTTCATATGAGACTCTGCGGCTGAACGTTGGAGAGTTCGGTGACACACCCATTGGATTGCTACTTTGCGATGAAGGTCACCGATTGAAGAATGGAGAAAGCCAGACATTTACCGCATTGAACGGACTGAATGTCCAGAGGAGAGTTATTCTCTCTGGTACTCCTATTCAGAATGACCTGTCTGAATACTTCTCGTTGCTCAATTTTGCCAATCCAAACTATTTGGGCACTAGAAGCGAGTTCCGCAAGCACTACGAAATTCCAATCTTACGCGGTCGCGATGCAGATGGCACAGAAGCCGATCAGCAGAAAGGTAACGAGCGTCTTGCTGAGCTATTAACACTAGTCAACAAGTTCATCATCCGAAGAACGAACGATATTCTGTCGAAATACCTACCAGTCAAGTACGAGCACGTGGTGTTCTGTAACCTGTCACCGCTGCAGAAGGCTCTGTACAATCACTTTCTCCAGTCTCCGGATATCAAGAGCCTCTTGCGTGGGAAGAGCTCGCAACCGCTCAAGGCGATCGATCTACTCAAGAAACTTTGCAACCATCCGGATCTCCTTGATCTTCCCTCAGACTTGCCCGGGTGTGAGAATATCTTACCGGAAGATTTCGTGCCCAAAGATGCGAGAGGTCGCGATCGCGATGTCAAGGTCTGGTACTCTGGCAAGATGCTGGTTCTGGATCGCATGCTGGCCAGGATACGCGCGGATACTAATGACAAGATTGTTCTTATTTCCAACTATACGACAACCTTGGATGTCTTCGCCAATCTATGCCGGTCTCGCGGTTATGGTCATCTTCGGCTCGATGGTACGATGCCCGTTGCCAAACGTCAGAAACTCGTGGACAAGTTCAACGATCCTGATGGCCCGGAATTTGTCTTCCTGTTATCGTCGAAAGCTGGTGGCTGTGGACTCAATCTCATCGGCGCTAATCGTCTTGTTCTCTTTGACCCGGATTGGAATCCAGCCGCGGACCAGCAGGCGCTTGCTCGAGTGTGGCGTGACGGTCAAAAGAAGGACTGTTTTGTGTACCGTTTCATTTCCACAGGAAGCATTGAGGAGAAGATCTTTCAGCGTCAATCACACAAGCAGTCGCTCTCGTCATGTGTGGTCGACTCTGCAGAAGACGTGGAGCGTCACTTCAGTCTTGACTCTCTACGCGAACTCTTCCAATACAGGGACAATACGACAAGCGATACACATGATACGTTCAAATGCAAAAGATGCAGAAAGGAGGACGGAAAGCAGGTTATCAAGGCGCCAGCCATGCTTTACGGAGACACCAGCACCTGGAACCACTTCGTCAATGATGGAGAGAATGGACCGCTGGGCCGAATCCAGGATTTATTGCTTCGACAAGAGACGGCAGCCGATTGCAAAGAGGTCAGCGCTGTGTTCCAGTACATCAGTCATTAGTTACGTATACCGTATATGAGAGATGAACGCAGTGTCGGAGTTGTCGTACTGTTGAGCGGCAATTGCAGCTTCCTTAGACATGACTGAATTAGCTGGTATTTGGTATACGATCAAACTGATTATTCTTCTCTTCCCGAGGGATCCTTCCCGCTGCTGTAGACTGAACTGTAAGTCGACTTCATTACGCCAAGACTGGACGTCGGTCAATACGTTTCGCCGACTCCGATGACCACTTGAACTCTCCAGCTTGCTCGCTCGAAGTAGCCTATAGTACTGCTACCTACCCTCAGAAGACTGCAGCCAGGTAGGCTGATACGGCTCCTACTTGGTATATGCGGTTTGCACGGTTTATATCTTGCTAAAGTTTCGCCACTAAATCTAGTGACCGCTCCGGCCCCAACCACAGCTGCTACACTCCTCTTCCGCCACCTCTCCGCGTCCAACTGTTCTCAAACATCTCGTGGTTGCACGCCGTTACTTACTTGGGCTGAAGTCTATCGAACGCTGCGCCCATTCACAATCCACCAACATGCCTCCCAAAGACCGTAACGTGGACATAGCAGAACTTCGCTTAAGGTCCAGACAGGATTACCTCGCGAAACGCGAAGCGGAACAGCTTGCCCTACTCCGGAGACAGGTGGCGGAAGAGGCAGAAGAAGAGCGCACAAATCCACGCCTCACAAAAGCAGAGCTCAGGGAATTCTCGCGGAATCGGGAGACTCTGAGACTTGCGGAAGAGAGGGCTTCAATAGATGATGGGAAGACGGGATACATACTCCCCGATGCGGACTACAGTAATAAGCATGAGGTGCTGACTCGGAAACACAAGGAGGAATATGTGTCGGAAGTCCAGCAGTGGGAGAATGAACAGACGGCGAAGGTGAAATCGCAGATAAAGCGGCCGGAGAGAGTAAACGACGATCATTACGAGTTCGTCTTTGACGAGGCCAGCGCTATAAAGTGGGTTACGGATGGGGTGAATCGCGTCGATCCACAGAAGCTCCAGCTTCAGCAGATGCTAGATGCAGCAGAGAGGAAAGCCAAAACTATTGAGGAGACGAGGAAGTCCCTCCCGATGTACCAATATCGAGAAGAAATCCTTGCTGCAATAGCCGAACATCAGTTCCTTGTTGTCGTTGCTGAAACCGGAAGTGGAAAGACAACGCAATTGCCCCAGTACCTCTATGAGGTGGGCCGCCTCGGTGTGGACAAAAAACTAGCATGTACACAGCCCAGACGTGTGGCAGCTATGTCCGTAGCCCAACGTGTGTCCGATGAAATGGGCGTCCGGCTTGGCCAAGAGTGCGGTTATAGTATTCGATTTGAAGATAAGACAAGTCCAAAAACAGTCATCAAATACATGACAGATGGTGCGTAGTCTTTCTAAAAGGCCTATTGAATCTACTAATATCTACTAGGTATGCTTCTTCGTGAAATGATGACCAACCCATCATTAGATGGCTACTCTACAATCGTCATCGACGAAGCCCACGAACGCAGCGTCAATACCGACATACTGATGCCACTGGTCAAAGACATCGCCAAAGCGCGTCCAGAGCTGAGGGTACTCATAAGTTCTGCCACACTGAATGCGCAGGCGTTTTCAGTGAGTGCTATCAGCATTTTCCATATGTCAAAACTGCTCACTAACCTGCGATAGGAATATTTTGACGGAGCTCCTATCTTCAATGTCCCCGGGCGTCGATTTCCCGTGGATATCCATTACACTCCACAGCCAGAAGCAAATTACCTCAGCGCAGCAGTTACGACAATATTCCAGATCCACCTCTCTCAGCCGCGCGGTGACATTCTTGTCTTTCTTACGGGCCAGGATGAAATTGAAATGTGTGAGATGCAACTGCAGGACACCTCAAGGAAACTGCGCGGAAAAGGTGGGGAGCTCATCATCTGCCCTATATATGCAAATCTGCCCACAGATCTGCAAGCGAAAGCGTTCATGGAGACTCCTCCGGGCGCAAGGAAAGTTGTCCTTGCCACGAATATTGCTGAGACGAGTATTACGATTGACGGAATCGCCTACGTGATCGACCCTGGCTACGTCAAGGAGAACGTCTACAATGCACGCACGGGAATGGAATCGCTGGTGATAACACCGTGCTCTCGCGCCTCAGCAAATCAAAGAGCAGGTCGCGCCGGCCGTACAGGCCCAGGCAAGGCGTTCCGTCTGTACACGAAGCACGCCTTCTACTCCGAGCTCGAGGCGAATACAACGCCGGAAATACAGCGCGTGAACCTCAACTCGACAGTCCTGCTCCTCAAGTCGTTAGGCATCAACGATCTCATAAACTTCGACTTCATGGACCCCCCATCCACAGACACGCTCATCAAAAACCTCGAGAACCTGTACGCCCTCGCCGCTCTCGACGAGCGCGGCAGCCTCACCAAGATCGGCCGCCAGATGGCAGAATTTCCCGCCGACCCCTCCCTCTCCAAGGCCATCCTCGCCGCCAACAAATACGGATGCGTCGAGGAAGTCCTCTCCATCGTCTCCCTCATCTCCGAATCCGCCTCTCTCTGGTTCCGCCCAAAGGACAAGCGCGTCCACGCCGACGCCGCGCGCAACCGCTTCATCGACAAGGAAGGCGACCACCTCACCTACCTCAAAGTCTGGAACGAATGGGTCGACAACGACTACTCGCCGCAATGGGCCCAGTCCAATTTCCTGCAGCAGCGCAGCCTCCAACGCGCCCGCGACGTGCGCGACCAACTCGTCAAGCTGTGCGAGCGCGTCGAGGTCGAAATCTCCAGCGCGCCAAACGACCACGTCAAGATCCGCAAGGCGATCCTGAGCGGGTACTTCCAGAATGCGGCGCGCCTAAATCGCGACGGCCAGAGCTACACCACCCTGGGCAACGCGCGCATGAGCGTGTATTTGCATCCTTCGTCGGTGTTGCGCGAGTCGAGGCCCAAGCTGGTGTGCTTCCATGAGCTGGTGCTCACGAGCAAGGAGTATATGCGGAATGCGATGCCGATTGAGCCCGAGTGGCTCGAAGAGGTGGCGCCGCATATGTATAAGAAGGAGGACATTGAGAAGTTGGGGGTGGGGAGGAAGATGCCCAAGGGGCATACTAGGGCGGCGTGAGGGAGGGGGCCTCGTGTGGTTTGTGAAGGAAAGGATATCAGGCAAAGGACATGAATGACGTTGTCTGCACTCGAGCCTTAATCTTCTAGCAGCTAGGAGTCGCAGCATATGCGAATGGCCAACAATTAGCATAATTAGCAAGTGGTACATCCCATTTTCCACCTTGGTGTGACATCGCTCGATTCACACTAAGGTATGTAAATCTTATCCGACATATTTTCCTCCGCAATAAATGCAAACATCACAAGCGAGAAACAACAATTGTGCCAGGTTGATCGGAGCATCATCTCGAGCTTGTCGTTGCTTCCCCTGCTCCCCTATTGATCCTCTGGATGCCTCGGCTTCGCCCTCCTCCTCTTCGTTTTGTCCTTCCTCCTCGCCACTTCCCTCATCCTCTTCAGTCTCCTCCCAGTCTCCCGCCCTCAGGACAGCATCCTCCGCCAATACGGCCGTCCCACAGATCCCGCACTTCTTCATCACTCCCGGCGCCATGATCGCCCTCAGCGAAACACCGCATCTCACAAACTCGTGTCCATTCGGACAAACCGCGCTGTTGAGGTCGGTGAAGGGGATGGGAGTACTACAGAAAGTGCAGGGTTCGGTAAGGTGGGAAGACTCAGGGTCCGGTTGTTGTTGTTGATTAAGTTGATTGAGGTCTGAGGAGGAGGACAGAGATTGGACGAGGTCGACTAGTCTGCGGTGGTTGAGGAGGATGGACTGACTGAAGGGGTGGGATGACGATAGTGAGTGCGGGAGGCGCAGGACGGCTTGGGCGAGGCGAAAGGCGATGAGCAGGCGGGGCAGAGTAAGATCGGCAGTATGATTTGGTGTGCAGATGTGCGAGGAGAGTACCTCATAGCGATCTCGACGAGTGTTCGGGTCGAAGAAGACTTCATGTTTGAAAGCGGCAATAAGATTCGTGAGGCTAGACCCAACATTGTAGACAGGTAGTTTGGGTGGATCCGTGTGGTCTTCAACTGGAGCATACGCTTTCAGCAGTTTCTGGTAGACATCGTGTTTGACGGGAGCCATTTCCTCCGCGGACTCGACGTTCTTCTCAATCCACTTCCGCACTGTGAAAAAGATGCTTTCGGCACTCACCGCTCGGACGGGGAACACGAGGTCGTCTCCTCCGTCTTTGCCTCGTATATCGGTGATAGTAACGGTGGTGCTCCTGTCAGCATTAACGCCGTACTCGATCATATCTGTCGGATGACACGAATGACACGACGCAACTAAATCCCCCAAGGGGGAAGCAGTTATGCCCCATACTTTTGCGTTGGCCTGACCGCCAAGGTCATTCTCGGCGCTGAAGTGCCCCTGGCTGTTGCGGATATGCTGACGCCAATAGGGCCAATCTAAGGTGCAGATGTCAGATACATTATCGGAAGATAGCTTGAGAACGGCTGTGGGATTGCGAGTGGTTGAGAGGTGGGAGGAGAAGTGGATGATGGGATGGGATGGATGGTAGTTGTCCCAAGCAAAACCGGAGATGTCGTCTATGCGGCCGTCGAGGTGGTGGTTTCGGCGTTGCAGAATTGAGGCATCGGTTGGCAATATCGTAAGGAAGATGGCTTCGTTAGGGGCGAAGAGAGTGAGAAGCAAGGCCCCGTCTACGGTTTCCGGTGACCATGTCATTGGCCCTGTGAAACGGAGCTCCACATCGGGCAGGATCGTCTCAGCGCCAAAGTCAATGTTGCCATTGGCGTATGATAATGCTCGGAGTCGAACATCCTTATTAGTAGCGTAGGCTACAATAGACTGAAGACCATCTCCAGTCTCTGTCCAGGGACTCCAACTAATGTGCGAAACGTGTCTCTGCTGATCCATCAAGTCTTCGAATGTCGGCTCAAAATCTTCCTCATCCGGATCCTGGGCTATTACAAAGTGAGCGAGAACTTGGCAAGTCCAGCTCTGGTCCACATGAAACCTGGAAGCAGGAGAATCCACAGCCATGATGACGATATGGTTATCATCATTGGAGAGCGCAATCATGTGTTGAAGCCACGATGTTCTGGTGCCAACGGTGCCATATGCTCCCACGGTCGGTGAAGCAGGCGCCCACGCAAAACATCTGACCCGCTGGCGCAGGCGCAGAGCTTCGTCCTTGTCGGAGACAATATAACTCTTCTCCTTGCGTCTTTCCGGAGCCTTGAAGTAGTCGGTGAGTGCATGATTAACGATGAGCTTCCGCTCCCAGTTCGCCTTATCCTGTGGCTTGCCTTGGGAATCCCATAATGAGAGCACCAGGTTGGAGGTCAGGACAGCAAGTGCGCATTTCCTGTGCTTTGCGAGTCCAGGCGGAGACCATGCTAGTGCTACTGTGTAGCTGGTTGATATTTCTTCGCCGATGGAGTAGATATCCGTAGGCGCTGGTTCTCTGGCCGGCAGTTCGTCCTTGGTAAACCAGGGTGTCTGTAGGGGAAAATGCTGCCATTGGGGCATGTCCCGCTCCGATTCCTGTGCTTGAATGTGGGGGAACTACTTCAGGTCAATTGGGCTGCCATGGTAAACCTCTGGTCTTTGCAGGGGGCAAGGCGTTATCGCACCAGTAATTCGACATTGTCATGTGAAGCCAGGGCAAGAATGCCGTCGTCGGACCAGTCGAGGGCGCAGAGGCAGGATGGCCAGAGTCGCAGCGTCGTCACATCTGACATGGTGTAGTTCTACTTGTCATGATACTGTGTAAAGTTGAAAACCATTGACTCTTTCTCTCTGGAGGATAAGAAGCCGAGGACCAGATAGGTAAGTCTCCACGGGTGAAGGTGAAGGTTGATGTCTGGATGCGCGTCTTTTGGTATGCAACGAGTCATGCCGAAGCTAGCTTATGATTCGTGCAGGACTAGTATACAGTAGAAGCAACAAAACATACAGCCACGTGATCTGTTTCCCGTCCATAGCAAACGAATCAACTCCGGAATCGAATTCTCTGATTTTGACACATTTTGTACTTGTACGACTAGAATTCATGTGGATATAACAAGTATTTGGGTCAAAGTAAAACGGCCAATCCCAGTTGTCCTGATTGCCCTGTGGCGGAAGACAAGTTGTTTTACCACCATCGGACTTCCGGGCACTACGTATGCGGAATCACACAAGCAACGTGTCTTTGAAGAGGAACAATGACATATCCCATGTAGTCTATCACGTGGCGCAAATGTTGGTGTTGGGAAAGAACTCACACTTCGCAATAGATTGAGCCCGTGCCTACACAGTCATAAGCCCCCCGAGTCGAGTCGACCAGTAGGGCAATAGCGGCGACGTCATGCCCTGCTTACTAATAGGACTTAGATGGCGTTTGCAAAATGCCCGCCTTTTCGCAAATGGGATTTGTAGAACGGAGGGCTGAAATGTTTACCGAAGGTGGTTGGCTGCGAGATTCCGATTCAGGCAAATTCCAAGGTTGACCAAGTAAAGTATACTGTGTTCTCAGTACCGTACAGTACGCGCAGAGACAAGGGACCGTGGCTGCGATCGCGATACGGACGGGTTGGAAGAGAAATGCGAGTTTCTTTGGATTCTTTGTGACGTTATGGCTCAGCCTTAGCCCACGCCCGCCCCTTGTAGCCAATGATATGCCCCAGACGCGGGAAATGGAGAACCAATGGCAGCGTGGCGGTCGATATACAAACCTGCTTCACCCGAAACCTCCATATCCTGGGCTTCGCCATTCATTGCTTCCATGTTGTTCCCGCCTACGGCCAGTGCCGGCACCCGCTGCATTGCGCTGTGGCTCTTTCTCTCCACCAAGGGAGGGGGGCCCAGGCGTCCTTTTTCGAAGTAGGAGAACGCTCGGACGGACGTTAAACGTCATGCCAACGGCCCATTCTCGTCCCAGCACAACGAGTAATCTCGTTCCACGTCCAAGAAATAAGACACCGGGAAATCCCCAGGAATTCTTGTGACTCTTCACACCATAGTAGCACCATCATTCTCACAAACCAAAAATCTGCATAGTAACAACTCGATCAGCAATTATTGCTCGCCTGAGATATCACCACACCCAGCACACCACTCGCCAAGCATATTCCGAATACCGGCTATACCACAGTAGTACACTTCCACTGCATATACAGTACCCATCCCCCGCATATCTCATCAGCCCCGCGCGAGAACAACCCTTATCAAGAGCGAAAAAGGGAGAAGGAAGCGATTGTTCCTCAATATCACACATCAACAAGACATAACAGTTCCAATCCTCACCCGAAATGCCGTCGTCGCAAGTTCCACTGAATAGGGTGAGTTTCTTACTTGTACCGTAGTAGCTGCAGCTCCACCATTTCCCTCTGGGGCAGCCTCACTGACGATCCCACCAGGCCGACTCAATGCAGAGACTCCAACTGTTGACTTGTCAACAAGAGGTTCTTCGCCGCCGTCTCTCCCTCCAAATCCCCGCAGGAGCTGCCTTGGACTCCCCATCAGCACTGACTTCGCTATCCTCCACTCCCTCAAGCCGTCACACCTCAGGCACCTGGTCTTCGGCAGAAGAGCTCGACAACTCGGCACCTATCCCAGCGCACCCCAGAGCCGGATACACCAAGGCCCCACCCATAGAACCCTCCCAGGTGGACGACAGCTATCGGCTGCGCCAGGTCAACGAGCAGATCAAAGCCACCCTCACCGAACTCCTCAACACCGACTCGGCCCGCAGCGACGAGAGGTTCCGCGCCTGGGTCCAGGAACGCCTCTTGGACGTCGAGCAGCAGATCCGCAAGCAGCGCCGCAGACACTCGGGCAGTGACCGCGAGATGGCCGACGCCATCGCCATGCACATCAGCCTTGACAGCTGTGGGCCCCGGCGGTTGTCGTGTCATTGACAGACGGCTACGTTTACGAGAGATATGGAGAGTGTAAGATTATGTGTTGATGTGGACGGGCGGATTTATGAGCTGTTTTGTACGATAAGGGGGGACTGGGAGTTTAGGCGCTTTGCAGGTTCAAGGTGCCCGGGCCTGTTTGGATTCTGGTTCATGGACAGGATGACACGAGGCTACGACGTTATGATACCCCAACTGCTGGCAACCCGTAAACTAGAATGGAGCACGATGCATAGCCATGGATTCTTTCTACCACAGCACGAGCATATTCCAATTATCCATGTTCCATTCACATAACTTCCATCTTCCATCTTCCATCTTCCATCTTCCGCTTAACTCTACCTCCCTGGAATTCCCTGATTCAACTCCTAACATCCCACTCCCTACTCCACCTCCACCTCCACCTCCACCTACCGGGAGGGGTCCCGTCGCACCCCTTATCGCCTTCCACTTGTCGGTCCAACCCCCTCACGGACGAGAGCCTAGATCCCACTATACCGCACGCGCGGGGCGCAGACCAATTGGCCGAGAGTGAACGATAAGTATTAGTCCCATTCTCTTTCCTTCTAGCTGCTTCTCTCCAGTGCTCCAGGGCTCCTGCGGTGGTATGATTTTGCCAATAAATGGCCACTAACTCCTTTGGGCGGAACTTGCCATCGCTCGCCCACGCACTGCCCAGGTGTAGATACTTGTACATACTTTAGTAACGTTACCTCCGACTCCCTACGGACCGACCCCGCAGATAAGGCTCTAACACCGTACTACAGTATGTACTGTGTACGCCCCATGGTACCGGATATCAGGGATGGTACTGCCCTCCAGCTGCAGTGAACATGCCACGCCTTGGCGCACTTGCTCCTAGTCTCCTCTCTGCTAGGCTGGACATCTTTCGGACATAATTACGTCCCTTTTTCCCTGTCATGGCCCGATGATCGTTCGATCTAGATTTCGTATCGTGCTTCTGCTCGTTTGATCTTGCTGTTCATGCGTGGCGAACCCTCCCACGCGGCGCTCTGGTCGTTTGGGTTGGTGGTGAGGTGAATGATGTCATTGTCTGTCGATGAGCCGCGACAGTACCACGTTTCGAGACAGAAATACTGATACAGTAGTAAGAGGAATATGAATTATCAATCTTTGATGATTAATAGATATGATGGTACGCTTGCATTGGCCAGATTCTACTACTTGTACCAGTATTAGCATCAACAGCCAGTTGTACTGTGTAACCATTCCATGTGCACCACCAGCACTGTCCCTTTACCCCCATGTCCCAACGTTCTGTTATCGCACCTGAACGACTAATCAGAAGCTCCCCAAACTCCAACCCACCACTAATACTGTGTATGTATCAAAACTCTCCACCACGTGCATTCTACAACCCACATGCAATCTGAGAACGGGTAAATCCAATGCAGCAGCTCCAACGGTGCTGTCCCAGCCTATGCAGCACCATGGTCAATCCCTTTCAAAGTTTGTAAATGCACACATCCCAGCGAGCGCTTCGTTTCATAATGCCCAATGGAAGTTAGTGAAAATACGTACACAGAACCTTATAAAACATAAAAAAGCAATAAACATGTAGTGACACAAGAAGAGCAAAAATATATCAACCAACTTTATTCCCACCTCCACACCAACATCTACCCTCCCCCTCCTTCTCCACGTGCACAACTACATCCATGCCCCGGTCTTTCAGGAACTGCGCCGTACGTTCGCGCACATCTTCAGGGTCGGACACGCGAGAGGCGATGATGTGGATGACGCCTAGGATCTTCTGTTTGCGCGGCGGATGGTCGTGGCCGTTGTCATGATCGTGTTTGTGACTGTGATCATGATAGTGGTCGTGGCCGTGGTCGTTCTGGCCGTGATCGTGATTGTGGCCGTGGTCGTTCTGGCCGTGATCGTGATTGTGGCCCTGGTCGTTGTGGCCGTGATCGTGATTGTGGCCATGATCATGGGAATTCTTCCGAGTATGCCGCAAATGTGCGCCACTCTTTCGGCCATGGCCATGCGAATGAGCATGCCCGCTCCCCTCCTTCTCATGAACATGAGCATGGCCGTTCGAGTGCGAATGCTGATGCGAGTGGCCGCAACCCTCTTCCTTGTGGAATTCTGAATGCGCCGCTCCCTCGTCTTCCAGCCAGAATTTGGGCACTGCGTACCCAATGACGCCTCGCAAAGAGCTCAGTTCTTGAAGCGTATCCCGGATCCCATATTCGACATCGGCCGGCAGAGACAGTAACAGACGCATTCCAGAGCTCTTCACGAGCGGGATCGCTGACACAAAGATAAGAACAGCGATGATGCACGAGGCGATGGGGTCCCAACCCGACCATCCATAGAACTTCGTCAGCAGGGTCGAGACAATGACTGCAACAGACCCCAGTGCGTCAGCCAAAATGTGCAGAAAGATTCCGTGCATATTCTCGTTATCATGATGGTGATGATGACCATGTCCTTCGTGTTCGTGTCCATGATCGTGCGAGTGCCCATGCCCGTGGTGTGCATGTCCGAACGCGGTCAAGCCGACAATGTTGACTAAGAAGCCCAGTATGCTAACAATAAGCAGCTCGTTCAAACGACGCAGTTCGTGGCCTTCCCAGAGCCTCTCGAAGGCATCGAAGATGATTTCCACACTCACAAGCCTACCGCAAAGTCAATAAAGATCTTCAGAAGGTGAAAATCATGCATACTGACATAAGGAAGACGCCATTGGCAAACCCGGACAGCGTATCAATCTTCCCGTAGCCATAGGGGAACCGCGTATTCGGGGGCCACTTGCTCATGACAGCGGCAGCCAAGCCGACGGCCAGCCCAGCACAGTCGAACAGCATGTGGATGCTGTCCGTTAGAAGTCCCAGTGAGCCGCTCACGAATCCGTAGAAGAACTGGATCATCATGAAGGACAAGTTGAGTCTGGTAAGCATTCAGTACTGTGGAGACAAGGGGAAGGGGGAAGAAGCTCACACTCCGAAGTACGCAATACGTCGAGAGTCCTTCTCAATCAGAATGCTATGCACTATGGATCCAGGAGTGCATTGCGAGATGAGGAATGAAGAGAGCTTGGAGTGATTTCCGTGGAGATGGTGGCCATGAGCTTGATTTTGGTCGGCATGTGCATGATTGTGGGAGTGTGAACCCGAGCCAGTGTCGAAGAATACTGCTGCGGAAGCCAAGGCCGACATGGACAGGATGAATATCCAGCTTGGCCATTTGTCTAAATATTCATATGCACCAATGGCTGCGACTGAGAGACAACCCAGTGCAAATCCTGCCTTTCTCTGAGTCCTCAGGGCAGAAGGCAGCGAAAATAAGAAGAGAGTGGTAGCTGAGGCAATCGACAGACCTAGGAATAGGTAACCCTGAGAGGAAATTGCGGGAGATTCTGTGGAAATCAATGAAGATAACAATGCGATAAGTGCTAGGATTGCTCCCGCAATCAGTGTAAGCACCGTGTCCTCAAATGTAGCAACCAATGGTGAGCATGGCTTCGGCAGTGCAGTTCGTGCGTTGGTTCCGGAAAGGCGGCTGACTCCAGTTTTCAAGGACCATCCCGTCGTAGGGAGGGGTGGGGGTACGACAAAAATGTTGAGAGCCAGCGCCATGTGCCCCAGCAGGGCGCTATGCATGCTCTGCGCATAAAACAAATGTATACCCACTGCTAGCAATAAGGCAGCGCTTGTTGTCCTCCGGCTCCGGAACGTCCGCTTCGCTCCATCCCACGCCGAATGTTTCCCTGGTTTTCGATCCAGACTTCCCAGCCCCGCGGTCACAGCCACTAGCATGGCCAAGGCGACTCCGATGCCGCCCAGCTGAAGTGTCGCATAGAAGGGAAGTACCACCCCCAGCATATTATTGAGAGTGCGCCCAATCGATCGGGCCTCCCATATCCTGTTCAGGATGGAACCTGGGGCTTCTGCCCTCCCCACGGACTTCCGACGGTCCAGCGGCTTATCTGCAAGCGATCGAAGTTGGGACACGACCGAAGCGGATATCAAGGTGAGCGACGAGAGGGCGCATGCGTGTATGAATTGCGACCCATATTGAACCAGCGGATCCTTTGTGCCAGTCTGTAAGGGGTCCTGAACGTGCTCCTCGAGAGCTTCGAAAGTTGAGGACGATAGTCCAGTAGAAAAGGCGATCCTAGAATATGCAAGTTCGGCGAAAAAGTAGGGGAGGGGAACGAGGAGTGCTGTAAGCGCTTCTGGCAATGCGAGCCATGATCTGTTGAACTCGTTAGCATTGGCTCGAGAAGGACGGATGGAGACTTACGGAGGTAATGCAGCCACCTCCTCTATGGGGGAGAATCCGAACGTGGAGCCCGCAACATGCTTCCGCGACGGAGGCCGACCCAAGTCTGACTCCCCGCGAGCCCGCATAGGTTCGGGGTGAAGGGGCGCTCGATCGGGGTGGATAGCATACGTCGAGGTCGATTGAGTAGCGAAAAGAGCGTAGGGTAATGCTATCCACCGCTCGTTCGGAAAGCCACTAAGCGGGAGTTGAAAGTGTAGAAAAGTGCGAGTTCACGGTTCTGATAAGGACTACGGAGTACTACAAAGTATGTCTATGTTTGCGAGAGGTGGTGACATGGAGGCGACGAGTGGCTGGTGTGTGTGGCGCGTTGCGCTAGAGCCCGGCCGTTGACGTCGTGGCCGTTGGACCCTGCATTGCATTGCCGAACCCATTCTCGGGGATGGAGGAAGTGCTTTTGAATGAGGGCTTTGCCCAGGGCTTCAACTATGCACTGACAATAGCAGTGGCAATATCGGTTTTGTTCACCGTCTTTCTGCTGACACTTCCCTCGCAATACAACCCGTTCCATGACAGCCCTCCTCTCCCTGCTGGATCAGCAACCACTAGGGCGCGTAACGACAATGGGATCAAGAAAAACTGGAGGAAGGGCGGTACTACCCATGTTGTAGTCCTGGGAGACATAGGCCGGTCTCCACGCATGCAATACCATGCCATTAGCATTGCGAAGAATGGCGGCCGTGTTTATCTAATTGGCTATGTTGGTGGGTTCACCGTAACATGGCAACTCTAGAGGCAAAGCACCAACAAGTTGCAGAGTCAGAGATCCATCCCCAGATTCTCTCGGATTCACGGATCACCGTAGTGCCTATTGCCCCAGCCCCAGCCTTCCTTCGCCAAAGCAGCAGAGCACTGTTCCCAGTCATCGCCCCATTGAAAGCCCTCTGGCAAGCGGGCAGCCTCTATTGGGCGTTGTGCTATCGAGCGGTCCACCCTGGAAGATGGATGCTAGTTCAAGTAAGTACAACTTCTCACATGCTGTTCTCTTGTGGCCAGATTCTCAATCCGCTTAGAATCCCCCCTCCATTCCAACACTGGCCGTCGCGAGTCTCGTCTGCCTCTTTCGCAACACAAGACTAGTGTGTGATTGGCACAATTTTGGCTATACAATCCTCGCCTTGAAGCTCGGTCCGAAGCACCCCTTGGTTTGGATATCAGCATTCTATGAGAGGTTTTTCTCGCGATTGGCAATCTCGCACTTGACCGTCACCCATGCCATGAAGGATGTTTTGGAAAAGCAATTCGGGATCAAAGGAGCTCTCACCCTGCACGATCGACCTGTATCGTCCTTCCACCCGATAAGTGAGCAAGAGAGGGCCGCATTCCTACAACGACTCCCAGAAACAGCCCCTTTCGCAGAGAACCTCTTGCCTTCGGCGAAGGAGATGTGGAAACTGATCACAAGCTCCACATCATGGACACCAGACGAGGACTTCCAGATCTTGCTGGATGCCCTCACCGCGTACTCTGCCCAAGCAGGCTCAAATCCCAAACTGCCCAAGCTTCTAGTATTGATTACCGGGAAGGGACCCCTGAAAGAGCACTACCTCACCAAGATACGGAAGAACCCTCTCTCTCATGTCCTTATCCGCACAGCATGGTTGACTCCGGAAGACTATGCGTTGTTGCTGGCGAGCGCCGACATGGGAGTCAGTTTGCACACATCCAGCAGCGGCGTGGACCTCCCTGTAAGCGCCGAAATCCATGTCAGCAACCACTCCAAGCTAACAACTTGCATAGATGAAAGTCGTCGATCTCTTCGGCGCCGGGACACCCGTTCTCGCGCACAAATTCCAAGCTCTAGGCGAACTCGTGAAAGAAGGCGAGAACGGACTGGGCTTTTCGCACTCAGAAGAGTTGTCCGACCTGATTGTCAAAGTCTTTCAGGACGATGTCTTGCTCGAGAAACTCAAGGACGGGGCGCTGCGGGAGAGCAAGCATCGTTGGGATGATGAGTGGGACAGTGTTGCGGGGAAGCTATTGAAGCTTGTATGATTGATTCCGTTGGAGGCATTTCCGACACGATTAGATGCATCGTCTCCGTGGTGTATCGAACCACGAGCCCGCATGCGGAGGGATTAGAATAAAAATTTTCGGCCGCGCTATCGGTGAAACCATGGTGAACTTGGCAATCAAGTCCCGCGAACTGTGACGGTCTAGTTAAGTCGACATTGAAGCAGTGTGTTGCGATTCGAAGACAGGCAAGGGGCATTGGTGCTGGTATTACGTCATTTCCTCCAACGAGTCTCTTCGAACCCGAGTGTGCGCTACGTTTGAGCCAGCTCTCAAAGCTCAAGAAACAGTGCCCTTAAATCCACACCAAATGTATGAAAAGGGTGTTTGTTATTTGATACTCGTTATATACTTTTCTCAATCTTAGCATTGACGGTCCTGGATCAAGCGTTTTGTCGCGGATCTTTTCGATTTCTGTAGGTTGAATCCTCCCACCGCCTGTGACGGTCGAGCAGTAAAGACGTTGTAATTGTCTGCTCCTAGGAAGAAATCGAGGCTGTAAGGGGGCTGGCTCGAGTGTGCGTCCACACACTACCCATCTTACAGTATATATACACAGAAAAGTACAATGCGTCTTTCGCTAGCCGAACTTTAGAATATCAATTGATTCAAAGTTTCGTGCTCGGATTACACTTGTTTAAGCTAATCCCGCCGCAACCCGACTACTGCAAGCATCTGGTTTGTCCGCCACGGGTAGATTTGGGGTCGTCCCAATATATATTTTCCTTCCATGGAAATCGGGCAGATGTAGTACGATGAGATATTTATTGACACTTGGAGTAAACATAGTCGACCTTCGAAACTACATAATGCTTCGTTTTGCAAGATCAACGTAAATAGGCGAGCAAGCAAAAGCCTTCAAACACCTCGAGTTGGAAAATGTATGGCACAACCCTGGACATGTAGCGGCCAGCACAACTGACACACTCTACCGAATACCTAACCCCCCATCTCCGCTCAGCTCATCCTCACTCTTCTCCTCGACCATAACCTCGCTAACGTCCACCCCCGCTGTCCTTTCCGCTGCATCAACACTCTGCTGCACCCGTCCACTTTTCTCGGGACTCGGGCTCCTATACCTAGTAAGCGGAAGCCGATGCCTGATGCTATTCGCAGCCGTGGGATTCATTCCCGCGAGCCCAATCGGGGTAGCCATCTGCAGCAGCTCCCCCACTGCACCACCCGAACTCTTCACCACAGTCGCTGCTTCGAGATCCTCGCTGGCGGCGTAGGTTACAGCTGCAGTGGCAGGCATGACGGTCATATCGCTGAGCCACCGCTTAACCAGAAAGTGTTTCAACCGGCTCCAAACGCCGAGTTCCTCAATGGCATGGTCCTGGTCTTTGACAGCAATCGTACGCTGAGGATCAAACCACTTCGTAATGATGCGCCAGCGCATGGCGCTCCAGAACCCTACTGGCACAACCCCTTCTTTCGGACCTCGCCTCGTCCACAGCGCGGGATGAGCTTCTGAGAGATCGTAGAACAGCGTCTCATAGACGCCCCTTCGGAGGGGGTTCTGGTACCCAGAGGTAAGACTGTGCTTGAAGATGTACCAACTGCAAAGGACGACGGAGAAGACGGGAACGGCGGTTATGAAAAACCATTTGATGCTGGGATTGCCCTCGAAAGTGTCCACATTCATGCCGAAGAATCCGGTGATGACCGTAAGAGGGAGGCAGAGGAAGGTGATCCATGAGAGCCTATACATGGACAGGCCGAGCTGAAGCGAGTGTCGTGCATCCCGAATGCCTACGCTTTTGTACATGAGATCGGAGAGACTCGCCGTCGGCTGAACTACGCCGCTTTGGAAGGCTCGTGAAACCTTCTCGAGTTCCAGAGCGGAGCCTGCAAGCCACGGATCATCAGACGATTCGTACGGACTCTCATGCGCAACCTGACGCAAATGCAGAGCCATTTCCTTCACTATGTCTGTATGAATGTTGACCAGGCGTTCGACCTTCAACCACAGACTGGAGTTCGTCCATAGTTCGGGTGCACGGGACTCATCGGCGGGATTGTCATATATTTTATCCTCTGCAACGCACTTTAGTGTCTGAAGGTGTGGAAAAGGATGATAAGATGGAGGACGCTGGATCTTACCTAGAATTGAGATGTGAGTCTCACAAATGCTGATATATTTCTCCCAATTGAACGCGAGGGCTTTGAAAATATCGCGCAGAATAAAGTCCATGCATTCAATGGCTAACCGTTCGTCATCGGAAGTATCTTCGCGAGGGAGATAGAACGTCAAACGGCGCCAACGTTGCTCGATCTCCTGACGAGCCCCAATGAGGGTATCGAAGACAGAGCCCGACTGCGCATGCTCGAAGATGATGATCGTGCTGCCATTATCCAAGCTCTCAAGCTTGGGCATGTGGCGTTCATGATGGCGAACCTCCTCAGAAGGGCCGTACTCGCGCTTCAACCTCTCATGCTCCGTTTCTTCCTCTTCGTACGGGTTCTTGATGTCTAGATCGTCGAGCCCAGGCTCTCCATCGCTCAGTTGCACATAGACCGAGAGACGCTGCGCATATACATCGTACCCATACGCAGGATTATCTTGTGCATCGAAATGATTCAACTCCATCATCTTCAGCCCCTGATTCGCTGGTGTCTCTGTAATTTTCTCCTTCTCATAGTGTTTGAGATAATCGAGCCCGAATGCGGATCGCGATATGCCCCTCCATGGATCCCTCTGCGCCCGGAATGTTTTCCCACTCAGGACGGGCTTTGCCGACGTTCCTTGACCTCTTGTCTTCGGCTTCTCGAATCTCGCCCAGCGCCCGAACGTGGTTCCTACGAGGTCGTCCTTGGGATCGATCTGGAACTTGCGCAAGAGAAATCGGGTAGCCCACGGGGCTTGTTGTACGTGGATTACTCGCAGGGCTGGCCGCGGGTTGCGAGCTTGACCAACGTAGAACCCATGGAGGCCATCGATATCGCTGAGCGTGCTGTTAGCTGAAGCCCAACCGATTCTGCGATACGCTAAGCATACGAAACCTCCTGAGCGACAATCTTCTTCCGCCTCTTCTCAGTCGTTGGCTCCTTCACCAAGTGGTAATCGATGAACAGGACGCGTCCGTGGGACCAACTGGACGTGACGCGCCATTCGACGCCGCGACTACCCTTTCTCCTTTGACTCCATGTGGTCCGACGGCTGATCGGATCCTGCGTCGACGGTTCGTCTGTCGGCTCTGAGCGAGAAGGGCTTCTGGAAGCTCGTGTATTGCCTGTTGCGTTCGGGGTCAGTTGAAGCTCCGAAACGCACGTCCCATCGATGTTGACAGATCGCACGCGCTGTTCGTAATTTCCGATAGATACAGAAAAGCCACCAAGATGGCCGCTAGGTATCAGATATATCGACAAGGCATATGGCTATCAACTACGGGTTTGAGCGAGAGCCCAATACTACTCACCTGTCATGGTACGCAAGGTTGTGGCCCACGATGGCTACCCTGTGATTACAGCGAGGATCCAAAGCGGTAAAGAAGATGAAGGCTGAAATGTTATGATAACGTCCTTCTCAATTTACTGTAGTCACTTGACATGCGACCTCTGAAGATGTTGAGGTGCCGATTCTGCTATGGGGGCCGCGTCGCGCAACATTGAAACGTTAGACAGCGACGAGGTAACCAGCAAACGTGAAGGTGGAGACGCATTGAAGTGCCCGGCTCACCAACCTCGAGTTTCCTATTTAGCTGACATGTACAGGAGGATACCTCCGTTGAAAGGCAATGTTCTGTTGTCCTCGAGGCACCCTACTCTAGCGGGTAACCGTGGGCTACGGCCTGACAACGCTCGATTTGCAAAATAAATGAACGAAGAGCTAGCCTTGTCTCCCGATTCACCAGAAGGAGTCTTGGAGATGCCAAATAACAAAGAGTGCTGGAAGAGACGTTTTTGTAGGGAAAACTTCAAGTCTATACACTTCCAGAGGCCAACATATCAAGGTCGCCAAATAGAGCACCACATCCATCATACAGTACTACAGGACTCCGCTCATCACCATCGTCATCATTGCACTGTTACATCCCCACCGTCGCCTGGACAGGTACCGCGGGGCTTCACGCCCGCCGCGCTGGCTATCGTGATGAAGCAACTCTCGGTTTCTCCTTGCCCTCTTCTACATCGTATGCGTCTTCACTTTCATGGTGAAGCGCATGTCCCAGTCATCGCCATTGACACCTTCATCAATGCCGACGAAATTCGTGATGCGTGTCCATCCTGCGTTTGTCACTACGCCTCTGGAATTGTCTGAATGATGAGTTTTTCTAACGGCAGCTAAGTCGTTGACATCCGCTCGAAGCTTGCAACGGCTTAGTTAGGATTGGGGGTGATAGAGAACGCGGTTGTGGGTTGGGATTTGGGAGAGCCCTTCCTGAAATGCTTGGGTGCGTGATTCGGGTGGTAGAATGAGAAGACTACTTCGATTTGCTGTTAACATAGTAGCGCTCACCGCAATTATCAATGCCCTCTAATTTCGCCTGGATGCCCTTGCAGTCTCAGGACGAGAGTGATTTACTCGCAGACATCGTTCAAGGGATGGGGAGCACGGGACCCAATGAATGGCTACATTTTGGGCCCTCTACAGGTGGACTGATGCACGAGATGCAGATTCTCCAAAACGTGGATGCGGCCCCCTCGTGGGGATGACGACGTGCCTGGTTAGCAGCGCTACTTTCACGGCTTCTACGTCACACATTGCTCCCAAGATGAAACGCTCGATCAGTGGTCAAGTCTCGGGTCGGACCTGGGAAGCCAACATAGATAGTACTCCGGAAACATCACCCAACAAGAACATAGTCAAGAAAGGAGAGCGGGAAAATAGAGTAGAAGAAACCATGCAAACTTGTCAGACTCATCTAATCGCAAAAGCCTATGAACATGGTAATTCTACGAGGTATAAGGGGTTGGAGACCACACAAGCCATTCCTCCAGGTAATAGTTGACAGGCGCCCATACATGGTAACCAAGCGGTGTGAAACGATTAAAGGGATACACAATCGAAGGGCTGCGAATGCGGTCTCGTCGTCCAGGGTGCTTTGACTTGACGCGGGGACCCCAGAGAGCGTGCTACGACTTCCTCTTTCCGCGACTTGAGATGAGCGTGGATGACCAGATGCTCATTTCAGTTCACCTCTCGCAATGCCGATCTACAAGAAGGCGGCAAGAGCACCGACAACGGCGAGAAGGCCAACAGTCTGCTTGGTAGCAGCACCCTATTTCATGAATTAGTCGAATTCTGAGTGGGTAAAGGGAGCAGTCGACTTACCTCAAAGTCAGCGGGTTTGGAGGGGACGGGAGCACCACCAGTGGGATAAACAGTAACGCCACCGGTGGGATAAACGGGAGCACCACCAGTGGAATGAACGGGGTAAGGAGCGGGAGCAGGGCCGGTAGGGTAGGGAGCAGCGGGAGCCGAATACTCCGGAGCCTTGGGGGTCTCAACGGGAGCGGTGGGGTAGGTCTTGACGACGCAAGTGTGTTGGCAAGGGACGGTGAGGGTGGTGGCCTCGGTGACGGTGTAGGTCTTGGTGCCAACCTCGACCTCGGTGGAGCCCGTGCAGTAGGTGACGTACTCTACGACAATCAGCATGTTATTCTTTGAGCGTGGGGGGTGGGGACGAACCGGAGGTGGTGATGGTCACGTACTCCGCAGGAGGAGTGTAGACGGGGGCAGCAACACTGGTGCTGTTCTGGGGAACAGCGGGAGGATAGCCGTAGCCATACTCAGCAGCGGCAGCGCCGGCGACGAGAGCAGCGGTGGTAATAGCGAAACGCATCTTGATTGTCGTTGGGGGGAAGTTGGTTGGGTTGATTAATTATGTATAGGCGTGGAGGGTGGTTGTTTATTGGAAACGAATGACGACGGTTAGACCGATGAAATATTAAGATAGCGAATGTGGTGGTGAAGGGAAAGAGAGAAGAAGAGGCATGGTGGACTCCTATTATATGATATGGACTGCGGGCCTCCCCGTGCTTGACCAACAAGGCAAGCCACGGAAGGGGGGTTAACCTCCTGGGCTGGCTCCTGGGCCGGCTCTTGGGCTCCACTGTGGACGCCTCTTTCTGGAATCTGGAAAGACGGAAAAGGGGAAAGTTTGTTTGTTGGAGTTGTGGAAGATAGGCGCGCTCCAATCAGAGACGTGCGGTGGGCACAAGGTTAAACAGTCAATATCACAACCCTTGGCCATGGCTAGACCCGAAGAGCAGTGAGGGAGGTTATGATTTATTATTAAATTGTGCCATGCCTGTTTGAGTGCTCTGTTGTCCTAACGTGGCAGCCATCTCCTCCTTGCACTGGTGACGGGGTGCAGATAACGGTTGCTCCGCAGGTTGCGCCGTGTCACGTCTAATTATCACAGTACCGTAAAAAAAAAAAAAAGAACAGGACAACAGGGTCGGTTCGGTTGAGCAGCTGTTGCTTAGCTTTGATTCTCGGCTGACGATGGAGTGGTGGAGATGATATCCTTTCTTGGAAGTGCCGTGCTGAAGATAGCTAACGCCACCGCATTATTGGATGCACGGGCGAACGGTCGACTCTGGTGGAACAAACCACAAATGTGCATGCAAGCGGGTTCCTGCGTTGTCCAACCAGGAACGAGGTTGCTGCGGCTCCCAGAAGCCTCAAGAAGCCAAGAATTTCGACGGATATACCAGTAGATGGAGACGAAGCTGATCTCAATGCTTCATACGTCGCAATGGTATCAGGGAGACTTGTCACGCACACTCGGTACACTTGAAGAAATCCTGCTGGGAAATGTCGACCTATCATCCCGGAGCTGGCAGAAGTTAGAACGGACGTCGAACGTCGAGGTTACGTGACATGTGCACTGTCACGAAGCGTGCCGCTGAGAGACCCTCGCATCATGGTAGCTGGCTGCAGCCACCCTAATAATACGCAGTAAATGCGCTGTTGAGGCGTCGTCGGGTGTCGGCCCACCAAGGCGCTTATTAACGATTTCCAATCAAGGGAAACGCCCCGGGTGTGGCACAGCTGCAACCGTTAAACAACCACGGCTTGTGTGCATGTGACTGAATGAGAAGAATGGTGATGGAAAATCGAAGTGGTGCTGGAACAGCGTAGTTATTGTAATTGCTGGAAGTCAAAATAAGGTTGCTTAACTCCACTCCTGGGCGGAGGTAGGATTAAAGCGTGCAGCGGTCGCGTGGCAGCGAGACGAATGCGGCAGGAGCGCTGACAGTCTTTGCAGTCACGACCCCTGGGGGAAGCTTGTTTTTGCATTCCTCTCGTCTCCGCGTCTCTCTCACCGGACATTTTCAGCTCCATCATCAGTCTGTAACCGCTGGCCCAATCATGCCCGGATCCAGCTCTACAGTTCCAAAAGAATGGCCCCAGGGGATCGTCTACCTTCGAGTCCCCCACTACTCCAAACGACTTTCCAGTGAAACCTCAAGAGTGCTCATCCTCCCGTTCTCCGAAATACCTGCAGATGAACAGCTTATGAAAAGCACCAACGGACCATTCACTAACGTCAGAATATCCAAAATCACAAATTCCAATCACCCTGCCTACGGCCAGTACGGCCTTTTCGCAGCTCAACACCTGCCTCCAGATTCCTTCGTCCTTCCCTACCTAGGCTACGTGCATGATCAGAGCGACACCAATGAGTCTTCCGACTATGATCTCTCGTTGGACAGAGAGCATCGAGTGGGCGTAGATGCCTCCACCATGGGCAATGAGGCCAGGTTCATCAACGACTACAGGGGTATAGCACCGGCTCCTACCGCCGAATTCAGAGACATCTACATCGACTTGGGGAACGGCAAGGCGGAGAAAAGGATAGGCGTGTTCGTCTTGAGTGCAGGCAAGAGCGGAAAGCGAGCGAAGGGTGTTCCCAAAGGACAGGAGCTTCTCGTCAGTTATGGGAAAGGCTTCTGGGCCGCGCGATCTCCATAGTCGACATTACCTGCCATCATGCCATCACTGCCATCTTAATAGCCTTCGTGACATTATGAAGCAAACAAGGTCCCATCGGAGTCCTTGGCCAAGGGCCAGATTTATGAGGAAGAAAAAACTACTGAGACCCGCCAAAGTCTTTCAGGAACGACCATTTGGTCAATCAGCATATCAGGAACGCCAGAGACCTTTCCCAGATGCCTTTCCAGAATGCTCCCAATCCTGATACTGCACCAATTGTCCTAGAACGCCAAAAGAACCGCCCCTTGTCAGTATCCAATACCGCCCTCTCATGGAAGCAACGGATAGAGTTCCTCGGATATGCCCAACGGCAAGGAACCACCTGAGGTTGATTCGCGCTCAGATATCGCTCTTCCCCCCCATCACCTTGGCAGCTTGAACAGCGTTCATCTTCTGCGTCCACCCAGGGGCGGGCACGACCTTGCGCACTGTACGCACTTCATCCGAAGCATAACCAGGGATGCGGATGTTATAGTTGCGCTCAAGAACCACCTGGAGGTCGCGGATCTCAAGGTTGGGCGACTCGCGCAGCTTCGCCAATTTGCAGGCCGACGTAATCACCGTGTCCACAAAATCATCTGCAAGTTGAAGCATGGCCTGCAGAGATATGTTAGAACGCTGACGAGGCACGACGATGCATACTACTTACCTCCTCCACTTCGGGCGTCAAGGCATCCTCCGATCCACCAGTCACTTGGCGGACAAGCTCGTCGAGCTTGCGCTTGCTGAGCACGCGGTCTCCCTCGCCTTCCAGCTGGAAAGGCGGAAACTTGTTGATGACGGGTTGGCCCAAGGGGCCAGGCGCACCATTATTGGGGCCGCCCATTGTCGGTCGCGCCGGCCCCATCGACACTGGAACGGGAGTAGCCGTGTTGAGTGTGCGAGGGATTGGCATTTTGGTGTTGTTGAGCTGCTCGCGCTCACGACTACCTGGAGGGTGAAAATTACCCTGCCCAGGCTGCAACGGAGTGCCGGTACGTTGGGGATCGGGATTCGAGTAGGATCGCTGAGCGGCCGACACGGCAGCGTGATGAGAAAGTGGGACTGGCGGACCCCCAGGACCTGCCGAGACCGCTGAGTGCGGATGCGGAGAATTGGTTTGTTGTTGTATCGCCGCGTTCGCTTGTTGTGGGTTGATCTGAGGGCGCTGCGGTTGATGCGGCTGCTGTCCTGGTTGTGGGAAGGAAGGATGTGCATGGGGGGGAAGTTGTTGTTGTTGTGGATGGGGAACGGGCGGTTGCCGCGGTGGCGGTTGAGCAATTGAGGCTCCCGTCGCCTGGGCGTTCTGCTGGGATTGCGGTATGCCTCCAGGTATGTTGGTGAAAGGCTGCGCTGGCTGAGTCTGACCCGGTTCAACCTTGATCTGGGGTTCAGGCTTTTCTATGGTCGAAGGAGCGGTTTGAGGCTGTTGTGGAGTTTGCTGCTGCGTGGTCGCTTGTGGTTGAGCCTGCACTGGCTGCGGCTGCTGTTGCGGCTGCTGTTGTGACTGTGTCTGATTGTACACTGGAAGCCCCTGCGCTTTCCACTCGCCTTGTTTCTTCCTCAACTCATCGACGAACCTTTTGGCACCCAGGAACCCGGCCTCATTTCGTTGCTTCTCGCCTAAGAGCTCCGGAAGCGGTTGAATCCCTTGTTGTTGATTTTGCTGCAATGTTCTATTAATCTCACTCAGGCGTTTGGAACACTGGTTTTGCTTGACCAGTGCATTAAGGTAGCTCTGTCTCATCTCCTTGAACCTTTTCTCTGCATCTGGACCCACAACGGGAACACCTGGACCCAGCCGCCAAGGGAATTCATTGACATGCTTGATTATCTGGGCATGTTCGTTCGAAGGGGGTACTTGCGGACGGTTGCCGCTCTGCGGTGGGGCTGCACCTGGAGCCTGATTCTGGGCCTGGAGTTGAGGCATCGGTTGTTGTTTCTGGTGTTGTGCTTGTGCAGAGTCCCCAGGCGCTGTATCAGAGGCGTGATCGCTCGAGGGCAATGAGGGGCCTTGCGATTGCTGGGTGGGCTGGTTCGATTGGGGCGGTTGCGACGGCTGCGGCGGCTGTGACGACTGATTTGCTTGTTGGCCTTGGGGGTTCTGGTTCGATCCCTTGAGCTGCTGCTGCTGTTTTTGCTGCCGATACACTCGCTCCTGATGAATGAGCCTGGAGGACCACTCCTGTAGCTTATTGCGGGCCTGGATGTATTCGTTGCTGGTGTCGGGTTTGCTATTGAGTATGCCCACGATGGTGCCGAAGGCGACCTTATACTTCGCCTTCTGATCCTCGGTGAGGGATGACAGCTTGGGAAGATCCTCCGGCTTGAGTATTGTCCGTGGCTGGGGCTGCGCTTGCGACCCTTGAGGCTGTGGATTGCTCATTGCTGGCGGAGGGGGGCTTTGTTCCAGCCGTAAGGTCGAACAACTCAGGTGCCGTTCTTCTCTTTTTTTGCACTGCTCGCTATGATAGCACTCCTGGCAGACTTGTGAGTGAGTGGTGGGTGATGCTGAGAAGGTTGGAGTGGCTTGATGGATGCTTGCGGGAACTGTAAAGTGAGTGATGTCGGAGGTCCGCCGCCAAGCGGCTTTGGGGGCAGTCTCACGTGATCGAGTCTCATCAATGATCACCTACAATCTTTTGTCAACATGTGATAAAAGCCGGAGGCGAAATGCAAGTGGAGTTGGGAACCAGATAACAAGTATCCCATTTTTCCTCTGGGTCTTTAATCCTGTGCATGCTCATGATATGATGTTATATGGGTCTCTTGCGAACACCTAGCTTCCTCCATTGGCGGCGGATATCGCTCTCTCTCTGGTATTCCTTACTTCCCACTGAAACTCCTTGAGTGCCCTTAGCTCACTGCTAACGAACAATCCTCCCATAAGCCCATCCAAAACGCCAACGCCGAAACCCAAAGTGCTAACCAACATCAAGATGAACGAGACGTAATTATGAGGAGACCACCAGACGCCGACCAAACACCCAATTGAAAGCAGAATCTGGTATCCAAAGTGACCCAGACGAAGCCTTCGTTGTATCTGTTCTCGCTTTGCATATTTGGTGATGTTGGCCAGGATCTCGTCATACACGTCTAGGGGAAGATATGTGTCGGGTAAGGCGTAGTGAATGTGGTCGACAGTTGTGGGCTCAGCAGCACTGCGTACGAGGGTTGCTTCTACGGAGAAATGGTCGCTGAGGGAGCAGTGGAGGGTCGGATGCCGCATCGTCATGCCTACATTGGCGTCTTTTAGGGTCCACTCCGCCGTTTCCTGTCCAGTGGTGGGATCATGTCGGCGTCCGCTGCTGAAGAAGATGTAGTCTAGTCGCTTTGCGTTGGGGTCCGAAACAGAGCCTTCGATGACTACATTCTCGCCCTTATCAAGGCGTCTCTTATGCGCTTTGTTCCATCTCCACGTGTTCAAGGCGCTGTCGCATGTTGCACCATTGACTTTGAGATTGTACTCTGTGGAGGGCACGGGCAATCCCCGCATCTTTTCCACAGGATCCCTCGCCGCACCAATGGAAGAGTCTGGGTGTAGAATCCGCCAGACATCCCGTACTGGGGAGTGTGTTTCTATTATACGATGGGCAAGGGAAAGTGGAAGCATATTGAAGTCGCCCATTCCAATAACAAGGTGACCTCTTTCTGCAGCACCGCGCATAAGCTTCGCTATTTCCCAAGCCTGGGCTGTGCGATGGCAGAGGTAGGAGTCGAATGGCTCGGCTTCATATGGGGCGTGGAGCTACACACTGGTCAGTGGACGCGAGTAGGTAAACTTTCGAGGGACGAACATGAGTACAAAACACCTCCGCCACATCGCTTTTCGTTGGTCCCATTCGTATTCGTGCGCATGCTACCCCCTTTCCCACGAACCAGTCGCCACGATAGAACGCAGCGGGACGTCCATTGAGTGGATACTGCACCATATTGGTCTCTTCTATGGGCCATCTGGAAAGGATGACCAGTCCACCTCCAAATATGCCACTATGATAGAATTTGCCATACGGAAGAAGATGATGTGTGCGGTCCCGGATGGCCAGGTAGTCTTGCTGTGTCCAACATTCCTGCAGGCCGACTATGTCTGGCGGAGGGTGGGCCGCGGCAATCTGATTTCCGATTTCCGAGAGGCGCTCATTGCGGAGCTTGGAGATGAATTTGAGGCCCCAGCAGTTGAGCGAGAGAATGCGGAGCTGCGACGGTGGCGGGTCAACTCTGGACGCCATGAAGGACGGGACTAAGGGAGTTTCATGAGGAGCATGCGCGATTCAGGGCCTTGGGAGTTGTCCAAGCCATGACGTCCACACACGAGGTGTCGTTCATCTCGGAAGCGACCTCACCGCCTTCGCACGTGCAGGGTGCCGATCAACGCGTCGGATGGCAGAATCTATAGTTGCTCCGCGTCCCTCTCCCTCTGTTCGCAACAGCAACCCATGGATGACAAGCACAACCCGTCGCCGAAGCGGCGTAGAGAGGACGACGGCGAGAATGACGATACCCCTCCCCGGAAGCGCTCCGCCTCAGGCTCGCCCTCCGCTGCCTCGCCTTCCTACAGGCTAGCGGAACGCCCAGCCACAAGATATCACAGAGAGGACAGCGGGGACTACAGAGAAAGAAGAAGCCCGACACCAATCGCCCGGCCACGCTCAAGGTCGAGGTCAAGATCAAGGTCAAATTCGTCAAGATCCCGTTCCCACTCTCCCTCCCGTCACCACAACGGTTCTCCCTCGCAACCCCCACCCCCTCGCAAACCCTCCACCCTCCACTATGAGCCATTGCTCCTTCTCCGCGGCCACACCAAAGGCATATCCTGCGTAAAATTCTCCCCGGATGGAAACTGGATAGCCGCCGCCTCAGCCGACTGTACCATCACACTTTGGTCCGTACCTGACGGCCGCCTGGAGCACACTTTGGCCGGCCACCTTGCTGGCATCAATGCGCTCGCATGGTCTCCGGACTCCAAAATCCTCGCTTCTGCCTCCGACGACAAGTCCATCCGCCTGTGGGATATCTCAACGGGTCTGGCTCATCCCAAGGCCTTCATTGGCCACCACAACTACGTCTACTCCATTGCTTTCTCGCCCAAAGGCAACATGCTCGTCAGCGGAAGCTACGACGAAGCCGTCTTTCTCTGGGATGTCCGTGCCGCGCGCATCATGCGCAGTCTCCCTGCCCATTCCGACCCCATCGGCGGCGTCGACTTTGTGCGGGACGGCACACTAATCGTTAGCTGTGCGAACGATGGCCTAATCAGAGTCTGGGACACAGCAACAGGTCAGTGTCTGCGAACGCTGGTCCACGAGGACAATGCGCCCGTGACCTCGGTGCGCTTCTCCCCCAACGGAAAGTATATACTCGCCTGGACACTGGATTCGTGTATCCGGTTGTGGAACTATATCGAGGGGAAGGGGAGATGTGTGAAGACGTACCAGGGACATCTGAACGAGAAGTATAGTCTGTCAGGAGCGTTCGGGACGTATGGAGGCGAACCGCCGAATCAATATGCGTTTGTCGCGTCGGGGAGCGAGGACGGCAGCATCTTCCTTTGGGACGTGAGCTCGAAGAATGTGCTGCAGAAGTTGGAGGGTCATAAGGGTACAATATTGTCGGTTGACACGCATCCGACGCAGCACTTGATTGTTAGTGGCGGTTTGGATAAGACGGTGAGGGTATGGCGATGTAAGGAGCCTTCAGTGGTGGAAGAAGGTGTGCCAAATGGTACAGGAGAGCCGGAGATGAACGGGAATGGTCTACCACCTGAATTGCCTCCTTATCCCTTTGGCTAGTATCATTTCCGTTCGGTTGCAAAATAAGGGAGCGTTACGTCGTACTAAATCACCTGAATAGCCTGGCGGTCCATCAGATACCCCTCCACAACATAGACAATATGTATCACGGCGTGGAAAACGCTAAATCCATTCGGTCAATACAGATATGCCTCCCAAATAGCAAAATGTCTATGTACAATACATGTACAAAGCCGGATCGGAAGCTTACTGATTCTCATGCTCGCCGACGAGGAGTGGGAGCTCTACGGCACAGCTGAAACCAGCGCGAAGGCCATCCAACAACGCCTTGTTATAGTGACGATGCTCTATATGCTGATGCGATGCATAGGGGGTACTCTTACAAAATATACAGACAGATATCAGGTGACGCCGCAAGTCATCGTCTTCCTACTCACTTGCGTCTCTTCATCACTTTGGTGCACATCTCGATGAGGCCGTTCTTCGCGTCACTTTCGGGGAAGCCACTGATGGCTTCAACAGCCTTGTCGACGTACTCTTGGGCGAGGGCGCGGGTCTGCTCAAGGCCGGTGCTGGAAGCTACGATTTCTCGGGCCTGGTATCGTCAGTCAGTCATGAAGTCCCATGCCATTCCTGCATTAGCGCGAGACGAACCTTCTGCACGTCACCCTCTCCGGAGAACTTCCTGCCCACCAGCCTTCCGAGACTGTTGTTGTCTTTCCAAGCGAACAACAAGGGTGCAGTCGCAAGTCCCAGTTCCAAATCCGCCCCAGCAGGCTTCCCGAGCTCCTCTTCAGAGACCGTGTAATCCAGCATGTCATCCACAAGTTGGAACGCCAGGCCGATGTTCTTCCCGTACAAATACGCCGCTTCAACAACCTCAGGCGTGCTGCCACCGAGGATGGCAGCGGCACGACAGCTTTTACTTATCAAGCTCGCGCTCTTCAGGTACGTCTTCTGCAGGTAATACGCAACCGTGTCCTCCGTCCAGCTGGGATTCTTCTCGTCCCGCGCAGTGTTCTTGAGCTGCATGAACTCTCCCTCTACTAAATTCGCAATGACCGTAGCCAGGAGCTCGGTCACTTCAGGGTCGCGTAACCGCGCCAGCGCGACGGATGCCCTTCCGAGCAAGAAATCTCCCGCCAGCACGGCCATTTTGTTCCCGAATGCAATGTTTGCTGAGGGAGCGGAACGTCGCGATTCCGAGTGGTCAATGACATCGTCATGAAGTAAAGAAGCGGTGTGTATCAGCTCAGTGATCTCCGCCAGCCGCCTTTGCGAGGGAAGGATATCGGAGTCTCCGGTCGTATACACGGCATCGTGCGAAAGGTCCGTGAGGGAAGGGCTCCCCGCAGAGGGGTTCTCGTCCGCCAGTATGTCCGGCCGCGTGATGGGTTGGTTTACAGAGTAAGTCGTACTCCTATTCTGAACCTTGGGTGCTAGCGCAGTCGCTCTTGACATGAGGAGAACCAGCATAGGTCTAACATATTTTCCTTCGCTTTGGGTGTAGTATTTGGCAACAGTATCCAGTGTAGGGTGTCCTGAACCTAGTAACTGCCTAATGTTCTTGGTGAGAAACTTCATCTCCTTTGCAACCGTCCGGAAAGGATCCACGGATATGGGCGCATCAGGCCCTAGAGGGGGAGCATTGAATATCTTCTGAGCGGCCGAAACAGCAGCACCCCAGCTAGATTGATTACGCCGCCTCGACGGGTGGAAGAATGTGGAAATCCGGGGTGAGGAACATATCGAAGGCGAAGCATGCGGACATTTCGAAAAGCGCGGCGTTGCAGGTCGTGCGAGGCTCGTTGCGAGCCGCGCGGATCGGCTCGTCATCGAATTTTTTTTCAATATCGAGGGGTTAGAAACACGCAATTGAGCTTCTCCAGGTACAATTGGGGGTAGCACGAGGCTTCATTCGTCGGCCCTTGATCGATGCCAGCCGCAGAAATTCTGAGGAAGTCATGACGCTAGCATCGGTGCCAAGACATTCAGAACGAGCGGGCGAACCTGCCTCGGCCAGACTGTCGCGTCAAGGCGACAACTTTTCCAAGGTTCCGATCCAACCAAGATGTTGCTGCGTATGACCGCTACTGTCGTGCGGGCGATCACTGAAGCTCAGAAAGTTGCGGAGGATGAGCTGCGGGTGCTTTGTATGCCAGGCGAACCTTCTCTTGACAACGCAGAAGTTGGAAATCCCATCTCGCACGGCCAGTTGATCGGCCTGTCGAAGCTATTGCGCAAACATGCAGGCCAGCTTTCGAAGGGAGATGTGGACGGCGAGCCGGGAGCGTATACTCTAGACAGACTGCTTAGGGGTTCAAGCTTCTATACGCCTCCTCCTCCGCCAAAGAAGGAGCCTGTAAGCACCCTGGACGCCGACTAGCAAACGAAGATCTAATCCACTTTAGACACCGGAGTACAAAGCTCTCATGGAAACCCTTAGACGTGAAGAGGAAGCGATTCAATATCAGCGCATGCTCAATCCTCGCCCAGCTAGTGACAACCTTGCTACTCCCTTGCTCGCGCATCTTCACCCCCGAGAGGCAGCATTCGAGGACGATGAAGTCACATACCAGGATGTTCACCGCCAGGTGATTCTCATCATCAACGTCTTGGTCTCCATAGTCGCTTGCAGCGTCTTCATATGGGTTGCCGCGCGTCATTGGAGCGCCCCGAAACGGCTGGGACTCAGTATGAGCGGAAGTGGTCTTATTGGCATCGCAGAGGTCATTATATATAACGGATACGTGAGAAGGGTTAGAGAGGCAAAGTTGAAAGAGAAGAGAAAACCGGAGATCAAACAAGTAATACAGAGCTGGGTCATTGATGGGGCGTCTGAGACGCATGAAAATGTTCTATCCTCCACATCGAAAGAGCACATGGGAAAGGGAATCAAATACCGGAAAGGTAAACACCGTTGATCGAACAAATGCTCTATGGACCTTGTCGCTATGCAACTATTCCAGAACAGACCCGACGAGACCCCAACTCCGACCGCTCAATGCTGGTGCGCATCCGTCCATGTGAAACCGGCTCGATAACAAGAACAATATCAAGCCTGCCTCACTTTTTCTTCCTCCCCGCGACTCCTCCGAACCTCCTACCAAAGTCGGTTAGGCTCGACTTCGGCTTATGGGCTTGAACTTGCTGCAACGGCGAAGGACGGACACCGCCAGGGGTTGGGCTCGGTCGTATCGGGATGTTCTTCGGTGGAACCTCTGGCGGGATGCTTTCTGGTTCTTGCTCTGCAGAAGCTGCATCCTCGCCTAAGGTCGCTAACCGGTGTGACCGCCTTGCTCTCTCCTGAATCGTCTTGAACTTGTCCAACAACTCAACCCATTTGACTCCTCCCTCGTCCCTTGACTTCAACCGATTGGATCGCTCGAAGCTAGGTGCGCTTGGACCTGTTTGGCTGCTGGGAGTGCCGGCGTCTGAGCTTTTTTGTCTTAAATGGTTGAAGTTGGAGGAGGGAACGTACGTGCGTGGCGCAATATGAAGATAGCCAATGGCGCTCACACTGTTGAGCCGATTCTTCAGTGCGGCGAATGCAGATGATTGCGGCAGCAGCATGAGTAGGCCGTAGAGACACTTGTAGAGGTGAGGGTATCTCTCTGGCTCGAGTAGCTGCATACGCAAGTCTGGCAGGAGTTAGCCTTGGTCGCGGGCGATGGCTCGCTTTACGTACAAGTGAACACAGGTGACTCAAGAAGCTGGACGAGTTTATCGATTTGGATGAGCATATCCACAGTCATCTCAAGGTCGGCACTGCCCGGTCAGCCCTAGTCCCGACATGACGATGGGGAACCTACAATATTTGTAGCAAATGATACGCTTGCTCGTAAGCTTGAGCTAGGAGGCAGAGAGAAAAGGTCGCCACCGCGTTGTGACACCAAGACTTGAAGAGGGTAACGAAGAAAGTTTGTCCGTCCTGGGCCGGTTAGTTCCACGCGAACCCAAGGTCTCCGCTACTTACCCTGTTGTCGAGGTTACGGAGTCGTTTTCGAAGGTCGGCCAATTCTGGCGCTGTGATGAGATTATTGTTGAGGTTTTGCACCATGATACTGGCAAATTCGACATCCTCATCTTTCTCAAGGCAGTCGGCCATGGTTCGGTAGATACGTTCGGGGCTTAGACTAACACATAGTTGCCGGATTATCAGATTCCCCCGTGTCTCGAGTAGCCGGCGATCAGTGCAGAACAGCTTCAACAGGTTGACCATGAAGGAAGTGAAATACGAGTCGTCGCTGTTTTTGGAGATCTGCGAAAGGAGGTGCAGGTCCCGAGTGACAACGGCCTCCGACGGATCAGAAAGCGTCTTAAGCAATGCTGGGAAGGTGCCGTCGTCGATTGACAGGATCTGTTACGTGTAAGCCTCCAAGACAGGCAGAATGACGAACCGGCAACCGACCTTTCCAGGTGCCATCTTATGCAGCATGATCAGCCACTGGATAGCAGCGACGCGAGTATCCTCATGTTCATTCAAGAACTGGAGTGTGAGGGCGTTCACGGCTCCTTGGTAGTCTACCTCTGGGAGCGGTTTTGCAGGCGGTGAAGAAGGACGATCCTCTGCTGGCGTCGGGGTCCTCGTACCCTTGGTGTCCTTTGAATCCGCGGATGCGATCTTTGAGATTCGTGGGGAGAAATTAGAGTCTCGTCGCTCTCCACCTGTCAGATCTTTATTCAGCCCAGACATGGGGTTGAACAACTGAAGGGGGCCATCTGAGCCAGGTTCAAGGCGATAGTCATCATCAGACAAAGACATAATGTATGCCATGAGTGACGTGTTCACGTTGTTTGCGGCTATGCGAACCTGGTCTATGTCGTGGGACAGCATTGGGAGCACATGCGTTAGTAGGCGAGGGACAAATGTCATGATATCCTCTGGACAGATCTGAAAGAAGCTATTGATCCATCTCAGAGCCGTTACCTGGATCTCTTTCTGAGCCTCCTTTTCATCCTCTGAGAATCAGAAGTCAGCCAAAGACCTGAACGCTACGTGTGATTTCCTTACCGCGCGTTTCACCCAGAAATGACACCAGAATATCCAATATCTTCGCATGATCCACTTGCACATCTTGTCCTGGTATCCAGTCATCGTCAACTCGCGTTGATCTCTCATCATCATCGGACTCGGTCGCTTCCGTGACGGCGCTTTCGCTGTCTTTCTCGCCAGCGGCTACGTCCTGGCCTGGAATCGTGCTATTGGCTTCGCTCTCTTCCTCATTTCCAGTTCGCAAGCTGGAGGCTGAGGTTTTGGCACCTTCATCACCCCCACTTCTGCGGCTTTCTGCAACACCCCTCTTGACACCGGCGATGGATCGTATCTCGTTCAAGAACCTCTCCAGTATTTTATGTGTGGCAGTTTTGACATCGGGATTGGGGTCGCTCAAGAACTTGAAGAGCCCACGCAGGAAACGAGGCAGGTGGGTGACGAGTTCCAGGTCAGGTATCGAGTCCAACAGACTGATCCAGGCGACGAGGAAGGTCCGCGTAAACGGGTTTAGAACGTTTATCCTTTCCTCGAGTAGTGGGAGGAACCTTTCCAGAGAAAACGCAGTAGGACTTTCGGCCGTCACACGGCCCTGATCACCATCGCCGCCTTCCCCTTGCCCTTCAGCCTCTGATGGAGTGTGAAGTATGGAGACATACGAGGCTGCCGACTCGGCTACGATGTCCTTGACCAGCCGGTCCAATAGCTCCGCTCCGTTCTTGACAGACAGCTCTGAGTCGGCGGCAAGCTATGCCACATGTTAGATAAGGTCTTCCAGCCTAGGGGTCCAAATACCTTGCACAAGGCGTCGAAGACTTGATTGAAGTATACCAGGATTTCCCCCTTTGCTACCTTTGCAATGTTGTACATGCTCTCGCATGCATAGTAGCGGACGCGGGCATCTTGGTCGGAGAAGCAGGCGAGGACGGGGGGTACTATTTCTTTCAGGTATCGAGCGACTTCCTAGAAAAGCGGTCAATGGTGGTCAGCATGTGGGGTGAAGATGCATACAGGGCCTAAGGCAATGGACGCGGCGGCGAGGCCTATGAGGCCACCATTCCTCGCGTGGGGTTGGTGAACGGCGTACGCGTACTCGTGACAGAGTTGATGGACGATTCTTTGGATCTTGGCATGATCCTGAGCTGCGAGACAGTCGCGGATCAGACCCTCGAGCTCGAGAGCACCGCTCTTGCGCTTGTCGTAGAGCTTGTCATTGAGCGCCTTGGTGATGTTGGCGTCCATGGCTGGGTGTGGTGATGGATGACCCCAGCTACATGGCGCGGTAAGGCGTGCGGGTGCGGTGATGCTCCAGGCAAGGCGGATTGAGGCGCGATCAGTTACCGACGGTGAATGTCGAGGGGTTCGACGGGCCTTGAGACATGCACGTCATCTGCGGGCCGGGGGAGTTCAGGGCTGGCGGGCTGGGAGGGTGAAGGCTAACCAGATTGGGCAATCCACTGCGACGCCCCCCGTGGACGACTTCGCCGTCGACCGCTGTTAACCGTCTGCTCCTCGTCGCAGTGTCTGGGAACGAACTCTCACCAGACCCCTCTTCCTCGAGATACAGCCATCTCAAATCTCTGTCTATGCTGCGCTAGATAGAACCGCTTTCGCTGGGCCAGCGCAGGATACCTACAGACAGCCTGCGGACATGGCAAACTTGATCTCGCCGTGGGCCGTTGCATTGTAAGTAAACCTCTACTAGATGAAATCTATGGCTGACTCCCATGACCAGCGTAGTCTGCAATTTCAATACCGATTTGGTGGGTCGAGAAATCACAAAGTTGGTGAGCGCCCAGTACTGACACGATAGAGGGACCCGAAGTGGAGTTTCAATATCCTCCAAGTGTCCCGTTTTCGACAGCCGATTTGACCGCAATATGCTTCAACAGTTTCCCAGAGCAGCAGAATTCCGAAACCGCAGTTGACATCTCCTTCGATTTCGCCATCACCAACAACTCGCCCGACCTTCAGTTGGACTCGCCTCAGACTCCCCATGGAAGCTTGTATGGATGCTGCATCTTCCGCCAACAGTTCGATAATACCATGAAGAGAAGTTTCAACCAAAGGACCCTGGTGCTCATATCCCACCAAAGATTCCAATCCTTCTACCATCGCCTTCTCCAGCACATGACCAAGTCGGGTCCCATTAGCAACCCCGCCACCGTAGAAGCCGCATACTCGCAGATTGCCTCATGGCCTCCACCAGCCCCGGGTAGACATGACCTTCCGTTTCTGGGATCAGTGATTACGTTGGACATCGCTCCCCATCACGCATTTCCACTCCAAGGACTTCCAGGCTCAGCGCCGCGCATTTCAGAGAAGCCCTTGTCACTCTACGCGTACGAGCCCTTTGGCTCCTGGGACACCATCATGCCTTTCTTTCCATGTATAACGGACCTCTATGTACTATACGAGAAGCTACTCCTGTGTGAAAGCATTGTCGTCATAGCCCAATCTCCGCAGCTATGCAGTGAGGCCATTTCGTCCTTGCTCGACTTGATACGCCCGGTCCCCTACGCTGGCGAGGTCAGGCCCTACATGACCATGCAGTCAGACTTCCGCTGCATAGGGATAGATGGAGGCACTCCTAGACCCTACATTCTCGGCATCACGAACCCCTTCCTCCTGAAACGGGTGCTCTCAGCGACCGCAGACAAGAAACGAGCAAGACCACACATTTTGTACCTGCAGAACTACGACGGCCCCGTCCCCGCCAAAAGGCACCACTCCCTGCACCGCAAATCCAGCCGCAACGCGCTCCTCGACCTCCCCGGAGGCGGCATCGACGCCCAACCCCCCTCGAAACGATTCCTAAAATCAGACGCTTCCTTTGTCGATCGAATCGACCTGATGCTCAGGCTGGACGACGCTCATCAAGCCCGTCAACTGGATCCCCTCATCCGCCGCTACTTCGCCGAACTCACGGCCCAGTTCCTCGCCCCTCTCACGCGCTTCATGGCCACTTCCGTCTCCCCGGACATTGATGCCTCCAAGAGATGGACGAGCTACACCAGCTTCTCAGCGAGCGACTTTCTGCGGGATATGGCCAAGAATGGCACCGCTGTCAAGTTCCGGGGTCAGGGTCCGATCCAGCGACATCGGTACAGGCAAGGGTTGTATGAGAGTTTTTGCGAGTCGCCCAATTTCTACTCGTGGTTGAACATGAAGACTACACTGGAAAAGGAGGCGAGTGCGGGATTGCTGGGGGCCACGGCTGGCAGTTCGTCTGGGAAGCCTGGTTGAGGATAGTTATATCACCTCTGCAAGAAAGCTTCGATCAAATACGACGGCTATATCTCGAGGCCCCGTTGACGCCGAAGCCTACATGGGCTACTTTGGATCCTGATACGCATGGTAAAACCGAGTCTTCAAAGCGACTCTTCAAGGAGGTTGAGCCCAATGACAAGAGGGGACCAGTGCCTAAGCAACTTTGGGGACTTTAGCGCGAGTAAACAAGATCGCCCGCCTCGTCATCAAGATTTTCATTAACTACAATACACAACAAGTAGCTGGAATACGGGTAAACCCGGTAACGCCGGCGCTCATGATCACCTTTCAATCCACTACTCAACAAGACACCGTAACGGCCCTCTAAGCCTCTGCTGGCTGCTCGTTCTCCTTGTCCTCGAGGGAGGCCTTTTTCAGCTCCTCGGCGACGTCCCCCTCAGCGTCCTTCTCCTGCTTCAGCTCAGCGTCAGCCGACACGGGCTTGCCATTGATGGCCTGGTTCTTTTGAGCGGGCTTGCGGGCCGTGTCGGTGCTCGCATCGCCTTCAAGACCTTCGGCTTCAAGACGTTCAATCTCCTTTTGCGCCTTGGCGATATTCTAAAACACGTTAGATGGATGAATGGGGAGTTACTCTGCATCTAACTCACCTCCTTCGTCTTGCGGTCCTGATCCGCCTTCCAGTGCTCAAGCTTCGCCTTCAGCTTCTCAACGACCGCAGGTACTTCGGCTTGGCTCGAAGGGGCCTCAACACCGACCTTTTGCAGCTCTTGAAGGACACCAAAGTTCACATTAAACTTTGCTTCAGCAGGGGCAGGCCCGCCCTTCTTACCCTTCTTCTTCTTGCCACCTCCACCAACAAAGTAGTCCTCGTCGTCTTTCTTGGCAATCTTCATGCCTTTGAGGCCGGAGTCGTCGACAGTGCGTTGTGCCGAAGCCGCAAACTTGCTCCCGGTGGCAGCCTCCTTGGCAGGCAAAGCGGACGGATCGAAGTATCTGATGAGGCCCTCTGCAGAAAGAATCTCATCTTGATAGGCAGGGGCCGACGCCTCTTCCAAACGTTTTGCTGCGGCCTCCTTCTTCTTGTTGTTCTGCCACTCAAGCTGCTCTTGACGTCTCCGCTCCTGACGGGCCTTACGAGCCTGGAAGTCGTACTCCTGCCATGCGCGCTTCTGAGCATAGTAGGTATCCTTGAGTTGCTTCAGGGCCATATACTTCTCTTGTTGCTCGTTCCTGGCCTTGGTCTGCTCGTCGCGCAGCGAGTTGAGGTTCTTATAGGCGTTGTCTTGCTCGGCCTTGAGACCATCGAGTTCCGCCTGCAACTTGGAGTACCTGTCGCTGAGGGCCTTCTGTTCAGGGTCGTCCAAGAGCTTTTTCTGCTCCGCAATCTGGGCCTTGAGATCGTCAATGGCCTTCTGCTGCGCCTCAAAGCCGGAGAAGTTTTTACGGAGTTTGTTGAGGTTCGTAATCTCTGTAAGAGCCTTCTTCTCATCGACCAGCTTCATCGTTCCCGTATCGACCTGTTTCTGAAGGTGTGCAATCTCGCGATCGACATCCTCAACTGACTTGTAGTTCACACGGCTTTTGGCAGTCTTGAGTTCGGCGAGGCGGGATTTGAGTTGTTCGTCCAGCTTCTTGATGCGCTCATGGACTGCGTTTCTGGAAGACTTGTTGCCTTGCTGGGTCTGTCGGATTTGGGCCAGTTCGGCCTTCAGTTCCTGTTGTCGCTTTGCATTGGGAGAGTCCTTGTTGGGCCCACCTCCTCGGGCAAGATCCACCTTGGCCTTTGCCGCATTCTAAGAGAGCGTTAGCACAGGTTCTGCAGGGCCGGTCGGTGGTCGGGTAGATGCAGTTGTCGCGGCGGACGGCCGCCATGAACTACTTACATATTTCTCTTGAGCGGCTGCGTGTGCCTTCTCGGCTTTGGCAAGCTCCTCCTTGTACTTCTCCTCGTCAGGCTTCTCGGGCTTGACAATATGCTGTTTGCCCTCAGCGGCAGGGGATTTGGCAGGCGCGGCGACGTCGGCCATGGTGCAAGTCCGCGAGAGGAGTGTACTGATGGTTTCGAGAAGCTAGGTGGGATTGTGAGGAATGGAGGGAGTCGAGGGGCTGGATCTATTGATATGGGCGCCCCCGTGGTGAAAGTAGATGCGGCGACGTTGACTCTCGAGGGGCCGCCGAATTTCTGTGGACCGCTAAAAGTAAGGTTAGGTTTCCGGAGTGCTTGGCACGTGCGCAGGGGTTCGACTACGCTGATCCACTCACTGTTTTATCGGTGTCGGTCCTCGACCCCCGACTTCCCCGTTTCCCAGACCATGCCGCCGAACACGAGGGGTAAGACCCCCATTCTCCTCCTCAAGACCAGATCTACTCCCACTGACCGGTACGAGGACTACTTTGCTGCTGATTTCGACCCTATCTTCTTGCCGGTTCTGGAGCATCACGGCAAGGAGGATGCCTTAGCTCGAGTCCGCCAGGAGATCACAGAGGGAGCCTTTCTCCACGAGTCTAAACAAGGTCTGAATAAGTACGGCGCTATCATTTTCACCTCTCAACGAGCTGTGGAGGCGTTCGCCAAGATCATTGAAGACCTGAGAAAGGAAGGAAAGCCTGTAGACGAGTTGCTACCCGAGACCCTTCCGCTATACGTGGTTGGACCTGCCACTGCCCGGGGCCTCAGAGCGATCGGTCTTCAATGTCCTATTCTAGGAGAAGCATGTGGGAACGGGGAGGCTCTGGCTGCTTTCATGCTGAAGCATTACAATGATGTATATAATGGGCCCAGCAAACCCCCGCTACTGTTTCTGGTTGGCGACAAACGCAGGGACATCATTCCAAAGACCTTACAATCCGAGGACCTGGGCCCTGAGAGGCGCTGCCGAATAGACGAACTGGTGGTGTACGAGACGGGGGAGATGCTCCCTTTCAAGGACAACTTCTCCTCGATTGTCCAGGAAAATATCAAACGCGGAAAGCCAACCCAATGGGTCGTTGTCTTCTCTCCTACGGGATGCAAAGCCATGCTGGAAGGCCTGGGCGTGCTCGACGAGCAAACCGGGAGAGTCAACAGCGAAGCTCGACCCGCTCACAACATCTTCGTCGCTACGATAGGATCAACGACACGCGACTATCTCGTCCACGACTTTGGATTCTCGCCAGACGTCTGCGCTGAGGAGCCAACAGCCGAAGGAGTCGGCAATGGTATCAAGGCTTTTCTCGAAAATACCAGGCGGTCGTACACTTAACTGCTGCTCTTTCAGCATTCAATGTCGTGTCATATATAGCATCTCTGCACATTGGAACTTCCATTCAAGGGAATATGCCGCAACCCAATCGACAAAACCTGCATTGTGTTTCTAATATACTGTGTACTTTCAAAGGGCTTCGCCCAGGTGGTGTTTGCTGCCACCGCGTGACGTCACTCCTCCACCTCCACTCCCGGCTCCCCTCGCTCACGTGCGCAAAGGAGATCAGATGAACGTGCTGTACACCAGCAAGTGAGCGTCCATGACCTAGCCTCCTCATCATTCCATTCTGTGCACAATAATCACAACCCTTGCGGAGCAACAACAGGCAACATGGTGACCACACGCTCACACTCTGGTCCCCGGCCGGCCGAGAGGGCTGCCACTCGAAGCAAGAGAAAGGAGCACCCTTCTAAGGAGGATTCCAAGCCCAAAGCGGCCAAAAAACAAACCAAGATCGAGGAGAACATCGAGGGAGCTGGGAAGCATGAGAAGCAAGTTGAGGCTGAGATGAAGGAGGCCCCTTCAGCTGCAGAGGCCAATGGCCCTCCCAAAAAGACGAAAGGAACCAACCAAGACAGTAGCAAGGCCAAAGCGCCCGCAAAACCGGAGAGCGAAGCCCTTGAGAAGGACACCGAACGCGCGGAGAAGATGGCATCGAACATTGTGGAGAAGGGTATCATCTACTTTTTTGCCCGGAGCCGAGTAGGTATCGAGAATCCAGAAAGTGTCGGCGACCTGCAGAGGACCTATTTTGTTTTGCGTCCCTTGCCGGCCGAGACAAAGCTCGGGCAAGGACCGATCCCTGACGAGCCAGCGAACCGATTGTTTGCGCTGCCGAAGAAGACATTTCCCAAGAGCCACAGAGACCGCTTCATGGCATTCGTGGAGAAGTCCAAAACGAGTATCAAGGACCTCAAGGAGAACTTCTTCAAAGCGACAGAGTACGAAACCAAAACTTCAGGCACACGCCGTCAAGAACCCGTCACGCCCATTGCAGAAGGAGTATACGCGATTACCCGCACAGATGACGGAACCACGCATCTAGCATATTCATTGACGATTCCAGAGGACCTGGGAGAGGTGCAGGAGGACCTGGGACTACGTTCGCAGGGCAGCTTCATCATAAGTGTGAAGAACCCTGAGCGCCCGGGCCCAGCAAGTGCACGGCTTCCGAAGGGCCCCGAGTTCCCCAAGGAGATTATCGAAGAATTCCGTGGCTTAGCATGGACGGAGGTCAAGCCGAAATATCTGGACTATGAGAATGCTCAGATCCTGCTTATCGGAGAGAATACGGAGAAGGCGGTGCATGCAACCAAGGCGAACGAGGAGCAAGGCAAGGAGGCACCCGGGGAGGAGCTTGAGCAGCTCCAATATGAAGACGAACTGCGGGTGCAAAACCTCGATGGTAAGTGGTGTCCTGTAATCTTCTCGTTCGAGGAACAGTGGCTAACAGACGTGGCAGGCGATGATACTGTATTCGTCGATCTCAAGCTGAGCAAAGCCGAGTATCCACAGGTACCGACGACGTGGTGAGCAGGATATGGGTTGCGGCAACGGCATATAGGGTTGCACCAATTATGGTTTGTACTCCGTACTCAGTACTAGTTATTAGTGGGGATCGCAGTGTCTCTGTCAGGTGAGCTCCCAGCGTTAATCTGGCATACTTAAGCTTGTATGTAGTCAATGCGGTCCGGCATAATGTACTTTGTACTGTCTGTGTCATGCATACGGATTGTACATATGTACCTGGGTATCGTTCAGCTTTATAATATAACGTGACCGGTATTCGAGTCAATATGCAAGTCATTAGGTACTTACAGCCCCATACCGCTGCTCCTGCGGCTTGCCGACGATTATCATGCCGCGATCATGACTAGTTTTTTTTGAAAAGGAGGCCGCTGCATCGTACGAGGGATCAATAATTCCGAGGTTGTAGCATGTCTCCAAAGTACGCATGACTACTTTACGCTCCACTTGTAAGTACAGAGTACGCAGGCCCCGGATAGATCTTGTCGGCACGAGGCCTTGTTCCTGAGTTGGAGTTCGGGCTAGTTAATTATAACATGGTAGAATCTCTAGGAAAAGGTCGCCCGGGGGGAATATGGCCTGCAACGAAGGATCAAATCCGGCCCTTGTGATCAAACCTTGGTAATAAAGTCGGCAAAAAGCCATGTCTTCAGCTTGATATTTTCGTGCCATAAATATGGCAAACATATGGCCATCGACAAGCTATGGCGGGGGGCTTCATTCCCCCCGTCCGGCGGATTCATATTGAGGGTACTGTAGTATGTACTCGGTGTTTTTATTATTGCTGCTAAATACAAATGGCGGCTGGGGCTGAACATTAAATCTTGAAGATGGGTGAAGAAGAGGCACGTGGGAGGCTGGGGCGACCACGGGCAGTCCACATGTTGTTGACTTGGGTCCAGGCCGCTCAGACCGTTTCCACCTCTGTCCATCCATCTCCGTCCTCCTACTAGCCTCCTCTTCTTCCAAGGCTCCATGGCTGCGGAGTGTCTACTCATTATTAAAACAATGCGCTGCCGATGAAACCGTGGCCGCCGTATCGCGGCGCGCCGGATCAATTGAGATGGATGGGCCCCTGGGCCTGCTGCCAGCGCACGACGGCAGCACCATCTCCATCTCCACCACACCTCATTCTCCTCCTCCTCCTCTTCCTCCTCCTCCTCTGGCTGCACCCTCCCGACGACCATTCCAGCCGCCGCCGCCGCCGCACCTGCGACACCAGAGACGCCCCCGCGCGCGTACCACGTCCAGCGGCACCGCCCCCTCGGCGTCTGGCTCGGGTCACTCCTTCACCGTCGCCAACTTCAATCGCGGCATCATCTACCTGAGGCCCGTCGTGCGCGCCCCGAGCCAGCGACACCACCACTCTCCGCCCACCGACACCTTCACCTTCCCTCCCCATACTCCCCCCGACAGCGCCACAGTCGACTCCCGCCATTTGAGCAATGACGGATCCGATTCCCGCCTCGACTACACCACGCTGCCTCCCGCCCTAGGCAGAGAACATGCCCGAGACGACCGCGCCGCTCCCTTCACCTCCTCTCCACCTCGTCTCGCCCCTCACACTCGCTCGCGCTCCTTCTCTACCGTTGATGCTCACACCCTCACCTCTCATAGCACCGAACCAGGCACTTTCAAGGTTGTCATTGAGCGCCCACCCTTTGGTCGCCCCAAAACTGCAGATACCGCCGCTGCGCCTCTGCTCGAGGTCCCCATCCCGCACTACCGCTTGGGCACGCCGCGTTTCAGCGCCCACGGCACCCCGATTCTGCGCAGCTCCGTCTATACCCGCGCTTCTGGGACTGACGATTTCCGCAGTACGCTCCTCAGCCCGTTGCGAGCCACTCACTCCTTCCTATCATCCCGTCCTCGTTCGGACGTCTACTCACCCGCTCCAGCAAACTACCGCACCACCATGGAACCTGGAACAGTGCACGCTGCCAGTGTTCCTTCTTCCGCACGTGTTTCAAAACTGCCAATTGGACCTCAGGTGTATGATGACCTTACAATCAACCCAGACGACCCCGCCGTAGTCCGCTTTTCTCCTTCAGGTGATATACTTGGAGCCACTCCCTCACGCCTCGTTGCTCATATAACGTCTCCAAGCTTTCTGGATTATGAGCTGCTATCCGACTTTTTCCTGACATTTCGATCGTTCCTGTCATGTCGTGATCTCGTCGCTTATCTGATATCCCGATTGCAATGGGCTGTCAACAGGCAAGATGACTTTGGCCGCATTGTACGCGTGCGCACATTTGTCGCGCTGCGGCATTGGATCCTCAACTATTTCGTAGATGACTTTCTCCCCGTATATTCCCTACGAGTCCATTTCTGCGATCTGGTCAACACCTTATACAAGGCCCTCAAAGCTCGCGAGGACGGAGGCGGAGGCGACATCAAAATAGTAGGGGAGCTGAAGAAGTGCTGGAGGCGTACTTGTGCGCTACATTGGGACAGTGAAGATGGTATCGGCAGAGACATGGCAGATGAGGATCTTCTCCCTGGTGGCCAACCTGACTCGTCGATTGCCTTAGAACGCCCCCAGATTTTACCAATGCCTTCGGGCCCGCCCGGGCAAGTCGAACCTACCGCCAAATTGGAGACGACAGGATCAAATCCGAACGATCAGTTTGCCAGCGGCCACATTGACTGGGCTCGAGGCCTTCGCCATACCCCTCAAAATTCGCTCAGCTCGCCTTTTGTACCCTGCCAGGAGTATGGAGGCCCCAAGGTCCCCCTCTCGCCGGAGAGCGAACGTAGTATTCCAGTACTGTCCTGTTCCATTCCAATGCGGCTACTACACAGAGCTGATTCTCCGCCCGACGCGCCTCTGTATCCGCACCCGGTCCCAAACGCTCCCACGCCTCGTTTTGCACCCAGTCCTCCTTTCTCGAGCCCTAGTAAAAGGCTGAACCGGCCATCCCATTCCCACAAACGAAGCGGAAGTTTCTCCGATGCGTTGAGGGATCAAAGAGCACCCCTCCCGATTCCAAAGAATGCCGCGCCGGATGTAAGGCTATCTGCATTGTCAACAGTACCTGGTAGCTTGATTCGGGGTGGCATTTTCCTGCCAGGCTCGCCGTTCATGGACGTGAAGAACGGTGGATTGCGCCATACAAGATCTCATCTACAGCTTGAACAGGTGGACGGAGTAGGTGAAGAGCTGCACATTCGTGGCGGTCATGGACCCAATCCGGGGATGAAGAAAATCTTGGGCAGTGTGCGGCGAGCGTTGAGCAGCAAGCAACCGTCGATAACTGCTCCTCATCTTGGTGCGGCTGCGCATTCTCATCACACTATGAACCCCAATCGAAGCTCGCATGCCGCATTGGTCTCAACAGCCTCAGGAGGAGTTCACAAACGCAGATATGCACGGCAACGGCCTCAAGTCAGAATTGACATGCTTGCCTCAAAAGTCGCTGACAGTTTTCGGGAAGCAATCAATCAGCAAGCGCGAGAGGATCAACAACCTCATCCGCCGACCGATTCTAAGGGTGATTTGAGCGAGTTTGTTTTTGACTTCGAGGCTAAAGAAACACCTCCTCCTGCACCTGCTTCCAACACTGCTAGTAAGCAGGATCAACTGCGCCTATATAGCAACATCACAGTGGGCAGCAAGTCCATTGTCATCATGGATGATACCGGTCCACCTGACCTCCCGTTCATGTCGGGAGCTCTACTCAACCCTCCAGCTGACGGCGAACCCGTTATGGCAACGGTTCCAACACCTCCGCAACCACGCTCATCGATGGGCGAACCACTGGCGGTGAGTACGACCCCAGGTCCAGCGCAGACTCCTCGCCACAGCAACATGGATGCCCACATTCCAAGCGATAGACGAGTTTCTACTGATTCTGCTTCGCATCCCCCAAGTCAGAGACAATCCCGGTCAGAGGGTCGCGAAAATTTGCACTCGTCCCGAGGACGCGGTTCAACCATGGCTTCGATGACGGGGCCCACATCACTCAGGAGACATGCATCTCATAACAGCGGACTCAGTCGACAGAATACTACCGCCAGCATGGCCAGCTTTCAGACTATGTCATCTCACAACGACCCATTCTTCTTGGATCGCCAACCAACTGCGCCGCCAGCCCCTATGCGACAATTGCGGCGCCGCCCCGGAGGCGATTTGCGGGCTGTAGACAATGTACACGATCTGCAACATATACAGCGTCCAGCTTCCACTGGCTCAATATCAAATCACACGCATTCAGTAGCCAACTCCGTCATTCTGCGGTCTGGTCATTTCGTCGAAGCTTCCAGCGAACTGAACAACGCGCATAACACGGAGCAGCCGGAAGTACCTAAGAAACCTATATCTCTGGTTGACACGCACTCCTCACAGCCCAATCTAAGACCTTCTTTCGAGGCTGAAGTGGCCAAATTGGCCGCTTTACCTGATGACACAGATGACGATGGAGGTATAGAAGCTGCTCTCATGAAGCTTGAGGGCCGCTATGAGAAGAAGACTCCCGACCCCTCACCGCGAACAACACTAAATCCACAAGATGGTGACCCCCCTGCCCACTTACGCGGTCACACCCTGGAGCGTAGTAGAGTACAATCACACGCCGATGCCCCTCATAGTCAATCACCGACATCGCCTGGAGCCGACAATCAGGGCCTGTACCACTCATCTACTGAGCACTTCCACCGTCGTGTCCCGGATGCCACCTCTGGCGTAGGATCGGATGACTCTTTCGCTGTCACACCACTTCTTGACCGGTTCCCAATCGAAGTAGGAAATTCGCCAAGATCAGAGACATTCCAGTCGATGACTTCTTCGGCAAAACCTGAACCCCTCAAACCAAACAGTCCACCAACCTGGTTTGATAGGCCCTCCCCTTCGGATCTTGCGTCCCCGAATTCGTCGGTTGAGCATGTGCTTGAGACCGAGTCCCTGAAGAGGGTACCCAAGAATGGAACTATGCGAGGCTCCTCCATACCCCGAGAGTCTTTCCTCCTTGACGACGATGAGGACCTTTCCGACATGGCCGACGAAGCTTCTGCGGCGGTTACTCGGTCGGATGGGACGGGCCACGGCATCAGGAGCTTCTTCGATGACGAGCCCGCGGCGGCCGACGACGACAAAGAACCCCTTCCCATGCATCCTTTACACCATCCGCCAACGCCGCCTCTCACGGCCAACAAGCTGGGCCATAGTCCTCAAGTTAGCGCCACTGTTTTTGATCGTGGCCTTCCAACGCCCGGCCTAACACCCACTTCACGGCTGAACAACCAGACTTTTGAAGATGCCACCCAACTAGCAAATAGTAAAACCGAACCCGCTATTGAGCTGCAGGAACTCACCAAGGATACCGATCAACCACCGCCAGCGCACTTTCCATTCGTCCTCGCTTTCGACTCGGAAATACTTGCTCAACAGTTCACTCTGATTGAGAAAGATGCACTCGATGAGGTTGACTGGAAAGAGCTGATTGAACTCCGATGGAAGCAATCCTCGCCTCGTATACGCGACTGGGTAGAGTATCTCCGAACGGAGGACGCACGCGGCGTCGACGTCGTCATCGCCAGATTCAACCTCGTCGTGAAATGGGTTGTTTCAGAGATACTCCTCACCGAAGCCATCGAAGAACGAGCCCACTGCATTGTAAAGTACATCCACATAGCGGCTCATGCGCGCCGGCTCCGGAACTACGCGACAATGTACCAGATCACAATTGCGTTGTTGTCGTCGGATATCTCTCGCCTGAAGCACACCTGGGCGTTTATCCCGGTCTCAGAGATGCACACGATGAGAGCTTTGGAGGCGCTTGTGCAGCCTCTGCGGAATTTCCACAATCTGCGGGTTGAAATGGAGACGACTTCTGTTGAGGAAGGCTGTATCCCCTTCATCGGTATGTGCACACCACGTTTCACAGGCACCGGGAAAGATGAGATCTAATGGTAATCAGGCATCTATACCCGTGACCTAATTTATAACGCGCAGAAACCGGCCTTCATCGACACACGTCCCGTCGCCGGCGAGCGCCTTGTCAACTTTGAGCGGTACCGTACGGCTGCCATGATCGTCAAGAGTCTCCTGCGTCTCATTGAGGCAAGCGCAAAGTACAGTTTCCGACCTGATCCGAGCATCATCAGTAGATGTCTTTGGGTGGCCGCCTTGACGGATGAGGAGATTACGAAACTGAGTCGGAGGTATGAGTGATGCCCCTCGCCCTGCGCAGGGGTGCTCACCATCTCTCTGTCTGGCTCGCTCTCCCGTCATCTTTTCTTTCCTATTTCTCTGCACATGTTACTTCATCTTTCGGTGTATTTTGTTGGGCTTTTTGGCCATGTTAATACCCCTTTAGCGGCGGCATTATTCTTACATGCCCTTACCTTGTATTCAGCTTGTCACCTTATCATGTCTCTGACGAACGTTACCATGAGGGACGGCGTTTTCGGGTTCACGCTCAGTCCGGTTACTTGTTGTAAATTGTAATTAATGAAGACGTTACGACGGGGTGGGCGGTCTTCTTTTTTTTCCGCAGCTGAAGTCCACGAACCTGCTTGGGCACTAATAATAGTCTACAAATTCGCTTCAGCAACGGTCCATCCTGGCTATCTGTCTCCAGCTCCTCAAGAAGCCGCTTTCGAGGCTTGATTTTCTCTCCGTGTCAGGATCCCAGATGTCCCATGTACGCTCTGGATTCAGTGGCGGTGACGAGATATATCCGTCATTTTCGAAACTTTTCATCGGAGGTGGTGTAGCTAGCGTGCGTACCGCAGGGGCGGGCGGGTTGCTGTCACCAAGTCTAAGTAGAGGTTGGCCTGGCGCAAAGGAATGGAGTGGGCTATCCTCGGTCTGTTCACTCGCGCGGTCTACATTCCAGTGTCCGTCATACGCTCCCCATTTCGGTACCACCATGAGGGGCACTGGTCCATGTTGATTCGTGTCGTGTATGAAGCGTTCCCGCCATTTTTCCCAGGTGAAGGGGAGAGGGCATTGGGGGTAGTGAGCTGCAAGGACGTACGAGGTTAGTGATACCAGATATATGGGTATAAGAAGCAAGAAGGATTCCGAGAGCGATTTCGTGCATACGCGGTGCTGTGCTCTAGTAGCATAATTAGACTGGTGATCCAACTTGGAGCAGAAGTACAGAGGGATGCTCAGTCGAATGTGCGAAGGCGCAGTACTCTCTCAGATCCTCCGTCGAGCAGGCGTTCAAGAGGTGAGGCGATGTGTTAGCGTACTAATTATCTACGTGGGTGTGCGAGGAGTGTGACACGATAGAATCTATCTCTCCTGCCGCCTCCCCAAACCACGACTGCCATCCTACACCCTAACACGCAAAATAATAGAACTAATTGAAAATTTTAGATTCTTTAAGCTGTATTGGATCCTATCTGTAAGAGATAATATCTCAATTTTTCTTGCGCACGCGTCGTAGAGAGAGTTGGGTTCTGCATGATGACGAACACGACGCAGATGGTGAACTCGGATCTGCGTTAGCTGCCTAGGTGCGTTCTCAGCTTAGCTATGTCTTTTCTTAGGGACTTGGTTCTATCGTTCGAACGCGAAAGCTAAGTAGTATTTGCTAATGAGAGCTGGTATTGCAAAGAGGGGTGGGAGCTCCTTGACGTCACTGGCATGCCGTGCCCTCGAGCTTTATAAGGCACAACACCACTTCCCCCTCCTCAAGTACTCAGACTATTATCCCCTTCCCCTCTTCAAGTACTCAGACTACTATCCGAACCAAACCAACCTCCCATCCCCTCTTTGGACAGCGGAGTAATCAAACACAATGTCCACCTTCAGCCACACAGACACGAGCAGCAAGCCCGCCGACCCATACACCCAAAAGAATCTGGACGAACCCCCATTGAAAGAAAAGGTTCAGGACCTGCTCAACTTCATCCAAGAGCACAAGTTCTGCATGATGACCACGCAGACGGTCAACTCGGACCTGCTGGCATCGCGGGCCATGGCGTTGGCCGCCCAGGTGCGTACCATCTCCCATCGAGAGACCCAATACCTCTAACATGATGGCGATCTATAGGAAGGCAACGGCTTCGACCTCCTCTTCCACACCAACACCGAGTCGGGCAAAACCGACGACCTGCACACCCATCCCGCGGTGAACATCTCCTTCATCACCCCCTCGGGCGACTGGGCCAGCATCTCCGGGCATGCCACCATCGAGACGGACCGCGAGGAGATCAAAAAGTACTACAGCCCCAGCCTGAAGGCGTGGTTGGGCGATCTCGGAGACGGGGTTCACGACGGTGGTCCCGATGACCCCAGGATCGGCATCATCAGGGTCAAGGCGAACACGGCGCAGTACGCCATTGCGAAGAGGACGGTGGTCGGAGGGGTTGTGGAGCTGGCCAAGGGGGTGGTGACTGGGCAGGCCCCGTCTGTCAACAAGTTAAGGCATCTGAGTGAGAGCGAGATTCAGCAGTGGAGGTCTCAGTGAGGGATGGGCTTTGTTCCCTATAATGGGCGATGCCGTTGGCAGATTGCAGTCATGGATTTCCACGTGGAGATGCGGAATATGGGTTACTATGATGAGCTTAACCATGTAGTCAGGCCTACATGACGACTTAATAGTGTCGCAATTCATTCATTCTACTGATCCCGGAACCCATACGTAATGACACCTTTCCCTCCCTTGAAGCGCCAGTAAATGCCGACGTCATACTCAGCCATCAATGAGACACGCCTCGTGCCCCCTTTTTTTTTTCTACATCTACGGCTCCACCTTGAACTTCAACCGGACACCCATGCTCGCCAACTCGACATCCAGATACTTCAACACCCCCGGCACCGCCACCACAGCTACATCGTCACCGCCCACGTATCTGATTCCCTGCGCGTCCATCCACACCTCGTTCCTACTCTCCATGCCCTCCGCCAGCTTCGCACACCTCCTACACCTCACCTTACTGGTGCCCTTCCTCTTCTTATCAAATTCACCCACCGTCGGCGCTGTGGTCAAGAAGCTGCCGCACGCCCTGCAAATCGCCACCTTCGTATAATCCGAGCAATTCATCAGCCGATCCTGCAGCAGGAACGCCGTCCCGTGAGCGAGCAGAGCATCGCGCTCCATCTCTCCGACACGAATACCACCGCCCTTCTTCCTGCCCTTGATGGGCTGACCCGTGAGCTGGTTGACCGGACCCGTGGTGCGCACTTGGTACTTGTCGTTGACCATGTGACGCAGGCGCTGGTAGTAGACGACGCCGATGTAGATGTCGGCGGCGAGCTCCTGGCCCGTGATGCCGCTGTACATGGGCTCGTTGCCGTAGTAGTTGTATCCCGCTTTCATGAGCTGGTGCCCAAAGTAATCGACGGCCGTGTTCTTCTCGTCGAAGCGGAAGGGCGTCGAGTCCTGGGCGATGCCGTGGAGTGCACCGGCTTTGCCTGCCAGCGACTCGACAAACATGCCGATGGTCATACGAGACGGGAATGCGTGGGGATTGATGATGACGTCGGGTTGGATGCCGCTCTCGGAGAACGGCATATCCACGGCCGGCCATTTCTGGGACATGACACCCTTTTGACCGTGTCGAGAGGAGAACTTGTCTCCGATGACGGGGGAGCGAGGAACTCGGAGCTTGACGCTTATCCTCTGCAACGGCTCATTGCCGGACTCTGAGCCCATGAGGCGAACTTCCTCAATAAACACCGTCTCTTCCTCCTTGTATCTAAAGAAGTTGGTCTGGCCGTCGCGGTTGACGTACTCGCCTGCGGCGGGATCATAGGAGACGTTGTGCCAAGCGGCAACTACGTCTCCGTAGCGGACCTCTGTACCGACGCGAGGGAGCCCATCATCATCGAGGGTCCTTCTCCATTGCGCCTTGACGTTCCCCTTAGGCGCGAATCCAAACAGCTTGGAGACGGTTCGGGTTGGCCTCTTTGCTCCGTCTTGTAGGTCGCAGATCTTGGTCTTGTAGATGGTGCCGTGACCAAAGCCGCGCTCATGTGCGGACTTGTTTATGATCATGGCGTCATCCATGTCGTACCCCGTGTACGAGATCACAGCCACAACAGCGTTGGTGCCATTTGGGAAGTTGTCCAAGCCGTACTCATTGTGGAGCGGCGGTCGCACGACAGGGGTTTGTCCACTCTGGAGGCGGTAGGTCTTGTTGTCCGTACGGTATCGCAGGGCGGTTCCCGGAGTTCCCATGGATTGCTTGCCCATCTGACACTGGTACATGTTTCGCGGAGATTGATTGAAATCGGAAAATGGGGTCATGTTCGCTACGATGGAGAGGATGTTGGTGGGGTCGTATTCGACGTGCGTAGAGTCGCCTGACACAATCTCCGCATCTGTGCATGCAATCGACATGAAGGGTTGTTCGAACGGTCCCACGTAATCCAACTTGTCGAGGGGTAGATACTTGACCGGTCTGTACATGCGGGCGGATTGCGAAAACATGTAAACTCCGGGATATTGGCCGCCATTGGAGTTTGGAACATATCCCACCTCCAGTTCAAGCGGCACGCCATGGGTGCCTTCAACCTTCCAGTACCGGAGAGTATCTCCAATAACCTTGGCTTGCTTGGGCGTGCAGAAACCCAAGACGCGGCCATCCAATTGTACGACCACACTCGCATCGAGGGATGCGGAAGACTTACTGGATACACCCAATTCCGCAACCAACCTTGGGATTGCGGAGACGTCGACGGCCTGAGTGGCAATTTCGCATTTGTGTGCGAGATGGTTGAGTAACCCACAAGGACTTCCATCGGGTGTGTGTACTGGACACAGGAAACCCCAACTCTCTGGGAGCAGTTTTCGTACTGTCGTCGTCTTCAACTGTGCAAAGAAGGCACCTCTGTGAACCATGCGGAAGTGACTGATGAATCGATAGAAGTTGATCTTCTCGGCGACCACACAGAAGCCGGCCGTCTGTTGAAGATCCAGTCCGGTGGGACTGACCAGGTTCCCGGTCGAGAGGAAATATACCATGGCTTGGCCTATATTTTCGTTCGTCTTCCGGATGATTTTTGAGAGGAGGTCGCGCTGAAACTGCTGGGATGTGAAGGGTGCCCAATCTGACTTACGTCCCCAGTCATGCAGGGCAGGGCGCCACGAGAGTAACCACTCATCCAACTTTTCTTTGAGAATCATACCGTAGAGGTGGCCACCAAGAAGGACCTCTTGGTTCTGGACGGCGTCAGGGTTATCGACGGCGCACTCTCCTTCGACTAGTGCGTATAGCTTCCGGATCATGAAGAGTAGCATCCTGAACTTGTCTGCATTCTGGCTTTCGGTGACGTTGTAGCAACCCAGATGGGGTAACACAATCCTGCGGAGGAACTCGACGCCCGCATCTTCGTCGCTTGTATCCTCGGGTATCTGGAGGATTACTTTGAACTTCTCACCAAGATAAGCTCTGGTCTTTGCTTGGGAGTGCAGACCATAGACTTTGTAGGTGCGCAGGAGTAGTTCCACCCGGTCAGTCACGAACTGCTTCTCCTCCAGCCCCTTGGACCCGGCAGGGCCGACGATTCCCTCAAAGATGTCGCGGTCATTTGTCTCGACGAGTGCCTTGAGGACCATCATGACGGGGACCAAGTACTCGGCCTTTCTCCACGAGAACCTGAAGTTGACGTTACCGTCGCTCAGATAATGCAGGGCATTGGTCTGGGAGGTCTGATCGGGGCGTACGCAGCGAATTTGAATGCCGTAACTCGTGTAGCCAGGGCCGCGGTTGGTAAAGGCATTACGCTGGATGGCCATGGGATAATTGCGCCTGTTGACCTGCAGCATTCGTATAATCTTTTCGATGCCATTGACAATGAAGTAGCCTCCCAGCTCCTCGGTCTCCTCCTTGGCCTGGAAGAGCTCAGCGGGGCTCATCTTCTCGAGATGACAACGGTTCGACTGTCACGGGAAGGTTAGCATGCATCCATGGATACCGTGCAGCGGGTCTGCAGGGTAACGCTTACCCTGAGCATGATGGGCACGTAGCCTAGCTCGCGCACCTCCTCCTGCCAGTCACCGTTGTTGACCTTGTACTCGATGCGAACACGAAGCTTGCCACGGTATGTGCTATGCCGCTCTCTGCACTCGGCGGGCAGGATGTTACGGTTCTTGAGGACATGCTTGTTGGAGGGGGGGAGAACAGGCTTGTCGAGGAAGACGCCTTGTATGCGCACATACAATCTGTTCCTCTCTCCGCTGTCGACGCCGGGCGCATACGGGTCGCCGTCCAAGAAGACCTTGGTGCCAATGTCCTTGATGGCCTGGGCCATTTGGCCGCCAGGGGCGAAGATTGTGTTGAAGGAGTTGATATGGGGGTTCACGGCGGCGGCCAGCATGGGATAGGCTGTCTTGTCATTGGGCGGCGACTTGAAGAGACGCTGACGGCGCGTGGTGCTGAAGTCGGTCGTCCATGGTGTTGTCGTCGCGGAGGGTGCCATATCGGCAGCGCACACACGAGGACGGCCCTCGTCGACAGCCTCAGGGACCGTACTGTGTAAGAGAAGAGGGTGGAGGATCAAGCCGCAGCAATCTTGGTGGACACACGGCGTGGACAGCGGTCGCAGAAATTCTTGTCGTAGTACGGAGGAGTAGTATACGGTGCAGTAGTAGCCTACAAAAAAAGTTTGGGCGCGGCGCTGCAGGGTCGATCGTGCCCAGGTGCAGGGGTGTCCGCGCCTACACCAGAACCGGCCTAGCTCAACCTAGTTTGGCCCTTGGCTTGTTCGCGGGGCGGCCGGGGCGCAAGCATCCTCCACCTCTCTCTCTCTGCGCTCTCTCTGTACTGCTTGCTCTCTTCCTCGCCGCACGTCTGCAGTCTTCACCTTCACTCACTACGGTGGCCTGCTTCATGTGCACTACCGTCGCACGCTACTAATTCTCTACCTGGTCATATTGGCAGCTATTTCCTCTCCGCTCCTCCCCTCCGCCGCCAGGCAGAGTCGCTGCTGCCCATCGACGAGCACCCCGCCCGCTATCACATCTTCACGTCCCACGCATCCACTCCGTCGTCGCCCCCCCCTACTACCACGACACTGACGCTGCCCGCCTCTGACCATGGCCAGCATTTTCCGCCGCATCTACGACTGGCTTCTGCGCCTATTCTGGTGCGTCCTGCCCTCCTCGCTGGCCTCCATATCATGCCTGCGCCGCCCATGCCCTGCCCACTCTCCAAATCTGCCCCCTCTCAGAAAAAGCAAACCTCTGTATGCGCCATCTTGAAAAATTGGGTGCTGACTGCTCCACCACCTAGGGCAACCGAGATGGACATCACTATGATCGGTCTGCAGAATGCTGGCAAGACTTCGTTGTTGCGAGTTCTGGCGGTGAGTGCTCCCCCGTGAGAGTGGGACATTGTCGTGCAACATGGGCGCCTGCGCGATATGGACCGAGAGGACCCGGCTGACTCCTTCCAGGGCGGAGAGTTCACCGTCGAGTACGTCACTGATGCTCGTTTGCTATGCCATCCAGCCGCCGCCCGATTCCCTGCTCTGCGAGGTCCTATCCGTCTCAACTTTGCGCAGCCCCAAGGTCTCGATTAGGTTGGTCCGTGCGCTAACACCTGGTCATAGCTCCATCCCGACGGTGGGCTTCAACATGAAGCGCGTCCAGAAGGGTCACGTAACCCTCAAGTGGTGAGTCGTCTCGATGTCGCCGTTGATCCTCCCTTCCATTTGTCCGTCTCTTGCACAATGCCAAGTGAGATACTGGTGCTGGATATGTCGGTGCAATTTATCCCGTTGATGAGGTGCGTCTGCTGACCATCCCCGCCAATTCTAGTTGGGACCTCGGGGGTCAACCACGGTTCCGTTCCATGTGGGAGAGGTACTGCCGCGGCGTGAACGCGATGGTGTAAGAGCTCCCTTGTTGATTGACGGCGACCCCGCTCATGTTTGTAGCTTCATCGTCGATTCGGCCGACCGGGAGGCTCTGCCCGTGGCACGTGAGGAGCTCAAGTTGCTGCTGGAAAAGCCGGCGTTGGAGGGTATCCCTCTTCTCGTCCTGGGCAACAAGTCGGACCTGCCCAATAAACTCTCGGTCGACGAGTTGATCGAGGCCCTGAATCTCAAGGCCGTCTCGCACCGTGAAGTGAGCTGTTACGGCATCAGCGCCAAGGAGGAGACCAACCTCGACGCTGTTCTGCAGTGGCTGATTGCCCGAGCAAACAAATGATCCAAGCCGTTCGTTTTGAACAGCCAGCCAGTGGCAGCTCGGCAGTGTCTGGGGACGCGAGCGCTTGGTGTTTGGTGTCGGAGAACGATTTTAGCGGGTCCTAGGTGGGTGCGCAACGGCGACTGGGTTCTTGACGATTTCTTCTTACGATGCTTTACGATGTGACGGAAAAGAAAGACTGGCAGGTTGTTCTGCAGGCTAGCGATGGCCACTTTGGATTCCCCCAGCTCGTGGCATGTTTTGATCTCGTTTCATATTCTTTTCATCCCTTAGCGAGCGAACGGGTCTTTCTCGAGCGTGATTTTCTCCTTCACTTCAAGGGCATTCTCAGCGGCGACAAAGCGGTGACAAGCGGGGCATATCTGCAGCAGCGCTGAAATGGTCTATCAATGTATGATTTTGAGCTTGACTCGGTGGCTGGCTTGGTGATGGGCGTGAAGGAACGGGTGCGGGGCGAGTCGGTGGGGGAAGCGTGAGAGTGGCGACGTCGATAGCCCTTCGTGGAAGGGAATTCTTCTCGGCAGCATCATGTTGTGTACGACAGCAGAGCTGCTGAGAGAGCAGTTAATGACGGCCACAGGGAGATGGTCAATGGCGCCGGGCTGAAGGTAAGCGTTTGCAATCCGTTCCAAAATCGAGTTGTCTTATCGACTATGGGGGAAGCGGGCTCGGGCGCATCCGATGGTCGATATGGATGGTGGCATTGGGGGTTCGACTGCACGGCAACATGATTGCCTTGTCCGGCTGGCAAACGGCGTGAGAAGGGTGGAGGAGGGGAGTAAATGGAAAGAAAGAAAGGACAGAGAACAGCGAGCGGCGGAGAGTTGCAGCTATTATTATTTCAGCGCTGGCCGAGTGTAGAGCCGGGCCGGGACATTGGGTGGGCTTCACTCACATCAGAAAGAGAAAGGCGCTGTGAAACCATTCGTGCCAGCTCATCGTGCATTAGAAGCTGTCATGGTTGAGTGGATGCGCGTGCTGATTGGACGGGCCTCCGCAGCCGCACTTGACCCTTGGCGATTCCCCAGGTAGGGAGAGCTGGGCAGACATTTGGAGCAGAGGGTATGTCACGTGATTTGCGTGGATCGGAATACTGTGTAGGCCCGGGGAGCAGATACTCCCAAGCTGCGTCTGATGCCCTGCTGACAATAATCAAGGATAATCTCGCCATATTCGAAATAGTAACAAGTAGGTACGGCTCTTCGGACGCAGTCAGTACTCAATTCAATGTTGTGTTTACAGCGACGTCACATGTTTCCATTGTGGCTTGGCTTGGCTTGGCCTGGCTTGGATCGTGGCTGTGCCGCCATAATTGCGTCGTCATCATGGACCTCACTCTGTCTCCTGCGACGTAATCCCCTCTCCGCCAAACCGTTGTCGTCGAGCTTCCTTGCCTTCTGAAGCAGCATTATTTGCCCCTCTACCCAACTGCATCGGCTCCCTGCTTGCTATCCCGCTTGCTTCCCAGTTTCGCCTTCCCGCTGTCGTCAACCGCCAAGCATCATGCCCCTTGTCCCCAGGGACTATTACGAGTATGTATTCCTCCGCTTCCACTCATTCGCACCATTTGCACGTCGCAGTCTTCCACCTTTACCTTTTGCACATTCCGCCCTATATCATCGAAACTGAACCATGGCTAGGTGCTATTACGACGGCTTCGGCAGATACCGCTGCCGCAGTGCCTGGAACGACTGGGTCCGCTGGGTCGTCCTCGTCGTCGTCGTAGTCGCTTTCTTCCTCCTCTTCGCCCTCTGTTCGTAAGTTGGCACCCACAGATGAGTCCCATGTCGAATCATCCGCTAACCTTTTCCCGCCTCCAGCTGCATATCCGCCCGTCGACGCCGCAAGGCTGGCCGAAACCCCTTCTACGGTACGGGGTGGATGGCCCCAAATAGCAACCAACCCTATACTCAGCAGCCCTACTACAACAACCAGTACAGCCAGCCGGCGCCGCCTTATTCCCCGCAACCCCAGCCCAACCAGCCTAGCTATGGATACTACAACCAATCCCCCTACGCTCAGCAGCAACAAGGCATCGAACTGCAGTCTCCCCAGGCGGCATACCACAACCCCGGTGCCGACCATGTATACACCCCTCCCCCGGGCCCCCCACCGAACAAAGCGATGGCGTGATTCGATAGATGACGAGAGGGACTTTTGACGCTTCAGGGAAGCCTGAGTTACGGGATTGGAGTTTCAAGGATGCGGGGTGTTGGGTCTCTTCTTCCTGGTGGCTTAATTGGATCATTGAGGTGAACTGGGCGCGGGCGTCATGGTCCCGCGATAGATGGATTCCCCCCTGTTCTATCCTTGCCGCCTGACGGCAACGGTCATCTTTTACTCTTGGCTGAGGCCATAATACGTATCTGTCTCCATGGAACTCTGCTTTCAAGTCTCGCACTATTGAACTTTGACGTGTGACGATTCATGCTCTGTCATTTTGCTGCTCGACATCACCCCCATACGTTACCACGCAATCACTCATTGTTGATTATATGAGCTGATACATCTGCTATGGTGTGGCGTTGCTCGACTTGCTACCCGGCATATTTTGACGAACATGGGCAGTGATGTTCGAGGTAAGATCCTTTTGTCCTCGGACGGAATTGCTGCTTGGAATCTACTGGGAAACAATGACATGTCATGCTTGGAAATGAAGCACGAATGAGCAACTCCCTACTCCATCCAAAGACTCCTGAATCCATGCCGAAATGTCGATGCTCCTCCCTCACAGAGTCTCCCAGCCACCATTGTTGATGTCGCCTTCCAACCGCCTCGCAATCAGGCTCTGGATGCCTCCCTCCAGCCACACCTTCCTGAGCAGCACATCGTACCGCTTCTGGTTGAGGAAAAGCTGGTGGTGGCGCCTCAACGTCGGATCCACCTCGCCATGCTTGTCCAGATACGGCGCCACCGCCCACGTGCCGTTGTTCTGGTTGAGGAAGAGTACCATGCACTTGCGGATGTTGATGAAGAGCCCAACCGTACCGCCGCACCTGTTACCACTTTTGCGTCAGCGCTCCATCCATCTTACGAAGAGAAGAAAGTACTCACTTGGCCTGGTGCTTGTTGCAACCCCCCTTGTGCCCGTCCGTCATACAGCACACCCCCTGACTGCACATAATCTCCCCGCAGAACAGACACACGCACGGATCCGTCACGTCCTTGCCCGTCGTCGGGCACCGGCGCCGAATCGCCTCATCCGTCAGGCTATCGTAGTTCTTCGGCAACCCCACCAGCTCGAAGATCCCCGGATGAGCCAGCGATATGCTGGGTTGCGCACCGCGCTTGCCTTCGCGCGCCCACATCCAATGCCGGATCCACACGTACACGACGTACCGCGTCACGTTTCCCGATTGGGCCGTCGAGTTGAATGCCTTGAACATCTCGTCGAGGCTGGGTAGTTTAAGAAGGGAGGAGAGCCGCACGAGTTCTGGACGGTCGGCCAGTTCCGACGCGACGGGGGGTAGCTCCACACCGTAGCGGACGTGCATGAGGATGGCGGCCTTGCGGACAAACGTCAGAGCATATGTAGACGCCATTGTGTAGATGAAGTCGAGGAAATTGCGGTCGTTGAGACGCTCGGGAACGGGGACAGCCCCGTTCTCCACATCGACAATTGGAACCTCCACATCGGCCATGTGGTAGATCCAGGCGACGAATCGCTGGAGGTCCTTCAATTTCTCAGCCTCCCCACCGGAGTTCCGGCTGTCCACCTTCTTTTCGGGGTTGATGAACTTCTCCGGGTTCTGGAAGCGGGATCCCGTCGCTTCTACCTCAAGACTTTCCGACCCAAAGGCCAAAACCACTCGGACCATCTCTGCAATGTAGCACAGGTGAAGGACGTGATGAATATCAAAGCCTTGGGCAGGTACAAGGCAAACAGAGGCTTCCGAGAGGAACATGAACGGATCCTGGACGAGCAAAGGAGCAATGCCCTTCAATTCAAACGGCAAATTATTCGGCTTCCCTGGGAAGAGTTGTCGAAGTTGTCTGGTTTGGGTCTCAAGGAACTCGTCTAGAGTCTTCGTGGAGCCCTGACTTCTTATGCTTCCCACAGCAATGTAGGATAAGATTGTTTCCGAGTAGACGCGTAGGTGAGTCAGTGACTGAGGGGAGATTTTGTCAAGTAGTGTTCCTCGTGGATGGTCTGAATCTATTCCTCGTTGAGCAATCTCAACCGCTGCGATAGAATACCCTAAAGCCCGAGCTAGGGAGTCCGTGTGCGTTAGGTCTTCGATCACCGATGCCGGGGTATGAGGGTACGAGAATGACGAAGGTATCGCGTTGACCCGGAACGTATCCCGCAGCCGCTGGTACACTCTTACAAGTTCCGAGATGGAGAGATTGTGCTGCGATGTTGAGGTACTCTCCGGAGGTAGGACAACGGGGTCACGCGGATCCTCATGCTGTATAGGCAAAAATGCCGGAATCTGGAATCGATGAGTCGGCGGGGGTTGGGGGACAGGCATACTGATGAAGCCAGGGGTGACTATGTCAGGAAGGCGCTTCGCGACGGGCTCAATGAACTCCTGGAGGCCATAGTCCAGCAAGGCACGTTCCAAATGAGCGCGCTCCACCGAGGCGTCCCAAACATCTCCCGGACCCTTGTCCCCCTTTGAGCTTTCAGTAACAGCCCTCACCGCTAACCAATCGTCAAACAAATTCTGGGTCTCCAAGACGCCGGGATATGAGACCTTCTTGCCCTTCCAGATGATGGGAAGGAACATGTTCCCAAGCGCTTTACAGAGTGGACACATGAATTCTTTGAAGTCCGGTCGTTCAGGGTGGTTTCGAGCAATCTGGCTGACATGGCGCCTTTGCGTGGCTTGGAGATAGACCTCGAAGCAAGAGTAATGCATGATATGACCACAACCGGTCGACACCGGACCGCGCTTTGTCTGCGTGCATGGGAACCCCTTACCAAGACCTTGTCGTTCTGCAAGCACCCGCTCACCGGTGGACGTGATCTTTTCGACCATGCGTCTGTTCTTTCCTGCCACGCCAAAGGGCCGGATCGCTTCTGCGGAATGATCCAGGCTTGTTGGCGTCTGGGTCACCTCTTCAACCCAATCATCGTCTTTGAGGTCCGTAAGTCGAAGTAGAGCACTCTGTGACACATATCCAAACGTTCCGTAGAGACGCTGATCGTTAGTCTCCTCCTGGCAAAGGATACAAGTACCTGATGGATACTTCACGATTTTCTCCGTCTCTGTCCCAGACCCGCCTGCGCCAACGTCGGAGTCACTGTCACTCACATCTCCCCAATCAAACGTTTGATTTGCCATGAATTTGCCTTGTTGCTCCTTGAATGACGCCATGACCCTGGCTTGCCTTTCCAAGGCTAGTTTTTTCTTCAATTCCTTCTCCTGAAGGGTGATAGATGCAGGCGAAGCTGTGTCCAAGCGGTCAGCAGGGAGGTGCAGAGCTTCAGAAGCGACTATAAAGGTGTTCTGCTGCCGCTGTCTCAAGCGATGCAAAATCAGCTTGATCTTGGGTTCACAAGATTTGAACTCTTCTCGCTCCAATAACGTTTTCAACAATGAGAGAATGGTTGGGTGATCAGGAAGGCCGACATTGGCACGTTTTGTGAGCACAGAGGTGGCGAATGAACCTGGTGCGGATTGAGACCATTCATGCTGCTCAGATCTGTCTTCGAGGATGGCCACGAGGAGGAGTTGAAGCACAAACGACACGTAGGATTCAACGCGGGTTGCTGGTACACTCGGAGTGACGGACGACGCGACCAAGGCATATCCCAGCGAGTAATAAATAATCTGGGTAAATAGCGGTTGCCTTGTGAAATCCGAGAGATGTTGGAATACTCCGGAGGGGATAGGCTTGAGCCTGGGTTCGAAAACGATGTCAGCGGCTTGTTTGCCGGTCTTTTTCGCCATGTAGTTCTTATAGATTGTCTCCGCTTCTTCGCGTTGATTCCGGGTGTATTGGTGGATATAAGGATCGATCAGCTCGATATACTGCTCCTTCAGAACAAAAGTGCCCGTGTCTGACAGTCCCTCCGGAGCTCTGAACGTTGTCATCTCGTTCAATATATCTGAGAACTCGTCCGCGTTCTGAACGCGGTCGGATAAGCGGCTAGTCAAGTCCGAGAAAGAGAGCGGCTTGAAACACAGAACATGGGCGATGTCTTTCCGTATCGCCGTGATGTGCGGGTCAACGTCATCTTCAGCCGGCACAAGATGCGTGCGGTCGCTTAAAAGGATCACGAGAAGATGTACAAAATCCTCCACTATCTCAATGACCTGTGTGTCCTCGAATCTGTCCTCATGCTTGATTTCTTCCCGGCTGTACTTGCCAGTCATCCAGCCCAGGACATCAAAGCGATCAACCATCTGTGCCAGAAAGGCTGATGGATTGCACAATACCAGGGCGGTTTGTAACAAAAATATATCTCTTTGGTATGATGTGTCTCGCTGGGATACGCTCCTGTACTGGGTCATCTGATGGCGTAGGGTGATGCCATTTCTCACCCATAGTCCTGCCCTCATCTGAGCCAGCCATGCACACACTCTGAGAGGGAGGTCAAAGAGAGCCAACAGATATTCTTCGGGCAAGTAGTCGGGTATAGGTGCGGCTAGGGCGGTTGGAGGTTCCTGCAGTTCCGGCTGAGTGAACAGGAGTAAGCCAAGCAAATCATCTCGAGGCATACTGCGTGCGCGATCAATGAGCCAGGATAGCATGTAGTGTAGGGCATGATGGAAACTCATGCACTGCTGCGAAACAATGTAATCGACCACTTTGTATGATGTTCCCATAAAAGTAGCAGGATCAGCATCGAATTCGAAAACTTCCAGAGTCTTGAACTTCGTCTCCGATTTCAACTCGGCTTGATCGAAGCGTTTCCGTTCCACCCCCAAAGAGTTGATTATGGCAACCCTAGCTGCTGCACGGATGGCGCGCCTTATGTTTGTCGGATCTTCGTCCGGACGCCATACGAAAGCCTCAGAGAACTGTCTGCACAGCTTATTGATTTCCCGAGTGATCAGAGACGCGCTGATCCACGCCTCACTCTCATACTCCACATGCTCGCCCACGTAGCGAACGTTGGGACAAATGCCTTGATGGAGCTTCACGAGGTCTAGGAATTGAAGCAGATACCGCTCTTCTTCCCGTATCCGTTCTCGAACATACGCCGAGCCAATAAGATACTTCATGTCCAGGAAGAAATGGTACATCCGTCGGTTCGTTACAGCCCCTTGTTCGAAAGCCAAAGTGGCAGTGGGGTTGATATTCCAAGGATAACCGACCTGGCGAGTGGTAAGGAAGGTGTACAATATTGCCATAAGATTCGTCAGGAAGTTGCCCCGCTCAACCACCTCAGCTGTGATGGACGGCGTTGTAAGCATTTGTAATGATAAGTTGATAATGGAGTGGTCCGGTTCCCTGTCTGCAATAAGGTAGAGCTGAGCCAGTGCGGTGTATACTCCAGCGAACCTCAGGCCTAGCAGTCGCTTGAATTCAGGAATCGTGACAACCGTGCTTATGAAGACGTCTCGCACTCCTATTCTGAGGTTCTTCCACATCCTCAAATCATAAAGAATCAAATGATCGAGACGCAAGCGTTGCCAAATATCTTCATGAGGAGGAATGCCCGGCCTCTTTCCAAAGCTTTCCGGCGTTTCGAGCCAATACCTCGGGGGGAGCAAACGTTTGGTCGGTATGTTGTGTATCCGCGGGGTCTCTGGTACTAACATCGAGGGTTCTGCATGGTGCAAGGGAGGTGCTGCAGCGGCGGGCTCAGTGTCTGAGTCCACAGGTGTCAGGTTGCCTGCGGGCCGCCGTCCGTCGTCGGGGGGAGGTGCATACGCTGGGTGTCCTGCAATAGTAGCTCCAGAAATATCCAGAGCTTCATCCGGACTATCATAAGGCTCCATCTCCACGTCGCCATCTCGATCTGGAGCAACGGCCGCAGCCAATTCGTCGATGTCCATGCGTTCCGCCGCATCACCAGCGCTGTCGCCCTCACCTGTCTGGTCTTCTGTCTCGTCCTCATCTGATCCCGTGGTGTCATCATTGGCAGTATTCTGCCCGCCTCGCTGTCGTGGAGGCCTTGCTGCTTGTCTTTCCATCGCCATGAACTGGCGGAGGACTTCACCACCGATCTCTGCCTCCATTTCTTCCACTTCGTGGTCATCAAGACCATCCTTTCCAATGCTTTCATGCGATGCCACACTGCCGACCCTCCATGGCTTCAAGAATTCTTCGCACACGGTACGACGGAGTACTTGGCTGTCAGGTCCCACGCTGCATCCGGCAATATCGGATATCCATTCGACAATGGTTCCAGCCATCTGCTCACGGAATGTGTCTCGAGCGGACCGGATTGTAACCGTTAGTTTGATGTCTTCGATGATCTTGGCCATTCTTAATAGTTCCTTGATGTCGGTGGAATATGTAACGACACTACGACCGATCTCGTCAACTTCATACGCCTTGGCTAAGCCGAAGGCAAGCTTCTGTTTGCATGCCCGGGCAACTTGGTCCCGTACATCATTGACAGTATGCTTCTCGTCGTTCCAGAGTACCAAGGCAAACTTCTGGTTCGGCTCCGGTTGGTCTCCGGGATCATACCAATGTGCTATTAGCCGTGAGGTGCGCTCATCCTCGCGCACTGATTCTTCTGTCTTGGGCAAGCGAAGCTGTTCCGGAGAGCATGAGAATACGTCCACAAGATAGTCAAGGGCTCTTGCAATGGTCAAGCGAATGCTCTCAAGGAGCTCAGCTGGGAGCGAAGAGCCTTCTTTCGCCTTCCCGGCAGCTTTCGAGCCGGCATCAGGCAAGGCCGAGTGGATATTGCAATGTACAGGGCGGACCCAGGCTTCATCATCACCACAATCACAGCAACCCGAGTTTCCGGGGGAGATGTTGATGAATATCTGATGGCCATCATGGTCTGAGGCATCGAAGCAGCGAGCGCACAGCACGCAGGTATCGTCGGTTGTACACGTTTTGCACCTATACGTGGCCTCGCCACTCTTGAAAATGTGCCCACATGGCTTTCCCCGTGCCGCGGCAGTGTATTCGGCCCCCTCGACAGCGCCTTGGGCGTCGCGCAAGCTCCACGTCGTTTCTGGGTCTGAGGGCGGCCCGCCAGGGAACAATAGCGAGAGGTAGTCGGCTTTGTGGGCGGCAAGAGATCGGAAGAGGCCTTGGATGAGCTCTCGCTTTGCTTCGTCGGTGTAGAGACAGTCGTAGCGCTTGGGCAGCTCGCAAAGTAGGGCACAGAGCTGCTGCTCTTGCGTCGACACCAGCATAACGTGTGGAGCGGTTGAATGCGGGGACGCGGAGATAGCCAGCGAGGTTCAAGTGTAGGCCTGGCGGTGTTGTGAAGTCTGTGAGAGTTGACGGCGAATGGAGGAGCTGCGGATCAATCGTCATCGGAGCTCCCCCAGGACCTGCGTGCGCCTCACCGCGGCACCCCAGCTAAAGACGGTGTTGTGGATTCCTAGGTGCGACTTTATCTTGCGGGACCACCAGAGTCAAGTTTATTATACGGACTGCATATGACGGCAAAGGGGTCCAGAGTGCTTGTGGTGGTGGAGGGGTGCGCTGCAACCTAACGTAGCACGTGAGCTAAAGCGGCGGGGGTTCGCATAGGGCTGATTATGCCAAGAGGTAGTTGAAGCCTCAGCTCAGGACGGGCACCGTCGGACAGTGCAGCTTTTTGAGCAGGGAAACTCGGATGTCATATCCAAAGCGAGGTAAGTGCCCAGATGCCATTCATACCTGGTCCTGATTCATCCATTGCCTATCCTACGGAGGATCACAATCGCAATGTGACAACGTGAATGACTACAATCTGCAACGGGAACTGACTTGTTGGACGCTGTAGAATACACCAATATACAGTGACTGTCCTCCTCCGGACCCGCACTGAGCCCCGACTCCAAGTCTAGCGCCCTATCTTACGGGTTCAATGTGGACGGTCGTTCCCTATCATTCCTCCTCCTCGTCCGCCTTCTGCACATATCTGTGCTTGATATCTTTCCATTGGCGCTAGCGATCCCGTCAGTATTCGGACTCTTGTTATTCAGAATTGTGCACATACACCCCGGTTGATGGAGTCCCAGATTCTGTCTGCTCCCTGATCGAAGGCCCTAGCGCGGTGGTCAGTATTGTTCTCCTGCAATCAACGATATAAACATGGCGTGACATACAGCTGCATGCCAAAGGCTGAAACAAAGACGGTAGCCAGCATGGCCCTGTTACTCCGGAAGAAGAGGCTGTCATGTGTCATTAGTACGTGCGGATGAGGGGATGAGGTCGAGGCCGCCTTGCTTGTAGATGGTGGATGAGGTCTGGAGCATATGACTTAGCGCGGCTGCCTGAAAGTTACGGGGCTTTCAATTGACTTACAGTCGACATGTTGAGGGCGCACAAACACGGAGAATTTGTGTAGGGAGCAAGGTCACAGGTTTTGGCAGGTTGATCGCTGACGGTTAGGTATGAAGTTGCCCAGCCGGCCCCAGGCTCCGAAAAGAGCCGCACGGGATTTGGTCGGCGAATCTTCGGCTAAACCGTGCCCACACCTTCTCCCCGTCACTTCTCACGGAACCCTTTCAACACTCCACCCAGCCTTACGCCCGACTTTACAGAGCATCAACTTTTGCCATGCCTACAGTCGAGACACCCGTTGTATCAACGTCCGGAATAGCTACCACAGCGAGCGGCGAGCGTCACATCCCCTCTTCCAGGAGGGCAGACGGATCAATACGTAAAGAGATTCGAGTGCGCCCTGGATATCGACCCCCAGAAGATGTAGAGATATATAAGAACAGAACGGCCGAAGCCTGGAAGAATAGGGGAAGCGGCGGTGTACCAGGCGCGGAAGGACTGAAAACTGGCCAAGAATCAGGTAAACCGAGCGCAGCTGCGAACAAGAACGCCAAACGGAGAGAGGCACGGAAGAAGGCTGCAGCTGCTTCCGCGGAGGCGGGGGATGGGACTGTTCGCGGGGCCGAAAAGGGTGGATATGCGCCACAGGAAGCTGGAGGAGAACAGTCAAATGAAAACCCAGTCGTAGTGGATCCGGAGGTACAGAAAGAGAAGGAGGCGAAGAAGCTGCTGAAAAAGCTACGACAAGCGCGGGAGCTGAAAGACAAGAAGGAACAAGGTGCAGCCCTTCTCCCGGAACAATTCGAGAAGGTGATCAAGATCAACGAGCTGATTCGCCAGCTGGAAGGCCTCGGATACAGTGGGGATGGTGAACGAAAGTCGGAGACCTGAACATCGCCAGAACAAGCCTTCATCCGGCCTCAAAACTAAGAGGTACCATACGTGCGGAATCAGTGCAAAATACTGCCTTATTGGGAATTCCCTGGACGCACAATATCCCGAGCCAGAGCTCAAGGCGAGCGACTAGCATGCAATAGCATACTCGGGGATACCTCCTGTCGTGCCGGGGGCATATTGGGACATTGTTTTCAGACGTGTTCAACGTCCTCCAGAGCAAGCCACTTGTCTGGCCCTACTGTCACCGAGTCTTTCACCAAGTTCGCTTCAGGAAGACTCGAAATTTCAGAATTCAAGCAGACAATTCGAAGTCTGAGCTGACAGGAGTTCCTGCTAGAGCAGCTGAGTTGCAGTCTACATGGCACACCTAGTACCCCCAATTCCAAATAGAAGGTCCATCATCCCCTGTTCACGTCTCCCCGAGCGGACGTTGCTTCGTCCGGTACCGTCGTATGACTCCTCGACGAGGCGTTCCTATATAGGGGACTGAACTCGCATTTCGCTTGCTCCGTACCGATGCCGTTTGATTTAGCGTGCAGTTCGATACGATCCATCCATGGGCACAGATGGCATCTGGATACGATGGAGCTGTAAACTCCACATTTCATTGAACAGCATGAACAGGCCCTAGCCACAGAAACTTCCGTCTATGAGAAGACTCGAGCTTGTTGCAACGGGTGTGAGAGAATCTTTTCAGGAGCATTGCGTTATGGTCTAGTGATGAACAACCATTATGGCAACGCCTTAAGTGACGGGACCCTACACCTGCCGTATTCGAGTCTAAGTGTATTATCATCGCAGTACTCCTGATATATCGCGACCCATTGAGGTAACGCGCTCTTCAAGGCCTTTCTTCTTTCTCTCAAGTTGCCGAATCTCCTCTTCCTCCTTGCGTAGATCATTTTCGGACAAGGGCTGGAAGAGAGTAGTAGCCTCAGGCTCAACGTCCCCCTCGTCGGCATCGTCCGCCGCATAATCTCTTGATCGGTTTAGCCTACTCAGCTGAGCAGCCTGTTCAGCCAGGCGGTTTTCATAGAATTCTATGGACGACTGCAGTCTGCTGTATCGCTGTCGAATGGCCGCGATCCTCTCTCGTACTCCCGGTAAAGGGCTGAACACAGTTAGTTGGTTGCATGCCCATCCAACCAGAATAACATACTAGACTCCAAGGAGCTTCTCCGCCCCTTCCAGGAGAGTGTCGACATCTACCTCGCCTTTGTTATTTCCATCGAATGTACGATATCCAAGACCGGTTCCTACCCCTCCCCCACCTCCTCGTCGAATCCTGTCAGCCAATTCTGTCCCAAGAACGGCAGCGACAGCGGTGTTACGTCTCGGCGCTCTGACACCATTGGCGCCGCCTCCGGCAATACTACTATTGTTTCCACCGCTGATGTTGAAGATGGTGTTTCGTCTGTTCGACCCCGCGGTAGGGTCTTGCGCTTTTGGGAGAGGAGGCGGTGGTGGCACAGAGAATAGAGCGCGCTCATGGATCTCTGTATCTCGGATAAAAGTGGTAATATCGTGAGGTTGCAACAGCGCATTCGTGAAGATCTTGGGAGGGGGGAAACTGGCCATTGTGAGCAGTGGACATGAGCTGTGGCATGACAGCCTACGGTAGCTCCGCAATTGAGGCGGCACATAGAGATATTTGCTCAAGATGAGCATCGAGAAGCGTCATGGCCGTCATTCTGCGTGCTTGAGTGTTTCCTTGTTCCCCGACCCAACTGTATCCCTGGGACTGTTCCAAGGTTGTGGTGATGTTGTGATGATCACAATCTTGTCCGCCTTTGTCTTAGTTTCCGCTCACCTACCTCTTCGAAAGCTTAGTTGGGCGCTCGGAGGCGGCCGAACTTTCTGCCGGTAGCAGCAACCTCAGTTACCGGAGCTCAACTGCATGATGCTCAACTTCGCCCTTGCTCACACCTTCCTATCCTCGCATCACTTACCGCTCCGTCGTTCGCCACCTCCAGTGCGTCCCACTGCTCCTTACTTCCCAGCACCTATCTTGTTTAGAGCAGTCACCATGGCAGAGAGTATGGAAGGCGTCGTCACGGAAGGAGATCAGCCCAAGCCGGAGAACGTGGAGCAGAAGACAGTTGCTGGTACGTCGTCTCATTGCACGCAAACATGGTTACTTTTTCTTGCCCCTGCTCCTCTTGTGCTTCGCATCCTCCGGGCCATAGGCGCATGTGCTCAAGCTTTATGATTGCGACTCATCTGGCGGAACTCAAGTATCGCCATCCTGACAGCGCTGACCAGCTCACCAAAGATATCCGAGCCAACTTCGCATTGCTGGAACGTGCCGTCACTCAGTTCGATACCCGCTTCACTCTAAGAGCGCTCCGCTCAATATCGTCATTGCGAAAGAAGCTTGATGAGCGTGTGCTATGCTCCGTTATCGTTCTGACTTATTCTCCAAGTAATGCCACCGCTCGTGTGCTCATCGAGGCGATCAACATGGATGGAGAGGCTATCCAGGCCGTGGTATCACAGTACAAGGACGAGATCATGCAGCAGAAGGGAAGCCCCAAGGAGCCACTACCCGAGGTGGACGTCTATATCGCCATTTTGATACAGGTGAGCAATTTGCGCTTCCACTCGAAGAAACGAGCGGAGCTGATCGAAATTAGGTGTATCTCTATGATCAGAAGGAATTTGAAGAAGGAGCAGAGTTTTCTACACAGCTCGTGGATAAAGTGCGGGAACTGAATCGAAGGACCCTGGATTCGCTTGCAGCGAAAGCATACTTCTACTTCTCTCTGTTCCATGAAGAACTAGACCCTAAACCGCCTTCCAAGCAGTCACCGCTGGTTTCAATCCGAGGAAGATTACTCGCCGCTCTCCGCAGTGCTGTTCTCCGGAAGGACCAGGAGACGCAGGCCTCGGTCACAACACTCCTGCTCCGAAACTACCTCGCGACCGCCGATATCACTCAAGCCGATCTCCTCGTCGCACAAACTCAGTTCCCTGCAACTGCACCAAACAATCAGGTCGCCAGGTACCTCTATTACCTGGGTCGCATACGGGCCATTCAACTATCCTACACCGAAGCACATGAGCATCTCACAAGCGCCACGCGCAAGTCACCTACAACCACCGTGGCAACAGGCTTCTACCAGGCTGCCACCAAGCTGTTGATCGTTGTTGAGCTTCTCATGGGTGATATTCCGGATCGTGCCACCTTCAGCCAGCCTCGCTTAGAACGCGCTCTGGAACCTTACTTCCGCCTTGTCCAGGCCGTTCGCGTTGGGGATCTCCAAGGCTTCTTGAAGATTGTACAGACGTTTGCTTCGACCTTCCATCGCGATGGCACATATACCTTGATTCTTCGTCTGCGGCAGAACGTCATCAAGACCGGAATTCGCATGCTTTCTCTCTCTTATTCGCGCATTTCTTTGCGTGACATCTGCATTCGCCTTGGACTGGAGAGCGAGGAATCGGCTGAATACATTGTAGCGAAGGCTATCCGCGATGGTGTCATTGAGGCATCCATCGACCATGAGAAGGGTTTCATGCAGACCAAGCAGGCGGGAGACATCTATGCGACGCGTGAGCCTGGCGAGGTCTTCCATGAGCGTATCCGCGCTTGTCTCGCTCTGCACGACGAATGTGTGAAGGCGATGCGGTATCCCATGAACCAGCATCGTCTGGAGTTGAAGAACGCGCAAGAGGCGCGTGATAGGGAACGGGAGCTTGCCAAGGAGATACAGGAGGGGGACATTGACGAGGATGATGCAGCTGGAGACTTTGACGGACTATAGATGACCGTAATCGGCGTATGGTGACGAGCAGGTCTTTCTTTCTTTTGCATGCGAGCCTTTTTGGAGAATCGACTCGCGCCTGGGTAGAAGACCCTTGAGCAACTCAGTCATGAGCAAATTGATGGAATAAAGTCAATGCATTCCGTCAGCAGTATTTCTCCAAAACTCCATCACTGCTAGGTGCTCGAAACGCTGTGCAAATCTCGGACTTCTATGCCGGCGGTCCAAATGGACTTCCTCTATTTCAAATCGCTAGATGCTGAACATGTGAGAGCGAATCGCGCTTATCCATCATCATCTCCTCCCATGACCTCAAATCCACTGGTGCGCTATAATAAGCCCTTTTCACTGGTTACAGCCGTACAGCAGCAGCTTTTTTCAACCGGTTCATGACTGCCGCAGCGATATCATCACCCTTTGTATCATCAATACCCTCCACGAAAATAGCTTCGACGCGCTTCTTGTCCAACTCTCGAAGCGCGGAAAAGAGGCCGCGAGCAACACCGTCTGTCTCTCCACCGAGGTTGATATCCCACACTACCTTCAAGGAGGTCGATCGTGCTTCTTCCGGAGAAATGGTTAGTTGCTCGGCGCGAGGGACGTGGTGCTGGATGACGGAGCGTTGGAGATTGGTCAATAGTGGATCCTGCCTGAACCTCTTGGTTCGGAATTGATCGTCTTCCAGTTGCTCTTGGCCATTCCACGTCTTCTCTTTTCTGATGAAAGGCAACCCCATACCCAATGACCAGTTTCTCGTCCGAATCACACCTACAATCTTCAACCCCTCTTCCAAATCCCGGAAGTACGTCTCAGCTATCTCCCTCCGCCTTCTCTCCGACTTGCCATCCGCGGCATCATGTTCCACCAGCACCACCTTCGCCGTGGGCGAGTAATGCCTATACTTCATCCCCGGCGCACGAGGTTTCGCCGCATCCTCCAAATGCGCGTCTTGATACCCCACGACGACATCTTCCCAGCCGGGGCATTTGCGAATCTCGTCGATGCCGATGCCGCCGGGACGGAGTATGGCAGGAGGGTAGGACAGGCCGTCTACGACTGTGCTCTCGACGCCGACTTCGCAGGGTCCGCCGTCAACGATGGTGCGTATACGACCGTCTAGATCGTCCTTGACGTGTTCGGCGGCAGTTGGGGAGGGTCGGGTGGATGCGTTTGCGGAAGGCGCAGCGAGCGGGCAGCCAGCGAGGCGGATGAGGGCGAGGGCGAGGATACTGCGGGGCATGCGGGCGCCGAAGGTGGAGAGGTTGGCTGTGACTTCGGGTGCGAGATGGGACGTTGAAGGGTTGGGGAGGATGATGGTCAAAGGACCAGGCCAAAACTTCTGGATTAAGGGTCGGTAGATGGAGGGAATGGGGTCAATGTTCTCCTGCGTCTGCCCATTGCCATGTCCATTGCTACCTTCTTCCTTCTCCAGGACCTTACCCTCGTGAGAGCCAGACAGAAGTCCCCGCAGCTGCGCAAGCGAATGCACATGCACAATGAGGGGGTTATCCGAAGGGCGTCCCTTGGCCGCATAGATAGCTTTTACCGCAGAGCTGCGTGTCGCATCGGCTCCGAGACCGTATACCGTTTCGGTAGGGAAAGCGACCGGAATATCCGACTCGGCCAGCTCGTGCGCGGCGCGCCGGAGGTTTCTCGTGTCCTGCGAAGCGTCGTTGTATTCAATAGTGAATTCATCAATCAGGTCGCCCGAGGAATAGAACGATGTTTTGCCCAGCTTATCCGGGTCTACGGGGAGGACTTCTGTCTCCATGGTCGCCTTCATCGCTGCTGTGTCCACTGCACCTTCGATAATGGTTGGGTATTGGAGGGTACGACTTCGATCCGGTCTCAGTGCGGGTCCACAGGCAGGAGGGGCACAGGATGTATGCAATGCGGTCGCCTGCGGCCGCTGTGGCCGAGAGTGGAGAGTGCGAATGCAGAGAGAGGAGGCCTTGGTGAGTGGAGCATTTGGAAAGCGAAGGGAGGTTATCAGCATCAGGGCATGTTGCGGTGGTGGAGAAAATAATAAATATGCCTTTGTGAGCCAGAACAAAAAGCTGCACCAAAAGTTCAGCGGGGTGCAGGGATGGGGCTTGCAGGGAAAAGCTTGGTCTGCACCTCACCACAATCCCCCCGGCCGGCAGCGGTAATGTAAATAGAGAAGACCATGGTTGGAATGCTACCGTACATGGACAACCAGGTGCAATCCGTGAGGGAGTTTATTCAAAAGAATCAGATTCCTAACTGACACTACCAATTCAGGTTCGGTTGCAAAAGAGAAGCCGTCTGAAAAAGGCAATGTATCCAGAATAATGTAAACCCTTCCAGGCGCCAAAGCCGCTTTTACAGGAGAGCCAGACACACGTGGGTATTGAGCCAACGCCAACCGGAGCCTCCGCAAAGCCTACGCAAGTAAATCAAAGTTAGCAATGCCCGCAAAGCACAGAGTAGTCTCTACGCCTGGGCCGGGACAGCAGCGGAAGCTTCTGGTGCAGACTGCGACGCCAGTTCTCCGCTCGCGGACGTCTCGGCCCATGAACCCCAAAGCCCCCGTTTACCGCGTATCCGTAGGGGTCCACCAAGTTCGTCTACCGGTTGTTCGACCTTGATGGCATCCTTTGTGGCGAGAACCAATATTTCGAAGAACATCTTGGTTGCCTCTGCCCTGCTGGTGGAGGCCTCAGGGAGCATATCCTGGAACAAAACACTGGCCTTCTGTCTTTCCGACTCGTTGGATTCAGCCTCAGGACCGAACCGCTCGCGAAGGATGTGCACGGCATGCTTAGTTCCCACGGAGATGGGTCCGCTGTCAGCTGGGTGGAGAAGGGGTGCCGTCGTGTCATCGAAGTGGTCAACGGGCGAAAAGGCTTCCTCCTGTTCAAGATGATCCTCGTCCATGGCAGGAATTCCTTCATCACTAGGAAGATGTATGGCCTCCTCCTCGTGGGCAAGAGAGGTGTCGCCACCGAACGGTGCCGCTACACCATCCAGTTCTGTCTCTGTCTGCTCAAACTCCAGCTGCGGGGTCTTTTCTTTGCCTGCTCCGGCGTCTTCTTCCTCGGAACCCAGATCGGCGACACCGCTATCCCGCTTGCGCTTCTGTCCGGGCCGTGATACAACCTCAAGCGAGAGGATTCCTCTAAGCTCAGGCGCCCAACCGCGGCTTCGGCCGTCGCCAAGGATGTTGGAGACGAATCCGCCCGTCTTCTGCATTTGCATCAGAGCAAGCAACATAGGGTCACGGGGGAGGAATGCCGAAGGTTTCAAGATCTTGCTACGGTCGTTTTGTTGCTGCCTGATTTGACTGTTGGGGATCTGCGTTTCCTCATCGGCGTGGAGCAATCTTCTGCGCTTTGCCCTCTGTGTCTGTCGAACGGCCTCCTCCTGCTCTTCATCTTCCAGCTCGACTGCCGTCAGGTTATGCTCCTGCTGGTAGGTCTGTTCCAAATCGCGTTCAACGCTAGAGCGAATGGATGATAGTGGTGAGATGGTGTCGCGTTCGCGCTCCAACCCGGGCACGGCTTCCTCATCTGCAGGCAGCTCAGGCAGAATAGCATCATCTACAGGAAGGCCAATATCGGTGGTCTCCTCCATGCTGACGTCAAGGTTTCCCAGTTCGGTGTGCCCCGGGGCAGGGATTGCACTGGTATCGCCGCCATCCCAGTCCAGGCCTAGATCATCCTCCTCTAGGGGTTTGGGGCTTGAGGCGAGGTCTTCGGAAAGGCGGCGCTCAAGCGGCGCGTTACGTCCTCTCTCAATGCTAGTCCCCTCATCGAATTCAGGATGAGGCTCGTCGTTCCAGTCCAAGCTCAATACATCTGCGTCATCCAACACCATGGGCTCTCCACGGGGTTGTTCGACGCTGCCTGAAAAGAACTGACTGCTGTCCCAGTCTGGGACGGTGGTGTCCTCGAAGCCTAGAGTGGGAACATGCTGCAGGGACTGTGACAGGAATAGAGCAGGGTCAGGCATTGGGGCGAGCAAATCGATGTCGGTAATGACATCCGGCAAGGTCAAGCTGGCGGGATTGGCGATGTGGGACTGATTTCCAGGCAGGTCGATGTTTCCAGGGCGGAAAGCCTGATTGCACACTCGTCAGTGACATGATGCGACCGCGAGGGACAGAAAGCTTACCATCTTGATCTTCATCAGGGCCTCGGTGCAATCATCGAGGAGGTAGCGCGCCTTTCGGCTGTAGATACGCACCACGCCCAGCAACAGTTGGCCGCTGAGACGCAGGGCCATTGGGCCACCGGCGACCTCTGGCCTGACGATGACGGCGATATCATCGTTGATCTTGTCTTGAAGGACCTGATTCTTGGAAAGCTTCTTTTCGAGATTGGCGGCCAGCCAGACGCGGGCTAGCGGGCCCGACTTGGACAGCAGATGCTCTGGGAAAAACATGTCGAGGGTTGACGATGGCGTAAGATGCGGGTTGCGAGATTTGGGCGCCGGCGCAGTGTTGTTTTGATTTGCGGCGCGTCGGCCGGCAGGCAGCCCAACACGGCGCTCTCAATGCTCGAGGCCGCGCAGCAAAACGATGGGGAGAAGGGGAGGGAGAATGGGGCCACCAAAATATATGTGTGCGCACGACAGTGGCGACAACAGCGACGGTGCGGACGGAAGTGTGGAGGTCGGAAGGGGGGACGGTGGGGAGCGAGGAGGGAGGGAGGGAGAGAGGCAGAGGGACGCGGTCGCGGTGACGATTGTTGGGGAGTTGGACTCGCTCGGCGGTGGCTGGAAGGCAGGCACGTGATAATGCTTATGTCAGCCTCCGCCTCCCAACCCCCTCCAAAGCAAAGATCTCTACACAGTATGTACGATATACAGTAGAGCTTGCTCAGTCATCTGGCCATGTAGCTCGCAGGGGAGTACTGTGTATGCATCTACTACATACTCCCTAGCAGGTACTCCGTTATACAGCAACATTTCCCGCGAGCTTCTTCATTCTGGATCCAGCCGAAATCTCCCTCTCGCGTGCTCCTTGCTCAAGTGCATCTTATCAGATCCCATCGTCCCCATCATTTGGCTGCCTGTATTGCCAGTGATAGCTGCGCAAGCAATAGGTATCTGTTCGGTGGTCGGCTTCTGTAGTCTACTATAGCTACAGTACCTACTCCGTATGTACTCGGCAACTGGGGCGGCTCTGCACGACCCCTGGTGGACCCCTGCACGCGAAGGCTTGAATACACCTCTACACAGCAATACAAGTACACCATTTGGCCAACCCTCAAACTGTCTGCCAGATACTTCGTACTGCTGTCGCCATCGCCATTCTCGAATCCCTCCGAACCCCCGATTGGGAGCTCCCATCCCATCGTCTCAAGCCTCCGCATCAATGGCTTAACCCTTCTGCCCTTCGTATCCTCTCGCCCTGAGCTCCGTTCTCTCCGCGCTGCGCTTTCGCCTACCTAGGCCACAGGTGGTCTCTAGGCCATGCCAGTATGTCGAGAGCATCGACGCCCTCTCTGCCGCTGCGTCATGCCTCTCGCACACGTCAGACGAGCACTCGGTCGGAATTGCCCCTGCTGGCGCCTCCAGAGACGCCCCTGAGGCGCACAACGCCTTCGGTATGCCAATCCTGGGCTCCTCTGCTCCTCTGCTCCTCTTCCTCAACCTCGACTTCCAGGGCTAATGCATGTCCTCCTCTAGTCTCCTACTGCCTCGTACTCCCTTCTCTCTGCACAAGAGACGGCCCGGAAACTGGGTACCTCGGTAACCCACGGCCTTTCTTCTTCCACCGCCGCTGCCAGGATCCATACCCATGGGCTCAATGAGCTTCCCCACGAGGAGCCAGAGCCGCTTTGGCTTCGCTTCCTGAAGCAATTCAAAGAGACCCTTATACTGCTCCTCCTCGGATCAGCGCTTGTTTCGTTAGTCATGGGCAATTTCGAGGATGCCATTAGCATCGCCGCCGCCGTTACCATCGTTGTCACTGTTGGCTTCGTACAGGAATACCGCTCGGAGAAGTCCATAGAAGCACTGAGCCAACTAGTACCCCATTCTGCCCATGTCATACGTGCTGCGGTGGACCCCCAACGAGCTCTTCACTCGGCGAATGGGCCTGGTCCTGAGAGTGTCGAGTTGGAGGAGCTCAAGGATGCCGCAGCCTCGCTGGAGGCTGCCGAAAGACACTCCTCCACCATCTCCGCGTCGCTGTTAGTGCCTGGTGATCTGGTCTTGTTCCATACTGGCGATCGGATCCCCGCAGATATCAGAATCACTCATGCTGCCGATCTCACCATTGATGAGTCCAATCTCACCGGCGAGAATGAGCCCGTTCCCAAGTCTCCAGCGACCCTCACCCCGAGCCACGCAGTGTCACGTCCGCATTCTCCCTTCTATTCTTCACCCGCAGCCGGGACCGTTGGTGCCGACATTCGCCTCAACGATCAGAAGAACATCGCATTCATGGGCACCCTGGTGAGGTCGGGTCATGGGCAAGGACTTGTGATTGGGACAGGCGGAAATACCGAGTTTGGCGCCATTTCGGCGTCTCTACAGGAGATTGAAAGCCCTCGAACGCCACTGCAGCTGTCCATGGACCGGCTTGGAAAAGAGCTGAGCTACATGTCCTTTGGGGTCATCGCCTTCATAATGCTTCTAGGCCTCTGGAGGGGTTGGCCTTTTCTCGACATGTTTCAGATTGGCGTGTCCCTAGCCGTGGCCGCCATTCCAGAGGGTTTGCCCATCATTGTCACGGTGACATTAGCACTGGGAGTCCTCCGAATGTCTAAGCGAGATGCAATCGTTCGACGTCTACCTAGCGTCGAGACGCTAGCGTCGGTGAACGTTATCTGTAGCGACAAGACGGGCACCCTCACAACGAACCACATGACGGTGACGAAGATATGGCACTTTGGTGAACCATCTCCTGTGGATGTAACCAAGAAACACGACTCGACTGACCTAGACTCCCCGACCCGCACGATACTACGGATCGGTAACATTGTCAACAACGCACGGCTGCTCAGCCCAGATGCTAGCAGAGCATCTACAGCCGCGGTTTTGTCATCCACCATGGGCGACGACACATCTGCTGCCAAGAGCCGCTGGGTAGGGCAGCCTACTGATGTTGCCTTACTGGATCTGCTTGATGCCTTTGGGGAGGATGATGTAAGAGATAGAATTGGTTCCCGTAGATACGAGACGCCCTTCAGCTCCGAGCGAAAGTGGATGGGCGTGGTCATCAATGGGAGGTCAGGGGCGGAGCTATCGACAGGTCCGGATGTGGCATATATCAAGGGCGCTCTGGAGAAAGTTCTTGACCGGTGCGATACATATATTTCGGAGCACGGACGCGAGATCGTCCTAGACGAGACACGCAGACAAGAGGCCATGAAAGCTGCAGAGCAGATGGCACAAGAAGGCTTGAGAGTCTTGGGTTTCGCCAGCGGTGTTTCAAGGGAAGGTCGACGGCTGGCCAAGAGGGGAGGAAGTGGTACCGTCTCGCCAGCGCCATCCACAGATGGAAGTCCTGGTGGCAATTCCGAGCTCGGGGAAGACGAACACTATCGAGGCCTGATATTTGCTGGATTGGTGGGAATGAACGACCCGCCCAGAAAGGGTGTAGAAAGAGCGATACGGAGGTTGATGGCTGGCAACGTCAAAGTCATCATGATCACCGGAGATGCCGAGACCACGGCTGTAGCGATTGCAAGGAGGTTGGGGATGCCCATCAACTCCAATCCATCCATGGGGCACGCTGTCCTTTGTGGCGGCGAGCTGGACCGGATGAGCGAAGAGGACCTTGCCCAAACCATTGGCACCACGACTATCTTCGCCCGGACAAGCCCTGAGCATAAGATGAAGATTGTGCGTGCCCTTCAGGCGCGCGGGGATGTGGTGGCAATGTCCGGGGATGGAGTCAACGATGCGCCTGCTCTGAAGAAGGCCGATATTGGCATATCCATGGGCAGGCTGGGCACTGATGTGGCCAAGGAGGCCGCAGACATGATCCTCGCAGACGACAATTTCTCGACGATTTTGAATGCCATTGAGGAAGGAAAAGGCATCTTCTACAATATACAGAATTTCCTCACCTTCCAGCTCAGTACAAGCGCGGCTGCGTTGAGCTTGGTCCTGCTGAGCACATTCCTCGGGTTCCAGAATCCACTGAATGCAATGCAGATCCTGTGGATAAGTAAGATTAGCTCACGTCCCTCCATGGAAATATACACGGACTTACATTCTGCAGACATCCTCATGGACGGCCCTCCAGCCCAGTCCCTCGGCGTCGAGCCCGTCGACCCAGCGGTAATGACTCGCCCACCACGGCCCCGCAAAGCCCGAGTCCTTACCCGGCCGCTTCTCCTCCGCGTCCTGCAGTCGGCGTCCATCATCATGATGGGAACACTCAGCACCTACTACCGCGAAATGGCGGTCGACGGCGAAGTCACGGCCCGCGACACCACCATGACCTTTACCTGCTTCGTCCTCTTCGACATGTTCAACGCGCTCACCTGCCGCTCCGAAAGCAAGTCGGTGCTAGCCGGCGAGATTGGCCTCTTCTCCAACAAGATGTTCAACTATGCCGTGTCCGGGAGCCTGTTGGGACAGCTCGCGGTCATCTATTTCCCGCCGCTGCAGAGAGTGTTCCAGACCGAGGCCCTGGGGTTGCTGGATCTGGTGCATTTGGTTGCCGTGGCGAGTTGTGTGTTTTGGGCAGATGAGGCGAGGAAGTGGGTGTTGAGGTGGAAGGGGACGAGGAGCGTTGTGCAAGGGTATAGTGCTACTGTGTAAGCCGGCGACGCATTTCCTTATAGACAGGCGTGTTTGAGATTGCATGGTGTGGTGTTGTTCATGTAAAATCTTCCAATGACGATTGCATAGAGATGTGTATATCCTTCATTCTCCGCCTCTCGTTTTCTTCAGTCGGGTGGATGTCTGGCTTCCTTCTGAAACGGTTCATCTGGGTGGACAGGGGTCTCTACTTATAGATACCAACGCGTGTACGTGGTCATGTCTCCAATGGTATATAATCCTGGCTACGCCTGCTGCTGCTCAGCGCAAGGTCCAAACCACCGATCCATAACATCGAAGGTCAGACCAGAAAACCTCATCATCCAGAATCCATAGAGCAGATGCATGAGATCCTAGAGCAGTGATATCTCCAACAGCAACCAAAGACGTCATCGGCAACAGCGAATTGGGCATTCTCATGCTCCCTTCATAGCATCCTCGCTCCCTGCCGTCTTCTCTCGAGATTGCATCAGAAAATGCATAATACCCCATAGACCTCGCATGGCCTCTGTGCGGTCTTCCACTTTGAACAAATCGAACCATTTGGTCCTCTGCAAGGAAGGAGAGAACCAAGGGAGATCCGAAGGGTCTTGTTTGTGTTCGGGTAAGGTGCCCTCCTCAAGGAACCGCAAGTACAATCGATGTACCCGGAGCTTCAAAATGCTAATGTGGTGGTTCAGCGAGGATACCATGAAGACCTATGCGAGGTAATCAGCCAAGTTCTGCAGCGGATTGACCTGGGGCCGCATACCTCATCCCAATCACTATCCGTCTCCTTTCCAATCGCCTCATAGACAATCCTCGGGTCCCAGAGTGGGTTCCCCGGCTTGAGCACCTTCCAAACTTCAGCCGGCGATGGTTTCTTCCGATCCTTTTGACCCAATCGCATCCGAACACTCGGCTTCTCTTCCTTCGCGGGTGGTTCCATCGCCGGAGCATCACTCGCGCCGGCGGCTTCGCCAATCTCCCCACCAGGCCCACCACCCCACCGAGGCTTCGTCGTCCACCACTTCCCCTCGCCAGCCTTGGTCTCCGTTCTCCCCTCCCTAGCGCGCTCCTGAGCCAGCAGCAACAACCCTCCCAGCTCGCGAGCAACATCAAGCACAGCATCTGTCTCCGTACCAAAACTCGTCTCTGGTCGACATTGGATTCCAATCAGCGGCCCTTCCAACCACCCCTGCCTCGCCTTCATCCTATCGGACGGTGCCCTCCACCCAGCAGTATTCATCCTCACGGGGAACCTTACATGCTCGAGACACAGCACGGGCGGGCGACGATGCGGCGCAAATATCACGCCAAACGCCCAAGCTACACCCTCTAGGAATCCACGCACGCACTCCAGACGGTACTGGTCGGGCATCTCGGGGCCATTTCCGATGCGATAGCCTCGATAGGAGCCATTGGACAGGTCCACAGGCGCTTCGAATACGGCATGGATGTTCGTCGCCCAGGGGAGTTTGGGAGGTACGGTGCGGGCGGGGAGGGAGGCGCTGGAGGAGATGGAGGAAGTTTTCTGTTGAACGGGCATCGTGGTCTCGTCTAGGAGGGGAATATCGCTCTCTCCCAACCCCGGGAGAGCGGGTGGTTCGGATGCAGCAGCAACGGTTGTTTCGGTTTTCATCTTTTTGCGAGGCTCTTCCAGGTTTGTTGAGGGTGATGAGAGGTCAGCTGGAGCTCCTGCTTCACGAGGGTTCGCATCGGCACCTTGGGATGAGGATGCTCCGTTCGGCTGTTTGGGCGGCAAGTACTCGTCCAAGGAATCGTCCCAGTAGTAGGCCCAATTATCAAGACCTTCCCAGAACTTACGGAAATGGGCCAAGCGAGGACGAACCTGGCCCGGGAGGGGCTTTCGTGTCAAAGCTGCAAAGGCGTCGGCATTGTTGAACAGTAGCTCTTGGGCCCGCGCATAGAAGTCATTGCGGGTTGGTACTTTCCGACCATTACTTAACAGACTTGCGGGGGTTGCCGACGTCGTAGGAGCTCCTGATTCACTATCATTTGGAGGCTCGAGCCATGACCTGGGTGGTAGGAACGGTCCGGTGGTTCCAGACGTGGATGGAAGGAGCGTCTCGAAGTCACAGGGCGGTTCGATGGAGACGTTCAAAAGCTTGAGGGTCTCAAGCTTGACATCTGATGGCTTCTTCAAGTCGAGGAAATGAGCAGCAAGAGGGGATGGAGACCTCTCCGCCCATAGCCGCGGTGGAGAGTCAAGAGATGGTTGCGGGGGTGACAGAGAGGGGAAAGACGCAGGTACGGGTCGCGAAGGAGGGGGTCGTTCCTTGTTGCAATCATACTGGCCGGCGAGGAGGCCACCTGCATACACAAGTACCTGTCAGCTGGGCCGTACGGTAGTGCTGAGAAGGTTATGGATGCAACAGAGACCAACCTCATGATGGCCAGAGAAGATGGGAGATGGAAGAAAAGGGAAGCCGACTCGAAATTCAATCAACGCGCATCCGGGAAGGTATAGGGAGAGTAACTTACCGCTGAGATTGTTGAACATGTGCCTCGAGATCCCGCCGAGTTGCTGCGTTCAATCGCAATCGGACCTACTAGTGAAGCGACGGTGAGGGCGCCGTCTCGCCCGTTGGACAAAAGACATGGCCAAGGTGTGTTTTTGGAACCCGCCGTCAACGTGGCGACGGACGTTCCGCCCACGTGCACTGCCCCACTTGCCTGGCGGCCCCGTCACCCCGCGTCCAGCGACGCCTCTCCCGGGCCGCCTTGGCAGGGACCTTCCTGATGAGGACTGGTGCACTCTTTTCTCAACTTCTCACCTGGCACCTCTCACCTCATCACTGCCAAATGCACACCATCTCCACCAGCAGGTAATCATAATGCATCGCCAGACGAGAAGCAGCAGTCGGTTGTGCTCTCATGATTGACTATTTCAGTATCCGCCATGTCCAGTATGTACCTCTCAACAACGACTGGCCTGGGCTGAGACGCCCACGCCGCTGCTTTCGCCAGGTTGGCGCTTCGATCGCCTCATGTCCGTTTCATGTCCCACCCACCACTTATGCCCCTACGGTTGCCGCCCTTCCGGCTTTGTCTTCGATTCTGCATCTCCTGCTTTCTTTCTCTCCACCACTTTTCCTTGCAGAAACGTCAATTTCCCATCCTCTATATGCCCATAGTATCCACCGTGCCCTGATTCTCCTCCTCCTCGCCCCCTTTCGAGCCCGGAGCCCTCGTTTGCGTCTCTGTTCATGATTCTGCTTTCTGCATGGCCACTCCTCAAGGGTCCATCACCACCGTGAACGGCCGGCGATGCACTCGCACCCGCGTCCGCACACTGGTCACGACCACTTTCTCAACCGATCTCGCGCAAGCCACGTCAACTCAAGCACCCTCTCAGGACGTCCCCGCCGTGGAGGAAGACGCTCAGCAAGTACAGCAAGAACAACAAGTTCAACAAGTACAACAACCACAGACGACCCAAGCTGCTGCCCCCTCTCCACCGCCAGCATCCACAATCGAACCACCGCCGCCCCCTCCCCCAACAGCCGCCCAGGAGGCTGCACAGGAAGCTGCAACAAGTCCAACGGCGACTCCTTCTCCCGCCACGAGCCCACGCCCTGCACCACTTGCAAATGTTGCCCCAACCCCGCCCGCCGCTAACGCACCAGTTCCTGTAGCAGTCGAGAGTGATCCCGATGCCAGCGACACTGAGGCTGCTGCTATACCGCCCGTCTCTACGGGACGTCCACCTCTTTCATCATCTGGTCTTACCACTTCCTTGACGACGCCCCCTCCCCCGACGCAGCTGTCCTCTACCGTGCCACTACCATCCGGTCCGGCCCAACCCTCCATCGATCAAGGCTCAGGAGAGCCCGAGCAGCCGACCGAAACCAACGTAGGACCGGCTCCCACTTCGATGTCTATGCCAGCAGGGCCTGATGGAATCATTGGACCAGAGCAGGATAGTGGACAGGGCTCTCCCTTCTCCATCTCACGAGGCATTGAAAATGTCGGCGGCATTGTGGGGGGTGCTGTGGGTGCCTTTGCAGGTGTGGTGCTCATCACCGTTCTTCTTTTTCTATGTCTCCGGAAACGCAAGTCGAGGAGTACGTTTGGGAGATGGCAGCAACGTATCAGTGATGAGAAAGATGAAAGGCCTCGCTTCGCGGCAAAGCTCACGGCGTCCACGTGCGGATGGAGAACTAAAGCGGCGGGTGTCTTTGCGAAACTTGGAAAGAAGAGGCCTGATTCCATTCAGAGTCCTCTGAATCCGCAGAGTGTGCGCAGCAGTATCAGCAGCGTCTACGCCACGCGGCCCAATCGCAGGAGCCAGTCCATGAGCGAACCGCCTTCCAAGTTCCGACAACAACTACGCAACATGGGTCAAAGATTCGGTGACCGTATGCCCAGTCTGAAAAGATCTAGGACTCTATTGCAGAAGCGACAGGACAGCTTGGTCGTCGGGGCGAAATCTCCATTCCCAGGAATCGTCGACGACCCTGTCCTTCGGAGCGGCAATGGTACCGCCAACCCCTTTGCAGACCCAGGTCCTCTTGAACCTCCGCGATCTCTGCACGTTCTCAACCCTGATCCCAATTCAAGGGAAACCACCCCTCGGCTGCCGCGGAACCTGGACGGACTACAGGAACAGCAAAGGCCCCCAATCACCCCAAAAGCGGCGACTCTGTCAAATCGAGGATCGAACGACCCTTTTGCTTCAATCTTGGACGGATTGGAGGATCGGAAAGGCAACAGTACTCCAGAGTGGCACCGCTATTCGGTACATAAGAGGACACAAAGCGCCATGGCCCTGCGTTCGCATCCCCCCTCCAGGTACTCTGCCTCAATATACACTACAGCTGAGAATCCCTTCTGGGATCCTTCAGACGCACAGCCCGTGCTCCAACAACCGCTACCGCCTGATCCACCCAAGCGTCCCATGAACGCCTATACCGCCGGCTTGCCTACTTTCGATGCAACCTCAAGCAACGCATCACGCGAATCGACTGGGTCCTTCTTTTTCGGCGAACCGGGCCCTAGCAGACCAACCACCGACTTGTTCTCCGAAGTATCTACAGTGTCTGCAGTACCGAGAGTTGGGCGCCAGTCGGATCCGTTTGATTTGGATCGGCCAGAAGTCCTCGGCTTCGGCCGTGTGGGAGGGCGGCAAGTTCGTGCAAGCGTGACAAGAAGCAACTCGCGAACAAAGCGAACAAGCAGTGTCCCCAACTGGGTCAACGTCGACGATGGGCCGTACGATAGAGCAAGCGCAGTTCCTGGCCCATTGAGGAATCCAAGCATCAAAAGGTGACGATGGTGACGGCAGAACCGGGGGCTAGTCCCTCAGCCAAACCATACATTCTGCATCCGCGCAAGTTGCATAACTGCACAAGTTGCGCTGGCCCTCAGATTTTAGATAATCTTTGCAAACGGCCGCCTGGGGTAACGATGGCTGGAAGTATTCCGCGGATCCATCGTGCGCGGCCCTTACATGTTACGAGGGACGATTGACCTATGCTGCATCTTTTCTTCTTCATATCTATCTGTGTCTATTAAATGACCCCTTTGAGCGTTTCCTTTCTGGCTGCTTGACCCTGCCTTCACCTTTGCTGTACCATATATATTTGCACTTGCTCGGCGCGTCTGCTAGCGAGTTACCCAATTAGAATACCCCCGGTCATCCAGACGCTCGCTTTTGAAATCGATATATCGTTAAATCTGCATTTGTTTCCCTTTCCGAAGCCATGTGTGAACGTATTTCGACCACTTGATCAAATTCCGTCGCGTTGTCTACGTACGCACACGCTTCCCTCAAGCCAGTTTAGATTGGGAGCTCCCGTTCAATTGGAAGGAAGTGGGCAACTTAAACGGTCTGTCCCGGACAAGAGGATGTCATGAAGCAGCCTGAAACTTCATGTCCGCGTTAGCATTGGTCAGACTCAAGGTTTGGTTTTGCTGTGCTCTGCTTCCTCTTCCTCTTCTTCTTACTACAACATCGATCACGGAAATGAGGTTGTTGGTCCATTGTCCACTCCATTTTATGCAATGGCTTGGTCTTTCATTTCGTGTCACGTCATCTCGATGGGTATCTCTACGGAAGATTGGGAAACTGAATTACCAGTGACCAGCTTCGCCAATATGAAACTCGGACGCTGCAGAGTCCGACGCATCCAATTGCTGCTACTTGTATGGTTTCTCGTATTCAAATGACTGACGGTCTTGCATCGTTGTTTTTCCTTCGTCCCCGTCCTCTCGAGCCGCAAAACTATCCAGTGACATAGGCAATGCAGTACCTTGAGGGCACTGATGGCCGCAGGGATGTAACCTCGATATATTCCCTTTATTTGAGACATAAACTTCAACTGTATTCGAGGAATCTATTTGTCATGCAAGATCTAAGTACCATCGTCCGCTCCGCAGCGCCACCTAGTAATCATTAGCCCATCGCCGTGGCTCTTCCCCGCCTCTGCAAGCCAAGGATATCCTCACGGCCTCCATTTTCCGACGGTATTCCAGAAAGCCGGCCAAACGCATAACCCTATGCCACCTTCTATGAAAGGTAGACCACCAATTGGCAGATCGATCATGCAGCAGCATAGGCAGGTATTCCATGGCACCGAGGGTTCGCGAGTGACTTCGCACCAGCAACAGAACCCCAGGGCGCGCACTTCCTCTTCAAGAAGAATTCATGCCGTTGATAGTTGCGGCTCACACTAGCCCCCATCTCCGCATCTCGACGTTCATTCTCGCCGCGTGCATGGCGTGTGGAGAGGACGCGTACGGCGCTGCCACCCTCGCACGACGCTGGCCTGGAAACGGCCCATCTAATGGCACGGGTTCTTCGAGGCCCGGTACGCGTAATGTAGGCTGTTTTCGGTCAACGATTGCTGGGGGCTTTAGGGGAAACATGGACAAGGCCACAAGTTGCGCCGGGGAGACACAGATGGCAACAAAAGAGAAATAGACGGAGAAGGAGTGAGGAACACTCACAGTCATGATTCTATGCAACCATCCAATGCTCCAGAGGTAGGTGAGTAGGAATAAGCTGGCGCAGGCGTACACGATGAGGGTCCACGCCGCTGCATCCATCCATGCGCCGTAGCGCAGGTCGGTCTCGTTGGCTGCGTTGTTGTAGTTGTTGTTGTCGTCGCCGTTGAAGTGATCGCTCGATGTTGCTTCCGCGGTTTCTTGGTGTTCGCCTTCATCGACCCTCGAGAGGTGTTCATCCACACATTCGCCGTCTCGAGTGCATACTGCGTTGCTTGCAGGAGGGATGCTCAGTAACCCAGCCAGCATGCTATTGTGGTCGACGTCGCTGGGCGGCGTCACCTCCGACGTGCGCGCAACAGGGCTTCGGAACTCCAGGATATGGAATGCTGTGGGGTGACGAAAGAAGGAACCGGGAATAGGATCGTCATTTTGCGTATGGACCCGGACGGCCGCGGCTGCGGAGAGAGTGGCGCTCGCTGCTGAGAGGGATAAGATCAAGGAGAGACCACGAAACATGCTGATCGACGGGCTCAATGTAAATGCAGACAGAGTAGCTGAACGTAAAGGTGACCTAGAAACGCCGCATCGACCGCAGGCTGGACTCCGAACTGATCAGGAGAGGAAGTTCAGGAGCAAGGACAGATATACGCGTTCGCGGTGGAGAGGTGAGTCAAGAAGAACTTGTAGGGTCGAGCGACAGACACAACGGGAAGTGTGGAATGATAACAGTCTTGAGTGAGTGAAATGATTGAGAGACACAACGGCAGCCATAACGGATCCGTCTGCTTGCTTCTAGCTACTATTGTTCTGCTACCGCCCAACCAAAAATTCGAGAACCAAACTGTCGTAATGTACCCTAAGCTCCGTGTTGAATGCAAAGCTTTTGAAGTGAAATAGTGACAGAACCGAGGAGTGAAATACAACGGACACGCCATGTGAACCACCATGAGAATAGACCAACCGCGCCTGATGACACATTGCAGCGTCATGAGCCCTTCTCCCAGGGAAGGCTGAAGGTACCGACCCAATCCTCGACTTCCCTGCGTAGCTGAACAATATCAGTCACCTCATCACCTTCACCGAGGTATTCTCTGAAGGCAGCAACGCTACCGGGGTTCTTCCTCCCCGTCTTCTCCGCATGGGCTCTAGCGTCCTTGTCAAGCTTCTGGGTAATGCACACCGCCCGGTGAATAATGTCAGCCACTCTGCGGAAGTCCTCTGGTTGGAAGCCGCGGGTCGTCATGGCGGGCGTCCCTATCCGAAGACCTCCGGGCTTCATGGCGGACTTGTCTCCAGGCACCGTGTTCTTATTGCTCGCAACTCCGACCAGCTCTAACACGCGCTCGACACGAGCGCCGTCAACACCCTTGTCTTTCAGGTCGATCAATACTAGGTGATTGTCCGTGCCGCCGCTGACGAGATTGTAACCAAGACCACCGTTCTCCTTGGTATTGCCCAGACGCTCAGCGAGAGCCTTTGCATTTTCGAGGACGGTCTGTTGGTAGGCCTTGAATTCTGTGGTCTGCGCTTGCTGGAGGGCTACGGCCAAGGCGGTGATGGTATGATTGTGAGGTCCACCTTGATGTCCAGGGAACACGGAAGCATTGATAGGCCCTTCCAAGTCGTACTTCTCTTCCACACCCTTCTTGTCCACGCGTCTGACCCCTTTGCGATAGAAGATCATGGCTCCACGCGGGCCACGGAGAGACTTGTGGGTCGTGGTGGTAACGATATCGGAGTGGGGGAACGGGGAAGGTATGACACCAGCAGCTACCAGCCCAGAGATATGTGCCATGTCTGATAGCAGATATGCTCCCACCTGGTCGGCGATTTTCCGCATTCGTTCGTACTCGATTAGCCGGCTATAAGCGGATGTGCCCGCAACGATGAGTTTGGGGCGATACAGCAGAGCCAATTCCTCCATTTTCGCATAATCGATAAGTCCAGTTCTCTCATCCAGTCTATAAGGTAGTGTCTCGAAGTACTTTGAAACGGCGGAGATTTTCTTGGTCGGAGTCTGATAGCCATGGGAGAGGTGGCCGCCATGGGGAAGATCAAGGCTCAGGATCCGGTCATGTGTGTCGAGGACTGCGGAATAAGCGTAAAGGTTTGCGGGGGACCCAGATAGAGCTGTTTCGGCGTGTCAGTAAGCCAGCAATGGAGCAAATCAGGCGACGCACGCTGCACATTGACTCCCCATTCATCTTCGCTCAGCCCAAATGTCTTTAGAGCTCTCTGTTGGCAGAGACGCTCGGCTTGATCGATGTATTCGTTTCCCCCATAGTAGCGAGCTCCGGGGTAGCCTTCGGAGTATTTGTCTGCAATCCACGTGAGCTCGGGTCCACGGTGACCAGGACTTAACCACGGACGCACTCTGCATAACGCTACCGAGGGCGTCGAGGACTGCTTGAGAAGTGAAATTCTCCGAAGGGATGAGGTTTACAAAGTGTTTCTGCCTATTCTTCTCCTGCAATTGGGTCAGAATCGCTAGCAGATAAGCTTCCCAGCGGGCAAGAAGTACCTTTTCGATGATGTTGTAGACGGTTGGGTCAGCATCTTCCAGGTCTTCAGATAGAAGCTACAGTCTCTCAGTACTCGCAGCTCACACAAGAGGCTCAAGACTCGGTCGCACCTTTTGCTGGCTCTCCAGGGACGAAGCGTATCCGCGCCATTGGGGTCGTCGTACTCGAGCATGGCTCTGGGCAAGCAGGAAAGCGGGGCGGCGACACCGACCAAGGGAGGCTCGCCAAGCTGACATGATAGCCGCGATGTTGGAGAAAGCAGGTTGACGGGTGAGCGGTGGAAAAGCTCCAGATATGAATCAAAAGTCCGACTGCCACACCTATCCACGGGCTTTTCCCGCCGGGGACCGGAGTGATACATGGAAGCATGCATGGTGATGTGAGTGGCCGTCGGCATCTTAGTCAGCCTCCCCACAAGCCAAGCCAAGCTTGGGACGGACTGGTATTTATTCCGTCGCAGTCCCAACCTCGTCTGATTCCTCACAACTAACATCCGACGTGTAAGTGAGCCATCCTCATCTCCTCCTTTGCATTCCGAGCATTGTGGGAATCAAATCTGACGGCGAGACAGGATTCAACGCCTTTGCGACAGTCGCATGCTCACCCGGCTGGCTTCTGCCGGCTGGCGTGGGTGCTGTTGACTTGCCCCGGGCACCTCACCACCCAGAGGGGACACGAAATGGGAATGATCGGAGACAGTTGTGAAAGGGCCTGCGGCCGACCGTTTGCGACACGCCGACGTTATGGACGGACGCTGCAGGCCACCGGTGCCGCCGGCGTTTGTTCGCAATGCACTGTACAGTGGTGGAGACGGGCCGGAGCGACACGCGAGTGTGGGCGAACCATGTCTTGTTCTCCAGTGTCTCGACGCTCGTCTCTCTGCACTCTTAGGTAGTATAGCTTTTTCGAATGTATCAGACAGTTTCTGCCTCTCACCGAGTAATTGTCTCGTCTCTCAGCATGCCGTTGTTCTCAATGCCTCCGTCACCTCCTCTCTCCTCTCCTCTCCCTCCCTCTCTCCCTCCCCAAACACCCGACTATTGACTATTTCGCCGGCTACCCGCCGCCACAACCCAACCAACCGCCTTCTCGCAACTTGCATCCTGCGACCTCCAGGGCTGCGACTTGCCTCCTGCCTGTTGCCGCTTCCTCGCCTAGGCCTACTTAGGTAGCGCGCGAGGTGGTGCCTTCGCGCCTGCCTCAACGCGCCTGCCTCGCTATTGTGCCAAGACCCAACGCTACTCACCTACCTCACCTACCCACCTACCCGCCTACCTAAGTACTTCCTCTTCCTCTCTCTTCCTCTCATCACCATCCCTTCGATTGCTACGCGCACTCGGGTCCTATCCCGATCCGCAACCCCTTTTGTCGTTCTACGGCACCCGGCAATCCAATCTCCAAACCCGGAAACCCGTCTGTTGCCGCTTCAAGATGCCTCCTCCTCGCCGCCAAAGCAGCCCGGAACTAGGCAATCTTGCCGTCGGCCTACAGTACAACAAGAACGGTCGACCAATCCGACGCCGAAAGAGGAGAGCTGACCATGACTTTGTCGATTCATCCATCCTCCAGCTGGGAGAGGATGACATCACTGAAGCACCGTCCGACGATGAAGATACTGAAGCACCCAGGAAAGGAAGGAAGAGGCAGAAGCGTTCCCCCTCACCGACCCCTCCTCCCCTCAATCCCGTCATATACAATGAGGACCCCGACGAGCCGTCTGACAATGAGCGGATGGGAGGCTGGTCCGCTTGCAAACTGCCCAAAGCGGCCATCGAACTCACTTTCAACATACCCTTGGGTTTCCATGGTCCACTGGTTGTCAAGATGGATAAAGACATTCTAAACGCCCTTCAGAAAACCTGCTGTGACGTTGGCCCGTTGCCCCAGAGAGCGTCCAGTACTGCTATGACACGGGCAAAGACGAAGAAGCCGCATGGCTTCAAAGTTCTCCCAGCAGAGCTCCGTAATAAAATCTACGAGATGTTGTTTGTGGCTGATGGCACGCTCAGTTTCCACAATCCGCATAACTTCTGTAGATCAGCCCAGTTTTTGCGTACCTGCAAACTGGTATGGAGAGAGGGATGCAGCGTGTTATATGGCCAGAACAAGTTTGTGTTCCACCGAAACCGAAATCAGAGAAGCCCCTTCTGGGAACCCAATCCGAAGGAGATCGGCTACCAGGACTTCCGCTTGTTCTTGAAGACAATTGGGCCAGACAATCTCGCCTGCATCCGCGACGTTACGATCCATCTAGAGGACGCGGGCCAAGCTGCGACACCTTACCTCTCTAGCCAGGAAGCCCGACGCTACGTCAACGATGGCCACTTGATCGACTGTCTACGCATCCTTCGGTCGGCTGAACTTCGAAAGCTTACCTTGTACTTCTCCGGTCGGCGGTCCCTGGCGAGGACCGATGTCAAGTTTCTCAGCCATCTGGAGAGGGTGAAGGCGGACGAGGTGGATATCCCATTCAGGTTCCACAGCTATAGCCACCAGAAAATCCACTTGGATGTCGAGAAGGAACTGGTCGAGCTTATGAAGAGGAAGAAGAAGCTGTACCCCGAGCTTCACTGATGCGGCCTGATGAGTGGTCTGTTGCGATGGGCTCGGTTTCTAGTGGGGGATGCCTATCATGTAATACGTGTCCATTGGGCATTAAGGTTGAGGGATTGATGGGGTCGACTGGCGCGTTATGAACAAAGGGTGCTCCACGGCTACGGGAATAACCGGCTGGAGACAGTCATGTAATTGATGTGCAAATATGTTAACTTCTGAAAGGTATCCTGGAATCGACTCTGCCAACGGTGACTGCCCGTTATTGTAATGATAGAAACGAATATTTCGAAAGCTGCTGTATTGCATGTGGAAACAGTAATTGACTCCCGAGCCATTATCCGCGAAGAATACTGCGGCTTTTCACGTCCGACTGAACATCCGGCTGCAATTCCTCTGTAGGTGGAATTACCTACCCGGCACAAGCTAACTGGCTACGACTTAATAATGCGACAGGTAGAATTTCTTTCTAAACATACTACTATACGTAGAGGCCGCTACAAAGCTAATTGCAGGACCTCCTATATTGCTGCGCCTGCTAGCTGTTTAAATTGGATGTGGAAAACAGCAGTACAGAGGAAGTGCAGGGGGTGTTCAGTCGGATGTGAACAGAGGCTGTAGGCAAGGGATGCAGGCAATTTATACCAAACAAGTACTCACACCGACGAGGTTGGGTTGCAGCTATTTGCCCGAACTCTGGCTATAATAACGTGAAAAATGCGAGCGTCGTACAACCGAGCCGTGAGGATTTTCATATAGATCAAGGAAACCCTGCGCCTGTGCAAAGTGCCCGATTCCTGGGTGCCGGAATGTGATAGATGACAACCCATGCCAGCTTTTGATTAAATCACAACGCAGCACTTGCATGTAGACAAGCGAGCTGCGAGCACGGGAGGATCTCTTAATTTATGAGTGTGCAAGGATGTGCTTGTGACGGGGTGAGGGTGGAGCGTTGGTTCATCGTTCAGACCCTGGCTGGACACAGTCCTGCTCATCCTCGCGCTCTTCTCTGCTTGAAGTCCTCGATCCACGTCGAGGACTTCGCCTTTGGCAACACACTGATCCTGACCAGGCCATCCACGACCTCGACTTTGCCTGACCCCAGGACCTTGCCCAGCGCCATCTTCTTGCCTGCCTTGATAAGCCCACCCGCTGCCGTCTCCATGTACGCTTCCACACCCTCCACGGTGTATTCCTGTTCCGCGTCCCATGGCAGCGGGAATATGTACTCCAGGTGCTGGTCCAACCTCTCCTTCTCTGAGAAGGCTTTGACAAAGTCGGACTGGGAATGCGCCGGGTAGAGTAGCAGCACAGGGAACGACAGCTCGGAGCTCGGATCGAGAGGGTTCGCCAACTTGACGGCCGCATCCTCCAGATCCGGCGCTTCGTCTGTACTTCTCGTCAGGATCCCTCTGCTCTTCAATGCAAGACTCAGCGTCGCCTTCTCAGAGGCTTTACGCTCTTCCCGCTCTCTACGAGCTTTGGCCTGCGCGTCGAGCTGTTTCTGGCGGTCGGAGATCTGGGTCTTGAGGGCTTGGAGGGCGGTGTTGGAGGGGTCTAGTGCGAGGCCACGGGTGCAGGCGTCCAGGGCTTCGGGAAGTTTGTCGAGAGAGAGGCAGGCGAGCGTGGAGCGGTAGTAGGCTTTTATGTTGGAGGGGTTGATGCGGAGGGTGGAGGCGCAGTCGGAGATGCAGGAGCGATAGTTCTCTGTGGAGTCTATCAGTATGATTCTGGGATAGAGATTGACACGAAGCTTCTGATATAACTAAATTGACCCTGCAACATGAATGAGGAAGAGGCCCAGATAGACTGATACTTGGAATTGAATTGAAAAACAAAAAGAAAAAAAATTGAACAGACGCGTGGTCAGGTGACAGAGGCGTGACTTGAGAATGTTGAAATTGAGACATCATGAGTGAACAACAAATAAATCAACATACTCTTCATCAGGTTACACAGCGCGCGGTTCACGTAGCATGCCTCCTCGATCCTCCTCTCCTTGTCCTTCTCCGCCTCCTCGTCAAATTCCACTTCAATCTTGGTCTGCTGATCGACATCGTCGTCGGGCTTCGTCTGCGGCCCATGTAAGGCTGCAATGGCCTTGTCATAGAACTCCTTTGCGTCGGCCCACTGCTTTGCTCTTGCGCAGTCATTCCCCTGCTGTCTGAAGTTCTCGGCAACCTCAGCCCGCGTGCCTTCATAGGCCAGCGCCTTGAGCGCCTCCAGAGCAACGTTCTCGCCGCCTTCGCCGTCCGTCTCATCCAAGGTGGTCATGAAGAGGGGCAGCCGGTTCATCTCTCGCAGCACGTCGTCGGCGCTCTGAGACTGGATTTCGGCCATGGCCGGAGGGAGGTCTGCGGATGGCCGCGGGGCGCCATTCTGTGCTGATTGACTGGCCATGGTGTGTTTGATCTCTGAGGGACTGCGAACTGCCGTGTGCCTAGTATGTTAGTAAGGATTTTTGCTTTGAGCTTCACCATGAATTCCGAAGATTTCCAATGCCGTCCAACCTTGGAAACCATGGTGCGCTTATCGATAAGAGCACGTGATGTCCAATTGTACCCAGCCCGCCCGGCAAGTGTTAGATGACCTGCCACTAATTAATAGATAACTTAACCTGCTACCTAGTCGCCTGCGCCGCGGTTAACGGCCTCTAACTAGCTGCAGCCCCTGCCTTAGCTAAGTGCTTATCGTCCTTAGCAAGGAATATAAACATTTACCCTCCCTTTCTTATATTTTTACCCTTCTAGCTATAAAACTTAGGAAATAAACTTTTGTAAATTTAATTACTCTAAAAAGAGCAGCTTTAAAATTCTAATTCTACCTCCTAACAATTTAAAATCTAGCTTAAGGAGAGTGCGTTATAGCAGCGTAAAAGTAGCGACTTAGTAGCAGGTTATCTATTAATTAGTGGCAGGTCATCTAACAGCTGCCAGCCCGCCCGTGGACTCCTTTTGAAAGCTGGGCAGACACTTTGCCAATCTCGACCTGTCTACCACAAGAATAGCTCATCCACCCCACTCGATTGTTCTCCTGGCGTTCCATCATCCGGTAGATATACAAATCCTCTGACAGGTACAGTACCTGGCCGAGCCAATGTTGCCAAGCGGCGAGTGAGGAGGAAATGAAGTCCAAAGTGGGAACCTTGGAATTGCTGTCCACGGTCATGCACTTTCCATTAATTTGAGCCACCAGACTCATCCCTCCGGGAATCTGTATGTACTTGTACTTGTCGGTACACAGTACGGAGTACGTCCCTTGTTTACCCCGAAGTCGTCGACGAACTTGAGCCAGGTGAAACCAGAAACTCACTCGAGGAACACGTCAAAAAGCACCTAAAGCAGGAGCCCGAATGCCAATCAACTATAAAGGAGCAGGCGGGATTTCTCCAGCACAGGACGAAGAGAGGCCGTGACTCTTTCTGGCGCATGGTGGACCCCACGCATGAAAGTCAGAAGCCTGGCGTTCATGCGGCCGCATCGACCAGGCGATTGCATGAAAGCGCACATGGTTCGTATTTCTTTTCCCCTGTGCATCATTTAATAAGTTATTCCAGCAGTCTCCCAGGCTCTCGACGCGGGTATCGCGCAGGAGAGGCACTTGTTTGAGTCCCGTCGCCGACACCAGTTCTGCTCGGAGAAGAATCAACAGAGGTCAGAGAGGCGGAGCAGGCGGATCCCGGGAAGCTCTGGAGTGGATGAGACATGGCTGTCTACCAAACAAAGCCATGCGAAGCGAGCAGAAGAGACGCAGGGTAGGTAAGTACCGATGGTAAACGGACGGCGGCCTTGAATGGTTCGGAATTGGCGCTCACCGTTCGAGGCTCTGGTAAGAACAACGGCACACGGTTGGCTCGCGGTGGCCGTGTCCCCGTGTCCCCGTGTCCCCGTGTCCCGCGTCGGCCCAGGGGGACTCGATTGATCGCGGCGGTGTTGCTAGCGTGGGAAACATTTGGGGCCTTCTGAGGGTCGCCGTCCACGGTCAACCGTTCTGTTGGGTTTCATGCATCCGAGCTCGGGTCCGTGTGCAAAATTTAAGTTACTTGTCATTGCAGAGAGAGTGACAGTCTCCAGCAGTTGCTTGCTCGACGACGGCGGTGAATGTGGTCCTCCGCCTCAATCCATGTACATGTACTCGGCACTGTCCAGTACATTATTTGATGAGTTACGGAGTACAGAGGACGACACTATCTCCTTGTATCCATCACCAGCCAACCGAGGGGGACGGGGGACGGTCTTCCCAAGCTGGCGCGTTTCAGGAGCTTCTTTCCATTTCCCATTTCCCACCTCGGGCTGCGATTGGCTAGTTTTGGTCGACTTCCCGCTTTGGCCCCGACGAATGAGAGGGCGCGTTGAGCAAAAAGGGGCGCTGCGTGGAGCCAATCAGGCTACAGGCCCATCTCCTTCTTTTTCCCGTTGTGCATCTGCATGCGCATGTGCATGTGCATGTGCATATGCATTGCATGACGCTCCTCTCCTCTCCTCTCCCGAATCCGCATGGCCAAGGCCAAAACCCACGGCCAGCCGGGGAAATGCCCATTCGCCACCTGGGCAGCTCCTCCAGGGGGCCTTCGTGCACTGTTGCCAGCCCCCCCATGGCGAAGCTCCGACCTTTCCTCCTCGAGCTCGTCTTGAGGCCCTCGACCCCCTCGAGGACAAATGCCCCCAGCGACCTCGAGTTTCTCCTCCTACTCTCTTCTACCCTGCCGTCTCGTCTTTTGCTTGTCTGTTGCCCTTCGTTCCTTATTGCTAGCCTTGGTCTATTCTTGGCCCTACTTCCCCCGAGAGGACATAGGAGAATACCCCCTTGGACTCCGTGCGAGCACCCGCCGTGCCCTTTCTTAATCCTTTCTTTTGGCGTACTATCGTTAATCCTAGCGCTGCCTTGCTATGGCCGTCCATTAAAGCATTGCTGAAGACTCCCGATAGAGTTTACTTGCGTCTTCTTCGGTTCGAGCCTCCATTAGCTCGCCTGCTACCTAGACTCTGGTTCAAATTCGACCCGAATCTCCTGTTCCGAGTTCGAGTCGCTTGCTTTGTTTGGAGTCTGAACCATCAGATCTGAGAACCTACCCTTTTCCCTTCGACTTGCGCTGCGCCCCGTCACCGGAGTCTGCATCTCACTATGTTCGTTAATGGCGACGCCTCTTGTACCCTTATTGGTGAGCTGACTTGGTGCAGATCGGCATGCGTTGAATCCTGCATAATCCCAGAGCCACTTTCGGCGTGGTTCGAAGTTTCAACCCAAGGACTTATATACTTCACCCGATACAGCTACTCGCCTCGTTCCCTCTACAGACACCATGGCCACCGACTACTTTTCCGACAACGAGCTCTTTGTCTCGAACCAGCCCCTGCCTTCGCCCTCCGACACCCCCTATCATTCCTTGTCACCGAGGACATCACAATATGGCACTCCTTCCACCGACATGCCCAGCTCGCCAGCTCCCTTCCCTCCAGATCCTGCAGAGAACTCGGAAGACGTCTCCATACTCGATCCTAGACGCTTCACTCCTACGTTGCACGCTTCGCTGGTCTCGGAAATCCTGAATCTACGTCGCGAGTTGGATGCCAAATACAAGTCCATCGAAGAGCTGGAAACGAGTCTGCATAAATCACGGGCCGAGAATGATGCCTTGACAAGCCAATTGTCTGCCAATGCAAAGGAGACGAGAGCAGTGAAGCGCCAGCTCCAGCAATTCGAGAGCGGCACTCTCTCTGCCCTTGAGGCGCTTGCTGGCGAACGGGACAAGGCCAAAGATGCGAATGATGATCTGAAGGCGAAACTGGAGGCGCTCCAGAAAAAGCTGCGATCCCAGGAAGACGACTCGACGCGTGTCCACGACATGTGGGCGCGGGAAAAGGAGGCTTGGGCAGGTGAGAAACGGCTGCTGGAGCGACGTGTGCACGTGTCTGAGAGCCGATTGAAGATGCTATTCGAAGAGCTGGCTCTGCGCGAAACCATTCAAGAGGGAGCAGAATCACAGAGTGAGGGTGAGGACATGACACGCGACAGCGGCGTGGGCCACGAGAGTGATACGGCCAGCATCCGCTCATCACCTCAGCGAAGACCTTCCACTCGTATCGCACGCCATTCCCGCAACTTGAGTAATGGCAGCTACCGCAGTATCGGTCGAGGCTACCGCATGTCCCTCATGAGCGGGACTGGTTCCGAGGGACATGGCCGTTCCAACGGACTTAGTTTGGCGGATGAGTTGATCTTCGACGAGGAAGAGGAGGATTTGGACGGACTGGAACTTGATTCGGATGACTTTCCGGAGAACGAGATGCGGGCGAGAAGAGCACTCGAGTCACGTCAGTCCATGCGCCAGGATGAAAAGGCCAAACGGATTCTGGGTCTCAGCTTGGAGAACCAAGCGACCAACACGGAGCTGCCTTCATCCAGTCAACCCGATTCGCCTGGGATAAACCGCATGGCGACGGCGACCTCCATGACCATCACAGCCCATGACGCCCACTTGATCTTCCCCCCGACGAAACCAATCTATGTCGATAGAGGTGTCCAACCATCCCCTCCGCCTTCTCCAGCACGCCCGGAATCTAGCCAATCATTGAGCTCCTTCGCGCCTGGTAAATCAACAGATCGGTTGAGCTTATCCATGGAAGTCGAGGCCAACCAGAGCCGAAAACGTATCTCGGTAGTTCCAAGCTGCCCGGAAAGTGAGCAATTGCAAGCGACTCCACCGTCGTCAACTGGAGTGTCAGCGGCAAAACCAGAGGAGCGCCCGCTGAGTCCTCCCGCCACGCCAAAAGTTGTCGAGCCCTTGGCTCAGCCTGTTTCACAAAGGACGGAGCCCCCCGACGTCACCTCTGTGTCCACCCAGACCGAGCCTGAACCCCTGCCGGAGATTCCATTGCGCAGCCCCCGGCGAGCTCCTCCGCCCGTACCAATAACTGTTCCCTCCATCGCAATCCATGCGCCAACTTCTGCTCCACCTTCGCCAAAAGACCCCGTCCTCCCACCCGGAACGAAGAGCGTTGCTACTCAAACCTCTGGGGATCTGAGGCAGGATGTACGCTCTGTGGGCATTCAAACCGATCCCATCCGGGTCGATAAGAGGCTCATCAAGTTGCCACCGCATCTTCTACCCTCCGCTATCTCTTCGAGGCCTGGAACGCCAGAGGTTAGACAAGGAGCTAAGCCGGCGGCAAGTACAAGCAACAAGGAACCACAGTTGCCCCGTTCGCAATTAAAATCAACGGAGAAGGAAACCACCATGATCTCCACCCGCCAGGATCTCATGGCACTGCTCGAGGATGCTGGGGACAAGAAGATTGAGGATCGGTATCCAGGCAACAATGACAACGGTCCTTTGGCGCGTGGCACCGAAACTGTGCTCAGTCGGCCATTCCGAACAAGCAGTTTGTTTGCGGGATTCGATGGCCCCTCCTCCGACGAGGAAGACAATACGGCCGACGTGAATGAAGACGATTTCCGGTTGCCACATCACCCAAGTTCGATGTTGTCGTCGCGCAATGTCAAGAGTGGTCGCATATTCGCGAATCCGCCAACGCCAGTACCGGAGGACAAGGAAGTCGATTCCACCTGCCGCCCCTCGGAAGATTCTTTGGGTTCTGGTAAGTATTCTTCGGATCGCGGCTCTTTCGACAGACCTTCCAGAGTGGGCAAGCATGCGCGTGGCGGCCCGGTTCGTCAACCAAGCATTCGCCGTTCGGCGATGATACAAAATGGAACCGCTGCACATGTTAGGTCGCGCAGCCCAAGCTTGACCAGTAGCGCCTCTTCGCAACTGGTTGTGAAGCCGCCATTCCCCGTCCCCACTCGCTCGAGCTCCAGGAAAACTCCCTTGAGCAAGAGTGAGGGGTCCCAGAGTCCGACCCCGAGAGGCAGTGGGCCGCTTCCCGGGCGACGTCCATATGGCATGCGTCCGCACCAGCGCAAAGACAGTCTACGGAAGGTGAGGTCGGCCGCTGTGATACAAAGAGGAGGCCGGACCAGGAGCCGTTCACCACCCCTACCTGCCACCCCTGTGATACCTCCTAGCCCACCGCCGCCTCCTCTCCCTATGGATTCTGTAACTGGCCATCGCTTCGGGCATCGCCCCCAACTGTCCACTCAGACGTACCACACAGCGAGTAATTCGGTGGGAAGTGGAAGTTACCAGGCAAGCGTGGTCGACTCCATTGCTGCGACCATGGTCGGGGAGTGGATGTGGAAGTACGTCCGCAAGCGTAAGGCCTTTGGCGGCCCCGAGTCACCCGTAGACGTTCGCTCCGGGGATGACGGCTCCGCTCTCAATGGCAATGGAGTGCGCCATAAGCGGTGGGTTTGGATCTCACCATATGAACGCTCAGTGCTTTGGAGCAGCAAGCAGCCGACCACAAGTTCGGCCCTGATAGGCAAGGGCGGTCGCAAGCGTAAGTGAAATTGTACCACTACTCTATGCTAGTGACGGCAGTGAATCTAACCGCCCATCGCAGTCAGTATCCAATCCGTCCTTGATGTTGCAGACAATACCCCAATGCCTCGGAACGCGGGCGCGCAGAGCCTGTTCAATCGGTCCATTCTGATATTGACCCCAGCCCGCGCTCTAAAATTCACGACCGTCTCCCGAGAGCGCCATTACCTTTGGCTCACTGCGCTTTCCTTCCTGGCCCACTCCAGCACTCCAATTCCTGAACTGGGTCCGGTACTCCCTGTGCCCCCTCAAATGGAAGAACCCTCCCACAGACCTCTGGGAGCTACGTTGCGCCGCTCTCATGTGCGTGACTCTGTTCGGCTCGCAAAGAACAAGGCGAATCCCGTCGCGCATCGGGAGAGACTGGAAGCCATGCCAGACCTTTATCCCAGGGCTCGACAAGATCGAGTTGTTCCGGACTCGGCAGATCCTCCTAGTATTCCCCGTGGTCCTTATCACGGTCGAAAACGAAGTTCAACTGGTCCGGGTGCGCCCCCACCTAGCGTTCCCTTCCGCAGCTTTTCTCATCAAGAGGTGCCCTCCATATATTCGTCCGGCTCTTCGGATCTGTATAATATGATGCCGCCTTCTGTTCCTTCATCTGTGTATAATCCACAAAGCGTCATGGCCAGCACCAGAACTTCCGAGGCGAGTACCTCGACGCGACAACACTTCTTTGACTCTATGGGGACTGTTCGGATGGAAGCTTTCATCGACAACTCCTTGAACGACCGATATGGCACGGCGTCTAGGTCTCACGTGGGGCGCCGTCGAGGGAATAGTCAGTGGAGCCGGACCACGAACGACACCCAGCAACATGCTGGCCTTTACGAGGATTTTCCCCACGAACGTATGGATCCGTTCCGTGGGTTTTGATCTTGAACCCTCTGTCACCCCTGATCGGTTCTCTCCGTCGATGAACTGGAAAGCGCCTTCCAAAACGCGTCATCTCATTCGATTTACTACGTGCCACTGTTTGAATGAGTGGTGTGAAAGTGTACATGATGATCTTTGTACATCTTGGCCGTGGACCTTTGTCTAGAATCTCCTAGCGCCCGAGCGCGAACAGCATTACTATTTCTTTAATTTTCTCTGTTGGTCCTTTCTCCACTTTTTGGGCATATATTGGCCGACTTCGATACCCTTTTGTTGCAGAGTTGTAGCGGGAGATTGAGTCGGAAGGGGGCAACTCACGTGCCCGGCGTGGGTTTATAGTGGAATTGTTAATGCAACTGGCCTTCCAGGCTGACGAATACGTATTCTCTACTCGTTTGGAACTCTTGACGCTAGCTGTGACCCTCGACCTGGTAGCTCCCTCGCGACCACGACCCATTGCGCGCTTCGAATTAGTAGTCTATCTAGTAGGGAAGGTGCCGTTTGGTGAAGACTAGGCCGGGGACTGCTGAGAGTTCACCGCTTCGCCAAATTGTCACCGAACGCCCGAATATCCACTCTCAGCTCCCCTGCCATGTGCTAAGGTCACCGTCGCTATGGAAAACAGGAGAGCGTGTTGGGTGTTTGCCTTGAGAGTTGCATGGCAGGGACGGCCATTTCTGTCACACAGTTTGGCCCGACTGACGTGAATGCAAAATGGACACACATGAGCTCTCGCATAACACATATATATATCCTCTTCTCTCCACGGATTGATCCCTTTTGGCTGCGTGTATTAATTCACGGTTCAACAACGAGGGTTTCTGGAGTCCTACCATACAATTCAACACCATGTATTTGTCCCTAGCAGCGCGACTTTCGCTAACCATACTCTTGGTCGCCACTCTATCCCAAGCCCATGCGACCACCATTGCTACCGCATCCTCCATCACCACAGCGCCATTTCCAGAACCCAGTACGGTGTGGGTCACTGTGACGGACTACACCACCGTCTACGTGCCCAGGACAAGGTACCGTTCGAGGTTTCCGACGAGAACAAGGACAAGGACAAGGACAAGGACGAGAACAAGAACAGGAACAAGAGCAAGATACCACACGAGGTTCCCAACGCTCGTCCCACCGAGGAATACTACGCGGATCGAATGTAGGACGGTGCCGCCTTCTACGCCGCTGATGGCGGAAACGGAAACACGGAGCACTGTCACTGCTTCTTGGGCACTGCCCACCGCATCTTTCGCTTCCGCCCAGTCATCCTCTCCGTTCGCTACCCCAATGGGTACAGTTGCTGCTTCTGCCAGGGGCCATGGCATCCTAACCATGCTCACAGGATTCTCATACCCGTCCCCGCGTCCGGCGACCCGAGCCGCCATGCAGACGCACACGCAAAAAAGACAGCCGGAGGAATGGGGGCAAGAGGAGGACCATGCGGGCCATGCGGACCATGCAGCGGTGCAAGGCGGGTTCATGGACGATGGCATGCCGTTTTACGCCTCTCCGGTGATAACCACGACTTCCGTCCGCCAGCGCCAGGGACCAACAAAGACGAGCGACGGGCCGTGGAAGCAGAGGGTGACGCAGGGAAATGGCGGCATGTGGGCGGAGGGCGTTCAGCACTGAAGATGCCATCTGGAAGGCGATCCAACTCTGTTCTTTTTGGGGGTTTCTTTTCTTGGACTCGGGTACAGTTAGTTACTCCGGGTCAGGTAGACGTACGTCATACGCTGGTGGCTTGTCAACGAGGGTTTCCTACTTTTGGAACGGAGGTTGAGGCGGTTACAGCTTAGTAGGGTCATCATATCCTCAAAGGCGCCTTGCAGTGTATGCCGGTATTCCTGGAGAGCCAGGAAGTATAGAATTCAAGCTTCACATATTATTCACTAGATCTCTCCATACTAATTGTATGCACATCGTCGGCGTAAGAATCTCTTTGAAGGAAGGGGGGGGGGGGGAAGATCATGATATTGATCATTTGTCGCCAGCTTCGGGCGTCGAATATCAGAGCCGGGAAGAGAAAACGCCAGACCGAGAACAATTTGAGCAACAAACCACCAAGCCCAGGTCCCGAAACGCATCCCAGGCAGTCATAGGGCCAAAGTAAACCGCAATGCACAAGGCTATCCACCCGCCATCTCGTGAAGTCATGATCCCTTCAACGCCAACCCATTCAGCCGATTCCAAAACTGTCTCGTTGCAAGCTTCAGGCCGCTACAGCCGCAATGGCGGCATCCTCGACGCGAGGGTGCGGCGGGACGCTTTTCCAGAACAAGCGAGCTTGTCGAAGCACGCGTCTTCGCGCTCGAAGCGCTTGGCTGTCGTTCCGGTTGGAGGCCCACAAGAGTCTTACAGCTGCTCCTGTTTCGCAATTTGTCCTGCTCCGTGGGCCTCGCCTCATGCTAATCGATACCGTGTTGGCGCTTGAGGTTTTCTAGATTGGCCTGGCGTTCGGCCAAGTCTGTTTGCGCCTTGATCATCTTGTCGGGCTGGTGGTATAATACTGAAGTACGTCAGTCTCTGAACCTAAACGCGGCAGCGGGGATGGTGTGATCCGTACCGACTAGGTAGCGGTTCTGAAAGTTGAAGCCGTTGAGCTTGTCGCAGGCCTGTTTGGCGTCCATTACGTCCTCATAGACGACGAACGCGGTGCCTTTTGTGTTACTGGCAATACCCTGGCGAATTTGGCTATGAAGCATCAGTTGCATGAACATGCATATGGGGATTTCCATGTCTGAAGACGAGGCGAGGCGCAGACGTACCGCACAGGACCGAACTTGCCGAATAGGTCGAAGAGCTCCTCGGCGGAGACGTTGAAGCTATCTTTGATGTTAGAATCGAAATGCAGGGTGTGGAAGCAGCGAAGAACTTGCCTCAAGTTCTTGACGAATAGAGCTCTGCAGGAAGCCGGTTAGCGAACATGTTGAGCCATGGTGGATGCTCGCGTGCACCAAGCCTTACCGATTTACTTCTGGGGCAAGCTTTCCGCCGCGACTCATACTTTGGCGACTGATGCGAAACGGGAGGAACGGAGGTGTTGCTGCAGAGCGAGGATCCACGTGTGGTGGGTGGGGGTGGGGAGTGTAGTGGTGAACTGGCGGAGGAGGTGTCGCGGAGGCGGAGAGGGCATGGGCAAGGTCCCTGACTAAGCAGCTAGTCACGTGGGATGATGTGGATGAGTAAGCGGCTTCTGCGGGAATCATGATCTATGCTGGCAGAAGGGCTGCTGCGGAGCTGGACAACGAGCGCCGGGGAGCTTCTACAGGTGGACGGAGCTGTGGCAGCTCTCACCATATAGTCGTGCAGAACAGAAACAGACGGCGAGGACAATTGCGCCGCTGGAGCCCAAGCACACAGCGTGCTCGAAACTGCGAGAGACCGTTACCCAAGTCACAGATCGGCCGTGCGCCTTTAACAAACCACCCACCTCCATCCGCATCCGCACCCGTGCTCTGCTCCCTCGACATCCATTCCCCTTCGCTGTCCCCGTCCGCGCTGCTCTCTCCCCTCTTCCTTAGTCCGAGACGCCCTTCCACGCCCTTCCACTTCGTCGGCGACTTGTGCTGGCCCAGCGGGAAGCGCTCGGCGTCTGGCGCGCCGCTCCGCTTGCTCTCTCCCGTCTGCGCGCTCTTGACTTTCTCTCCGCACGCGCCCCGCTGCACCTCCGAAGACCACACCCTCCATCCATCCTCCCACCGTCGCGCCCACGCTCGCTCGTCCGGCCGCCTCCCGGCTTCTCGACGTCGCAGGCTATGCTGTCTCTCGCCCGCTGCTGCATTGTCTGCTCCCGACGCGCCGCCGCCCCATAGAGCGGTTGAGACCTACTTCTGCAGACCACATCCTCCGATACTCCGCATACCGCCCCCGCCTACGTTGCGCGCCAGCAACTATCGCAATGAACGTGTCTGGGTTCAAGGTGCAATCTCCGAACTCCCCGCTGCCCGCCAATGCTCCTCAGCGACCTGGTTACGAGCCCATTTCGCCCATCCTCGCTCCCAGCAACGCGCCAGCGGCACACCCCGCCAGCGGCAATGAACACCTCCCACCACCCAGCGCCAAAGAGGTGAAAACCGCCGAGAAGCTCTCCTTGCGTAACGATAGAAGCATACCTTCTCCCCCTCATCTGCAGTCGCCGCCAGCTGCTCCCCGTGAGCCACTCCACTCTGCACCACTACCGCCGTCGAAACCGCGGCTCTCATCCGCGCTTGCATCACCCATATCTGCTCTCCAAAACGCCGCCCCCCCTTCCGCTGATGCCAGCCCTATTTCCCATTCGAGTCATCCCCCGCGAGACCGCATCTCTCTTCCGACCGAACCCGCTCCAGCATATGATGAACGCGCACGCAAGCATGGCCACGCGGAACCGGGGACCGCGTATGGCGACCGGACGCCAAAGCGTGCTCGTTCCAACGTCTTCTCTCATGATCAACAACGTCCGAGGCCTGCGACCAGTCACAGCCCAGGATGGTCGGACAACGCGCTGCGAACGACGGATAATGGCGTCCTTGCCGAAGACATCCAAGCTAAGAGGTTGTCGGAAGCCCAGCTCCTGCTTGACTTTGCAGCCAATGCGCCATATGCGGTCAAGCCGCATGTCCCGTTGCCAAAAAGGTGGAGCATTCCATATTCAGAGACGTCTGGGCAGCGTATCATACATGGAATGCCACCTCCGAGCGATGGCTATCTCCCGGTTCTGTATCATGAAGCCCAGACCAACGAGCACCTGTCTCCGAGGACCTCGCAGCTAGAACGACACCGTTGCGAAGCAAACGCTCTTGCTGCTTCCGCGCAAGAGTCAGCTACGTTCACTGTACAGAACCATACGCCTCCAGAGGACACCACGAGTGCAAGGCTCCATCAGAGTGTAGAGTGGGTCACCAACGGGGACGACAAAAGACCAAAGAAGCATCAAGGCTGGCCCAAGGGAAAACCCCGAGGTCCCCGAAATGTGTCTACCGTGGAGAAGAAGAAGAGGCCCGTTGCGAATGCCCAAATTCACGGCACAGGTCCCGCCCCTGGAAGTTCTGGGCTGGATCAGCTCTATTCCCCTCTAAGTCTTCCGCTGCATGTCGACGCCGTCTCCCAACAAGGTATTCCTAGCCAGATCGCGGTACCAGAACAAATTCCCAGCACCAAGGCGTTATCTTCTCGCCGCCTTTCTTGCTCCGATACTCTCCCCGCAGCGCAGAGTCCCCTACCGTCGACCACATCTTCACGTGCCCAGAGTGTTCCTCCGCATGCCGCCGCACTCATGGGTCCCGCTTGGACGGAAGGCACAGTCATGGACATCGACAAGCCGGGTGATGCTTCGCAAACCACCATTTGTGCTGGTTGCCACTCATCTGACTCTCTCACATCGATTGGCGATGGCGAACAGTGGATCAGCTGTGATGGGTGCAAAGGCTGGTTTCACTACGTATGTGCTGGTTTCAAGAGCGAACGAGAAGTCCGCGTCATTGACAAGTTCTATTGTGAGGGCTGTAAACCGAAATATGGCAATACGACCAGTAAGTCATATTCGCACCTTGGAACCAACATTCTAATATCGTTTCAGGACTGCGAAAGTCTTCGCGCGCCCATACTGCTGTTGATTACGCCGGCTTAAATGAAGGTATATTGAAAACGTCCGACGACAATCCGGAGCATCACTACATACAAGCTTTCAAAAATGGAGACTTCAAGTTCACCCCTGAGACATTCGCACGCCTGCCTCCTGAGTTCGTTACAGCAGACTTCATCGAGAAAATGAACGGCTTCACGGATCCCGTGGTTATTCCGGCGACTTTGAACCCCCGGCCGACGTATCCACCTTCTAACTCCTCCACGTCCGTGGCGGAGAAATTTTCACAGATGCATGATGCCGATGAAGAGACGTATGGCTTCGAACTGGTGCCAGACGATGGTCAAGACAAGATTGACATGGTCATACCAGACGGGCTGACTGTGCGTCGCGTGTCTGAGCTCTACGGACCGATGGAGACTGTCCCCGTCATCGATGTGAAGGCACAAGAAGGCGAAGATAAGCGTTGGACCATGGCCAAGTGGGCGGACTATTATGAGCAGCAGGGAGAAAAACCAGTCCGCAACGTAATAAGTCTTGAAGTATCTCGAAGCAGGTTGGGCAGATTGATCCGTCGACCCAAAGTCGTACGCGATATGGACCTTCAAGATTCGGTCTGGCCAGAAGACGACAAGATGCATGCGCCCCCAGTACAATTCTACTGTCTCATGTCAGTTGCAGATTGCTACACGGATTTCCATATCGACTTCGGCGGCTCGTCTGTGTACTACCATATTATCAAGGGAAGGAAGACGTTCTTTTTCATACCACCAACCAAGCAAAACCTCAAGAAATACGAGGATTGGTGCCTCTCCCCTAGGCAAAGCCACGAGTTCCTAGGGCAGCAGGTGAAAGAATGCTACCGGGTCGACTTGTATCCGGGAGACACAATGCTGATTCCTTCCGGTTGGATCCATGCTGTATGGACCCCCGAGGACAGCCTAGTCATTGGCGGAAATTATCTCACTCGCATACATTATGCCATGCAAATCAAAGTGGTTGAGATCGAGAAGAACACAAAGGTAGCCGCGAGATTTCGTTACCCGTTTTTCCAGAAGATTATGTGGCTTGCAGTCATCAAATATCTTCTCGAGGATCCTCTTCCTGCTGAGGTTGAAGAGCTGCTTTTGCGAGGAGAGGAATTCAAGCGGACAGTACCAATATTTTGCCAACCGGACAAGTTTGGCCACAACTCCGACCCGGGTCCGGAGAACTACAACATCCGATACTATCCCAAAGCTGAACTCGAAGGCCTCCCGGACCTGCTCAATTATATCTGGAGGACTGTATTGATATCCCTTGGCAAGGTGGAAGGCATCTCACAGCAGACTCGTAACGCGGTAACAAGGTCGATTCCTAAAGGTCATGGCGAGCCCTCAGATCTGGCTCGTCGTTTCGCCATGTGGGTTGCTTGGAAAAGGGGAAATGAAAAGCTTCCTCAATGGGCTCTACCCGATGCCACCCTATCGGATGCCGCAGACTCGCGAGGAGATAAGAAGCTGAGCAGCGCTCAGAGCAGAAAAGTGGAGCGGGAGTCTTGGAATGAGACGCTCAAGCTCGTCAGGGGTGGCGAGAGGCATTCATCTTTGCGAGCAAGAGCGTCGGAGCCTACGCTCAATGGTGACGTCCGCGGTCAGGGAGGGCCACCTGTGACGGGCTTCCTGCGCCCACACAAAGAACACGTTACTACCCCGAAGACCTCGCAACTCGGCCCGAAACGCATAGCTTGCGACGCTTGTCGCAAACGACGGATACGCTGCAAGCACAAGGATGAGTTGGTAGAATCGCCTCAATCCAGTGCGTCGGGAACCGTTCCTCCGAATGCAACGGCATCCAGCTCACCCCCTAGCACCTCCATTGGGAACCTGGCTATGCGACGGTACAGCGATGCCGATATTCCGTCCGCTTCCCTAACATACTCTTCTCTCTACGATGTACAAGGCAGCACGAATGGTGGACCCCTCTCAACAGATTTGACGGTCGATTCGCTCGCCAGCAAGTCCGGTCGCGTAAAAGCCTGTGCGGACTGTCGCAAGAGCAAGGTATGTCGCCAATTGTCCTCTGATAACGGAGCTAACTTGATCCAGCGTCGTTGCATCCATGACGAGTACGGAAATGTTGACCCTGTCAAGGCTGCTGAGGCACCTATCCCTCGGGGCTCCGCTACTAAGAAACGCCGCGTCAGCGAGCATGAGGATGGTGAGGCCCTTACAAAGAAAATGAAGATGGAGTCATTTGCCGGTCTTGTGAATGGCGAAGTATCACATTGGAATCGCTACCCCCTACAGAAGCCTCGTCTTACAAGCGCCTCGGATTCGCAGGACGAGATGACGATGGACTCGGCGCGGAGCACTAGGGATCCTCGTTCTCTTCTAGGACCGCCTTTGGCTGAAGAGCAGACAGGTGGTGTCGTTACGCAAGTCGTGCGTCCAATGTCCGCTTCAAAATCCGTTTCTAAAGAGCCGGTCTACTGTTCCATTGAGAACGTCCAAGAGGAGGTTGTCACTTCGGGCCCGGTGGACCCTCTTTTGCTTAACCCAGAACCAAGAACCCCACGGGCAACAAACAACGCGGCCAATGGCATCCACGCTGCACCTGAAAGCTCTCCTATCCAGAATGGTGGTCGCGCTCGCGGCCTACATTCATGGAATGGGAGGACCACGACACCGAAGATTACTCCGCGCGGAAGAAACCGTCGAGACAGCAAGGACTCTCCGAGAGGTGAACCAAAATCCGATCCGAAGGCGCGTGCCAGTCCCCCCAAGACGGGGTCAAGCGAAGACATGGCCAGCATTGCCTTAGCCTTGAAATTGCAGATGGAGGAGCATGGCCTTCGTAGGCGAAGCAAGTAACCAACTCCCGCAATCAGGCGGTTTTCCGAAACTCCTCACCCTTTACGTTCTCTTTTCTCCTTCCCGATTGCATTTCCTGGCGTCCGCTTCACCATTCTGTTTTCTTTATCCACGGTAGGCGTTAAAAGGTGACACATATACCCAACAGACATCCCTCACAGGGTTGGGATAAGCTTTTGCTATCTTTCATCCGCTCGGATGCGGCGTCTTCGGGAAAGGATGGGTGTACCTCATGTATCGGTTACAGTCAACAGGATTCCGGGATGTCCTTTGTCATCATTTGTATATGAGCTTGCGGCGCCATTCGCATCATAATATTAAATCAAAGTGGCTTTGATCAGTGGCATATCTCCCTGTGTCGTTGTCGTTCCGAAGCTCCCATGGTGGGATCCCACGGGTTTGCTGATGGTCATCTTCAAGACAAGTCAAGGAGCAGGTGGTGCATGGCCCCCGCGCTGCTTGGTCACCCGCACCCAACGACGGCTTTGATATGGGAACATGTTACAACCACCAAAATGTCCCGTGGTGCTGCTGATGTGAAGAGCGCGTGCTCCTCCGGAACAGAGGCGGCATATCTGACATTTCGCTCTAGTAAACCGCTGACGTTCTTTGTCTTAGACGTCAAAGTGATCAAGTGTAGAGCAGACATTTCCCTATAAGATGAACCTCCTCGTTGTTGAAGGATGGCATGAACGCATCCAAAACGTACGATACCATAGCAACGCTGGAGTACGAGTGCGCTATACGACAGGTCAGGATGTGTTGGATCACGCTCAGCCCTAAAGGACCGGAGAACGGTGGATACCACCACGGCCACCATTTCCACCGCCATCACCATGAACACTCCAGTCGCAGCACTTCTATTGAGCACCTCATCCGGCGAGACCAAAGCCATCCGTCCCTGGAGAACCCAATTCCCACAAGTCAGCATGAGAGGAGTCGTCGGGAAAGAATCCGTGTCATAACGTTGGACGCTGGTCATCCTCATCACCACCACGGACATCATCATTACCATGATGTACACCCTCTACGGATGCACCCCATTCCAGTGAAACTCCACGGACCCGGGAGAAGACGAGCACCGGTGCCTCCAAGGCGGTCGCCTCCCAGTAACTGTCCAGGTGCCAGCTCGGCGCCAGAACCCATATATCGCATACAGCCCATCCCCAAGCCTAGCCCCATCCCAGACCCCATATACCGTATACAGCCGGTCCCAAAACCCAGCCCTGTTCCCGAGCCCATCTATCGTATACAACCCATCTCCGAGCAGCCAGACTCCCGAGTGCAAGAGATCCGCGAGACGACGAGGTTCGCACTTCGAGAGGTGAAGCCGGAGCGGCGGACACGGCTCCGCAGGGTGGCCGGGTACGAGGTACTGAGCAGACAGGTGCCATGGAACTGGGATTGTGTGAGCAGGAGCACTTCCTAGGCTTCGTGGGAGTAGAGGGAGCAGTAGGAGTGATCCGCGGAGCTGAAGGCTGCAATGATGCTTGCGACAGCTTGACGAACGAGCCCGTGCTGTTCTGCCAAGCCTAACATTTGGAGCTCCGCAACCAACACCTCTACCGGTCACCACCACCATTACAGACACAACATTCACCCACTCCTCAACCCTATTCTACTGCGGATCCAGCTTTGGCCACTTCTTCTTTCTAATTGCGCTCTACCGTCTCTCGTCGCTATCTCCCCGCCATGGATTCATTAGTCGCCCAGTATACGCGACCTGCCCACGCCGACGAAGGCCAGTCCTACGAAGAGCAGCAGGAGCTTGCGCGAACCACCCCAGAACTGTCCCTCAAGTTTGCACTACCGCCAGTAGCCCAGGTAAGCCCTCTCAGCTAGTCGAACTCGGGGTCCATGCCACTCTACCACACCGTATGGGATAGCTGACCGCAGCTCCAGTCTTCATCATGGCTCCGTGCAATGACGGACGACTACTCCAACCCGAACTGCCCAATCAAGATAGCGCACGGCACAACGACGCTGGCTTTCAGGTTCAAGGGCGGCATCATCGTGGCGACGGACTCGAGGGCGACGGCAGGAAACTGGATCGCCAGTCAGACGGTGAAGAAGGTGATTGAGATCAACAACTGCCTGCTCGGTACTATGGCTGGCGGCGCCGCTGTAAGCAGAAATGGTTATCATTAACACATCCGAACGAGGCTGATTGATCCAGGATTGCCAATACTGGCTGGCGTATTTGGGCATGCAGTGCCGCCTCCACGAACTGCGACACAAGCGCCGCATTTCGGTTGCCGCGGCGTCAAAGATCCTCGCCAATCTCGTCTACTCATACAAGGGAATGGGGTTGAGCATGGTACGTTGATTTCACCTGCTTGGGGTCCGTTCAAAGCTAATCATGGCAGGGGACCATGTGCGCTGGGGTAACGCCACAGGAAGGGCCAGCCCTCTACTACATCGACAGTGATGGAACACGTCTTGCGGGGAATCTGTTCTGCGTTGGTTCGGGTCAAACATTTGCGTACGGTGTGCTTGATGCCGAGTACAGCTACGATCTCTCGGACGAGGATGCGCTCGAGCTGGGTCGCCGGAGCATCCTCGCCGCGACCCACCGTGACGCCTACTCCGGTGGCTTCATCAACCTATACCATGTCAAGGAAGATGGCTGGGTCAAGCATGGCTTCAACGATACCAACCCAATCTTCTGGAAGACTAAGTTGGAGAAGGGTGAGTTCTCGAACGTCACTGCGGATCTGGAGTAAGGTGACCACCGGAGCGGGTCGAGGGAATACCTGGTAGCGCATGGGGTTGAGGAGTTACTTGTGCATTTTGGCAGCCAAACTACAAAGTAGTGGCTGCCTGTGTAATGAATAGGTTTACGATAAAAACCACTGCCTGCCTACAACCATCAACCCAGCGTCTTTGCGCTCTTTTGCCTCTCCATGACTTTCAGTACATCTGCCACGCTGTTCTTGCCCCCTTTCTTCTTCTTGCCTCCGCGCTTTCTTTTCTTCGACGGCCCGCCTCTGTGGCTCCCGTCATCCTCGTCATCGTCAGCACCCAGACCCTTCCACTCTGAGAACTTGACCTTCTCGCCCTCCATCTCCATTTCTTCGGCGTCTTCGAATCTACTTGCGCCAAAGCCCAGATCCAAATCGTCCATGTCTCGATCACGAGCGGCGAGCTCAGCAGCGCGCTTGGCGAGCCGAGCTTCCTCGGAGTCCTGAAGGAGTGAGGAGCTCACGTCGAGCGTCCGGACCTTCTTGAGGGCCGCAAGTACGGTTGCATCGGCGGCGTCCTTCTCCCTTTCCTTGCCGGCAGCCGGCGTGTCGTTGAAGTAATTTCGGCGGGGGCGGGATACAGCTGGCTCGGTGGAAACCTTGGATTCCACACTGGACTCCTCTGGAGGTGCCGCTTCTCCTTCTTCCTCTTTACCAGCTTCTTCTGCATTGGGACCCTTGTCCGCGATCGCCACCGCCTGATCGTCCTCCTCCTCGTCGTCTGACGAGGCATCGTCTTCGCCATCACCCTGGATGGCCGCAAGTGGATTGTAGTTGGAGCCCACCCCGGCGAAGATATCATCGTCGTCGTCTTCCGAATCATGTTTCTGCGGAGGGGGCGGAGTGTCTTGCTTGAGGTGCAAAGGCTCCTCCTCGACGTCGTGCCCGCGCTCCACCTCGGGCTGCTGAACCTGCTGCTTCCTCACCTTCCTTTTCTCCTTGCCGTTTGCATCTGTGATGATAAGAACTTCTCTCCCACTAGCGTCGATCTCGATTCTCGTCGTCTCTCCGCCTGGGCCAACTTTGCGAAAACCCGGTCCCAGACTGGGGTACTTTTTTGCGTGCTCTGCAGCCGCCGCCTCAGCTGCGGCTTTTCTCTGTGCTTTCAATTCGGCCAAGATGGCGTCTCTGCTCCTCTTGACGCCGGCGACCGGGGGCGGGGGTGCCCTCTCCCCTTTCTTCTCCACCTTTTCCCTCACGACCGGCGCAATATCTTGCTGGACTAACTCATCGAGCTCATCTTCGGCCTCAGAACCCGGTGTCCCCGTCCGTCCGCCTTTAGTAGCACGCTCCGCCAAACTGACCTCCCCTTTCCTAACCTTCTCCAGCAGCTTCCTATCCAACCCCTTGACCAGGTGTGTCGCCGAGAGGTCTCCACCGGCAATCTCCTGAACGAGATGATCAAACGTCTCCCGATTGATCTGGCCCTCCTTCATCGCCTCCTCCAACGCTTTCACCCGCTGCGCCACCTCGTTCTGCTTTCCCCCCTCATCATCCTCTTCCCCTTCCCCTTCCCCTTCTCTTCCTCCCTCGCGGTCCTTGGTCCGATCGCGGTATCCGGCAGCGAGCTTGACGCCCTTGGGCAACGAGGACTTGAACTTCTTCTGCTGGGTGCCCGAACCCGGCTGCTTGCCATTGTTGTTGCGTTCGGCGAGCTGGCGCGCGAATTCGGCGGATCCGGAGTGACGACGGCCCACCTGGCGCGGCGTCATGGGGAAGAAGGCGGCGGAGCGCTTGCGGGCGCCCAGGGCGGGCGTCGCGGACGGACGGGTGGTCGGCGGGCTGGCTGCAGTGGAGACTGCGGCGGCTGCGGCGCCATCTTTCTTTTGTGAGTTGCTGAGGAGCAAGCTGCGGAATTGTTGATTGTTCATGGTGGGCTCCAATCTTAGGAGGAGCAAGTCGTGTTTGAAGATGGCATTGAAGCTTTGGTTTACACAGTACATAGGTTCGGCCCAAGCCATTTGTGCCAAGGCCTGGGGATCCATGGCGCCGGTGGACGCTAGCATCCCGCTCTAACCGCACTCTGGTAGCCTTGCTCTGCAGCCGTGGAGATCAGTGGAGCGCTCACAACAAGGTCCTGATCCGCCAGGATTAATGGACTAGATTTAGACTACATACTATAGTGCTACTGCTGTGGTATGGTTTTATATTACTGGAATAGCGATCCACCGATGCTGTCGATCGTGTGCATACTCCCGACGGCTCCTTGATTTCTTCCTCTGCAAGATGACGATGACGATGCTCTGCAGAGGCATACTAATAGTGCAGGACAGCCCAACCCTTCTTCCTTCGCTCTTCTCATCTGCGAGCACCATGGGGATCCTCCCTTTCCTTCTTGCATCCGCATCATGCATCGCCTCGACTTTCTGCCAAAACAACTCGGTCACCACCACCTTCACCAATCCCATCTTGGATGCAGTAGGTGCTGACCCGTACGTGAGCTGGCGGTGCGGGTACTCCTTTACAGTGAATGAGTTGCTAACATCTGCCAGCTGGGTCATACGCCATGATGGGTATTATTACATGACGTACACCACCAACGACGACATAACACTGCTTCGAAGTCGGCTCCTAACGTACGTGCGCACCCTGAATCGTCCGAGCTCCCTTGTATCCTTTGAATGAATCCTTCCATCGTGTGTCATGTTTCGACCGCCTAACCTAACTCTAGAAACTGGAATGACGCCGAGAGAAGAGTCATCTTCAAGCCTCCACCCGGGCTGAATTACTCGACCGACATCTGGGCTCCCGAGCTTCACCACCTGTCCGGTAACTGGTATGTCATCTTCACTGCCGACCCTCGTTACGACAATCCCCCACCAGAAGTCGACATGCTATGTGTCTTCAACTGCCCCGCCGTGCATCATCGCATGTTTGTGTTAGAAGGGACGGGCACAGATCCTTGGGCAGCCGAGTACGAGTACAAGGCCCAACTCGACACGTACGACCAGTTCGCCATCGATGGGACGTACTTCCAGCATGACGGCAACCTGTACCATACATACAGTTGTTGGTCCGAAGCCTACGACGCCTGGCCAGCCAACCTCTGCATCACCAAGATGTCGAATCCCTGGACGGTATCTTCACCCTTGTCGGAACGGCAGATCATCTCGGTGCCCACGAATCCATGGGAAAAGACTCCCTACGGTAGGCGGGTCAACCATCGCCTCTCAACAAACGAGGGTCCCCAGCAACTCACGAATCCAGAGACTGGCCAGATTTTCCTCATCTTCAGTGCTGGCCGCTCGGATAATCGTAACTATTGCCTCGGCCAGCTGTCCCTTGTTGGTGATGACCCGATGGATCCACACAGTTGGAAGAAGCACAATGACGGCTGCGTATTCTACCAGAATGCCGAGGAGGGGGTTTACGGGGTCGGTCATGCGAGCTTCGTGCAAAGTCCGGACGGCACAGAAGACTGGATTGTGTACCACGGGATGCAGGATCCAGCGAACGGTTGGGCGGCCCGTACCATTCGAGCACAGAGGTTCAGCTGGAATGAGGATGGAACGCCTAACTTCCCGCGCCCAGGGTACGGGCCGTATCACGTTCCGAGTGGTCAGGTGGGAGACAAGTCATGCTAGAGGAGCTTCTATAGCCCGACTAATCGGGAATATCGATTCAAAAGGTTGACGGTCCTTGCTTGGAGTGATGAAGCGAACCGGTATGAAGTAATGCGGGGAATTGTCATCCCTTGAGGGCAGCATGTGTCCTGGCGGCAATCCTCTGCCTGTGCTTCTCTGTAGCTTCCTCGATCTTGTTCTTCCTCCAGGTGCATTCTTCGGCGAAGTCGCACACTCTACATTTGAAAGCCTCTTCCACTTCGACGCCGACGGCCTCACGTTTGCCCTTCCACCAGCTCATCTCCTTGGAGGTGTACTCGTCAATGGCGACTGCGTCGTAGACGAAGAGCTCGCTTCCAATGACCTCCCCAGACCTCGAGTAGCGGAATTCAGCCCGTAAGATGTCGCTAACGGCGCCTACCGTCTCGCTGAACTCGGTGACCATGAGAGACCATAGTGAAGATAGGTTGTTGTAAGAATGGAGCTCGGATAGTTCCCCAGAGGAACCAGTGAATTCGGCTAGGAATGTATCCGTGAAGTGACTGAGAGGTTGCAGATCATAGCGCCCAAATACTGTATCAGCGTCCACGCCATTGGAAGCGAGTGATCCCAGCAGTTTCCGATAAAGCATCAGCTGCATCCAGGTCGGCCTCAAGCTGGGCCCCGCCGGTACCGTTTTCACGCCCCTCGTCTTGACATCTGCGATATACACGGTATGCTTTGGTGTTTGATCGCCGGTGGGCCCTTTCCCGTTGCCCTCAGCATTGGCAAAAGCGAACTCTATGGTTGTCTGGCCATGAGCATCAACCTTCCCCGGCTTCGCGAGCGCATCTTCAAATGCCGGATCAGGGCTTGTATAGGAAAGCTCGTCGATGACTCCATTGACCACTTGCCCTTCAATGACTCCCCATATCTCCAGCTCACGTGTCAAACCCGTCTCCCGTAGCGTGCGCAAGCCTGATATGGTATTCCAGAGTCTCAGAGCAAACCGGTCCTCGTTGCTTCGGGTCTCCACCGGTACGAACACATGCACCTGCTCTTCCAACTCCCTGTGGACCTTGGAGCCTTGCTTCATAGCCGTGGTTCGAGGCTTCCGGCCATATTTGGTCAGCACAAACCAGTATTGCAGCTCGCACCAGGCAGGGGAGACCAGGTCGGTCACAGAAAGTGGCTTTTGTGGTTTCGTGCGGAATCGTTCAAGTGGGGAGCGCGTATCGTCGGTCGAGCTGCCGTCTGAAGGCACGCGCGAGCCGTCAGGCGGCTCAGGTTGGCCTGCTTGTTCGGCGACAGAGCGGTCATGGGCTGCCGGGTGCTGTCAGTGAGTCAGTCCATTCAGAGCAAGGGCCGTGGTATTGCACTCTGAAGGGCACTTACCCCTCGCCGTGCTGTCCAACGCGATGTGACCTTGTTTCTCAGCTGAAGCGGTGCACTCGACCTGGGCACACTGAAGCTCAACCACTGCACCCTTCTTGAGCCACACCAGGGCAGAGGGTGGCGAACGATGTATAAGTACTGCCGGCCCTGCTTCAGGGCCATCCTCGGGGCTCGTATAAACCAAACTTCTTTCTGTGGGAGCTGTAGCCGCTATATCGTTGAGCAAGTTGCCAATTAGAACGTCTTCCTCAGCGTCGAAGTCGGACCCATACTCGCTGGTCACAACATCAATGTCGGAGCCATAGTCGCTACTAGCGTCCAGCGAGGTCATCGAGAGTAATGCCAGCGCGGACTTGCCATTATGGAACGCGTCTGTCGAAGTGTACTGGAGTGCAAATTCAATGAGGAACCTTGGAAGCCTTCGGTGAACGTGGGCGGCTTGGGTCTGGTGGGTGCCTAGGTGTGGCGGCTGGGGTCGATGCGCGCACCCGTGATGTCACGACGGAGAGCGTAGAGATGCGACGCGCTAAAGCAAATCAACACGGCGAATTTCCAAAACGCGTGTCCAACATGCAACAGCTTTGGAATCACAGGATTACTGCAACTATTCATCACAGAAAGCAAAGAAGTCATTGAAAGTAGTCGAAATGACTAGTCGTCAATCCATTGCAGTGACGCATCACTGATTATGGGGATATACATGTCAGCACTGCTATCTGCACCAGTGCACCCGAAACCCAGAGAAAACCGTGACCCGTGATGAGACCCTAAACGCCAGAGACAGAAAGTGCCAACCCAATCATGGTGCCATGACCGCACGAGGCAATGCTCGTCGGTGGTGATCATGTTGGTGCGAGAAGGAAAGACGTCTAACCACGCTCACCACGGAGGCGACGAGCGAGCTGGATATCCTTGGACTCTGCAGGCCATGTTAGCGATGTCATGGGAGATGATGAAGCACGGCGGGCAACTCACGGATGGTGACACGCTTGGCGTGGATGGCGCAGAGGTTGGTATCCTCGAAGAGAGAGACGAGGTAGGCCTCGACGGACTCCTGGAGAGCACCGATGGCGGAAGACTGGAAGCGGAGGTCCGACTTGAAGTCCTGGGCGATCTCACGAACAAGGCGCTGGAAGGGCAGCTTGCGGATGAGGAGCTCGGTCGACTTCTGGTAGCGACGGATCTCACGGAGAGCGACGGTACCAGGCTTGTAGCGGTGGGGCTTCTTGACACCGCCGGTGGAGGGGGCGGACTTGCGGGCAGCCTTGGAGGCGAGCTGCTTACGAGGGGCCTTGCCACCAGTGGACTTGCCTGCAGCAGACTGTTAGCGACGATGCTTCATGAAGATGTTTATTGTTGTTGTTGTTGGGTGGTGGTGTCGTGGCAGTGCCAAGGCATCGCGATGTCTACTGAGGTGAAGGTGGCGCGACACCAGCGACGCACCAATACCAAAGCGACGATGCAGCGATGCACCCAAAGCACAGGAGCAGTGCGGGAGAACTTACGAGCTGTCTGCTTGGTACGGGCCATGGCTGATGAGTTTGTTGATGATAAAAAAAAGTCGGTTGTTGTTGATGGGGATTTGGATGCGCAAGTGGCAAAAGCGGTTGTTGAGGCGCGGGTTGTGGGTGGATTGGTGGATGGTGGATGGTGGATGGGGAGAGAGAGAAAGAAGGAGGCAGAGGGGCGGGCGGGCAGGGCCTTTTGTACGCGGCGCGGCGGGGGCGGCTGCCTGCGAGATCACACAGAATAATAATGATTGTGAGCTTTTAGCGCGGATTTTTGCTGGGCGCGGCAGGTTTGGGAGGCGCGTGGGCGGGAAGGCGCCTGGTTTGCAGCGCTTTGAAAATCAAAATCAGAGCCCTTTGGTGGGCCCGTGCGTTTTTGTTCCTTCCCATCTGAGACGCGCGATTGATCCATTGATCATTGATCCCCCCAATTGATCCTGCCCACAACAGACGGCGCACGGGCCCCCGCGCCGTACCGAGGGGTCTGGTGTGTGTGATCCGACGCGCGACCCTCGCCCATTATAAGCACTGCGCGCCCGCCCTCCACCAGACGCCTTTCTCTCCATCCCCCATCCCACTCCACTCGCACCAACAACAACTGCCTCACTACCGTGCCTTGCACCCCCGCGCAAACCAACCCTCTTCACTTCCTCTCACTTCAACAACAACAACAACTTCTTCTATCAACATGACTGGACGTGAGTCTTCCCCAGTTGCCTTCACTGTCCCGAACAATCACTGACGCCCTCTGCAACAGGCGGCAAAGGTGGCAAGGGCCTCGGCAAGGGTGGAGCCAAGCGTCACCGAAAGATTCTTCGCGACAACATCCAGGGCATCACCAAGCCCGCTATCCGCCGTCTCGCCCGCCGTGGTGGTGTCAAGCGTATCTCGGCCATGATCTACGAGGAGACCCGCGGTGTCCTCAAGACCTTCCTTGAGAGCGTCATCCGCGACGCCGTCACATACACTGAGCACGCCAAGCGCAAGACCGTCACCTCGCTCGACGTCGTCTATGCCCTCAAGCGACAAGGACGTAAGTCGCCTCGCCGCACGATTCCCTCCAAGCACGCGTCTGACATGAGTCACAGGCACCCTCTACGGTTTCGGTGGTTAGATTGCTTTCTGTTTTCCCTTTCGTGTTCCGACTTTTTGACCGACACCATACTACTGGTCGCGTCTGGTGCTGGGTGGGATTGGGTCTGCCTGTATCATAGGCTTTACGGAGTTTACGGTTATGGTTCAAACATGGAATGATACCTGCATAATTGTTCACTTTTGTTCCTCTTGCCATTGCCTCTTGCCGTGAAGGTTGGCTGCAGGTGTCGCGTCGCGTCCTAGGGGTGTTTACATGGACACGGCACGCGCCCAGTCGGTTTGCGCTAACTCGCTCATTTTGGGGCATTGGGTGTGTCGCTAACTGTTACTTGCCCCTCTGTTGCGGATTGTTGTTTGATTGCAATTCCGGCGCCGGCTGCTACTCTCCGCCCATCAGTTTTTATGTTCAGTGTCCCACATGGGTTGAGGTGACGTTCGAGCATGCTCAAAGCGGTTAGTCTTCAGGACGTAACCGGCTCCAACCTTGGAAGCCTTCATCTGCCTACTCCTTTGCTTATAGAGTAGATACGGCTCCATATGGTCGTGCTTGTTTGTACAGTCCAGGCTTGGTGTAGATGGGCTTTGGGGAGTATGGGGGTTCGTGATATACTATCTGTACAGCAATTAAATGGGCTTTTGGGTGTATCTTATTTCGCGACCTTGACCTTTGCTGTGCTCTCGACTCACCAGATGTAACCCATATTGTAAATGTGGCCATAATAAGGTCAAATACGGTCTTAAACGCTATCAAAACGGGAGCTTTTACTTTCTCTGGTACCTTCTTCTGGTTCTTGCGTCACCAGTGCATGTCGTCCGCTGATCTCTGTACCCTAGGGTGTTTGTGATGTGTCGTATTGTTTTTTCATCAAGAACCGACTACAATTTATAAAATCAAACGACGGAGCAACACACCATTCCCCTGAAAACAGCTTCAAAAATATGGATAAGGGCGTAATTCAGGACGATCTAATATGTCATCATCTCCAAGTGGCAATGCACAAGGCGGGAGAAGCTGTATTCAATGTTCACAGGAGAATGCGAAGTTGCCGGGTAGCTCCGGGGGACATGGATGAAACGAAATGAAAACCCCTGCAAAAAGTTGAAAGCAACAACCCATGATAGGAATCTATTCCAATGAAGTAGCATATACACAATACGGTAGTGGATGTGCAACAGAAGATAATTCATCTTGCTAGCCACACATCTACCTCCGAGCACAGTACACATACGGAATCATGGATTACATACATACTGGCCCTTATACAGCTGCAGACAGCTGCACCGAATCCGGACCGGCGCACTCGGCACCATCGCACCATGTGTCTAGCCGACTGGAATACACAGAACAGACTATCGCGACTACAGTACCTACTAGCGGGAGCCATGGACAAATCGCCACCTGGGCCGCTCGTTAGGGATCTCGTACTGGTAGTACCCAGAGCCAAGACCGGGAGTATGAATTTGCGGGGTAGAGGTATAGGTATAGCTCAACACCCACCAAGGGCTAGCGCCCTCCCAGTACCCTCGGCGACGGCCTTCCGGATGGATTCCGCATGGCCGGTCCTTCAGCATATAAAATCGGATGCTTGTATCCCTTCAAATGTTCCGCCTGCAGCCGGTGCCGACGAACAACACAGCCGCTCCGCCCATCGCCCCTGAGCATCATACAAGTCACAGCCGAGGATATTGTGCACGTCCGTACTAACTGCTCCATTCGGCCCAATCGAAATTCTGGGGATGGTCCATCATAACACAAAGTCGACCATGGCAGTCCAACACATCCAGGACGAAGTACTTCGCCGGTCACTCGAGGACCCTGAGAAGTTCTGGACTGCGCAAGCCGACCACGTCCACTGGCACAAGAAACCCGACAGAGCCCTGACGAAGCGCACCAAAACACTAAAGAGCGGTGCTAAGCATGAGCACTGGAGCTGGTTTTCTGGGGGCCAGATATCGACCACGTTCAACTGTGTCGACAGGCATGTCATCAACGGTACATCTCCCACGAGACGTTCGCCGCAACTGGTGCCCACGCGATCCTGACTTGCCGCAGGAAATGGAGATAAGCTTGCCATATGCTGGGACAGCCCGGTTACGGGCCTCAAGGAGAAGTACACGTATAGGCAACTGCTCCACGAGGTCGAGACGCTGGCAGGCGTACTTCGGGAGGAAGGTGTACAGAAGGGAGATGTAGTGCTTATCTACAGTAAGTCCATCCCTAACCCGTGCGCCTGAGCTCCAGCGCCTTTCCTTCGGTCGACACTGGGAAGATGAAGCAGAGGCCATCGTAACGCGGTGTTCTGCGAGATGAACTAACAACACTCTAGTGCCCATGATACCAGCGGCTCTGTTTGCCATGCTGGCTATCGCCAGGATCGGTGCCATCCACGCCGTCGTGTTTGGCGGGTTCTCCTCCAACGCCTTGGCCCAACGCATGGAAGCATCCAAGCCGAAAGCCGTCATGACAGCCTCATGTGGCATTGAAGGTACTAAAGGCCCCATGGGTTACAAGGTAATGTGAACCCAGCAATCCGCGATCCACTAGCTCGTTGGACACCCAGAACCGGATCGCTGACGAGATATCCCCTTGTTGGCAGAAGCTGCTCGAAGAAGCGGTCCGCAGAAGTTCCTTCAAACCCCTGAAAACCATCATTTGGCAACGTGGTGAGCTTCGATGGGACCCTGTCCTGAAAGAGGAGGGGCAGCGGAACTGGCAGAGACTGGTCAAAAGCGCGAGAAACCGCGGGTTGAAAGCCGAGGCCGTACCCATTGACAGCGCAGACGGCCTCTACATCATCTACACCAGCGGAACCACGGGACTTCCCAAAGGCGTCGTGCGAGAAGCCGGTGGCCACGCCGTCGGCCTGAACTTCTCCATCAAATATCTCTTCGGGGTCCACGGACCGGGAGATGTCATGTTTACTGCGTCTGACATTGGATGGGTCGTAGGGGTAAGGCATCAACCCAAAGTAGCTTACATCAGATTCCAACACTAAAACTACGATACATAGCATTCCTACATTGTGTACGCCCCACTTCTAGCAGGCGCAACCACGGTGCTCTTCGAGGGCAAACCAGTGGGGACACCAGACGCGAGCACGTTTTGGAGAATCGTCGAGGAGTACAAGGTGACGACCATGTTCACGGCACCTACGGCGCTTCGAGCGATACGCCGCGAAGACGCTGATAACGATTACTTTGAGCGGATATACGGGAGCAGAGGGGGGCTCAAGACGCTGCGTGCGCTCTTCCTGGCTGGCGAGCGTAGCGAACCGAGCATTGTTGACATGTACCAGCGTCTCCTCACAAAGCATTGTGCTCCAGGCGCGCTGGTCATCGACAACTGGTGGTCCAGCGAGAGTGGCAGCCCCATCTCCGGAATAGCCCTCAGCGCGGCCACTGGCCTGGACTTCAAGGCCACGTCTCGCCCGAAACCGCTACCCATCAGGCCCGGATCGGCTGGCAAGGCCATGCCCGGGTTTGATGTCCGCGTTGTTGACGACGAGGGCAACGAGTTGAAGAGGGGTTGCATGGGGAACATCGTCATGGCGATACCGTTGGGACCCACGGCATTCACGACGCTATGGCAGGACGACGAGAGGTTCTACCGTGGCTACCTCAAGAGGTTCAAAGGCAGGTGGGTCGACACGGGCGACGCGGGAATGATTGACGAGGAGGGATACATCTCCATCATGTCACGCTCCGACGACATCATCAATGTGGCCGCCCATCGGTTCAGCACGGGTACGTGAATTGTGATTTCTAGCCCTCTAGCGACGATGACTCTTCCGCGTCAAAACACAACCCGCTGACAACACCCTGTACTGCAAAGGCGCCATCGAACAGGCCGTCACATCTCATCCAAATATTGCGGAAGCGGCCGTGGTCGGCATCCCGGATCAACTCAAGGGCCATCTCCCGTTTGCGTTTGTGACCCTCTCGACGCCTCACCACCCGCATCCCGCAGTGCCCGACGATGCCCTCTACCGAGAGGTACAGGGCCTCGTCCGAAGGCAGATTGGCGCCATTGCGAGCCTGGGCGGGATGATCCAGGGCAAGGGCATGATCCCGCGGACCCGGAGCGGCAAGACTCTGCGTCGCGTCCTGCGGGAACTGCTCGAGAACGCGACCCATGGCGACTTGGACAAGGAAGTGCAGGTGCCGACGACGATCGAGGACGCCGAGGTCATCCAGGTGGCCAGGGCGAAGATCAGGGAGTACTTCAGGGTGAAGGGCGCGGGCTTGCGCAAGGCCGTCGAGGTCAAGGCGAAACTTTGAGCGCCCAACATGGCCTAGGGATGGGGATTGTTATGTATTCGTGTTGTTAACCCGATAGGTGAGAGAGCGAGGGAGCGTCATGTACGTTATTGTAGATATGTATCCCCAGAGACGGTACAAGGTCAGTGCAATTCCTTGGTGGACCGACAAATCAAACGAAGAAAGAAATGGTATTGAAAATAGCCAGAACTAAAGAGCCGTGTCCACGTGTGCAACCCCAACTATGCGGAGAAAAAAACTCATCTGTACCAAACCGATACTTTTTTGACTGCAAAGGTGATGGTGGCTAAACAACGCTCGCTGGCCGTTGAACACATGATAATAAAATCCCACCAACGCAATCCAACAACACCAATCCTCCAAGCCGTCATACAAAATCTATCAGGATTTTGGTGAAGGAAAAGTTCAAACATATATGGTGTGACTCCAAAAAACGCCTCCTAGATTATGCAATTGGACCGGATGCTTGTCGTGCATGGAAAAAAAAGTTAAACGCCACTCCGATGCCCGGGGCTTCCGTGGCCGAATGTACCAGTGCACGACTGGAGCACTCATCCGGCAGACTGTTGCCGAGAATGGAGTGATGCTTGCATCGTTCGACTCGTAAACATTGAAAGGATCGGTAGTCTGAGGTGCTGGAGCGGAAGATGCCGTGTGGAATGGACGGCTGTTCTCGACGTTGGGGGAATAGTGGGAGACGTTGCGCGCAGAGGTTGATTTCACCACAGTCTGCGCGGGGTGTAGCAGGGCGTCGGGTGGGGGGGTCAGAGGATGGTGCACTTCGGCTTCTTGTCGTTGCCCGGCCTGCTTCTTGTGCGGTCGCTGGTTCGACCCTCCTTGTGCTTGCCGCCATGGCCACGGGGGCCATCGACGTCGTTGATATAAGGGCGGCCCCTGCCTGTACCGTTACGTGCGGATATCTTTGGGGGTTTGTCAATCCTGCCGGCACCCTGGTGCCGCTGGCGCCGGAGCTGACGCACAACCTCATAGAAGGCCTTCTCGACGTTGACGCAGTTCTTGGCCGAAGCCTCGACAAAGTCGCAACCCAACTCTTTTGCCAGAGCACTACCTTCCTGTGTGGAGACCTCGCGTTCGGTGACGCGGTCGCATTTGTTCCCTACGAGCATGACGGGCGCAGGGCCATAGCTCGCGGAGCCGAGGGAGGAAGTACTCAGAGGCGATCCCGGATAGGTGGGCGAACCCGAGAGGGCAGTCTCCTTGACACGTTGAATCTGGCTGTAGAACTTCTGGATACGCGCAAAGGAGGAGCGCGAGGAGATGCTGTAAACCAGGACGAAGCCCTCGCCGTCCCTTATCCATTGGTCTCGCAGGGCAATGTACTCTTCCTGGCCGGCAGTATCCAGCACCTCCAGCATGCACGATTGACCATCGATCTGGACCTGCTTGCGATAGGAGTCCTCAATGGTGGGGTCATAGGTTTCGACAAAGTGATTCAAGCACAGCTGCAGGGCAGGGTCAGCATTGAAGGACAGAGGGCCCAAGTTGGGTGGCAGCTTACCTGGATGGTCAGAGCGGTTTTACCCACGCCTCCGTCTCCCAAGACGACCAGCTTGTACAATGTCATCTTCCCCGCCATTGTGGAGGAGGTATTGATGCAGGGTTTCGATCCAGGTCCTTGGGTGAGGAGGGCTGGAGAGGAGCAGTAGAAGGCGGACTCGGCCAGGAATCAGGGACCGGGAGGAGCGACACCACCACAGTAAGGCGGTGATGGGGCTGAAGGATGGAGTCGTGCAGGCACCAGGCCACGTAGTAGGTATGTCGGTGGGTGGAGGCGACGTGAGCAGGTGACGGGTGGGCGCTCAGCTTTGCTCGTAGAGTAGGATAGGAGCGGAGGGAGAGGGATCTGAGTTGGTCGTGGGGCGAGAAGCGTCGTGGAGAGGAAGTGGGTAGAGAGAGAAACGGGAGAGAAAGAGCAGACACGACGACGACGAGGACAGGTGGGCGTGTTGGCGGATCGCTGCAGCAGCTTTTCAAAACGTCGATCTGGAGGGTTCGGATCGCAAGCGGGGGACGATGGCGAAGCACAGGGTGACACGGCGAACGAGGAGGAGGAGGAGGAGGAGGAGGAGGAGTGGGCGGGACGAGTGCACGGGGTGCGGCGGCAGCAACAGGAAGCGGTCGGTGGCACGGGTTGTCGAGAAGCAACGAGAGGGTTCGACGAGGTGACGGGTGAGGCCGCAAAGGCAGCGGAAGCAGTCGGGAAAGGGTCTGGTCTTTGCGTGGTTGCGATTTCCTGGGATGATGGATGAAGGATGATGGTCTGGAAAGGGGTGGAACCGTGGGACTGTGGGTGGTGGGCGGGCGGGGGCGCACTCAAGCGCTGGGAGAGGAAGCTGGGCCGAGCGTTTAGGGAGCTTTCACGTGATGGCTGGGGCAATTGATCCATGGATCCATGGATGCCCCCGGGCCGGCACGTGCGGGTTCCGGGGCCTCTCTGTTCGCTGCCCGAAAGTGCAAAAGCAACGAGGCTGCGAGAAGTCGACGTACTTGTATGTACATACATACTAACTAACATACAGTACTCCGTAGCTAGGAGGGAAAAACCAGAGAGACTTTCTTTCCATCACAGCAAGTGCCTCGGCCTTTGCCTCTGCGCGCATGGTCGTACCAACAGTGTCGGGAGAGACAGCTGCATCCCCTTCCTCTTCTTCACGGCACGGGCAAAGTCTGCCTTGCCGCGAGTATGCAGAACGCAGGATGGACCTGGCCCTGGACCTGGACCTGGACCTGGACATGGAGGTGCGATTGCTGCCACGACTGGCCGACTGTGTATACCGCAGTACAGTACAAGTAATATCGCACACGGCGCATCCCGGTCGCCGGAACTTGCTGTCTACTGCTATTACTGTATGTACAAGTATGGTTCTGTCGCCCCCAGCTTGGTTAAGGTGCACATGCAGTCTTATAGTCGGTTTTCCGGCTCAACTTCTATCTCTTAGACACACAGAAACTGGATTTCAGAATAGTACATCTACTTGTATGTATGCTCTAGATTACAAACGCTGGGCTAGTGGAATCTAGCTAGACTAAGATCGGCTAGGTTATAGGAACAAAAAAAGCCTTGGAAGCTTCATAAAGCACGTGCGGGGGTAGGCCAACATTGAAGTGGAAACGCTACCTGGGAACCAGCCTTGATGGCAACATCCCCCTCTACTCCCAAACTCCCTGCCATTTGCTTTCCAAGGTTCGGTTAGCGACACAGCACGACATCTCGACGACATTTCCGGATTGGAATAGAGGAAGCCTTCAACCGGGCAAAAAAATGGCCGCCAACGAGAAGAATGCTGTAGAGATCGCAAAGGCGCACAAGTTGAACCACGTTCCCTGGTGTGAAGAGTACGAAAGGATGCTATCTGGCATGCTGTATAGAACGAATCCCCCAGGTTACACTTGTGTATTCGCTCGCTGACGCTGAAAGTTACAATGCATCGGCGCCCGAGCTGCAAAATGCACGCTTCAGAGCTCGAGCCTGGGCACACAAGTACAACAACTATTTCCCCTCCGACGACACCAACCCCACCTTCGAAAGCCTTGCCAGGGAGAGAGAAGAGATGCTGAAGCGGATATTGGGGAGCGTAGGCGACGACGTCTTCATCGAGCCCCCCTTCGCCATCGACTATGGCTGCAACATCAGCTTGGGGAACCGCTTCTACTCAAACTTCAACCTGACCATCCTGGACTGCGGAACCGTTACCATTGGCGACCGCTGCATGTTTGGACCCAACGTCTCCATCTTCGCGGCCACGCACGAGACGGAAGTCCAGAGTCGCAGGGATGACGTTGAATTCGCCAAACCCGTCACCATCGGCAGTGACTGCTGGATCGGAGGACATGTGGTCATCCTCCCCGGTGTGACGGTTGGGGATGGGTGCACAATTGCCGCTGGCTCCGTCGTAACCAAGGATATCCCGCCTTGGAGTGTAGCCATGGGCTCGCCGGCTCGCGTGGCCAAAAAGGTGGTCCCAGCCCCGCCGATACAGGCGTAGTGCGTAGTTGTCGGGTTGTCCGTCTCCAAGACCAGAGATATGCAATGATTGAGGATCTGTTTGCACAGGGAAGTGAACTCAAGCAATCATTGTACATTACAAACCCCAGCGCTGGGTGCATCTATGATCTTGCTGTAGACATTTGCTTTCGCGCTCCAACTGCACGGTTGGACAGCTGTCAGAACGAACACGCGGACTCGATGGACTCCCATGGACCTCTACTGTTCGTTTCCCGGACCTCGTTTGGGCTCCCAGTCTGGTGGCGCCAGCTCAAATCCGCTCTCGACGAACCCAGGTGCCACAGTCGTTCCCACCAACGTCCAATCTCCAAGGCTCCTGGCCCTCTGCCATTGGTGCTTCTCAACCACTACCTGTGGCCTCTGGTTCTCGAAGATGTTGGGACCTAGGAGGTGTGTCTCTGTAGGCTTTCCGTCATCGTATGATAGCTCGAGAATAAGCGGTGAGCCAGCATAATAGTGCCAGACTTCGGCGGCATCCACCCGGTGCCAGTATGACGACCCTACGGAGCCCTCGAGGAGATAGTAAATGGCTGTACTGTAGGATCGATTGTTGAAGGAAGTAGCATCTCGATATGTCTCGGTGAACCATCCCTTTTCGACGTTGGGTTGGAGATTGAGTGCCTGGATGACTTCTTCCGCACTGCGCTTCTCGATCCCGGCCATCCTATTGCCGCCGTGTGCATCAACTGTCGTGAACGATGCCCAAATCAGAGAAGCCAGAAACCATATGCGGGAGAGAATATGCATGCGTGATGCAGAGCAAAGGCGATCTGTGACGGAGGCGGCGGAGTGATTTGAATGAGTTATCGTCGCGAAGGGAAAGCCTCGAGCAAGGCGCACATAATGCAGGCTAAGAGTGGCGGGCCGTGGGGAAGTGTTATAGGTTACTCAGAGTTGACGTGAGCGCTGTCATGGTTGTGATGGGACTCTCATCTTGCGCACTGATGGATGGGATCAGCACCGGAGTTTCGCTAATGTCCGGGCAGATTAGGCAAGCTCTCCGACTGCAATTGGCCATGACCAACAACGCTGCGGCTTTCGGCTATGCCAATCGTCCGAGTTCTGAAGTGTTGTGCGAGAAATGCTGACAATGCGGGAGAAGCCATCTATAATGGACCCAATGGCTGCTGCTCCTCCTCCTCTACCACCATCATCTCCTCCTCCTCCTCTCTCTCCTGCTGCTGCTGCTGCTGCTGCTGCTGACGGGGCCGGAGGGGGAGGGCGGCGGCGGCGGCGGCGGTGGTGGTGGTGGTGGTGGTGGTGCGGTAGAGGAGGTAGAGGAGGTAGAGGAGGTAGTAGTGGTGGTAGTAGCCAGGGGCCTATCTGCAAGGTTAGCGCAGTTTAAGAGGAAGGGAGCAAAGCGGAGAACCTACTAATAGTATGGATGATGCCTACTAAACTGCGCATCTCGGGGCTGTCGTCGATTAGGGCCTCCCTCCCCTCCCTCCCCCTCCTCCTCCTCGGTCGAAAACGGCATGGCGACCGTCGACGGTACGCGTTGTTGTGAAAAGACACATTCTCAGCTGCAGTCGATACTGAGGATTGAGAGACGGAAAATGAGGAACATGGCTGGAATGGATTGCGTTGGTGATAGGTTAGGACCATCGATCCCATGACGTGCGCCAAGGATACTTGTTCTCGGCCCATCCATGGATGCAGACTGTGTACTGTGGATGCATACATGGCTAACAATTGGGTATCTCTGACAATGGCTCCAAAACTATGGAACCCTAATTTTACAGCGATGGTACACTTTTTACTATGGCCAAGGCGAGACTGTTCATGGCTTCTCAAAGTCGACCTTTCCGTTGTGCACGGTGGCATATCGAACTTTGGACCCGTCACCTGCTTCCTGTGATGCTATGGGCGTCTTTGGCCCGGCCGCGTGGCTGGCCTCGATCTCTCTTATGTCTTCCCGTATCTTCCGCGAGATGGTATCCTGCAGAGCACCTGGGGGGCTCGCGGCTATCTCGTCGACGTCCTTCAAAGTGAGCACATCGCTTACTCGTGAGCCCCGTGATTGAAGCAAGAGGGTAGTGGGGCCCTCGAAGCGGACGAAGAGCTGGTCACGTTAGCTGAGGTTGTGACAATACTGGTTTGCCTGGCGTGGTGACGTACCCGATCCCCCCATATCGATCGCCTCAGCCACGTTTTGACTGTATGCGCAACAGTCGCCAGTGTTCTCCAAGTCGGAGTCTCACTCATCACCCTGAAGAATTTGATGTTTTGCAAGAGAGAACCAAAGCCCAGGTCGGGAACCTGAAATACGAGGCTGGAGGACTTGAACCGGAATGGGAGCGGAGGGCTAGCGGATGCAGTATAGGCCACTACATTGCTGCAACAAAGTAAGCACCACCAAGGCTCAAATGGGCATGTACGAACCTGGGATGGGCAACGTAGCTTTCGCCGGCTTTTAGTCGCACTTGGTAAATCTGGCCAGTCCCCGTAAGGGCAAGCAGGCCTCGTCCGGTGACATGGGTGTTGCCCCAGTTGGCCATGCCCAACTTGAAGTTGTATTGAGGTTTGAGTACGAGAGTGAGACCAGTCCAGGCGAGGAGCGCCTGGCGCTGTGCAATAAGCCAGTCTTGTCGGCCGTCAAGATGGACCGTTACGATGGAGGATATGGGAGATTTGGTGGAGATGAGAGCGGTAATAGGAGATGTTGATGTAACCTGGAGTTTCGTTAGGAACAAGACGAAAGGCTTGAGAGTGGAGCCAAGGTCTCCCACTTTCTGGTATAGGAACGGAATTCCGACGGGTGCACGTCGAAATGGCTCGAGAAAGGACAAGGTAGAGAGAGTCTGTGAGGGTGAGCTGACGACTCACAGCTTTGCGGCTGACGACTAGCGGAGTTTTACATTCTCTCCTTTGCCACTGAGGCCAACCAATGTTCCACGCCGGGTGTAGAGCTGCTGGGAGGCTGAAAGAGAAGCGGAGAGGAGCGAAAAGGGTGAACCGATGACTTCGAAGCGGGCATCTGAACTCTGGATCAGCGAATGACGGACATGGTGAGGAACGGCAGAGAAGCATACCTGGGGAGGGAATTGGTCCTGGAGGCGTTTCAATGGTGGCGGGGCGATCGAGGGTGGGTTCTGAAATGGGCGGCGCAATGGCCGTGATGTTGATGCATCGCACAGGAACAACCAGAGCACGGCGAGCGGGCCGTACGGCGGGCGCGAGGGCGCGCAGACAGCATGTCCGGAGACAGGAAGCAGCCGGACGGAGCATGGCTGGTGGCTGGTTGCTGGTTGCTGGCGGCTGGCTGCGCGCGTCGTGACGTCCACCAGCGTAGCGCTCAAGAAGCTGGACGCAAGCAGATTTCCGAAGTCCACCGTCCAGATGCACCTGCACTGTGACACAGCTCCCAGGGCCCAGGGCTCCACCGGAGCTGCCATGCACTGAGTAAGCCGCCAGGAGAAGGGAAAGCGGTCCGAAAGGGAAATATATCCGTAAGAAAAGGCTGGAGCTGTAGCCTAGCCACGGGGATGGCGATAGCGGGTATTACCAATCTTTGAATACGATACGAGTTTGGCGTATTCAATCAACATCATAGCTAGCGACAACCCCTTCAATCGCGCCATCACGAACTCCCGCCCGCCCGCATAGAGCTCCAATCTGCTCCTCCCCGATCCCTCTACAGTCCTGCGCTTCTGCTCCGCCGTCCCGTCTCTGAATATGTCCCTTGTGCAATGCTGATTCCGCCGCTTGCCCGCGCCGCCTGTCGGCCGGGCCTCCCACGGTTGCGCCCTCAGCGGCTGCCCTCGTCCCTCACACGAGTCTTTGTGACCGGTTCCGTCCACCGAAAAGATGCCCACGGTCAGCGGGCGCCCTCTGCTGCGTCCAAGGTGCCTGCGAAACCCGACGCGCTGCTTTCTGAGCAGGTCGTGTCGACCCAACAGCAGCGCAAGGCGGATTGGGCCATCATGAAGGAAATGTCACGATATCTCTGGCCCAAGGACAATCTGGGCACCAGGGTCCGAGTAGGGCTGTCTGTAGGGCTGCTTGTTGGAGCCAAGCTGCTCAATGTGCAGATTCCCTTCTATTTCAAGAGCATCGTCGATTCCATGAACATTGATTTCTTGGCCGTTGGAGGCACGGCGTGGACAGTGGCAGGTTCCATGGTGATTGCCTGTAAGCTCGCCACGCTCCGGACAGCTATCATGCAGACATTTTGCTGAGGGGGGTAGATGGTGTTTCACGCATGGGTGCTACCTTGTTCCAGGAACTTCGTAATGCCGTCTTCGCCAGCGTTGCTCAAAAGGCCATCAGGAGAGTTGCCTGCAGCGTTTATGGTCATTTGTTGCAATTGGACCTGAGCTTTCACCTGTCCCGCCAAACTGGAGGCTTGACTCGGGCGCTAGACCGAGGAACCAAAGGCATTAGTTTCCTCCTTACGTCCATGGTTTTCCACATACTCCCAACCGCCTTAGAGATATCGTTGGTCTGCGGTATATTGGTAACCCACCCGTCCATTGTTGCTTGCGCCCAAACATCTAACCCCTTGTAGACATACCAGTATGGTGCACAATTTGCCTTGATCACAGCGGCTACCATGACGGCCTACGCCGCCTTCACGATTCTGACGACGTCGTGGCGCACCAAATTCCGCAAACAGGCCAATGCCGCGGATAACAAGGCTGCGACCACTGCAGTAGACTCGCTCATCAACTATGAGGCTGTCAAGGTGCGCCACACATGACTCAAAGCAGGGGCAAGATCAGAGGCTCACTGCATCACCATAGTATTTCAACAACGAGAAGTATGAGATTGCTAGATACGACAAGTGCCTCCAAGCGTACGAAAAAGCATCCATCAAGGTTGCAACATCCCTGGCATTCCTGAACACTGGGCAGAACATCATCTTCTCCAGCGCTCTGACAGCCATGATGTACCTGGCAGCGAATGGCGTCGCAACCGCGCAGCTCACTGTCGGAGATCTTGTCATGGTCAATCAGCTCGTCTTCCAGCTGTCGGTACCCCTCAACTTCCTTGGATCCGTATATCGAGAGCTTCGCCAGAGTTTGCTCGACATGGAAACCTTGTTCAATCTCCAAAAAGTCAACGTCGGCGTCAAGGAGAAGCCAAACGCGCCACCACTCAAGCTTTCTGCCGGTGAGATCAAGTTTGAAAATGTCACTTTTGGCTACAGGCCCGATCGCCCAATCCTCAGAAACCTATCCTTGACGATCCCTGCCGGAAAGAAGGTGGCTATAGTAGGGCCCAGTGGATGCGGGAAATCCACCATTTTGCGACTCCTTTTCCGCTCATACGATGTACAGGAAGGAAGGATTTTGATCGACGGCCAGGACCTGCGAGACGTCACCAAGGACAGCTTGCGAAAAGCCATCGGCGTTGTGCCACAGGATACGCCCCTCTTCAATAACACCATTGAACACAACATTCACTACGGAAATCTGGAAGCAACCAGGGAACAGATTGTGGAGGCTGCCAAACGAGCACACATCCACGAGACTATCCAACATTTCCCAGATGGGTACCAAACCATGGTTGGGGAGCGCGGCATGATGATTTCAGGTAGGCGGTTCCGTCATCAGAACAAACGATAGGTACCTGATGCTAATGCGTGCGTAGGAGGAGAGAAGCAGCGCCTGGCGGTATCTCGTCTCATCCTCAAAGACCCGCCACTTCTCTTCTTCGATGAAGCAGTATGTGCTCATCTCGCTTTGCCTCCTCGACTCCACTGATCACAAGACAGACCTCTGCATTAGATACCCACACCGAGCAGGCATTGCTATCGCACATCAACAGCATCCTGAAGGAGAAGAAACGCACTTCCGTCTTCGTGGCCCACCGTCTCCGGACCATCTACGACTGCGATCTAATCATCGTGTTGAAGGGCGGCCAGGTCGTGGAGAGTGGCACGCACGAGCAGCTTGTAGACAAGGCTGGCGTTTACTCGGAGCTCTGGAGTGGTATGTTGCCTGCATGGCTGTCTCCTAACCGCACTAACACCGTCACAGCTCAGGAGACTCTCTTCGCTGATAGCGGGGAGGAGGCGAAACCGCCAAGACAGAAGCTTGACGACCCCCAGAAGGTGCTAAGATAACGTCGCGGACCATGAGATATGGACCCACAGTGCAGGCTATTTGAGTCTGTATTTGTTGTTTTTGAGCCCTGGAATAGCTTGATTGGCTTCTGGTGATCTCCGCAAGTAATACCCCAGCCTAAAATCAACGGCCATATACGTACGTCTTCACCATTCTCCACTAATATGAAAACAATATACCCGGATGAAGGGCTCCTGATTATCCTATGGCGGCTACGAGGGCGTGGCTGAGATAGAAAACAGATGTCTCACCAGATATTGACCCAACATCAGCAGCGCCGATTGAGGCGGATTAGAGGACTCGTGCAGTACGTCGTAGAGCACAAACGACCGAAAAGGATATCAAGCTAAATATTTCCGTACCAACTCAGGTGGCTACTATATAATATAGAAGTGCAGTGCAGAATAGCATCGTGAATCGCCGTCATTAGTCTCGATTGATTACCCTTAAACTCCTTCTCGGGTTTAGCAATACACCCCGCGCGCCCCAGAAAGTAGGCTCTTGCCCAGCGAGCAAGTCCTCGGTAGAGCTCGAGCCACTACTCCTCCTCCCCAGCGGGTCGACAACAGATGCCGGCCCAGCATCATTGCTCATTCGCGCTCCTCCTGCGCTCGAGCTATCCGTCGGTGGGAACAATGCATCGCTCGCGTTCCTGTCACTCGAGTCCTTTCCTGAGGCAGAAGTTGCCGTTGGCCCCGTGGCACCAAGAGCGCCGTCCGGATGCTTCTCAGTTCGGGCAGCAGTCGCGGCGGCATGTGCCTTCCACATCTTGACCTGCTTCCTGTAAACCCAAGCACAGAAGGCCATATACCCGGCTACCACAGCAAACACCCCGGCAATGGTGCCAGCCACGATGGCACCTGTGTTTGTTCCTCTGCCGCCACCACCTGAACCACCGCCTCCGCTTACCTCGGTGATTACGGCTCCATTCGGACCTGTGACAGTGTAGGTATGTGGCCTTCCAGTCACAAGCGGACCTTCAGTCGGAGTCTGAACCGGTGCAGTCAGCGTTGCGCCACCTGTCTCCTTACCACCGATGACGGACTGGACAAGAGGTGGTACAGCGTAGCCATAGGAACCTTGCAGTCCAGCTTTGGCATCGAATCCCCGTTGGTTGGCCTGCTGGGCGAGCGGGTTTCCACTGTCTTTGTTCCCATCAAACGGCCGAAGTGCTCGTTCGCCGGTGAGGGCTGTAAATTGGTCGGACCACTGCAGGCTCGATGTATTGAAGACGTATATGCCCGGAGCATCACAAGACAGCTCTTGGCCAACATATCCACCAACCACAATCATCTGGCTGTCCCATATATGGCAGGTGTGGCCTGCGCGCGGGTAAGGCACAGACTGATCCGGTCCCATCTTAACCTCGATCCACGTGAATGACGGAACGGAGAGGATCCACATATCGTCGTATTGAGTCTGGTTTTTGAATGGCTGAAGATTTTGCCCGCCAAACATGTAGATGTTATACGAAGAACCACTGTTTCAACCTGTCAGCGAACCATATCCGGCACTATCGAGGTCAAGTGACGTACTCAGCGGCGGCAGCTACCACAGCACAAGGGTTGACTCGGTACTGAGGTTGTCTACCGCTTGTGCTCTGCTTGTACCACTTTGAAGTGGCAATATCGAAGACATCAATGACGTTCATTTGCGTCTGTAGACAGTAAGCAGACGACACGTAGAAGAGGCTGGGTCGGCATTGACGTACAAACGACTCGTTGACTCCACCGGTGAGTCCTAGCAAGATACCTTCTTCACCAAAACCAGGTATGTACACTAGAAGGCCGTCGGCTCGTTCGGGGAAACCGGCCGTATCCTGCAGGCCACCTTCGGTAATGTTGCGATAGACGCCCTCAGGACCGGCTGTCTTTCCGTCCTCGAGGGTTTTGACCTGTTTATTGGTATACCCGGGGAAGGTAAACTCCAGTAGACTTTTCAAGTATACCCGAGGAACTTGGTTGCTCCAACCTTCGGTGGTAAGGAAGTCCAAGTGACCGCCAAAATACCATCCTCTCCCAAGCGTGGCGACACCAAAACCGGCTCCCTCGGCAGAGCGGTGAACTGGCTGGCCGTCATCCGGCGCATGCTCACCTGCGGATGTCTTGGGTTCTTTATGTTCGACCCATTGATTGGACCCGATCTGGTACTCCCAGGTGGAGAAGGCAGTGGGCGACGCTTGCGGGTCGTCCGAGAATTCTCCCCCGTAGAAGAAAAGTGAGTTGAGCGAACCCCAGAGGTAACCCTAGTAGGCGTGAGTCTCAAACACTGAATTACAGTACATGTCTTGATCGCTTTACCATTGATACTTTGGGCGGACCCGAGGGCCGTGGGAGGCCCCTCAGAGATGGACTGCTGATTTGCCAGGACTTTGTGAGATCAAGAGCCAGGAAATCATTAGCTAGCACTATTAGTGAAATGGTAAGAGCGTCACGGAGTATGCAAGTACGTACTCCATGTGTTGCTTGTCTGCTTGGAATCGGTGGTCGACCGGCCGCCGTAGATGTAGAGTGTTCCGTTGACCACGGCAGCTGACTTTTATTAGTAGCCCGTGCGGTTGGGAGAAGGACGGTACCTACACTGATGCGCCCACCGTTTGCAGACCTGAGTATTCGTGTCTTCTCGCTTGCTAACAGTGGCCTCACGCGCATGTGACGGGATAGCACTTGCTCTCGCTCCAATTGAAAACAAGGGATTGGTGTGCAAGATAGGCAGCACCAATATCAGGCCCAGCACGAGCAAGGCCAGCCGGTGCGCCTGCGGGCTTAGGTAGGATAGTGGCCGCATATTCGAATTTGCAGATGTTGCCATATCCGCCAAAGCCGGTCCCAAGGCCTCGTCCAGGTCACTGTTGTTGGCATCTTCACCCTCCTCGTCCCCGAACAGGCTGTTTTGGCTTCTGAACCGTACTGTTCGGCTAGGACGTATGCTTTTCGGCGTGCGGCGCGATATCAGGGTCGGAGCCGGTGAACGTTCGCGTTGGACAGTGGCTTCGTCAACCAAGCCAACTTCCATGAAGACTGATTTGCGACGCTTGGGAACTTCCATTTCCAGATGATCCAGCGACTCGCACGTCTGTACTTCCCACAACATGATGGCCGAGCGGCAGCGTTGAGCGAAGCTTAGGGATAGCTGAGAGATAGCTGAGAGGCAGGTGGACAAGGGTCTTCCTTCAAACCAATTATGCTATCAAGATACGAAGTTCAGGATTTCGTCACCAGTACAGAGAAATTGCTTGGTAGCACTGTAGAGTTTGGGATAACACAGACAGGTGGAAAACGTGAACAGCGTAGGTTGCACGCGTCGATCAAGTCGAATGAACCACGGAGTAATAATAAGGAGAGCGACAGCCAGGCCCATGGCCAGGACAACAGCAAAAAGAATCAGGACCATGGTGCGGCGATATGCTGGAAAGAAGGGGGAACGTCATGAGGCAGCCCATCATGGTAATGATCGAAGCCTCTCGCTGGACCGGCTGGGGTTCGCATTGGTGGGGCCGGCAACGGTCGGGCACATATATTTCAAAGGTTGAAGGACCCTGGCGCCAACCGACGTCACCTCACCCGTGCACGCAATTCAAACAACAGGTTGATGATGGTCCCCCACACTCCATCTTCAAAACTGGGTTGATTGCCCATGGAAGTCCGTGTTGCGGTCGCAGCTGCGCCTTTGATTCGGCCTGTCGTCTTTCCGGATTCTGCATGTCGAAAGGGGTCTCTTGGATTCTCGTCTGCATTCAAAGGACTCAGTCACCGTGTCCAGCGACTGGGGGCGACGTACTCCAGACAATTAATGACTGACCTTGATGCCGAACAGCGTACTGTGTACGTGCAAGCAGGACCTTTATGGAGAACTTCGGCTGCCACCCCGCATTGGTCAGCCTCGCTTGGTCGGTTGCCCCACGGATTCATCTCGAGGCTCCCTGCACAGGCTGTCTTCCCTCTCCACGGCTGTTTTCTTCTCTGCCTTTGCTGCCCAAGCCCAGGGCGGGTCACCGTCGTCGTCAAACTCGGCCCATTGGAAAAAGGAGCAACCTTCTTGCCCCGGGATATAATTGGTATGGCACATCCACATGTACCTACCCCGTGTCTCCTTTCGTCTCATGACGCAGCGCAGCACAGTCGGAATTCCACATTTGCACCTTGGTGTGTACTTGGGATGCAGATTGTCCTTATAGCTCCTATAAGTGATATTAAGCCGCTTGTTCCCCGCCAGCGGATGGGGGTCGATGGCCTGAGCCGGAGCGATGGAGTGTTTCCACTCCTCCTGCATGTCTGCGTGCATGACTAGGAGCGAATTATGCGGGAGATGGATGGATATTTGTCCCTGTGCATCGGCGAGCGAGCCGTCCTCTTTCCGATGATCTTCGTCTTCCGCAACAATCTTGCGGATCCGGAATTCGCGTGCCACACCCAAACTCAAACTCCCAATAACAGCCCGGGGTCCAAGGTAGGTAAGCTGGTCAGTATGATAGCCGACGCTCTCATGGGGCCCGTCGTAACAGTTTACAAAGGCAGTGTTGGCACGCCATGGCTCGGGGGACTGATATTTGAGCTTTCTGCCGTTGGGATAAAAGTCGCGTATACGACGTTGGATTTCACTGTTCACAGCCTCTTCAACCTTCTTGGATGCCTTGAGCATTTCTGGAGTGCTCTGGCGCACGTCCTGCATGCGTATTAGACGGAGGAGGCTCCAGAGGGAATAATATCACGAGGACCACTTCAAACCTACCTCGACCTTTCTTCCATCATAGATATATTCCGCCTTCTGCTCCTCCGCGTCGGACAGAGAGTTGACGTAAAAGCAGAAGGTATGCGGACTTTTGACCACTCTCTCAAAGAGCTGGAATTCCAACTTGGAGTAAGTCGGAGCTTGTTCAAGCAACTCGAGCAACAGTGCGTCTGCTTCATTGGCAGGAAGAAAGTTGTGAATAATGGAGCATGGCGTATGAGCTTCGATGTCCTGCGGGTCATACAGGTGAAGAGTTCGCCCTTTCCTGGTCCGGGGCCGTTTGGTCACTTCGGTGTCGCCTGGCGCGATCCCGTAGGCAGAGAGCGACGACTGGTGTCCGATGCGCGAGGGTGCGGGCTTCCTTGTGGGAGAGAACGCATGATCGCGACCCAAAGCCACCGAAGCTTGCTGGACAGAGCCTTCGAAATGGATAAGCGCCTCCAGGAGTACGTCTCCATCGAGCTGTGGGTGTAGTGACGCCAGCAATGCCAGCTTGAGTTCAGTCGAGTCCTCGTCTTCGGCGGTAGGCTCGGGGCTAGGCGAGAGTCTTCGGCGCTTGCGAGACACGAAGGTATCCATGGATCACGGTGATGCGGGAGAGGGTGCTGGAACGCAGTTCTTTTTTTTTTCGCCCAAGGTGCCCAGGTGAGGTGAGGTCCAGCCCTGGAGATGACGGCCTTCCGCATTCGGCTGGGCGTCAGAGCGCGACGTGTGGACAAAAACAGGATGATTATTTAGAGGTGTCGGTCCTCCGTAAGTTATACGGAAAGGTCCTAACTAAGCAGCTAGTTACGTGCTATGTACGGTGCTAAGTAATCTACGGGAATCACCACAGACGGGAGCACGCGAAGTCATGTGCTCTTGAGCCTCGGCCCCGCGGTCTACGCTTCACCAGCCACACCCCATCCCACCCGTTCAACGTTCAGCAGTTTGCTCGCTGCACCCAGGAGCTTGCTCGTCCAATTCCTCCCAGCGCTCCCCATGCTTCCACCATGCTTGAATTCCGTACGCAAGGCTTCAATGGCTACAGCGTCAAGTACTCGCCCTTCTTCGACTCGCGCATTGCCGTTGCCGCCTCCGCCAACTTCGGCCTTGTCGGAAATGGCCGTGTCTACATCCTAGGCCTCACCCCCAACGGCATCGTCGCCGAAAAATAGTACGTGCTTGCGCCCGCTCTACAGCCCAGGACGGGCCCTATAATCATGCAATAGAGCGTTAATTGAAGGCCATCCTATAGCTTTGATACCCAAGATTCGCTCTTCGATACGACCTGGTCCGAGACAAATGAGCATCAGCTACTTACGGCCGGCGGCGACGGCAGTGTGAAGCTCTTCGACATTAACCTCTCCGAGTTTCCCGTCCAATCATGGACTGAGCATGCCCGTGAGGTGTTTTCGGTGCATTGGAACCTTGTTTCCAAAGACACATTCCTCTCATCCTCATGGGATGGCACCATCAAGATCTGGAACCCCAATACCGCGAACTCCCTCACCACACTTCCAACACATTCGTGCACATACTCTGCCCAGTTCAGCCCCCACTCGCCGACAATTCTTTCGAGCGTATCCAGCGATTCGCATCTACGCATATTCGATCTGCGGACGCCAGCCAGCGCCTCCAACCACCTTACTCTGAACATACCCATCCACACTCCCCCGAAACCCCGTATGGGTGCAGCGGCCCCTGTAGGCATTCCACCGTCAGAGGCTCTCACTCATGATTGGAACAAATATCGTGACACCATCATTGCCACTGCTGGCGTCGACCGCTTGATCCGGACTTTCGATATTCGTGCACCTGCTCAAGGGCCCATCGCTGTGCTAGCGGGTCATGAGTACGCTGTACGAAGGATTACATGGTCCCCGCATCTCTCCGACATCCTCCTATCAGCGAGTTACGATATGACATGTCGGGTGTGGACCGATGGCAGTGCAATGGGCGCGGGAGGTCCCGCGAAGCAGGAAAACATGCTGGAAGCTCAGAACATGATACTCGGCGGTGGCAGGGAAATGGGACGAATGGGTCGGCATACTGAGTTCGTCACGGGCGTGGATTGGTGTCTCTTTGGAGCCGAAGGGTGGTGTGCCAGTACTGGCTGGGACGAGCGTGTGCTGGTTTGGGATTGCAGGGCCATCATGCAGTGACACCTTTTTATTTACCCAGAGGAAAAGCTGTGATACCATAGGTCATGGTGTATTGCACCTACATGCGGCGTTCGGTCGGGTATTATCTGGGCTTTGTCTAACCATTTCCGCCTGTCCACATTGGCATTTCGACGTGCCTGGGTGGGGTTTGCGATGCTCCCCACCATTCAACGATGATATTTACAATCCTCATCTCCGATTCTTACAGAAATATCTTTACAGATGGCTGATGATATAACTCATGGCCCTCATTTAACACAGGGTCGTCATGGCTCCAAATCATAGGGGAGGTGGTATTGCCGATACCCAAATCCTTCCATGGTTACCTCATGTCCCAGGCGCTCGAGTTCGGTCCATACTGCAGGATAGTGCTGCTTGATCCAATCCTCAACTCGCTTTTGCTTCTCGATATTGATCGTGGCATTGTACCAATTACCAAGCCTGGAAGAATCAGACTGACGGCCCCAAGAGATGGATGCAGAAACTTACATGTCGAGGTCAGGCGTGAAGCCATATTCCTCCTCGGCATGCTCTACGAGAGCCCGAGCCTCGTCATGCCGGAAATTGTTTGCAATAGCACGCAGGTATGCCACAAATATGCGCTTGTCGATATCCACGTCCATCTGTTTGAGCCTCCGCCATAGAGCTTTGGCGCGCTCATCTCCCCAAGGCATGCCCTCACATATCTTGAAAGCAATGGCAATGCTGTTGTAGGTGGGACCTTCTTTTGAATTGACGATATCCGCCCAGAGCTCAAAGGCTCGCCTATTGTTGCCTACCGCTGAGTGTGCCAACATCAGGGCGTTCCTCATCCGTGTATCCAGCTCGACGGTTAAATCGAGTTTGAGTTGATTGACGACCAGTTCCAGACTCTCAGCGTCCTTGAACTTGGCAAATCCGGCAAAGGCTGCCACATAGACGTCGCTATCAGCGCGAATCAGCTCGTGAGTATGGAAGCGCATGTGGAAGAAGACGTGGCAGGCCATGTCCGAGCGCTCCCGGGCAAAGAACTCCTCCATGAGGCGAAGTCGTACACTTCGAGGCGTCTCAGGGAAAATCTTCCTCGTCATCTGGTATGTATGCCAGGCATCCGCCGTGCTATTCCGACGATCGAGCGTAAAGTTCACGAGGGCGTCTCGTACAACTTCGCGCTGGCTCGGGGAGTAGAGGTGTACGTGGACTTGCATCAAATCCAGAGCATCCTGCCCCTCTCCTCTGCGGAGATGCAGCGTACACAGCGCCGCCACAGTTTCCGGTTCCAGCCATGACTTCCTCTGATGGAGATCGTCAACGATTGACATGATATCGTCAAAAGTCTGCTGCTTGGAGTTGCACATGGCACGAATGAGCTCATTCGTGACCGCAACGGAGCTTTCATCCTCGCTTCCTTGGAGGCCATAATATGCTGCCTTTGCGCCATCAACGTCTTTCGCAGCAAGGCGATATTGCATCTGCATAGTAAAGGTCTTAGCGTTCAACAGAATGCCGCGTTTCTCGGCAAGGGCAATATATCGTTCAGCCGTATAAGGGTCCCGCTTGGAGATGGAGAACTCCACTAGCGCGTTAATGGTGTCGATATCGGGTTGGATTACAGGTACTGAGAAATCCTTTTGTCGTGCTTCGTTGTTTCGACGGACCATGACATCCATCATCCGATTCACTTCGTCCACACCTTTTCCGATGGCTGCAGACCACACAAAGATCGCATCCCAAGATGGCTTATCGGGCAGTTGTTTAAGCAGGGAAGCTACAACCTGCTGGCCAAAGGACAGATCATCTCCCAAGGCACAGACCTTGAGGATTGCGGCATACGTGCTCCCGTGCGGTTCCGCCTCGATGCCGTCCGCTAAGGAAGTCACTGGTTGCGAATACCAGTGCTTCGCTTGCGCAAGGTTGCCTCTCTCGCCAAAAAAGGTTACCAGCACGCTTTGCATATCCGCAACGAAGGGGATCGAAAGGGTCGACATCAATTCTGCTGTTCGCAGTAATTCCTCTTCATTATTCTCACGAACAAAGCCGCGAAGAATAGCAGTCCATACAGTAGCAATACAAGACAACCGTGCGAAGGTCTCGGATTGGCTCGGTCTATACAATGAAGTAGCCAGATCTCTTGCTTCGGAAGTTGCGCCGTATAGGGTGAGAATGGCGAAGAACTGTGGTTGATCCGGAAGCTCGTTCGCGCTCACTGCCTCCGACGATCCCAGTTCCCGCTTCACCTCACATCTCTTACGCAGCTCGTCATTAAGAAGCTTCGCAAGCTCCAAATGCGGCCCTCCGCCCGTCTTAGGAGGCTTCTCGAGGCTCTTGAACACCTTGACTATGTCCTTTGTAGATAACCAGGGTGAGCCATTGTCGCGCGGACTTCCTTGGAGATATCTGAAGGCGTCGCCGGCAATGATGATGTGGAAATCCTCGCATCTCCGCCCTTTCAGGGGGAAGAACTCCTTGAAAGCTGCAGCCACCTCGCTGGGAGGTGGAGCGCGTGCTGACGTCTGCTGAGCGCGGGCTACTTCAGCTAGTGTATCAAGGCCCGGAAGCAGCTCTGCAGGTTTGACTTTGCGTTCTTGTTTGAAGATATTGAGGAAGGTTCGACGCTGCGAGGTGACTACCGGCCACCGAAACCCATTCTGCAGCACGATACGAGGAACAGTCGAGCGCTGGAGGCAGCCGCGGTACAGCAGTGGCTTGTTCGCAATGATGCTGCGGAAGACGACACGAGTAAGCTGTGACGGCATGACAGGACGGGGTGGGCCGGAGGAGGGATTGCGACGCGGAGCTACAGATTAACGGGCTATGTATGCAGCCATGGAGAGGATTGCGATGATGGCGCGCGACAGGCGAAGATGCGACGTATAGGAGGGCGTGCGGCGTGCGAAAGAGATCGCACTCGCAGAAAGTCGTCGGCAGACGTGAAATTGTTCCACGGCTGCCAAGCCGCCAAGCAATGGACATTTGGAGAAGCCGCAACCTCTCGAGTCTTTGCGGACAACACTTGTTTGAGGATACCTCTGTCCAGCGCTACCCGCAGCTCGCCATGTCGCTGTTTCGAATATCACAGCGAGCCCCAACCGCCCTTGGGCGACGCAGCGCGCGTTGCATATCCTCCTCAGCCTCCTTGCGCGCCGACCAGCCCTTGACTGACATCCTCGATGTGCTGCCCGGAGCCCGCTCTCCCGCACAGAAGCATCCTTCGTCCCCTACGTCCCAACAACCAGGCCGGTTCTCGCCCCTGTCATTTGCCCGGCAGGCGCTTCCAGCGAAGGGTATGAGAGAGCAGATGCAGCAGTTCGCAAAGGCCGAGGACTACACGAAGCAAATGTGGCGCCCATGGAAGTCGGGCGATGTGTACGCACCACACGATCTCTCCGGAGCGGAGCAGAAGAAGTGGAAGACGGGTCGCACTGCGCCTCAGACCGACGCATTCGATGTGCTCGGAATCAACCCCATCAACGAGTATAAGGTGAGCAGAGCCCCGTTGCCGAGTGATGTTGAGCTGACTGGCTTCAGAACTACACCATGATGTCGGAATTCATGACCGAGATGGGCCGTATTAAACATTCCAAATTGACTGGCCTGCGCCCTGTAAACCAGAGGAAGATTGCAAAGGCCATCAGAAGAGCGATTGGTCTCGGTCTAATGCCTTCTGTCCACAGACATCCACTTGTCGTCAAGAACAGCTCGCCGACGAGGTTCTCTTCGTAGTTTGGGGGCGCATGTACGATCATCTGTGCTATCTCCCGTTTGGATTTGGGAATAGACCGCATTTTTCAGGCCTTTTTTTTTTCTTTTTTTTTTGTTGCATGGAAACATTCAATGGCAGTGAAAGTCAGGACTGTGCCATGCACCCTGTACATTATCATCTTGTCCGTTTTTCGATACCTCTACGATTTGTTTCTCTTTACCATGAGACTTTCAGACATCATAAAATATCACACTGTTGGTGATGAGTACACATCGATGCCAGATGGACGTTAACAAAGATTTGCCCACCGCTGTGCACTAATGGGGTAGGATGACATTGGATATGACTACTTGCAAAACATGATCTATAACTGAAAGGGTATATATCCTCTCCCGACACGGCGGGCTCACTACACGGCTGTGACCTTGGGGCACCAGACCAACACCTCAAGTCAGAATTATGATACGGAAGACTGAGATTTCACAACAAACTTCGTGCCTCTTCTCTGTTCGGGTGGACCAACTGTAACGTCAATGTAGACGTTACCTCCCACCACCCATTTCATATACGGTCCCAGTGGGAGGATCTCTCGTTACAACTGGGTCCGGCGACTGTGTCGGTGTCGGTGTCGGTGGCACGCCGTTTGTCGGTGCATAGTACGGCGCTACATATGCCGGAGCGGGTGGAGGAGGGCTGGGGGCGGGAGACTGAACAGGCTGCTCATAGGTGTATGCAACCTTTTGATCGTACGGTGCCGGGGGAGGAGGAGCCCCCGGCGAGAAGTAGCCATGCTGTGGCGGGGGTGACTGAGGAGGTCCCGGTGGCGGCATCATAGGCGGGACTTGCCCCTGTTCCCCCATCTGAGGATTGAATTGAGCAGCCGGGGGAGGTGCGACTGCGTTGGCACCGACGGCAGGGTTTTCGACGGGTTGGCGTTTGCGTTTCGCCTTGAGACAGAAGAAGAGGATGATGGATCCGACGGCGAAGAGAAATGCGATGCCGGCAATGGCAGCGCCGACGATAGCCCCCGTGGAGACCTTGCTCTTCTTCTTGCGTTTCCCTCCACCCCCTCCGCCACCTCCAATGGCGACTGGGTCAGTCTCCTGGGCAGAGTCGGACTCGGTGGTGAAGGCGAGGATATCGGAAAGATCGGAAGTGAAATCAAGCAGGTCGCTGGAAACGCTGGTAAGAGCGCTATCCGTTACGACGTCATCTTCGCTCAGCGTAAGCAGGGAGACGGACGTGAAGGACGAGAAGAGATCATCACTGGCGCTGTAGTAGATGGTTTCCACGGAACGACTGGAGGTCTCGACACATCCAAAATCCTTGACGTCGTTGGAGGCATACGTCCAGGTGACGCAGTATGGGGCAGCGGCCCTCGTGCATTTTCGGACAAAGGTGTTGAGCCGACAATCCGCGTCGCAGGCACTGGAGCTATAATACTGGTCGTAGTCGACGCAGCTGCTCGCCCAGCCGCATGCTTGGTGGTCTGAGCCGTCGCAGCATCCTGCCATGCCGACTCCGCTGGCCGTGTACAGCGCGCATGTTCTTCCAACGGAGCAGGTAACCCAGGAAGCTGACAGTCGTTAGCAATCGGCAATGAACACATTCATCGGTCGGTGGAGTTACAGTAATCGCGATCGATCCAACCGCATGTATTTACACCGAAGCTGCGTTGTCGTTTCTGCAATTCCGAAATTGACGGGCCGTGTGTCGGCTTTGGGGTGAAGCCATTCAACGCCTTGTCAGGGCCGACATCTGTGGGTGCAGGGCCACCAAAGGCGATGCAACTTGCTGCGGGCAGAAGCGGAATCAAGCTGAAAAGAGCTCGTAATAACTGCCGGTCGAGCATCTTGACGGGTACCCTTCCTCCAGAGGGTCAGGAAACAAAGAGGAAAGGAAGAGTGTGGAGTAAGGAAAAAAGGGACCCAACAAACACCAGGCTCCGCGCTCTCTTCGCGTCCTCGCGTGGGAGCGAGGTCAACTTATTGGAACTCGACATTGTGAGTAGCTTCATCGAGCTGAAAGCGGCGCAGCAACGAATACGAGTTGTATCATGAGCTAAAGGTCGCCGTCTGGAGAGGCGTCGAATCACCTCACCCTCAGGGACTAGGGGTCCAGATGGACTGTGGCTGGAGTGGCACAGTGTTCTAGGTATCCCGAACCCGAACCACGTTTTGGGCAGAATTGTGTGTGTTTGTGGGTGTGTTGTGCATTTGAGAACCAATTGCTTCCAGATGACCCGAGTCGGATGCATTTCTTGGCCATCTCTGGAGTCTCGTATTTATTGCGAGCTTGTTGAGCCTTTGAGGGCTGAAAAACTGTCGGGCATCGACCTATCGCAGGGGCGCTTTTGGGGGCGCCCTGGTCCCGCGCCGTCAGAACTTTGCTTTGTTGAACGGGCAATTTTACTACTCGCGTGGGATGCAGAGGGGTGAATACGTGTGCATTGACACTGACACTTCCTGTTGCACAACCGCTCATTTGCACAGTTGCGCTCAAAATAGTAGCATCATTTCCTCGTGCCATGAAGCTTGGGTAGAAACTGTGCCAAGTTATGATTTGATCGACTTTCTCGCGAGCCGCATGCTGGCCAACAACTTCATTCAACATCACCTTCAGACGGCTACACAGTATGGTGGATGGATCAACATTTCGGTGCGGCACCTGACGCGGGCGCAGGTCCGCCTTCCTGCTTCTTCAGCCTCTCGAAGAGCTGCACAAAGGCCGCTGGCTCTTGGGCGCCGCCAATTTCAAAGCGGTCATTGATTGTGAAGTTGGGGACGCCGGAGATTCCTTGCTCGTACGCATCCTGAACCTCCTTGTCGACTTCCGGTCCCCCTCTGCCACTGTCCATCCATTGCTTCACTTCGGTCTCGTCGAGCCCAGCCCGGACGCCGATCTGGATCAGCACATCCTGCGAGGTGATGTCCTCCTGGTTCTCAAAGTAGGCCGCAAAGAGTTCTTCAATGACCCGAGTCTGGACCGCAGGTGATTTTGTCTTACCCAGCTGGACCAGTCTATGCGAGTCGCGCGTGTTTCCAGTCTTGCCGCCAAAGACGAAGTGGATGTCTTCGTGCTTCCCGAGCTCAATCAACCGTTCCCAGATCATGCGGGCGCGGGCCTCGCCAAATTTGGACTGATAGTATTTGACCTTGTCGATGCTCCTGGGTGCGTCGGGATTGAGGTAAAAGGGAAACCACGTCGTAGAGAAGCTATCATTGGACTCGGGATGCTTTTGTTTATACAACTCGATGGCCTTCTCTAGTCGCTTCTTCCCGACATAGCACCACCTGTAACGACGGGTCAATATATTCAGCTACGCCCTGTACGCTGGCAGCTCCAGGCACCTGGCAGGGTTTACTTACGGGCACACGGTATCCGAGACGACTAGCCTGCATTTAGCATCCGATTAAAACAAGCCTGAACCACACAACGCTCACTTACTCTTGATGTCGAATTGAGTCATTCTGCGTAAACTCTGCCTGAATGCCAGATTGACCAACGTGGGGAGAATGTAAACGTGCGACGTTGTACTTGTAACCGTGGATCTTGCTTTGTACTGCTGGTGTACTATGTATTATGTCGTTGATTACAAATCGCACGCCATCACCATCGGAAGGAAACCGAGGTTGAGCTTAATCCGACGTCAGGGGCACTTTCCATCACAACCTCGACTCGCCGGCTCCGACCGTCGACAACAAAATGCGACAACCGACCAACAAGATGACGGTGGACAGAAGATACGGATGGACTCTCATCATCTGATAGATACATCCAACATGGTTCGTGAGTTCCTCTCTCTCCCTGCATCGCCTTCGGGATCTCTGCACCCATACGGGTGACGCGATATCTTTCGTCCCATCTCGCCTCTTCGCAATGCAGACGCATATTCGTTATCTACATCATTCCAAGGTCGTCTTTGATGGCGAGTCGAATGGGAGTTGTGAAGGCGTGGCCTTTTGCTCCGTGTCTATACCTTGTTTTGTTTGTTTTGTTCTACGCGTCCTCCTCATTGCTCTGGTCTTACAATGTTCATCCACTTTTTTTTTGGGCATTTGCCGCTGCGCGACATCTTATCTACTATGCGCATATTTTTTTTTTTCGAGGCAGACGACTGGAAGAAGGCCAGACGGGCTTGGATGCATCCCGGTGCCTTAAGCAGTCGTCATGCGAAGAGGATGTGGAGCGGATGCTCATGTCGTTTTGATTTTGCACATGCTCGTTTTGGAGCTGACGTCATGATGCAGCAATCGAATAAGCCTACGCCGAGTGAGCGGACATTGTGTGAATACAATGTTACCAGTACTATGGTGGGCACATGTTGGCGGCGGCCTTGGAGCTACAGCGACAAACAGATGGATCCAGTATAGCCCCCTTGTACGGCATCCCCTGAGGGAGCCTTGTAGATATCCAGCTCGTGTGGCCGTGCCGAGATGCCTCCGGGTTGTTTTGCAGATGCCTCACCTGTAGAAGGTAATGGAGGTAAGCCGTTTCTGTATACATTCTTGTTCGTATCATCAGTGTCTCAGCCCTTAATATCTCCGCTGTCTTCTCCCTCTCGTCTTTGCGCGTTGTATTGCGGCCATGCCTGCTCTTTCACTCGCGTCGCCTGTCACTTTCGTGTCCTCACAACCACAACAACAGCAACAAACACGTGCATGTCTGCCCGCCATCATCCACCGCATACATAATCCTCCCTGCAGCATTTCCTAAAACCCCCCTCATCGTCTATATAATTCCCTTAAATCCTGCATATTACATCAAGCGGCCAGGAACGGCGGAGCGGCAGGATCGCAGCCAGTACTAAAACAAAGGCCCACAGGTGCTGAGTTCGATCCCCGGGTCAAACTCCAGTCCTTTCCTGGTCGGGGCATTCACCATCAAAAAAAAATCGGTACCACGGTTTTCAGGGGTGAGTCTAGCCTGCAGTGTTGGGGGGCGCTGCCTAGGCGGACTTTCTGTTTTTGCCATTTTTTTGTCCCTCTTCTCACTTTCTTCTTCCCCCTTTGGTGGCAGAGGTGGGGCGGCTGATGGGAGTGGGCTTGTGAGGTGGGCAGGTGGGCATCTTCTTGCTTTTTCGCTCGATTGCAGACTGCGCTCAGTATCTCTCGACAACGCATCGCCATCTTGACGCTAGACAACGGTCGCACTCGAAGTATATATGTATACATGGAAGGACCCAAGGACTCCCACCAATAGAGGCAGAAACTGCTAGAACTCATGCTCTAGGTTAAATGTATATATATAATCAAGCACGTAGCACGTAGCAAGTGAAATAGGTAGTGGTATCTCACATTTACCAACACCACGTCAAATGCACGTTTGCCTCACCGCCCTTCCACCCACCAAACCTTGAGTTGGCTTCACGCGACGACTCAACAACAAACAGTCCATGAACTGCGTGCATCCAGACTCAGTAACCAAGGAAAACCCATCTGCCAAAGTGTCTGTTATGTGCATACGGCCTTTCAGAGAAAGGTCAACTGGTGGTGCCTTACAAGGGTTCAGGCCATCAATCTTCATGACTCATCCCTGGCCAGTGACGATGAGATGGCATTGAACAAGGGATTTCAAAAAGGACCATCACCCGGTCAATGGAAGGGGTTTAGCTTACGTGGATGAGAATCACAGACCTCACAATACGTCAATCACATCACGAGAGCATCAAAGGAATGCACAGCAAGAACAAGATTCACCGGCAGAAACAATCTCCTTTGCATTTCATCCCTTCCCAGGAGGATCAAGCACCAAACCACCAATCAAAAAGAGTCGCCATGCTCGCTCGCTAGCGGAAGAAGAGGTACAAACGGGGTGATACAAGAAGTTAAAATCCATGTATACCTTCACATGCGTCCCTGTGTGAACGTTTGCATATGATAGATTTCCAGATCCAATCCCAAAACGTCCCCATAATGTCCCAGTATATCGCCCTAGTTCGAAGCCCTAGATTTTCCGTTGCCCCGATGCTCCAAATTGCGTGTCCAAAAGAGAAAAAGAGAAACATGGTTTCGACGCCTCATAAAGTGTTCGTTTGCGTTCGTTGTTCTAAGAAGAAGCAGCGTAGACCTCGCCGATAGGGGAGAGGCTGTTGCCGGAGATGAGCTGGTTCTCACCGCTGCCGACCATGAAGTAGGAATAGGCGTGGACCTTGTCGGAGTCGTCCATGTACTTCATGGCGGCGCGGAGGAACTTGGCCGAGTCTTCGGCCGTGGAGCCCGCGTTGAGGCCGAACTCGGTGACCCAGACGGGCTTGCCGGTCAACTTGGCGGCAGCCTCGATGTGAGAGATGAAGCGGTTGACGGTGCTCGCGTCGCCCTCGCCCTCCTGGAAGATGTCGTAGAAGTGGACGTTGACAGCATCCCACTTGGCGCCAGGGCAGACGGCCATAAAGTTCTTGTACCAGTCCAGGCCCCAGTTGGGTTTGTCGCCAGCGTTGGTGACGGAGGGACCGACGATGGTGACGCCGGGATGGGCACTCTTGATGGGGTCCATGTACTCGGACCACCTCTGGCAGGCGGTGGAGGGATCCATGTTGGCCTGGGTGGGATGATCGACCTCATTGAAACCCATGACGGCATCGGAGCCAGCGGCCACGGCCTCATCGACCTTCTGGAGCCACTGCGAAGGGCTCTCATTCTTGACCCAGGGCAAGGGAACGAACTTGATGCCCTCTGGAAGGTCGCCCATGGGAGAGGAGGACCAACTGTAGGCCCAGCTGGCCTTTCCAGCAAAGTTCTTGCAGAGCGCAGCATCATTGTACGCCAGGCCGACCTTGGCTACGTTGCCGCCTGATGGGGGCGCCGGGGAGGGCGTCTCGACGGGCTGATAGGCCTGCTCGGAGGTGGTTGGGTTCTCGACACCCTTGTTGGGCAGGCTCACGCTGACTTTGCCTTCCTCGACGGTGGACGTGGCTGGGGCGTCTGGAGTCGGGGCGGGGGGAGCCTGATATCCACCGGTGGGAGCGGCAGCCGAGGAAGCCGGAGACTCGGAGGCAGGTGGAGGAGGTGGTGGAGGGGCTTGATATCCGGCCGTGGGAGCGGCGGCAGGAGAGCTGGGGACGACCTCGCCAGCCGTCACGGTAACCGTGAGTTGGTTAGTGGCCGTGACGTAGATGGTTTCGGGGCCGCAAGCTGAAGAGGCGGACGAGGCATGGCTAGGAAGGGCGGAGCTGGGGATCTCAGGCTGGGAGGACTGTTCGGGGAGGGGGCTGGCATCGAGGTAGATGGTGGAGACGATGGTGGTAGTCGACGTGTAGGTCTCGTCAATGGTCGTGGTCTTGTCGTCGGGAACGACGGCAGTGCCCGTGGGGAAGGCCGTGGTGGCATTGGAGGGGAGCCAGCCGCCCGTGGGATAGCGGGGCTGTTGGGCGCCAGGAGTTCGGTAGCCGGCCGAGGGCGTGTGGTACTTGATGTGACCATAGTGGGGGACGGCGGCGGCCGTGGAGACGAGAGCCAGCAGGGTCAACTTGAGGGAGGAAGACATTGCTGTTGCTAGGGGGAATGGTGTTGCAGCTTCGAGCGCAGGAAAGGATTGCGTGTTGTGGAAAGCGGTGAAGGTCGGCCGACCAGGGCTACTGCTGTTGGGCAAAAACGAGGGATTGTCAAGGACGACAAGGAAGAATGAATGAAACGAGCACAAAAGCTCTGGAAAGGAGCGAAAGCAACAGCACCGCCGGGGAGGGTTTCAAAGAGTGAGGGATGGAGAAGGGGAGAGGGAGAAGGGGCAGGTCGGGGGGTTTCTATACGAATTCAGCGCGGGCAGCAGCAGCCAGGATCAGCAGTTAGGGTGGAGCCGGGTGGAGCCAAAGCGGAGCCAAGCGGAGCCAAGTAAGGCGATGGCGCAAGGGGAAAGCAGCCAATGAGGGTGGCGCACCGGGCCAGGAACGGCCTTTGTCGCCGTTTCCGCGGGCGCCACCGGTTTCAGGTGCTCAGCAACAGGAACCGGGAAATGTTCTTGGCATTGGGTTATCTAATAGTACGGAGTACCGAGGAGGGAGTACTGTGTCTACGGAATAGCTGTGTGTTGTCATGAGTCGGCCCAATGTGTGTCGCTCTGCGTTGTCCCTCCGTGTTGGCTGGCGGCGTCGTGCCCACAAGAAGAGTGAGATTGCTTCCTCTGCGACCCTCGATGGGGTAATACAGCATCTCTGGGCCAGGCCCACAGGAAAAAGTGTTGCTGTTGAGAAAGAGTTCTCACAAACAGTGGAGATGGTCTGGCCGGTCTGGCCTGGACCCCCGGCGGCTCCCAACCTTGGAAGGTTCAGAGGTTCAAACTGGAGGTTGCGCGGCGTGGCACGTGCGCCGCAGTGTTCAATGTTCCGAGCTGACCAGTTGGCACATGGACGACGACGCGGCCTTTGTGTGTTCCTGCGTCTGCAGGCTTGTCACATGTGCACGTCTCACTCATCAGACGCTGCGCTGGTACGTATCCGTGGAAAGAGGAATATCGATTACCTGCCATCGATGGAAAGTTGAACAAGCATCAATGGATTCTTACCCGCATCCGGATTGTGCACTCGTTGCCCGCAGGAACCCGGCCGGTGGAGAAAGCTCATTCTTTCGCATCATTCGCACCCCTGGCCTTGCTCCGCCTTCACATGATTCAACCTCGACACCTGCACAACCTGGGCAATTTCCGCAGCCCCACCCTACTGGTACTGGTATTTTCACTCTTCGCCTGCCGTTATCGATAACCTACAAGTACACTATCGATAAGCCCCATCTCACCCCCTGTCATTTACTTGAACTTGTACACACCACCCAAGGACCAACTTCTCGACCCCTCTCTGTCCACTCCTGCCACCTAATTGCATCCATCATCATGTCCCCACATACTTGTAGTTTCCCCTGGAGATGCATCATGTGCTGCGAGCCCTGGCTCCTTAACATACCCCCACTTAGGATACCTGCTGTAGCTACATGGTCCTTGAAGAAACATGTCGACAGCACATAGCGCCCACCCAAAGCCGCCCAAGACACCTTCCCCCACCCCTACTCCGGTGACCACCATGATGCAACGCTAAACATGACAAGACCAAGTCCATGGGAGCAACCCCATCAAGAGCGACCATTACGCCAGATACCGATAAGAGTCCACCGCCGCACCCTCGATCCGCTCCAGATACTCTCGTTCAATCAACGACTCGATACGTTTCTTGATCATCGACACTTCCGGCCGGAACTGCGAAGCCAGCTGGTGCAGCGTCTCCACCACCAGCTGCTGATGCGACAGTTCTTTGCGCTGCCTGTCATGGAATCGTCAGTGCCTGCTGCTACTCTGCCAAGACGAGTCTTCACCACTTACTTCATGATCCGCACCACGGCCGCCTCGATGCAGAATCCGCGCGAGTCGTCGTTCTTCTTCTCCGTCTCCCGTCGCTCGCGGTCCGTCTCCACCTTGTTCCCGCCCGACACCACCCCCACCTTGATCTTGACAAATTTGCCGCTGAAGCCTTCGTTGAACGAGAACCGGTCCGTCGCCTTGACATCCTTGGACATGGGCTCCTTGATGAGGATGCGCGTCTTCGGTGCCACCGCGAGCGATTGCAGCGTGCGCACCAGCTCGTTTGTGGCTATGTTGGTCTGCGCTTGAATCTCCTCAAACGTGAGCGACTGCAACGCCGCCATGTCGTTGAACAGGAGCAGGACGACCATGGCATACGTGGATACGTTGAGCTCGTGTCGACGTTCCTTGAAGGTGCCGTCCTTTTGCGGCACCTTCGGGAATACGGCTTTGATGTCCGCCGATCCCATATTGGCCAGCCACGTCAGTTGCCTTCCTGAATGCTTCTCGCTGTAGTACTTTTCGAATCCTCGCTTGATGCGCTCAATGGCCGGCGGGAAGTTGCATTGCGTGCGCCTCGAGTCGCCTTCCTCCGACGGTCCCATGCTTTCCAGCGGCCACGTCATCGACGTCAACACGTTGATCGCAAGCTCGATCCTTCGGGGATCCTGCTCGCCGAGCCCTTCCACGTGCCGCTTGAACCCCGATGTCAGCTCTTCCGAGATGGTCATGTCCTTGAACATCGCCTCCAGCTTCATCGTGAAGTTGTTGCCCAGCTCAATCTTCATCTTCCCAATCATCTGCCTTTCCACGTCGTTGCTGATCGACTTGTTCATGAGCAGCCGCCGGCAGAGGTGCTTCTTGTAGTAGCGTTCAAAGAGATCCTTGTCCTGCACGTAGCGCAGCAGCGTGATGGCCTTCTCCAGCACAACGTCAATCTCCGTCTCCGTCTTGCCCTTGATCCCCTTCTTCATGTTTTCGTCAATGAAGAGCGATATGTATTCCGAGGACCGTGGAAAAGTGGCGCTGTTGATGAATTCGGTGAAGCTCTTCGTCATGGCCGTTTGCATCACATTGTCTTTCTGAAACGCCATTTTCCAGATGGCGTCGAATTTGTCCTTGAGCTGAAGCACATCTTCCACCCACTTGATCGCGGCAACCGTCTGCTGGTTGGTGCTCCTCTCTGGTGCCGCACCCTTGCCCTTATCTCCATTGTCCGGCGCAGCAGCAGGTGCCTGCGATGCTGCTATGGCGGCTTCGTTAACCTCGTTGCCCATGGCAATGATGCGTTGCTGCACCGCCTTCGTAAGCCCCGATTTCTTGTCATCCACTCGCGCATTCAGCGCGTAGATGAGGTTGAGGTCTTGGAACCGATCATTGTCGATCATGAAGCGCACACCGCTCTCCATCTCCACCACCTCCGAAAGCCTGTTCCGAATTAGCTCGTCCTCCACGACCTCTCGTATCAACGGCATTGTGCCTTCCGAAAGCGTCGATTTGCACCGCTCCTCCTCTTCATATAACCTTCGGCTTGCATGCCGACAGTATGCTCCAGCGTCCGCTTCTCGAATCAAAAGCTCCGACTCCTGGCGGTAGAACAGGCGACTTCGCTTCAGATACTCCTGCTCATACGCCGTGTTGTATAACCGTTCGTCTGCCGACCCCGGCTTACTATCGTACAAACTTTCCAGCATGAGCACCGAGGACTTGATCAGGTACTTGTCGATCACATCCCCATCTCGCTCCATTTGTATCTGGTCGAGCATGACGTCGCATAGCAGGTCCAGGACGGATCGGGATTCGCTCTCCACGATCGGGCTTCTCAGAACGTCGTCACGGAAGAGAGTCATGGCCGTGGTATACACGGGTGGCCGATGGGTCTCATCGCAGTAGGTACGGTTCTACACCCTTTTAGCCATACGTTCAGTAGATGCCTAGCAAAACACTCACCATGTACATGAGAACGTCCGAAATCATGCTCAGGCAGACCTGATGGTGACTCCATGCGTCATTAAGACCTTTGAGAAACCTTTCGCCGGCCATGCGCCGTTCATTCGTCGTGCTGCTGAGACCTTGGGCGTTCGCCAGCATTTGAGGGGAGTAATGCTCCTTTATCGATTTGCGGACCTCGGTGACGAGCCATTCGTGCTCAAAAGCGTTGACCCGTTTGTAGAGATCGTCGCCCCTCTTTTTGAGTACTATTTGGTAGGCTTGACGGTAGAGCTCCTCGTACGAGAGCGTCGAGGCGTTGCGTGTGTGGATCTCTAGGAATGCGGCAGAGATCGTCGTCCACAATTTCTCGAAATCGAGGTCGTTGCCTCCAAGGCCGTGCTGCAAAAGCATGCTGTTAGCGAGTGGCGGAAGTGGTGGAGGGATGCAGCATCGAAACAGCAAAGGAACGTGAATAGTATGAGCGCTTAACTCACCCTTCGCGGCGGCCGTATCCTCTGCCTTCCCCTGCCTGCTATCATCTTCACTGTTGGCCGGATGCGGCCGTCTGTCCAACCTCTACAGAACGTTGCCGAGGCGGAGGCGTGATGATGATGGCGGGGACTGGCGCATTCACCCGGTACGTCTGGTGAGTGTGAGTTGTGAATGAGGAAGATGAAGGTGAACCAGGGGAGAGGGCCCCGCCGAGAGAGAAGAATTGGAGTTCACAAAAAGGGCCGGAGTTGCAGTCCACTACCACGAAAGGCAGTTCCGTGGGGGACGTGAAGTTGAAGGTTGCGGTGCACAGACTCGCCTCGATGCAGATCCCTGTCCGCACACCCCGGCATACATTTCTTAATACGGTTAAGAGTCTTGGCCATATCTAGATTTCAACATCCCGAACGGCCCTTTAGAAATGCATCATGCTGTCTCTTTAAAGATTTCATCGCCTTTTACTCCCGCAATGCGCTCCTTCTTATGTATGTTTCACTCTTCTTGCCGCCGGTTTTCCTCACGGCAGCCGTTGACTCTGCATACGAGCCGCATTCCACACTCGCGCCCGCAAACGCTCCCATCGCGCTACTTCCGTCCACAACTACCTTCTCCCCTACAACGAGCTGTACCCTCCGCGTTTCTTCGTCATGAGTCCACTACGTCGGGCCCCGCAACCCCTCTGAATTCCACTACTACTCCGCCCGAATCGCGCCTGGACCGCGATCAAGTCCCAGCGTACGAGCTGACGTTCACTTGTAAAAGGTGCGCCACACGTTCGTCGCATAGAGTGTCCAAGCAGGGCTACCATCATGGGACGGTCCTGATAACTTGCCCGGGATGTAAAAACCGCCACCTCATAAGCGATCATTTAAAGGTATGTATGGCTGCTTCGGCTCTCTTGCCACGGTCTGATCCCGATGGACACCAGATCTTCTCCGACAAGCGCATCACGATCGAGGACATTCTGAAGGAAAAAGGCCAGCTGGTAAAACGGGGCTCCCTAAGCGCCGAAGGTGACGTTGAATTCTGGGATGACGGCTCCACGACACCGCGTTCGGCCCACTTTATACCAAACAGTACGACGAAGAGCGATCCCGATGCGCCAGAAGGTCGTCTCACCGAGCCACTTGCCTCGCAATCCGAAAATACGCCCGAGTCTACACGGGAAAACCGTAGACAACCGGGCAGAAACGATTCCGGGACGTCTTGAAGTAGATGTGCCACTGTTCCTCTATCGTTTTGACGACTTCAACGCATCGCTTCGCCTCATATCGTATCGCCTCGCATCCACCTCGTAGGAACGGCATCTTACCGATTGATTACATCTCAACATTGGCACAGGACCTTGCTACATGCAGCCATTTACGCTAGAAGATCCCACTCGGATCCACTTGAGTTGTACGGAAGCTACCACCACTCGTACGTTGACCCATTCGAGCCAAACTCATTTCGAGCATTTAAACAAAACTGTACAAGGGTTGAATCCCTTGCTAGTAGTGTGTGTATGATTTGCACTGAATGCAAGTGGGGTGCATTCTTGGGTGCTTCGGTTGAGGAGTGTACTATAGAGCACTTACACCGTCTATTCGGACATGCATAATGGTTTTTGTATTTAGATGCTGGCGAGAAGGACGAAAGAGACCGTCGCCTGACTGTGAATAGAAGGTGTCCAACAAAGGGTATCATGGCTCCTATGAACATCTCTAGAATGATACATATATGTAGAGACCACCCAAAAATGCCCACCACCACCTTTTTAGCCAACGCCATGAAACGTGCCCCCTATGAACGTTTTGCAACATCACCATTGACAACACAACTAACATCACCATCCCCTCCGCTTCCCTCTATTCTCAGCACTCTTTTCCTTCCTCTTCTGCTTCGCTACCTCATGTCTCCTTCTCTTCTCCTTGCTATGTTTCTCAGGCATGGTGATGGCTTCAATCTTCCGCTTGGTTCTGCGCTCATCTCTTCTCTGCTTGACCGTTTTCTGTACATCTTGGATAACAGCAAGATAGGCCTGTGTGCCAAGTCGTTTTTGCAGGATGCTCATGATCTCTCGAGCTTTATCAATGAGGGCCTTGTATGTTTCATTAAATGCGGGATCGGTGGAGCGCGGTACTGTGGTAGCGGGGTCGACCAGAGTGGATAACGTGGTGAGAAGATGTGGTAAAGCTGACCTCAATGAATCGACAGGGAGCTTCATCGACAGTGTTTCCAAGAGGGTCATGGTGGCCGACTTTGGATAGAGTGCAGGTAGCCTCATGATCTTTGTTTCACGCCGGATGAGTCCAGAGAGACGCGTTATGAGACGGTGGATAGCGAACGGTGGAAAGCTGCCTTCGCGTTTGAACTTCGGCGAACAGCCACCCCACTCTTCTTCGGATGAAAAGCCATCTCCATTGACTGTGTCTTGCGGATCGCCGTCCATGATGTCCTCCACCTCTTCGTCGCCGTCCAACTTGTGCCAATCCCACTTCGCACCATTGACTGCGAAGCACCTCGCAAGAAAGGCCAGATTGCGGACGCTTTGAGCACACAAGTCCTCTGTGACGTCTGGTATCGACAAGTTCTTGAGCAACGCGTTCGTAAGCTGTATCATGTTCTCTTCACTCAACTTCAAACCCTTCGACCCTACCAAAGGTAAAGCTGCGAGTCCAGTCTCGGCATTAGTGCTCGCTACGTCAGCGAAGAAGGTCCCCACAAGTTTGGCAGCCGTAAGCTTGACCCATGCGTGAGGGTAGGAAACGCATGCGAAGATCGCGGACCAGAAACTCTTCCGCGTAGAAGAGAGAGTGACGTCCGGCGAAGCCTTGCACAACTTAGAGAACACCGTGAGGGAATAGTAGATCAATTCCCAGTCGTCTTGCTCCCGCCGACCGAGACCGAAGTCGACAGCAGATTTGGTTTGTTCAAGAACAAATGCAACATCCTTCGGTTTAGCCTCCGTCGCCTCCAGATAGAGACCCCAGCATTGAATGCCGAGCCGCTTTAGGCCGGTATCCTCATCTTGCTCGAGCCATCCTTTGAGGTCAGCGGTAAAGCTCTTCAATCGCTGCGAATCTGCGCGCTCAAAGACCTTTGACACGAGGGCGCCTGCCATGGTTCGACAGTCGCTGGAGTCGTCATTCGCCATTGAGTGGATCAGAGGGATGAACATCATCACTAGGACGTCCTGCAAAACATCATCTCCCACCTTGGTCAGGATCAGGTTCAACGCTTCCATGACCGACTGTCTTCCCTCGACGTAATCATAGCGCAGATTACGGATTAAGAATTCGATCTGTTTGGTGAACCGAGCCTTAGCTTGGGGATACTCCATCAGGAAGTGGAAGTAGCTGCTTCGGGACAGGTCACGGGCGGATTTCGTTTGGTTAGTGACCATCATTGTCGCTACTTTATCCATGACTTCGTAGATTTCTGTGATCACGATTTTGCGATTCATGATCGCTTTCAAGAAACCAAAGGTAACACCCTGACGGTCGGGTTCATCAAGATCCGGAAGCAGACTCTTCAAGAGTACTCCAAGGTCCCGTTCCTTGACGGTGACATTCGGTCGATCGCGAAGGATTGCAGAGATCAGTTTCAGTGAAGCTTGAGCGAGTTCGGAATTGGTTGACGGTGCATTTTTGATGGTCTGAACAGCTTGAGAGATATAGACCGGACAATCCCTATCCAAATCAGGCAGGGGTACCCTGATAATACTGGTGAGAAGACGGATTGCTGAGATCTGGACCTCTTCCTGACCCTGCACCAGAGCATCGCCCAATATTGGCATGAAACCGGCCAGATTTTGCGGAGTTTGAAGTTCTTCGTGCTTCCGCAAGACACTGCGAAGCATGTCCAAACTGAACCGGGTGATCTTGTATATGTATGAAGAAGTCGAACCCCGAGCCCCTGATTTGGCCGGCCCTTTCATGTTGACCAGGTATCTTCTGAGTTTTCGATCCTCATCCTTGGATTTCGGCGCCTCCGGCGTCGTCCTGTAGACATCTTGCATCAGTTCATAGCAAAAGACCAAGATATCCCTGTCCTTCACAGCCGGGTTTTGGAGTATGCCTAGTCCAATGCGCCGGAGCAATTCATCGACCTTATTCACCATCCGTGCATTGAGTTGCTCAAGAAGGAGAGCTTTGACTGGGTGAACAAGGTCAAAGAAGTGGCCAGGCGTCGCAGTACGCGCGATGAGGTCCATCGAGTCGTAGCTCTTACTGCTCTTAACCTCCTTCATTTTACTGATATACTCTTCAGCATCCTTTTCTTGACCTGTAACGCCAAAAATATCATCCATAATGATATCGACGATCTCGGATAGACAATAATCAATATCGCCAGGTTTCATCTCTGGCGCCATCTTGACGAGGATATGGTGAACCGTAAAGGAGAGAACATGCAACTGGTAGCCACGCTGAAGGGCAACTCGAAGAGACTTCAGGATGAATCCAAGGTAGGTCGGACCGGTCAACACGGCGATTTCTGCGAGTGTATTCCTCGACATATCCCTGCCATCTTGGGAGCGGCTCTTGAGAATATGGCAGATATCCAGCAAGACCGACGGGAGGCGGCTGTCGAGTTCCTGAGCAGGCAGTACAAGGAGAACCTTGGTGACCGCAACAGCTACGGGCACTCGAAGGCTGACTGTGGATTCGTCTTTGTTGTGCAGATAGTCTGTTAGTGGAGGAAGGACGTTACCGATGATATCGCTGGCAAGTTTCTCCTGCTGTGGAAGAGTCCTGGCTAGCATAGAAACGGGCTTGTCGACGTCCATGGCATCGGCTTCCTCAGGCTCCACTTGTTCGCCTGAGTGTGTCTCAGACGATTTAGCAGTGGCATAACCCTTCGCTCGTCCGGCTTCGTTCAGGCTGTCCAGCATACCTGCGAGAAGCTTGATTATAGTCTTCTGCATATCTTCTTTGGACGTCAGATAGCCTACAAACCTCATCAGCATGGATCGGAATTGAGGCCATTCGATCCATTGCGACAGTGCTGTAACTGTACGAATAGCCTCTCCCGCAAGATTATGTGCACTTTCGTCCTCGGCCTTGTTGAAGATGAAATGTTCCAAGAGTGGTAAAAGGATATGGTAGATATTGCCCGGCTGAAGTTCACCGGCATGTGAGGCGAGTCTTCGCAAAGCCCTAAGCCTGCGGTGACCTTGAATATGCAGAATGTTTTCGAAGAAGGAAGTCTCCTCATCCGCACCAAGAAGTACATGCATATCAGCAATCGCGGGCCATTCAGAGTGTTTCTTGACGAGATGAGCGAGGACAGCCAGATACTCTATCCGAACTAACTCCGAGGGCTCGCGCACACCGTTTCGCAGACCAGGTAGAAGCGTATTCGAGATGAAGCTCTTGAAACTTTCGTCACCCACAGACGCATCGGTGAAACGGCGGAGCGATAGAGAAGCGTTGGCCCGTATACTGAGCTCTTCGTTATCTTTGATATAATATAACATATTATAAATGAGTGGCTTCCATTGGGTCAGCGAGAAAGGAACGCTCCTGCCTTGAGTGATCGCGCTGAATGCACTTGATCGGCGATCGAAATCCGGTTCATCCAGCCTGGTCGCTGAGACGGAGTTCAAGTCGTGGCAGAGTTTTGCAACTTCCTGGAGTTCGCTGCGGTATTCGGAGAGATCCTGCACGATGTCGCAAAGGACTGCCCTGCTTGGTGTGTCTCGAAAGTAGGAGAACAACGAACAGGTGGCGGTGAAGAGGTCATCAAAGAGGTCGTCGACGTCTTCAGACCCGCATCGCGGGATGAAAGCATGTAGGATTTTGAGCAGCCCTAGCTTTGTGTGCGGCGTGACCCGCTTGGAGGGCTGCTTCAAGAGGAAAGTCGAGATCTCAAGCATGCTGCGAGACTCTGCGGAGCCAACGACCCGCGGAGCGAGCTCGGCAACCGCATTGACGCCAGATTCCAGCAGTTCCTTGCTGGGGCTCCTCCGCAGAATGTCACCGACACCAGCAAGAATTGTGCTTGCGTACGGCTGAATAATACTAGATTGAACCCGGTTCCTCTCCATCTTCTCTCGAGTGGAGATGTTTTCATCAGGCGACGCCACCGCTATCAGGCTCCGAATAACATTGTCGAGAACATAGATCTTTACTTCGTCTTTCGCAGACGGCACTGTCAGGCATTCGACAATCTTGACTAGAATATCCGGATTGTATTGGACGAGGAAAGTTGCCGTCGAAAGGGACTTGGCCCATGCTGCAAAGAGGCGAAGAAGCCCCGACACGGACTGGGCAGTTTCGATCGGGAATTGATCCAACCTGGGTACTACGAGCTCTTCGACAATCACTGCCGCATAGGATTCCCAATCAAACTCCGGGTTGCTTTCGAAAAGGATGTTCAGTGAATGGAATGCGCGCTGACGAATAGTCCTGTACAGAGAGAACTGATTGGTTTGACCAGCAGGATCATCCGAGTCGTTTGCTGTCGATGCCGTTCCCAACTTCCGCGAGGCGTTTATCAGGCAGTACAGGAGAGGATCCACAATGGAAGTTGTGAAGGGGGAGAGCGTTGTCTTTAAGGTTTTGAGCATGTCTTCCAACATGTTGAGCATACCCATCTGCTTGCGAGGAGACACTAATTCCTCAGTGAACACATTCTTGCTGACATGGCCATCAGCGAGGATAGAGATGCCATTGATTGAGCCCAGCGATATACTGAGAAATTGTCGGATGGCAGTCTCCTCGAACCGAGTGAGTGCGATGAAGACGGCCTTCCGCTTCGACTCTTGACCTCTTCTCCCGCTGATTACTTTCCCGTACAGCAGCCTCAAGATCACGGGCATCAGCTGATCCCGATGCTCAGGGCGTAGTTGACTATTCTCATCACCAACATCCATGAAGACGGATATCTCCTCCCTGAAGCGAGCATCATCAAGCAAGTTGAAGAGATTTTCTTGGTAAAGAGTGATAGCGGGATTTTTCCAGGTCAAAATGGCTTTGAGAGCGGATCTCTGGATCTCCACATCGCCGTTGGTCAACAGCACAAGTAGAGCGGCGTAGACGTCTTCCGACCGAAACAGTACTTTCGGATTGACAAATTTGGCGAACAAGGCGAGTAGTGCTTTCTGGTCGCTCCTAGCCCAGCGAGATTCGACACCCTCAGATGCCTCGCCATGAGTATCCCACAACTCAGCCGTTGCGGGTTCATCAAGGGCCCAGCGCAGAAGAATGGGAACCAAGACACGGGCGCGCTTCTCGGCAACTTGGGGAACCGTATTTAGCAAGGTGAGAGCTTGCGTTCTATTGAAAGAGGTGATGAAAGGAATCTGAATGTGGCGCATTTCGAACAAAAACTTAAGCCTTTCGCTGGGGTCCTCGGTTGCTGCTCGACTCTCACCAATGATCTCTTCTAAATGCAGGATGTTTGTACATTGAAAGGGGTTCGCGTATCGCCGTTCTTTTGAGATTCCTTCTTCCACTGGTGGATTCTGTATTGGATCGATAGGGTTGTTGAGCCACTCAAAGGCAATGCGAGAAACGTGTGCTTCGCCTTCTTTCGTTTCACACATCGCTTTCAACGCTGCACAAGCATCGTCTCTGATCTGGGCGAACTTGACATGAAGAAGGCCGAAACAAAAGCTGGGGATAGCTTCGCCAGCCCACTCATCACTGCACGCTCCTGGGTAGCTCTTTTCAAGCTGTCTGATGCGCATGGAGATAGACCGCGCATTTTCCAGGTTTAGTGGTGTTTGCTCAATCATCATCGCCATTGCGATAAGGCTCTGCACTTCTTCAGCTTTCCCAGCCACAAGTTCCAGAACCCCAAGCGCAGCAAGCCGCATATCGTGCGATGGAGAACTCAGGCAGCGCATGAGTGTTTGGTACAACGCGTCGCGAGCGGAACCCGTAAGGTGAAGAGAGGTTTTCTGGATTTCTGCAATGGAGAGCAGAGCTTGCCAAAACAGGAGGGAATGACCGTAGACAGGTGAGGCCTCGCATAATTGAGGCCAGAGTTTGGAAACTTCGTCCATGAGCTGGCTATGGTGGATTAGGAAGTGCAACCCGCTCCCGGTGGCCAGTACCTCACGAGGTCCAATGTGGTTGACATTCCCGACATTAACCGCACTTTGGAGGTTTCGAAGGAGAAATTGGCCGATCTCCTTTCGAAACTCGGAAGGAAAATCGATGATCTCAGACGCCTGGAGAAGAGCGTTGCATTCGTACGAAATGGCGGTGTAGTCGTCCGCCCCATCAACAGCGCCCAGGGATTCCTTCAAGGCCTTGAACCGAGATACGATGTCAGTGCACCAACTTCTCTGAGGATATATCGACGCTTTCGGAAGCTTGACGCTGCGATTGATTCCTGGCAACACCAAACACAATTCGGTGGCATGGTCTGCCGCTTTTTGCGCAATGAATCTCTTGAAATAAGGGAGGAGGAGCTCATTGAATCGTTCAGCGCCAATCCTCGCGAAGACGTCACAGAATGGAAGAAACATGCTCTCCCATGGCCCGCGAGTGAACTCCTCCAGGAGCTGTACGTGAGGAATAGCCATATCCAGGGAGCAATACTGAAAAATCATGGCCGATGCCGAGAGCACATGGCTCCGGTCTGAAGCATCTGCACTGGGGGAGCTGGGGACAGATTCAATGAGGGCCTGCAATGTCTTGAAAACCGGCTTCCACTGCTGAACGCGGGTTCCTTTTCTCACGCCGCACGCGACAAAGATCAGCCGCGCTGAAAGCCCCGTATGCCGCAGATCTGAAGCGTTCAAGTTTGCTTGGTCGAGGATGATCTCCAGTGCAGGGGCAAAGTTCTCCGCATCAGACTGATGCATCAAGGAGGTGATAGTACCGATCAGGACAGGCTCAAGGGGGGGATGACGGAGTGCGGCGTATTCCTCAGCGTAAGTCTGGAAAAGCATCTCTGTGAGGATAGCGGGAGCACTGGAGTGCAGTCCGAGCTGAATACCCTTCATGGAGTCGGCGAAGAGCGCCATCAACCCCTGCTGGAACTCGGAGTCCTTTCCACTACCCTGCAGCTCGTTCAGACGCGTGGATATGTGCCTCAGTATGGTCCTGAGTGGCCCCTTATCCCGATGATAGCCTGCTCCTGCTTTCCTCACGAGGAAGCTGATAGATTCGGCGGCAAATCTCGTTACAAACGGTTTCTGATGCTCCGCACCGAGCAGAGGGGCCATGAGGTCAAACACAGGGCGCAGGTCCGGAACCAGGAGACGCGACAGATATTTGAACAGCCACGCCAGGCAGGTAAAACTCCACTCTATGACCTCCACATCCGGGTTCCTCGCAGCCAGCTGCGACACCGTTTTTACAACTCTTTCGAAGTGCTTTTCGAATCGAACACCCAGATCATGCGCAAAGTGGGCCATGAGACTGAGTAGCGGCTCCTCGCTCCATTTGTCACCCTTCTCGATGTACTGTATAAGCAAGTCAAGGATACGGCTATCATGGTGGAGGATTTGAGGCAGGCTTTCGGCGAGCGGGGCCACCTGGCGAGCAAAGGCAATGAAGTTCTCGGAAATATTCAGGTCTTTCCACTCATCGAGCGAGTTCTTGAAGTATGAGAAGGACGTGTCGAGTTCTGCATCGTCGAGAATGGTGCTACGACCGCGGCGAACGGGCTCAACCTTGAACTTCTGGATTCGCTGCGAGAAGGTCTCAAACCGGTGTTTGCGGGACGTGATCGTGCCACCTTTGGGCGTTTTTCCGTCGCGCGTCCTAGACGGAAGCCCCCGCGACATGGCAGGCGTTGTGGCGTGTAGTAGGGTGGGAGATGCAAAAAGCGCTGGTGTTTCCATTCAGCAGCCATCACATCCCCACAAAATTTCTGGATGCCAAGAGTGCCAAGATTTCGCGCGTCGGCTTCGACGTTTGGTATGGAAATCCCCGAACGTCAACGCGATTGATACTGATATTGACGTCCAAAACACCATCACACGCGGCATGGCCTCTAAAATGTAAGTCCTCCGTTCCACCACATTCTCGGGGATCTTGCTGAGTTGTCATAGAGTAGTGATCGGTGATGTCAATGGCCAGTTCCCAGCAGTCTTCCACAAGCTAGCCGCATTGCATGAAAAGAACAACTTTGCCTTTGCCCTGATTGCGGGCAATCTCTTCGCGGACCCGTCTTATGCGACGGAGGAAGACGAATCCAATGTCCAGTCACTTATTCAAGGCAAGATAATGGTACCCTTTACCACCTACTTTGCCCTCGGCAGCAACCCGGTCCCACAGGCGGTGATAGACAAGCTTGAATCATCCGATGGCGAGGTGTGTGAGCACCTATTTTTCCTGGGAAAGAGGACGACTATGAAGACCTCAGAAGGTATCCGGATCGTGGCTCTAGGCGGCTGTCTGGACCCGAACATCATCGTGGGCGCGTCCAAAGACAAGTATCCCCCCTTCTACAGCGAGAGCGACGCGAAGATATTGCGTGGGGCAACGACTGCCGATATCCTTGTCACCAACGAGTGGCCATCCGGCATACGGAACCGCTCCAAAGTGGAGTTCAATGCACAAAGCCAACCATCGACGCAGGACTGTCTAGCCGATCTATGCGCGACTCTAAAACCAAAATATTACTTCTCCACATCAGGGAGCTCCTTTTACGAACGCGAACCCTTCTTCTATCCCCCCAGCGAGGAAACCGATGGCCTCTACCCCATAACCCGCTTCATTAGCCTTGCATGCTACGGCAATCCCAATAAGCAAAAGTGGATCTATGCCTTCTCACTTGACCCCACGGCCAGCAACCCCATCTCCCCACCCCCAGGCTCCACAGCATCCCCTCTCACCCGCTCCGACAAGAAGCGGGCCCCTCCGGACCAGCGAGACTCATCCGGTCTCGTCTACGAAGATGACTCGAGCAACCGTCGCGGTGGTCGCGGACGTCCAGGCAAACGGCGGCGCGGGGGCGAGCATAGGGGGCCCCTGTCTGCTTCAGAGTGTTTCTTCTGCCTCGCAAACGAAAACATTGCTACCCACCTCGTTACCTCCATTGGCGATAACTCGTACTTGACAACCGCCAAGGGCCCTCTGACCACATCAACCACTTATCCCAGGCTCGGGTTTCCGTGCCACCTACTCATCATCCCTTTCACGCACCAGTCCACGCTAGGATCCATGGAGGAAGAAGATCGTCACGCTACGTACGCCGAGATGCAGAAGTACCGTGCCGCCATGAACAGAATGCTCGTCTCTATCGCAGACGAAGAATACGCGTCCGTTACATGGGAAGTAAGCAAAGCCAGTCTCCCCCACACGCACTGGCAGTTTCTGCCCGTCCCGGCGGATCTCGTGCGCAAGGGGCTCGTGGAAGCGGCGTTTAAGGCGCTAGCAGAGAACTTCCACTGGCCTGCCTTCCAGAAGGAAGATGTGGGGGACGGTTTTGAGGAGACGGGCGACTTCTTCCACGTCATGATCTGGGATCCCAAGGATCATAAGCAGGACGAGTATACGAGCCTGGTGATGAGGTTCGACGAACGCATCAAGTTCCACAACCAGTTTGGAAGGGAGGTGCTGGCGAAGTTGCTAAGGCTGGATCAGAGGATCGATTGGCATGACTGTGGGCAGACACAGCACGAGGAGGAGAGGGATGTCGAGGCTTTCAAGAAGGCGTTCAAGGAGTTCGACTTTGCGACAGATTAGAGATGTGCACATTGGTTTGGGCCCAAAGACATGGCACATGAATCATGCAGTGTATTCAAGAATCATCCGGCTCTATTATGCCCGATATGCCCGATGTTAGGTCCCGCGGGCTCGATCAGTCGTTTCGACTTCCCCCATTTCCGGCGCTGGCACTGGATGGCGTTTCTTTGTCAGCCTGCTCTACTCGCCGCTCAGCACGTCCCCAGCATGGTCGTCAGAGCGCTCTTCTCGGACGAAGTCACGGATAGATCGTACACGCTCTTGACCTTGATCCACATCTTGGCATAAGTGCAGTGGTACGCAGCTGTAAGACTGTCAGCCCTTCCTAGTCCGAAAGACGAGAACAAGCGGATGGGGTACATACTCCGCGATGGCTTCCAAGCCTCGGGGCCCTTGTCGCCCTTGGCTTGGTTGACGTCGTCGGTCACAGCGATGAGCTGCGGGTTGGACAGGTCATTGGCGAATTGCTGGCGGCGGGACGTGGTCCAGCTAGCTGCGCCGGACTACACAGGCCATCAGCGTCGGTACTTGCTGTTTGCTCTGCTGTGGAGGACCGAGATTCAAACGGGGGTTACACACCTTCCAAGCATTTGACAGGGGCACCACGTGGTCGATGTCGACGTCGCTGGCCGCACTCCACGTTGCGCCGTCATAGGGCGAGTACCAGGAGCCCGAGGTGGAGGCGCAGGCCGAATCAGTAACGACGTTTGTGCCGTCGCGCTTCAGGACCGTCTCGCGGGTGTTGCAAGCTCTGATTGGAATGATCAATCCACGTAGGTATATTCTACGGTGACTTGCGAGAGGGGGAGCAATGAGGAGGAGAGTCGACCTACCCGCTGATGGTGATCCAATGCGGGAACAGGTCCCTCGAGTACCCGTCCGAGGGACCCTGAGCCTTGACCGTCAGGCCAGCGAGCAGACTCTGGGCTGTCGATGAGGAGGGAATGTTGGGCGGCTCGCGAGCCTTCAGGATGGGCGCGGGAGCCGGGAGGGCAGCGGCCAGCGTTGCGGCCGTGAGGGTGAGGAGGAGGGACTTCATGTTGGCTGGGGTTGGGGTTGCGTGGTTCGGAGGAGGGAATAGTGGCAGACTATATACTACTGTAGTCTCGGAGTAAAAGACAGCCAGGCGTAGCAGCAGCGATATACAAAGCCCGAAGAGGACGGCGGTGAAAGAGGAGAATGCCGATCACTGTACGTGCGACACGGGCCTGCCTACGGGGCTAGACGGCTGCTTATTATACATACATAGACTACCTCTTCACCCAACGCTGCTTGACTACGGTGTGGAGAAGCGCATGTCTCGTAACTCGCACCTTCAATCTTGCACGCATACCAATGACCAGGCCCATGTGCGTTCCTCCCGGGGCGTCTTCCTTTGGCGCCTGTCTCCACAGACGACATTCCATTTCCATAGGTAGGTAGAAGATGCATTGTGCTGCCACGGCCCGTCTCGCTCGTTCATTCCGCATCGGGAAGGTGTAGAGGTTAGCGCCTTGTATATATACAGGTCTTGCAGGTGCTCTTATTGCGGGCTGTCATTGGCTTCGCCGTTCTGCAGGTCCTCGGTTTTGATTGGGCGGGTGCGTAGATGAAACGGAATGTCACTCACTGCCAGGAAGAATACCGTCACAGTACCTACAGCTGAGGGCTTCGGGACATGATTAAAAAGACGCCGGGGAGGGATCTACACAATTACCTACATATGGACCCGGAGCGAATGGGAAGTCGGCTTCTAGTAACGTGCGTGGCAGTTGGGGTAGGGAGGGTAGGGAGGCAAGGGGAACTCTCAACGCCTCAGATGCAGGAACGGGGAGGACAGAAGCAGGAGCAAAACGCAAGGTTGAGGGAAGCGCACACGGCCAATTCAGGAGTGAAAGAAAGAACCCGAGGATTGCCTTCTAGCAGGCGAGCTCTTATCAGATGTGCTGGGCCCTGACAGGGACAATCATGCGTAGCTCCTGTACTATCTATGTAGTTACCTGCACTTGTGCTTCCCTCGTTTGACTGACAAGCTCTGCAATTCCTCCTTTTGGTGACATTGCCCTTTCGGTGCAACCTAATTAGCTACTACATGCCAATACTCTAACGAGAGCTATGCTTTACAACTTACTAACCCTAAATAGGAGCAATTGCACCGCCAAGCTGTTCGATTAGCTGTCGAGAACATACCTTGTACCGTAATTACTTGTAGGATGCCCACTAACGCTGAGGGGTTTGTGCGGCTTCCCCTGATTGGCCGGTTCTTGAACTGCGCTTTTTGTGCGGCCGGGAGCTAGCCATGACTGTGTTAGCTCCCCTCAGGTTCCCTTGGCGCTGATCGACAGAACCGTGCAATTGGAAGTCATCTCCCGAGTACCTCCGCACAAAAAGCGCAAGAAGGAGCCTACTGTACGTTGTGTATATAAGGACTCGAGAATCCCGCCCTAAACGACCCTTTTCTCCTCATCACCAACAAACACGAAACAATCAGTCCAACCCTCGACCAAACAATCCCAATTCTTCACCCACAACCACACACCACACGCCTTTCACATCGATCCAACCCCCCAGCCTCATTCACCATGGGCAATTGCGGCTGTGCCTCTTCGGGAACCTGCAATTGTGGATCCGGCTGCTCGTGCGACAGCTGCCCCGTAAGTCTCACACTGGCGCCCCAACCTGGCGATTCGAGTCTAACATGTCTTGTTGCTAGCACAAATAATTTTTCCACGGGACTCGTGAGGATGGAGGCACCAATCCGGTTGCCGCCATCACGACCAGGTTGATCATCGGCTGCGGGAACAAATATCCAGGCCACCCCCAAATGGAATGCAAAGCATAGGACGAGGCATGCCCGTTCATGGAATCAACCAAGTCTGTCGCTATCGGGATTGAACTGCTTTTTTGTCACGAGGAACGAATTCAAGTCCAGTTTTTTAGTCGAATGGAAAGTCATTATTGTGATTGTTGTCACACCGTCACCATCGTCCATTCCGACAGCTTCCTGCCGCACGCTGAGAGTGGGCTAGAAAACCACTGGTGACGCCTTGCTCCTCGTCTCCAACCATCAAGTTACCCATCGTTCGTGGCCAGGCGACCGTCAGCAGACACATCCCCCTTCACCCACAGCAAACCGTCACCTCTTCCTGCAACCTGTCCCGTCCACCCAGCCGCACGTTCATCGTCTCCCACCCGAAGATGAAGTAGCCAATGTACGCGCCAATGAAGATGCAGATGATGATGTAGCCGTTGTAGTACATGGCCAGCAGCATGATGAAGTATGCAACAGCGAATTGCAACATATGCAGCAGCGCCCTGATAGCCTGCTGCAAGACGTTGGGGCGGAATGTCTGGTTCGCTACAGCGACAGTGGGGCATGCCCCCTGTGCCGAGCTTCCTGCACCTTTACCATCGGGCGTGGTCAAGGACGAAGTTGAAGACACTTGGCCAACGGACGAGCCATTATGTTGCGCGAGGAGATGGCGGTCGTACTCCTTTCCGGCGCGGCGGAGGAACTCAAGACAGATGACAAGGAGGATGACGCCGATGCAGGAGCCCGCGAACATGCCTTTGCTGGTGACGTGCCAGGAGCGCGAGAGGAAGCACGAGTCGACGGTGTACCAGTTCCACAGCATCTGGAGGGTGACGGTTAGCATGTCCAACGCAGCTGGAACGGGAGGCCCGAGGAGACACGGAAGCTACATCGAGCGCTGCAGAAGCTCGAGCGTGCTTGTGATTCTCTACAGCTTGGCCACTTACACTAATCTTGCAACCGCCGCCCATGCCGCCGTGGTCCATGCCGCTGTGGTTCATACCAGCCATGCTGCTGGCCGTGTCCGAGGCCATGGCTGCCGTCGATGTAGCTGTTGTCATCATCCCCATGTTCATGCCGGAGTGGTTGGAGTGGTCCATTGCGGGCTGTGATTCGGCGATACGAGTGATGGAAGAAACGAAGCAAAGTTAGCAATAGAGTAGCTGCCCTGAAGACGTTGGTGTTGAGGATATAAGTAGATGGATGGCTGGTGCGAGGCCTTGGAGGACGTGAAGGGGAAGCTGCGCAGGTTTTTCTGAGCAAGTTTCCCTCTTGTGCTGGCAATAACGACCCACACAGGGATAAGATTCGACGCGAGGGGACAACTCAGCAGTGGGATGATAATTCAAGTGGTGATGGCATCGGTGACTTTGTACTCGATGTGGACGGAACCCGCCACAACGGGGCTATTTGTCGTGCCATCAGTGCACTGGCTTCTTCACTCACATCGCGTTGAGCGCAAAAGAAAGATAACACGGCATGTCCAGGATCCTATCCTACGCCCGCATGCTGAATGGTTGTACAAGGAGCGATGACCCACCTCAGCGAGGTGATTGAGGTCGTGCTCGCTTCTACCAACGTAGGCTACCAATGGGCGAGAAGTCCGAGTGGCGTGAGCCGATTCCCTCTCCCGCCTCTGTCAGCGGCGGAACAGGCGCAAATGTGCTCAGAGACGAATCCTCAGCATTCTTTCTTCAACAAGCGACTCGGTCCCGCCATCGCCGACTTCAGCCAGAAGCAGCAGCTGTTGTTGACGGGGAGGAACATGCGTTGCTGACCGGACTTCTAGAAGCATATAACATTTTTTTTGTTGCAAGGTTTTGTTGAGACATGCGTGTACCGGGGAGAATAGATTGAAGAAACGTGCCATGGATATTAAATCACCAGCGGCCGCCCTTTTGTTCGGGACCATGTCGGACCCGAGTAGAAGGGTTGCCGGGCGCTACCGCCCTGGGTAACCGGGGTGTCGTTGGTGATCCGTGGATGGCTGGCGGGTGTTGCATTATCATCATTATTACTGTGTATTGTTATTGAAATACAACCCATTCCGTCTGTAGCGGTCTGCATGCGGTAGCCAACACGAACCGTCGTATCTATTGCTCTACTGGTCATGTTATTCACGAACGCGGGATACGGATAGATACCCTAATGGGATACCGTCCAGGCGGTTCCAGACAGCCAATGCTCGCTAGTTTGAATCTGGAGATATTACCATCGGCCCTGTGAATGTCCAGCAAGCTGGGCCGAGCAAGAAGTGAGAGAGTTCCTTGAGCAACTCCTCGAACTGGCGCAAACGCGCTCATAATGCCCCGTGCGACTCGCTGGCTTATTACCATGTATGATGGAACCATTCCATGAAAGAGCCAAATGTCTTTAAGGGTGTCACTGTACCTTTGAACAACCTGTTCCTCGTGCCAAATGCCATGAGCTGGATAGTGGGATGCTGCAGGGACATGTTGGACCTCTGAAGCTTTCCCACGGGTTGATGACGGCTTCATCAGTGGGAAAAGGCGGCGTGATCCTGATGGAGGATGCGTCTCTACCAAGCTGGTCTTTAATCGCTCGCTGAAGCCGCTCGACGACGTCCACAGCTATACCCTTCTTGATGACTGTTTTACTCAATGGTCGTCTGCTCTACGGAAACGGCGTTTCTGCACTTCAACCCAAGGCATAAGCCTTCTAGGCAGTAATTTTCCGTAATTAGCTTACGTTAGGGTCGCAATTGGGCGTTGCGCTCGGAGACAGTCACCATTCTCGACTTACCTAATCTCCTGGCTTCTCCCTTCTCCCTCTGCGGGGGCATTCAGCGATCAACAATAACCATGTTTATCAGCACAATCCTCGATTTCGCTCCAAAAGTCTAATCTGCAGCCCGTACTCAGTAAATGGCTATGGGCCAGCTCCTCCCTGTAACTTCTAAGCAGAGCCAATACAGAAACGCAATTCACCCAGCCTTAGGTACACATGAAAGAGCGCTGCTGGTATAGTCTTCGGGCCGCTTTACCCAGATATTAGCCACATTTACTTTCCTCCTTTTCGAGAAGGCTTGCTGTTAGGGTCCGTGCTACTGTTAAGAGTTTACGATTAGCATTAGTTCTTTGTCTCAATAATAAACGCTAACTCGCTGCCTGCTAACTAAGAGTAAATCCTGCAGTAAGTTATGGCGGGTTAGGGAGTAAGCTAGCTAGTGCGAGAAAGAAAGGTTATCTGGACGAGTTATTTTCTGTTTTATTGTTTCTAGACGAGAATAGAGAGCAGGAGAAGGAAACCGCCCAATTTCAAGCATGCGTAGAGATAACTAAGCTCTATGTGAGGGCCGTTTTTATACACGATACTGAGTGCGAGCGAATCAGCCATTTAACATCTTCAACGACTCCTCGTCCGCATAGCGGCGCCTCCCAGCACCTGTCCTGTGGCGTTTGAGACTCGAGAAGATTGAAAGTCTATTGCTGGCCTCAGTACCAGTTGCCCGTGAATCAGAAAGATTCCGCGCATAAAGTATAGCCATGTTTGAAAACGTTAAGTCACCATCATTTGTTTGAGCTCTATTCTGACGGGTCGTTGTTCCTGGCACTGCCGGTGCCAGGTAGGTGTTTCGACGCTCCGCGAGTTTCCTCGACCATTCACGGAGGAACGACCAGGGGGTGGGTAGAAGGGCGAGCACCCTTAATGCAAGTGCTGGCGCATGGTTATTGCGTACTTATCTCCACAGAGCTGTGAATTGAGGTATATTCAGAGCGAAGACGATCAGGACGACGGACATCGTGAGCGAAATACCAACTGCACCGAATTAGTAACGGATCAAGGCATCTATGTGTAATGCCTCACAGATGTAGCGGGAGACCTGCCCGACTGGCCGATTTGTTTCTCCGGTTTGAGGATCCTTCGGGAAGGCGACTATGCCGAGAGCAAAGAAAGATGATGTAAAAGATAGTGGGAGCTATTGCTGTCAGCTGACGCAATTGGAATCACGGTAAGGATTGGGTAATGCTAGCACAGCGCGGGTACGTACAAAAATGATAGTAACAATTGTAAACACGACCATTGTCTAACATGAGTATATCAGCCATGTCACAGAGTTCGAACTTCTTGTTGGAAGGGCAATGCTCACATTCCCCATGCTTTCCTGCCTCAATAGCGTACTCACGAGCTTCTCGAGCTTCCCAGGCATTCGCAGCTTTCTGTTTCAAATCCATCAAAGTATTTAGCTTGTGTATGTCAGCCCCTTAGTAATAACCCTGCGGTTGGATACTGAGCCAACCTTTTCTTGGACTGTTTTGGCCTAACTGTCCAACTTGACAAAGTCGCGGATCGTCCCTTCGACTAGTCGCTCCACAGCGAAATTAGAGAGCATGTCCGCATGATTCTGCTCGTCCGTCCTTGTTTGTCGGACAAGTGTTTGTTGTACGTGGAGCACAGAGAGGATGATGTTGATTTCGTCACGGATATCCTTGACTTCCACTACCCTAGCAAGCGGGTCTCTTTTCGTATGTCCAAGACTTGCTCAAGTAATGCTTGCTTCTGCTGGTCAAAGTATTTGAAATTTCTTTGAAGAATATGACTTGCTTCCGAGCCTTCCTGGAAAGCTTGAAATAGCATCGTCTCCTCAGCATCCTGTGACAAGGTCAGACAACTCTGGGAAGTTTAGACATGGAGGCTGGAAAGGTTGTACCACTGCGCCAATTGAATCCTCAAAAATATTGAAGAATCGAAGCATATCCGAGGAATGCAACTTGCCAAAGCCATCAAAGCATGTCTCAAGAATCCGAGAGACTAGTTCTTCCGTCTAGTGAATAGGATCGCGCCTTTCATTCTCGGGGACGAGGACCGAACACCACAGGTCGTCGATCGAAGGATGACTAGATTGGCCAACCCCAATCCGGCCGGGAAATGATGAGATAACATAGTCGAAGTTACCCGCTCGGCGTGTGCTCCAGAGCCATAGCTGATCCACCATGAGAATGTTGTGTAAGTGCATATTCTTCACATTATGCGCCCATCTGGACACCACCTGGTCTGTATCACGTTCTCGTGTATTCCCAAGCATGTGATAGTAATACTGATCCAGAGTGCTGGTTGGGTTAGTAGCCAGCAGTACGAGTGAGAATGACATACCGCCGCATATGCAGAGATGCTGGGTTATGCAGGTAGGTTCTAATCAGACCCTTTTCTTCTTCATCTATTTCGTGAGGGTCGGTTTCGATACCATGTGAGCTCGTACTTATTTCCTTGTTATCGTGCCCATTCGCTTCTGGGTAAATGCTCTTTGCCTCCATCTCGGGAACATTTAACAATGTGTCTGACTCGCTGCTGACAATCGGTGACGGCGAAGCGTATGTCTCGAGAGAGCCAGCTAGAGCATGCTGCTCCATCATTGTTCGAGTGGATCTCTGCCGCTCGAATTCCTCGTTCACTGTTGCGACATATTCACTCCTCCTTTCTTGCCGAGCCCTGGATTCGTAGCTAATGTAAGGGACCTTGTAATTGTGAGCACCTTGACGTTACAACTGCAGATGGGTATATTTACATACAAATATCGAGTTAATCTCACCCTTGACAACGTGTGGCGCTATGGCCCGCTTATACGATCAATTTACGTTACTGTGAGACTTATAGGGGCATACATTGCGAAGTGAGTCGCTGGTGGGACCAGCTTTTCCTCGCCAGATCGACTTGTGGATGTCCAACTTAGCAAAAAGATCCTGTAAAGCTCAGCAGAGAGATCCTGAAGATACCGAAAGGGTAGCCTTACCTCCACCCAAATCATCTAAGTTTGAATCAGCTCATAACGCGCGGAGTTTGCTTGGCAAAACGTACATTGTTTTCAGGTATATGAATCCATGTACAAAAGGGGGTTTTCCCGCGGACGGGTTCTGGGCGCACGGCGTTGAGGATCTCATCTAACGTCGAATCACTATACAACAACTGTTGAACAGAAACAGATATCGTCCAATGCCTGTCGGTATATGAACAATCAAAGATCTCAGAGACTGATATCTGATAATTCCGGCACGCCAATCCTCCCCATGGGCTGTCAGGCAGAGTACCATTACTGAGTCGGCCATTAGCAAGGCTTTGTCCGGGGCCTTCCACTAAACGGCTTTTCAGAAGTCCAAGTATACGACTCCCAGACGAGTTGGAGCTTGCCAGGTCTTTTGGAGTCTGCTTCCAATTGTTCTTCAAATTGATATCGGCACCCGCGGCAAGGAGTTCCTTTACTATAGTTGCGTTATTGTTTTCTACTGCGTAATGAAGTGGTGTGTTGAGTGCTTCGTCCCGTATATTTGGGTTCGCGCGCCCTCTCGAAAGTAGTAAACGAGCCATAGATTCGTCATCCTTCCGTGCGGCTAGATGTAAGGCCGATTGACCCCTTGACTTGTTAGCTCAGCTCGTTGCATGCCCCTGTCTGTACGAGCCTTACCAGCTGTCCTGTACATTGACGTTGAATCCACCCTGTATCATCCTTCGTGTACGCTTATACTTACCAGTCACTACTGAATGCAAGAAAGTTCGAGTCCGAAAGCTGGCATCCATAAGCAACATCATGTGCAAGAAGTCATTATCCCAAGGGCTGCTAAAACGGATTGCGTCCTGAAACTCCCTGTGCAGGACTATTTTCGGGGATTGCAGTTTCAGAAAGTCAGTACAGCACGCCCTCTCCAGTGTCTGCTCCGACCGCGTCACCAATTGCGTTACAGGAAATCTTACTTCAACCGAAGTGCTATCGACATTGGAGGGGTCTTCCATATGGTTTTGGTGGCAGTCTAAATGCTTCCTTTTCAACTCTCGTTCAAGAATCTTCTTCCTAAATCTTAGGGAAAGCGTATCAAGCGTGGGCATCCCTGCCGCCATCTCTTCAAAAATCCTGGCATCCGGCTTCTCATTCAAGAAGTTCGCCACAAGCTTGGTCGAGTGGCTAGATGTTAGACTAGAGCACGAGACCAGGAAGATGCCGGCGGTATGTTTATACATAGCCTCAGGCTTGACATTGGGACCTTTAGAGCTAATCAAGCTCTGGATGATGAAGATGCCTCCGTAACTGTGGCCTAAAAACAGGATAGGTACGTCTCGGCAGTCTTTCCGGATGTTTTCAAGATATCTTAAAAGCTGCCGTCCAGCAGTAGTGAAGTCCAGTGGGAAAGCCGCTTTTGGCGCAATATCAAAACCGATGGTAGTCACCTTGATTCCGGAAAGTGCCTTGGGAGCATGTCCATTCGGTTAAGCCAATTTACATGACGCTCAGGTCTTTCGAGATGGTGGCGTTCTACACTTCTAATGTCTTTCACTGCAGACTCTAGCGTGTCGTTCTTGGGTGCTGCTGGGCTCGACTTTGAGTACGTCTCCGTAGTGCTTGGGAAGGCCGTTCTAGCTCGTCGCGGAAGTGGTGATAGCCTGCCCTCGGCACCATTCGATGGTTCGTTGGGAGTGAGAAAGACAATGTCTGCGTCTTCCCCGTCGCGTGTGCACTGCGAATGACTGTATATGTAAACCATTACTATGTCAACGTTATGATTCGTTCTGGGAAGCGCCGGCCGGTAAATCGTCCGTGTTTTCATTACCCATCCCTCTGGTCTTTCATCCACGAAGACCGCTTCTGCTGGTACGGGGCTTTGCTTTGTACGTGGGCGTGTGGACGACGAGGCACCCTTTTCATCTTGTCCATGAGGCGTGAACTCTTTAGTGATTTCCCGATCGAAGCCGTGCATACTGTGTCTTCTTAGTCGAGATCTCGGGTCCGAATGACGCCTGTTTCCTTCGTTCTTCCAAGGCGAGCCGGGGCTGATAGCCTGTGATGGTATTGCTGGCGAAGAACTGACGACATCTGCGATGATCGATGTATTCACGACTTTCTTTGTATCAGAAGGCGGATGTATCACAATCGTGGGAATATCTCCATAATTTGGCCTGGTCGGCTTGTAGTTCAACTGTTGACTGGACCCGCTGTTAGAGCTATGTTGACGTCGCTGATCGTTCCCCATGGTGCTGGATCCTAGCGCCAGTGGACTGCAGCATAGTGTTAGTGGGACGCAAACAGAACTGGATTGTGGGTAGACAACCTTTAGAGCTCGAATAATGGTCAGTACAGAGTAGACACGCCGTTTCTCGTTATATTGTCACAATGGTCTCCTCCCAACTTTCACGGCGAGCGGTAAGACTGCTTCTAATGGGTGCATGATCAGTAGGCGGACCCCGCACTAGTAACGTCTTGTGTGCCATCATGAAGCGACGTCTGTACGCATACGCTTGGGCAACATGTAATTTCCGTAGGTCGCTTGTGTCCAACCGTGTGCGCCGTACCGTTAGACTAGCACACGAAAGCGGGCATTGAAGAAACTACCTTATGTTGCAATCGGTTGCTGTTTCCGGGCTACCCTAAGGTAACTGTGCTATCCTATGCCAAAAGAAGCCAGGTATTCTAATACGTTGCAGGCTTCTAACTTCTAAAAGCTTGAAAAGGGTCTGCTCTAGTGCACATGGAAGACCTAACCGTGCATTGAAACAAGCATCTACATATACACTTTTTTGCATTCTTCCATGCTGTTCTCTTCACCAATCTTCCTAAAATGCCCTAATTCAACTTCATAGCCAATCGACTTGAGATTAGGCAGGACAACAGCCTTAGAGGAACTTAACGGTCAACGCGAACTTACTTTCACCTTAGGGAGAAAGCCTGTTAGAAAGCCGCCCTCGCGGGTAAGAATAGCATCATATGCATGAGAAACCGGGGACTGCCTCCTGAGATGGTCGTTTATATACTGTCTCAAGTATGACATCATGTGCATCCGGTTGCGTTTGCCTCTGATTGCTTCACTCGCAGAGCTGTATCCCCTACCTCGTCGACGGAAGCACCCTCGGAATGGGAGTCAACCGCACGAATGCTCTGCAAGGACACACATCAGCCGAGGCAGTACATCGGTAAGATCTAGAGGTAGCTAGAGCCTTTCCTAACCAGCAAGGGATGTGGCGTTACTAACAACTTTATCTTGCAGCTGCAATTGCTTCGGAGCAAATCACAGAGATTACCTAGGTACGCTTCTCTGACAACGATACGACGAAACAGCTATAGGAACACGGCGTAGGAGCTGCTTCCTATCTATAAAGTACGTAGCCCTAAGATGCACATAATACAAAACCCCTCTTTAACTCTCCTATTTTTCCTTTGTAGAAACGAGGCATAAGACATTTGCCGCACATAGGAACAGTGTTCCGCCTTCTACGGAGTTGGCTCCCTTACAAATGTTGCATGGCTTTGTACGGCATAACTATCTCAATCGCTCGTCACCTCAACACGAGGCTTCACTGTATTACCATGGCGCTATACACAATAATACTGCTACTGCTATTCAACTTGCTACTTGTGCCACTCCTTTTCTTGCTGTCCCAATCCTAGCCTCTCCGAACGCTTCTAAGGAAGCGATGCAGAAAACGCCAATTCCCTCCTTTAAGAAAGCATCGGAATGCTACACAAACACTGGGGTATAAGACATGTAGCCTAAAACAGCCCATCGAGAGCTCCAAGCCAAGCCCAAACGCCCCAATGGAGAAAGAAAGAACCAACCAACTATGCTGCTCAAACGCTTGAACACACTCCGACACCGGCAAAAGCAGACACTAGAAGCGTATAGAAGGGAGACGCCGAAGACAATATAACCATGCATGTCCCCTTGCGTATATCAGCCGACAAGGACACTTTGCCAATGCCCTACCTCCACCTCGGTCTCTCCTCGCCGGTCGACTGGCCAAGAACCGATTTGCGCCCGCCGCCACGACTCGTACGGCCTCCATCCATGCTCGTCCTGCTCCTGTTACTCTCATCGATGCTCCCTAGCCTGCTAGTGCTTCGCACAGGAGTGCCGGTCAGGGCTGCGAGGCTAGACCCGCTCACGGTACGCTGCTTGGGAGTGGGAAGCATGCTGACGCGACGACTGGCCATCGCACTGGCGGACCGGATTTGATGGTGTGCAATTGGACTCTCCCCCTCCTCGGCTAGAGTAGCTTGCCGGGCTGGGGTAGGCGTGTCGGTCGACAATCGGGACGAAGAGCCAGGCGTACCGAGCGCTGGTGATTTACCCCTTGCTGGTGTCGAGGGGGATTGTAGGGTACTTGCTAGGGGACGGCGGGGAAGCGTCTGCTGGCCGGGCGTCGTAGATGCGGCGCGAGCGGTGCTTTGCGAGAAGAGGGCAGATGACTGGCTCAGAGGACTGCGTACAGGAATGGCGGAATGACTGGACACACTTCTGAGCGTACGAGGAGTTGCAGGGGCCTTCTGCTGAGCCGAAGGCGTAGTCGCAGATAATGGTTTGACGTTATGTCCAACAATCGTGTCGCGCATGTTTGTACTCGGGTTCCACCGCGGTCTGGTAGCCGTAGATGTGGACGTCGAAGATCGAAGCGAGCTAGTAGGTGTGCTCGACTTTGCTCGTGACGGTGAAATCTCGACACGCGGTGGCGGTAGCGATTTACGGGAGATGCTAGGCGATAGCGTGGTAGCTGGTAGACTGGAGTAGCGTCTACTGGAAGGCAGCGATGACTTGGAGCTTGAAACACTCGGTTGGCGCGACTTCAATCCTGCGGGCGTTGTCCGCCCGTAGTCACTGCTCTTGCGACTCATAATCACGGATGAAGCTGGAGAGCTGTTGGGCGTTTCCAATGCAGAAGTAGTCAAGGACTGTTCAGTGCGGGCCGAGAAAACCGTGGAGATGGAGTCGCGAAGTTTCCGGGACGAGGTGAACTCGTCCAAGATGGCGTCCATATCCCTGGTCTCTTGCTCGAGATCCGAGACCTTCTGTCTGACGTCTTGTTGGATTCTGAGGATTTCTCCATTGACTGTGGAGCGATTCTTCATTTCGATGTCAATCAGTTCCAAGACTCGCTTCATGGATGGCGGATAGTGTTCTCTTTTATCTTTGTATGTAGAGATTCGAGAGCCCAGCTTTTCTTCGTCGTTCTCTTCCATAGCCTGGCGCAGCCGCTGTATACTCTTCATCATGGATTCGTACATGGCAATTGCTTTACTACCAGCCTGTCGGAAGCTGTGAACCCACTTATCCTCACCCAATTCTTCTCTCAATGCATCAGCATCGGCCTCCAGCTTCTTTTCCTGCCGCTCGAGAACCTCCTTGCGCCGCATCAACTCATCACAGGCGGAAGGGAAGATTTTGCTAGCCCGATTGTGGAATGAAGAGAGCCGCATGGGCAGAAAGTCCAAGGAGGCACGCAGTGGTTGGAGCTTGGCAAAGAGAGCGAGCAATCGCGAATTCTCCTTCTCGATTTGTGGTATCGGCGATATCGGTGACACGACAGGCGCAGTCGCTGGAAGACTGAAGCGATGGCTGTGTACCCTACTTAGCTGGCGGGGCGTCTCTTCGACAATGGTCTCCAATTCGGCAATATCGAACTTCTCTGCAGATTCGGCAACAGAGTCGGATATAGCTCTGTGGCGCCTCTCCTCCATCTCAAATACCAAGCGACTGAGGTTCTCAATCTCATGGCCGATCTCACCAAGCACGCTGTTCCAGAGCTCTTCCCACTCCATAGCCAGTTCCACTTGCGCCTTGATTCCCTTTAGAGTCTTTTTGATCTTTGTCCAACCAGTCACGACATCCTCCATCTGCGCCACCAGTGTCGTCAGATCTTTTGCAGGGAGCGCAGCTATGTCCGGCCTTGATTGCAGGTCCTCAATGGCGGTGATATATACTGTGACCAGGCCCTCGAATTTACCAATGGCAGCATCGACCTCGGCGAGGCCCTCTCGTCCGGCAGCGGCGGCCCACTCGACGTCATCTTCGGCATCCAAGCCGTTTAAGACCTCCGTTGCTTTTGCCATCCATATCTTTATCTGGTTAGCCGCTTCATGGAGGGCTCGCCCGGCGGCTGTCGAGGTGGGTATGGCGGATATGCTTGATGAGAGAGACGCCGCGGGGGGTAGGGTGATGGAGGTGAGCTGCTGGAGTTGATTTGTGAAGCTCGCCCTCGACAGAGTATAGATGGAATTCGCTCTGGAGAACTGGCGGCGGTGGAAATAGGCAGCGACATCGATGTCGTCGTTGCCGTTCAGGACAAAGGCCTGGTGAGCAGGAGGGACGTCCTTGGGTGGAGGGGTAGGGGCACGCGTCTGCTCGGCGTCGGTGCTGCTGTTCGTCTCCGTGACAGGTTGGCTGGCCAGACTCTTTGCCTTGTGAACATCTGGCAAGCGATACTTTTGCTTGTCCTCGGTTGGCGCATCACCAGCCTCCGAGTCGGACGGCAGCACACGGTCGCTCGTGCTCACAAAGCTGCTCCGGTTGCTCTCGAAGCCAGACAGGGGGCTCTGGTCCATGGCCAGTGCCGGCACGCTCTCTCCCGTGAGCTGGGGAATCAAGGGTGTGGCTGCCTGACTGCCCGCTGTGGACCTGGACCAGGCAGTGCCTCGCCTCTGAACGCGGATGCTCCGGTCCTTGTGGAAATCGTCCAGCTCTCGGATGGTGCTTTCTGAGATTCGACCGACTTGGGCAGCAGCAACGCGGGTGTTGTCCTGGGTCTGGTTCAGGAATTTCATGCGAGCCAGGAGGCCCGGCGATACGTTTCTGGCGAGCTTGCGACTGGCTTCGACGAGAGGAGAGCGGTGATGGGTGGCGGGCGAAGGGGAGGGAGTGGATTGCGGAGGAGGGGGATGGGTTTGTGATTGTTGCTGTTGCTGCGGCGGTGTTGAGGATGCCAGCTCAGCGCGGGAGATGGAGGCTAGTTGCGGAGCGGGCGAGGCAGGGGAGTGTGGGTGTGGCTGGTTCACTTGGACAACGACGGGCGGCGACGCGACGGGATCGCTCATTGCATGCTTGAATTCTTCCCTGCCGCTTGGAGCAGCACACGGGCGAGAGAGCGGTTCAGGCGGGGTGTACTGTGTAGAAGAGCCGGGTGCGGGAGAGGAGAAGTCTTGTCGGAAGATGACGATGTCGCGCGGCGTGCAGGCCCGAGGGGGAGAAGAGGGGGGGTGTTGTTGCTTGTCGCGCGTCTGGACTGCCGACGTGTTATTTGTTATCTGTGCAACCGCGAAATGTCAACAAAAGGGCGTGCGACCAGTTCAACGAGGGAGAGAAAAAGTAATAGATAGGAGGCGGATACTCCGTACGGATACTGTGGGATAGATGGAGTTTCCTGGTGGCGCATCCATCGCAAAATACCCTCCCGCTTCTTTCCTCTCCTGAGACACCCAAGGCCGCAATCTCCCACGCCCGAGCACCGATGGATCAAAGCCCCCTGAATTTCAGGAGTCAGCCTCCTCAATCCCACACGCCATGGGATTATTATTAATATTGTTGTGAAAGTCTCTTTGTTCTGCGATGGATGCACGGTACTACCTGTGCAAGCTGGTAGTGCTTTCTTTGCATGTCCTCGTAGCTAGCTAGACGCTGATGGAGAGTGTTATTACACAGTATTGTGCCTGTGTCTATATATCGAGTGCGCAGATGCACGTTCGCTCTATATAAAATGCGAGGGGTATCAAACCAATCCAGCTGCATGCAAATACCTTTTCCTGCTACTGCAGCGCTTCAATAAAAGTAGAAGAAAAAAAAAAAAAAAAAAAAAAAAAAGAAAAGAAACCGTACGCTTGCGGTGCCCCAGAAATCCACGGGTACGAAGGCTCAGTTATAAGGGAATATGCCAAACATGCACACTGAAAGCAACAAAAGGTTAAAAGAGTACCAAACAAGTCTCGTCGCACGCTACAGCGCCTCGTAGTTGGGATCGATGCGCAGGGTGGGAGTCTTGACTTGGAGTGCCTCCTCTTCCCACTCGGCAGTGATCCCTTCTCGCACCGATCGACACCACTTGAGAAGGGCCGCATCAAACCTCTGCCAAGCGGCGGCGTCTGTCCCCTCGACCACGCCCATGACGTCGAATTCCAGCTTGACGTCCCATCGGAGCTCGGCCGCTTTGGCCCAGTATCGCAAGTTGTCCGCGCACCGGTAGGGCTTTGCCGTGTCTGTGTGGTACTGCTTGATCTGCTCAAAGTGACGCCGAGACTTCCTCACGAGCGCGTTATGTAGTCGTACCAGTCGCAAGCCGTTCCGGAGTTCCTTCAAGAAAGGGGTCGGAAGGTCTCCCTCTGCAGGGTCAGTCCAGGTAGGGAGGGGTTCCGGGCTGGCGTCGAACGTCCTCAAGAACAGCAACTCACGTTCCCGCTCTTTGCCGGCCCAGTCGCCATGTCGCCAGCTCCAGCCTTCTCTCTCCTCTTTCTCCTGTCTCTCCTTCTCTTCCTCGGTGTCCAGAAGGTCGCCTATCCCTTCAATCCACCCCTTGATGTTTGCCACTTCGTAAGGCTGCACTCCACTGGCGAAATTGCGGACGGCTAGGCGCTTCAGGACCTCCAACACTTCGTACAACTCTTTTCTGATTTCCCTCTCCGACTTGATGGCATACAGGCGCTGCGCATCCTCATGCGCCGTATAGTAGTTCTTTGCGGCGCGGATCGCCAGTGTCACAACGTCCAGGAGATTGATGCCCTGAATCTCGTGCCAGCCCGGCCCGTCGGCGGAATGGCGCAAGGCGGTGCCCTCGGCCCCGGTGCCACTCGAGTCCCCGTTCCGAAACCCTTTCTCCAGCTCGTGCACATGCTTCGAGGCTTCTTCTAGAGATTCACGCAGTTCACGGCGCAGTACAGACATATCCGGAGGTGGTGGAACATAGACGGGAGTAGTTTTGTATGTGCTGACAGTGGGAGGAAGCATCACGGGCTCTTGGTCGTCCCAGGAAACGGGAGCGGCGTCATCCAGCGGGGACTCGACGAGTCCCTCCCCCAGTTGTTCTGAGGGACCCTCTGGTGTAGGCGTCGCAAGCAGATCCCCGTCTGTGCCAGAAAGCGGCCGTTCGGATCCACTCGGTGTCCTCGAGCCGCTTTTCCTTCCCCTGGCCGTCCTGCCTGTGGCGGTGTCGAGCAACCCCGTTCGTGCAAAGTAGTACTGCAGATGCGCGATAGTACCTAGATTCATGACACTGTCCCTATTCTTCGCCGACTGCGCAAACTGGGTCCCTTCGGGACGCATGTATCCTCGCCTTCTGCCTGGTATGCCGCTATCCGATAAACGCGAGCCTGCCGACCTCCCGGAGACTGATGACACGGAGGAAGCTGTCGACACGGAGCGATCCAGCGGCGGTATGGCCGCCAGAGCGGGAGAAGGAGTGACCCAGGGCTCAGGCGACGTGGCCCGCTCGATCGGAGGGGAGGCGATGGGTACGTCGTCGGTCGCCATGGCGGGAGGTGCGCGGGAGCCGGAAGTGGAGGAAGTGTGCTACTGCGAGGGCTGGAGATTGCTGCAGTGTCCGTGGACGTGTGCAGACTGTGGACGGCTGCCGTGCTGGTTGTCACAAGGTGAGCTCGGCCAAAAGTTGGATAGGGGTACGGGATGGGAAGGTCGCTGGTTGCGGGACGTAAGATGGTGCAGTGTTGATTCGACCTGAATACTAGGAGAATGGCCCCTGGGAGTGTACGGACATGGAGGTATGCAGTGCCGGTGGAGGTGTGTGTGTGCGGGATGGAGCTGTGTCATGAGCAGCCGAAGGTGTGGTTACGGGAGTGGCTTCATTAAAGCGAGGTTTCAGGGCGTTGGACAGTCAACAACAAATAACGCGACGTCTGCGCGTCTCATTTTACCGCACGGTCAGCCAGAACCCAACGACTGGACTCGGACGATAATAGATGCGATCTTTTACAGGAGGGCAAGGACTCTCGAGGATTTGTGTGCTCGAATCCGTACTCAAAAATCAGTGATTTTTGCCCGGGTTCCGATGGACAAGAAATCCCTACTTCGGACAGGAGCAGCACCGATTGTACCTACCTAGCCTAGTAACCCCTTTTCCAGCTCACGTGCCATGGCTTGGCAAGGTTCCACGGCCCAGGAACGCGGTGGGCCAACCAGGTTCCTATTAGCGATGACGTAAGGAGGTCTCCGCGAGTGCGAAGAGTGGCTGGAGTTGATGGATGGAACGTGGAGTACTCCGCCACCATATCGAAAGGTCTCTTCCAGTTCCAATCAGAGTCCTATCGAGTACCAGAACTGTGAATGCAACGCTTCTTCTCCACCACGGCCAGGATGAGTTCCAAGCGGGTAAGGCACGACTTGCCATGGTTTGCAACAGAGTGCTGAAAGCAATGGGCCCGGGGCAGATTAGCTTCAAAGTGGACGGCTACGTTCAGGGTAGGTGGAACCGTGGAACCTGGGAAGACGTTTGATTCTGCACCCGGCCAAGCTATACAAGTAACTATCTAACATTGAACCCTTTCAGGCGTCAACTTTAGGTATCACGGACCACATCACCTACTTTGTACAAGTACGTCCTGTGCTACTGTGGACTGGTCCTAACGCTCGTTTTGCAAGATCCTTCACCCAGAAACAAGCGAACAAGTTGGGCCTCACTGGCTTTGTCAGAAACGCATCCGATGGCACTGTATGCCTGCTGGGAGCACGCCCACCCAAGCCCAACGCTGCTTGCTGACGGTCCGAGCAGGTGCAAGGCGAGGCTCAAGGAAGCGACGAGACGCTCGAGGACTTCCTGCAGCATCTCCACTCGGGTCCTCGGGCTGCCACCGTGACGGGCGTCGAGCATTCAGATATGCCCACCAAGGCTGGGGAGAGCAACTTTTCCGTTGTCAGATAGAGCCACAATCATAGCTTTTCATGTCCGGCTGTGTCTTACGACTAGCTCCTAGTATTCGTGCATTTCCGTCGACGCGTACTGTCCTCTAGCTCGTATGAGGCACGGAGTAACCAAGGGGCAAAATTCTATATGACTTATTCTTACTGTAAGTATTTAGTACTATCTCGTCCCTGCCGACCGAGTCCTGGGTGGGTATCAGTGCAAGTCGGGCTGCTGTGAACATGCTTTTGCTTTTCTAGCTCTGCCTGTCCAACAAGCCAGTACCTGTAAGAAGAAGTCCGAGTATATTTCTCGCCATGATGCATGTTCTCCTCAGCCCTACGGCAAAGGAAGTGCGAGTCACCCCACGGCATGGTCCATGCACGTGTCCCCTCGGACGCTGCATGTGCACGGGGTTGCCGATCCGACAATTCCCGGCAGCTGGAGACGACGTACGAAAATCACCCGGAGGCCAAATAGGAATAGCCCTGGTCTTGGCCAACCCTTCCCGACAATTCCTCGCCGCAACCTCACCAAACCTGCTTCAGCCGCTGCAGTCTCTTCGTTGGCATGAGACTCGCACCGCTCCTCTCACTACACAGCCACGATCCATGGAAATGAAATCCCGTCACCATGTACAAGTATGACTCTGATCTCCCAGAACGGCCCGTGTGGTTGCCGTGTCCGTGTGCATGTCCTCTCCCAAGATATAAAAGTCGAGTGTGTGCCCCATCGCCCGCCTGGTTTACATTAGTACTCCACTGTCATTCACGGTTGCACCGCCCACACATTCACTTCACACAAGCCTAGTCTTCGTCAAACCGTCTTTGTTGTCCACCGCTACACCCCCATGATCGCAGCATCGGCACCCAGGAGCATCGCAGTCGTGGCAAGGAGAACACCCACAAAGCTCTCCAAGGCCCTCAACTACCCCACCTGTTCGGCAACGTGCATTGGACTCCGGCCGTTTGTTGTGATACAGCCAATCCAGCCATTAGCGAGTCGACGTGACTTCTCTTCGACCTCATCCCATCCCAAGATCACAGAGTTCTTTCCAGCAAAGGAGACCGAGAGGGTCAGGAGGACGCCGGCAGCATGGCCGCATCCAAGTGAGTTCCAAACGCTTTTCATCCAAGTAGCAAGGAGCTGACCTCCTCGCAGTCTATACCGAAGAGCAAATGAGGGCCGTCGAGGTCGCTCACCGGGAAGCAAAAACCTGGTCCGATAAAGTTGCTCTGAGTGCAGTCAAGATCCTGCGCTGGGGGTGAGCCTTCTCCCATCCCTGGTTGTTTTGTGCTCCCGAACTGACATTGCGATAGTCTCGACACTGCAACCGGATACAAGCACAACAAACCCATGACCGCGTACCATTACCTCAAGAGGAATCTCTTCCTTGAAAGCGTTGCAGGCGTACCGGGAATGGTGGCGGGCATGCTCAGGCATCTACACAGCTTGCGCCGGATGAAGAGGGACAATGGATGGTGAGCATCTTGAGCCACGCCAGGAAACACTTCGCTGACCGGGTTTAGGATCGAAAGTTTGCTCGAGGAGAGCTACAATGAGCGAATGCATCTCCTTGTGTTCCTCAAGATGATGAAGCCAGGCCCCTTCATGCGCCTGATGGTGCTAGGAGCCCAAGGTATCTGGTGCAATGCCCTCTTCTTTGCATACCTCCTCAGCCCTCGCACCGTGCACCGCTTCGTTGGATACCTGGAAGAGGAAGCCGTCATCACCTACACGCGGCAAATCCAGGATATCGATGCGGGACGTCTTCCCGAGTGGCAAAACTTGCAAGCCCCGCAGATTGCCATTGATTATTGGAAGATGCCCGAGGGTCACCGCACTATGAGGGACCTGTTACTCTACAGTACGCCTCATCCCCAATAGTTTGTAATAGCTACCCTTACTGATCGTGGGACAGTTCGCGCAGACGAGAGCAAGCACCGAGAAGTCAATCACACCTTTGGCAACCTGGATCAAAAGGAGGTACGCTGGCCGGTGGCCTACACGTATTGAGTATGAACTGAAACAATCACCAGGATCCCAACCCCTACGTCAGCCAGTACAAGGACGACAGCAAACCACATCCCACCAAGGACCTCTCGTTTCAGAAACCCACGGGCTGGGAACGCGCCGACATCATCTAAGACGATTCTCACGGTATCCTGTCATTTCTTTCCTCTTTTTCGAGCAACTCTCTCGATCTCTCTCTACTCTTAGAAAAGCATAGCATCTGGCGTTCGGAAGAAAAGGATTTGATACCCTTTCTACATAGTATTTGCGGGTATCTGGGTTTGGATGGATCCTCTTGGTCCACATGGTTGAGGCCGATCCATATGCAAGAAATCAAAACATGGCTTCAACCGAAGCAGCTTGCACCGACTCCTTTGCTACTATTGAGGATCGCCGTGCAGGGGTCAATTAAGTCAGTCCACTTTGCGATTACTTCTTGACGAATGTGGTGACAGGCTAGTATGCACTGCCAGGGCCACCCGACGAACGAGTGCTGACGGCTACTATATTAATGTCCGAAAGTAGGACGGGTCCATCAACTACGGATATCCAGCGGGTATAGCAAACAGTTATCCGTCTTCATCTCTTTATTGACCTTTACATTCGTGGTGCGCTGTCCAAGACTAGCAAAGTCGATGCAACTTGAGTGCGATCTGTCAAGACCTTCCCTAACAGCTTGTACCACATGCAGATTGCAGAGCAATTCCCACCCTAGTGTTCCGTCAAGTTACTGTTGACGAGGTAGAGAACCCGCTACCCGGGTGGCAGAAAACTAGGAAAAAAAGACGGAAAAACTAGTGCTCCCTCCCAGCAAGATCTTGAACTTGAATTCGAACTGAAAATAATCCGAGATGGCTCAGAGGCTTCAACGGACTGGGATGATATGACTATGTATAATGCAGCAGCTGTAAGCGTACATTTACGATTTCTCAAGTGGGTGATTACTGTGGCACTCTAAATTCGGTTGATGCTCGGCTTCTAACAAGTACAGTAGAATTCTTGGTGCGCCCCACTTTGTTCACCGCCAAGCTTTCCCGCCTCACGCATGTTCATATCAAAAGGCTTCCCCTCACCAACGTCTCCTGCTACTGCACCCCACATTCGCGGAACCTTGTCAATTGTACAGGGCGGGTTCTCACAGGAACAAAGCGTAGATTCTTGCATGGAACGCCACTGCCGCTCGGGTCGAGGGAGAACGACTCCCGAGAAGCCAACGTCCCAGGAGACGGGTGATGGTGTAGGACAGCATAGAGTGAAGTCCCTCAAATGCAGCTCAGCAAGCTCACCACATGCAAGGCGTACTATCTCCCATTTACCCACCGCTGGTTCAGCAACGTCCATTTTTCCGTCCATCGTACGAGCGCAAGGAGCACATTGTGAAGTTATGTTCCTGCTCAGGGAACTTGGCATGGGATAATTGATGTCAACGGCTTAACGGCTTAAATCATTGAGCGAATCTGCAGCTATTCACTCTTCATCAGTGGAAAGACTGCCCATATGATCCTCCTCTCTTTGCCCTCCACTCCAGTCGGGGACCTCTGCTGCGCTCATCCTTGCTCCACTTCTATCCAAACCCGCTACTCTGGTTGCAAACATTGACTTGTCCTGCTCAGACCGACCAGGAATGGAATGCGAACCACCGATGCTCATGGGGCGAGGCATATAAGCATGTCCTTTCTGCGGATCCGCACAGCTCAGCACTTCTGTAGGGATGCCTGTTCAGCGCTTTTCTTCGCACACCATGAACGTCGGGGGATCTTCTGCCGGTCTATTCTTCCCCCAGGTGGGGATCCTGTATCTGCTGGGAGTGGGACGCGTATATGGACTCCCTGTCTCGTGCATCGCGGTTGGGATCAGGCATCCAGCTTCGCAAGGCAGATACAGCTTTACAAAGTCTAGACCCCACTCGGGTAATGATTGTCTAGTGAATGAGGACTGTGAATTGCTGTGTGGGGTCCGTCCTACGGGTTTAAGAAGCGTCCAGTCTCGCAACCAGCACAAGGCAAGCTTGGTTGACCAGTCTCAGATCTGGCCTCACTGAGGAACTACTCGACTACTACCTATAGATAAGTTACCTCTAAAAGAATCAGGATGACTATCCCTGATGAGGTATGCATTCCTCCTAAATCACCGCCATGGTCTGTATCTAACACGTACAGGTCGATATCATTGTGTGCGGTGGTGGATCTTGTGGGTAAGCAACGAGATTATCCAGCATTAAATGAAACATACCCTAATCTCTCCTCGACAGTTGCGTAGTCGCTGGTCGACTTGCCAACCTTGACCACAATCTGTCGGTCTTGCTCATCGAAGCTGGAGAAAACAACCTGAACAACCCATGGTATGGTAGACTCCACCCGTCAGTGTTATTCCGTCTGTGCAGATTAATATCCATGCTAGGGTGTATCGACCGGGGATATATCCCCGAAACATGAAACTTGACAGCAAGACTGCGTCATTCTACTACTCGCGACCTTCGGAATGGCTGGGTGGTCGTCGGGCTGTTGTGCCCTGTGCACACATTCTTGGAGGGGGTTCCTCAATCAACTTCATGGTCAGACGGTGTGGATGGATGCAGGAGTACTGGCCACTGATGATTCACACAGATGTACACCAGAGCTTCCGCCTCTGACTACGATGATTTCCAGGCTAAGGGGTGGACGACGAAGGAACTGCTGCCTCTGATGAAGAAACATGAAACTTATCAGGTCCGTGAATCTAAGGCCTTATTCTGTTACTTCCTTTACGATGACTGACACGATCCTCTCTCCAGCGCTCCTGCAACAACCGTGATATCCACGGGTTCGAAGGGCCCATCAAGGTCTCCTTTGGGTAAGCTGTCTCCCTTCACGCTCGTGGTCCTCCCAGTTGACGGGCATTAGAAATTATACATACCCTATCAAGGAAGACTTCCTGCGCGCCACTGAATCTCAGGGAATTCCCACCACCGATGACCTCCAGGATCTAGTCACTGGTCACGGTGCCGAACATTGGCTCAAGTGGATTAACCGCGAAACTGGGCGTCGCTCAGACAGCGCCCATGGGTACGTCCACAGCACGCGCGCTGTGCACCAGAACTTGCATCTCATGGTCAACACCAAGGTGGACAAGGTGGAAAACCACGACCCCCTACACTTTCTACCACATACTGACAAACGCAGGTTATCATCGAAGGTGGGAGAGCGGTTGCCGTTCAAACTGTACCAACCAAGCCGCTTGCCCCGGGCCATCTGCAACCCAAGATCATCCGCGCTCGCAAGCAGATCATTGTGTCTGGCGGGACGCTGAGTTCCCCGCTCATTCTGCAGCGATCAGGTATTGGCGATCCAGAGAAGCTCCGCAAGGCTGGCGTTAAACCCATTGTTGACTTGCCCGGTGTGGGATTGAATTTCCAGGTAAGCGTCTTTCCCTGAGCTCACTTGACCCAACACGGATTACTCACCACAATCCCATTAAAAGGACCACTACCTGACCTTCTCCGTCTTCCGCGCCAAACCAGACGTCGAATCGTTTGACGACTTTGCTCGCGGCGACCCTGCCACGCAGGAACGCGTTTTCAATCAGTGGAACATCAACGGCACAGGACCCCTTTCCACCAACGGTATCGAAGCGGGTGTCAAGATTCGCCCTATAGAAGAAGAGCTGAGGCAAATGGATAGCTGGCCGTGCAACGAGTTCAGGTCTGGATGGGACAGCTACTTCAAGAACAAGCCTGATAAACCCGTCATGCATTACTGTTGGTATCCCTCTCCTCTGAGCTTGGAGCTCAAAACTGATTCTACGTAGCTGTTATCTCTGGTTGGTTTGGCGACCACATGCTGATGCCCCCGGGCAAGTTCTTCACCATGTTCCACTTCCTTGAAGTAAGTCCATCCCATTACCAACCTAGCCTCGTTCACAAATCCCAAAACTCTGACAACGTACTACAGTACCCCTTCTCGCGCGGCTCTACGCACATCGTCTCTTCCAACCCTTATGAAGCCCCCGACTTTGATGCCGGCTTCATGAATGACAAGCGTGACATGGCACCCATGGTATGGGGCTACATCAAATCTCGCGAGACGGCACGCCGCATGGATGCGTATGCGGGAGAGGTGCAGGCCATGCACCCGTTTTATGCGTATGATAGTCCGGCGAGGGCGAATGACTTGGATTTATTGACTACCAAGGCGGTCTGTGCTTACTTACCTTTTCCCTAACAGCACCTCTTCTGGTCCTCTCAAGTCAGTACTGACGTGTTGAGTAGTATGCCCTCCCAGGAAACATAACCGCAGGCATCCAGCACGGATCGTGGAGTATGCCTGTTGGCAAGGGCCGCGCCCCTGAGCCCAACTTCCTCAACTCGAACTCCCAACATGTGCAGGAGGATCTGAAGTACTCGAATGAGGATATCGAGCATATTGAGGACTGGGTTAAGCGTGAGTATCGTCTTGCCTCATCCAGCAGTGATCCCATCCCCTTCTCGCCCTACCGTCATTGTTACTCTCTTCCTTCCGAGCCCTCGTATCTCCCTTACCGAGGTTTCTTCCGCTATCTTCCATAACTCATACTCCACTATCACTCGACTAACCTCCCGCCTAGGCCACGTAGAAACCACATGGCACTCCCTCGGCACATGCAGCATGGCCCCCCGCGAAGGAAACTCCATTGTCCGACACGGCGTCGTCGACGAGCGTCTCAATGTGCACGGCGTCAAGGGCCTGAAAGTCGCCGACCTGTCCATTTGCCCGGATAACGTCGGCTGCAACACGTACTCCACGGCGCTGTTGATTGGCGAGAAGTGCGCGGTGCTGGTGGCGGAGGATTTGGGGTACAGTGGCGAGGCGCTGGAGATGAAGGTGCCGCCGTATCATGCGCCGAGGGAGATTGTGGGGTTGAGTCGGTTGTAGGGTGCAGGTGGACAAGTGGGAAGGATGGGGATGAAACTGGCAGTATTGGGTCGTTGAAGCGCTGTTCATCCACGGAGTCGGTGTTTCCTGGATTTGTTGCTGAGTCACTCGCTATCTCTTAGGGGCCTTTCGTATATGGCGTTTAGCACTGTATGATGCCATGAGGTTCTAAGAAGTGTGACCTTCCTCTAGATCTCTAACTCGTGACGGTGTCTGTCTGGTCTGGTCTGGGGTTAGACACGGATACATTTCCTTCACTACCGGTATATTAGGTACGCAGGAGGTAGGATTAGTGTTTGCGCTAGTCCAAAGCGGGTGTAGCGCCCCATCAGATCTTATCAATCTTACGGATCAACCCAAGCCTCGTTCAACAGCAGCCCTGGAGCCTTCCGATTCTCGCCCACCGAGCAAAAAAAGCAAAATGGCGGCATCAGCCAGCGTGGCGCTGCAGAACCGGCCCTATCGCTCTCACAGAGTACCAGCGTGTACGCGATGTCGTTCGCGCAAGATCCGGTGCAATATCGACATCCCCGGAGAGCCATGTCTCTCTTGTCGCGAACGCCGTCTGAAATGCTTATATGTCGATCCCCCGAAAACGTCACCCCCGTCGGAGAGCAATGTTGACGGAAGGCCTACCAAACGGCAACGCACCAACAAGAATGGAGATGCTACAGACGAAACCCCTCCACGTCCCCACGCACTCCCAACGTTGCATAGACCGTCTACACACCCTTCCGCCTCCATCATGCTAGCGCCTCACGTGGCAGAAGACGTAGACATATTGCAGCGCCATATATCTCAACACAAGACTTCCGAAGGCGAAGATCCCCAATCATACCAAACCCTGTCCCACGACACGAGGAACCCCATCGTCTATCTCTCCGTCCCACGCTATCGATCCGGGCTCCGCCCCGAAGCAGGCCCCGGGAAGGAGCAACTGGAAATCATTGAGCAGGTCATTGGTCCTTTCAAGAAGGAAGTCATCGACCTCTACTTCCAGCACACCCATCCGCACTTCCCGATCCTGGACGACGAGACCTGTGGTGCCATCCGCGAAGGGGGTCCTGCGGAGAGGGCGCCCAATAATCTGATGTGCTGCGTATACGCGAACGGAGCTTTCCATTGGCGCTATTCGGACACCTTGAAACTTCATCCACGCCCCAACAACTACTATGTCTGGAACAAAGCGATATCTGCTGTACTAGAAGACTTCCTATCACCCAGTCTCGCCACTGTGTCCTCGGCAGTCTTGGACCTGATCGGCCGGCCCTCCGTTTCCATCATGAACAATGCTACGCTTTGCGGGCGAAACGTCGCACTTGCACAGACGTTTGGCCTCCACCGCGACCCTTCAAAATGGGAAATGAGCGACGAGGATAAATCGACTCGAATACGCATCTGGTGGGGCGTTCTTATTACCGACTACTGGTCCAGCTTCGCGTACGGGGCCCCTCCGCACATTGTAAAGGACTTCTACGATGTGCCCATGCCAACGCTTGAATTCCTCCTCGCGTCCTCCAACTCCAAAGTCAACCTGAACCAAAGATACGCAACGGCATGCTTCATTCACCTCTGCGCGCTCACTGAACTGCTCGGCGATGTTCTTTCTCTTGTGCATCGGCTACGCCCCGATCCATCCGAGTTCTACCACTCGGTCGAGCGCCGGAAAGTCGAGCTCAGTGAGCTGGAAGCCCGCATGCCAGAGTGGCTTTCCTCGCCCAATCGCCCCGGATCTAGTAATTTGTGGTTCTGCTTCCTCTCCGTCAAGCTGCTGCTGAGCCGCTCATCCTTGCGGGCAGCTGTTCTCCTTGGCGATACTCAGCTAGAAAAGATCCGCCTCGAGGACTTGCGCGTCTCGTCCTCGGCGGTGCTGGATTTTGTCCTGTCTCTTGGGGAGGCCCAGTTCCACGACTTCTGGCTCCCCTATGCGACCTACCTGCTTGTCATGGCCGTCATGGTGTCGCTGCGTTGCACGGTCGAGGCCCAGCATGTAGAGGTGAGGAATGCATGCTTCTCAAGGTTGCAGCAAGTCATGGCGCATATCCAGCATGCACATGATGACTATGATTGGGACATAGCGAAATATTGTCTCGAGAGGTGTAAGGATGCGGTGGCCAAGATTTCATCGTATGCGACGAGGGATGCGCAAACACAGCAGCAACTGCAGCCAGCACAGCATCAACTTCAACATCAGCACATGCTGGAGATGGACCCAATACAACATGAGTCCGCTAACAACGGTGGCGTGTCGGTCATCAGCGGCGCGGGGCCCGCACATGTGTCGATATCCATGAATAATAATACGGCTGTGGGAACTAGCGGTGCCGGCGGGTTCGAGGAGCCTTCGTTTTTGCTATCGGATTTCTTTGATCCTGCTGCATTTGATTTCTCGTGGGAGGCGCTGTGGGATACGCCGTCTGGGATGAATTTCACGATTTAATGGGATCGCAAAGACTACACACATAGACTGGATAAGTTGGGCTAAGAGACCGCGAGCAGCAAAATACACCTCGTCGTCCTTAGTCCGAGAATCACCCTTCCGGGGCGTCGCAAGCGATGACACCGCGATTTGGCGTTTCTAGTTTTTCCAACTAACTCAACTAACTGGATGATAGGTACTCTAAGGAACATACCCAGATAGGGCCTTCCAACCGCGCTCCGTTTTGCGCGGCAACGGACATGAACACCATTTTCTGCCGAACGCGGCCGCCTTCCAGATTAACGACAAGTATAGTTTCGGACATTCATCGCAACATGTATAACCACCTGACCCCCAGCACAAAGGCTCACTTAGGCCACTTGCAACTCGCCAGCTTTGAAAGAGCATCCAGAGTCTACGCCAGAAGCTCGTTGGCCGCGCATTCGCTTGTATCACACTCAATTGAATGTTGAGCATTTCGACACTTCTGACGTCTGTCCGAAGCTGAACCAGACACTGGGTCTATATCGATTAGAATATCTACATGCGGCCGCTTATCCTCAGGGAGCGTGCCGGCAATCCAGTTCGGATCCATACTCATCGGGAGTTCGTCCTTGCCCAGATCTGCTAAGGGGAGCATTGACATCTTCTGAATGCCGTTACGACAACGAACTCGGAGCTGGCCAAGCAGCTGCTTTGGCAGTTTGTCAACACTGAATTTGCGCCCGCGAATATTCCAGGCGGCCGCAATGTCCGAGTAGATATCCAGAGGAGTGATAAGAAAGCCGTGGCAGGAGGAGGATCTCCTCCAGCCGCAGCGACGTTGCGCCCGGGGTTTTCAACACTTGTATGAGAACCTGTCTCGCCATCTCCGCCGGAGTGAAAAGGCTGTGCGTCTCATCTACAGCACAACCTTTTATTGGCCTCCCTCCTGCCTTTGGGTTACAGAGGGTTGCTGCATCAGGGGTTGTCGGGTTATATGCATCCAAGAGACTACCGAAAATCACTAGTCTCTTGTTGATGCATCATTCCAATGTCGGGTAGCTATCTTTCGAGCGGTTGACTAGGTATTTGCTTCAGAATGACTCACGTTAAACGGCTGATGGTTCTTTATCACGTTTGCGTTTCCCTAACAACGAATGCTTTCCTTCGGTATATTGCAATAGAGGGCCATAAAACTTAGTCTACTTGTGCACAATGGTAACAAAATTGAACGCTTATATTCGTAGGTTCTTAAGAGTCACGTCTACAGGCACATACTTCTATGTAAATGCGGTTACCTAGTAAGCAGTTTAACTAGTTACAATCGAATATTGCTATTGGTAGAGCTCTGTTCTAGAACTTATAATAAGTAGACTAAGGCGCCTTAGGCCTATTTGCGAGGTCTTGGATCTTGCCGCACCTCTAGCTATCTAATTCAACGTGGGAAGCAGCAGTACGCAGGAAGTGTACTTCGTAGTAGGGCCCAACTTAGGTAAAAGGCGCCGGTCCGCCCGAACAGCGTCCACGGTTTCAACGGGAAGTTGGACTATATTTATAAACAGCCTAGGACCGAGATAGTCTAGTGGACTGGAGTTGCGGGTGGGGAGCTAGGATGTACGGGCCGCCCCGCATAGGTCAGCTCAGAGTCTGTCACAACTTTATTAGGACGAATACATCCACTCATCCAAAATCTTGAAATCACTTTCATTACCTCGCCAACTAGAAAGAAGACTACACCTGGTCGCTGCTTCATAGATCGTAAACAGTAGTTCCGTTGAAGGATGCCGCAGCCTTTCATACGCCCCTACGACCCCTCCCGCGACCTTGACGCATGCATCCACATTGTAAGTGCTAGCCGCCGTCTTCCTAGTGATTCAAACGAAAAGCTAGTCTCCGACACATACTTACCTCACTGACGAAACTAGTTCTATGCCACTCTCGATCCAGCCGTCGACTTTGAGCCGGCCCGCACAATAGGGTCTTTCCTGTGGTGTCGGGCGTACCTGCTCCTCTCACCAGAGACGTGTTTCGTGCTCGATGATGGTACCATTGAGGGCCGAGCAGTGGGATATATCATCGGCACCGCGGACACGAATGTTTTCGCGACAAAGTGGAAAAACAGCTTCCTTCCGAACCTGGGGCTCGACCCCGAAGACATCTCGAGAGAAAATGGCAAAGAACCGGCGAGCTCCAGTGCTGAGCTGACGGCGAAATTGTCAGAGGAGGAGAAGGAAACCGTGAGGAGCCTGCAGAAAACACTGCAAGATGCAGAATGCAGCATGATCCAGCCATTCCCCGCCTTGTTATCCCAGTTCCCGGCACACCTGCACATCGACGTCTTGCCCGCCTACCAAAATCAAGGGTGGGGTCCAAAGCTCATGGGCACATTTCTCGAGGAGGTTAAAAGGTTAGGCGCAAGAGGGGTTCATCTTGGTATGGTAAGGGGTAATCATAGAGCTAAGAAGTTCTACGAGAGACTAGGTTGGAGATTGTGCGAGGAGGTGTTGGATAGGGGCAAGAGTGGCGAGGTAGGAAGAAAGGATGAAGCGATTTGTTTACTTAGAGCCTTATAAGAGTAGGATAGATAATGTAATAGATTCTAGCCCTCCTCTATAACGTGGTTCATACCCTAACCGATCACCCAACCAAACCGATCAGCTCCACCACCAAAACCGCGTCGCGTGACAAACCTATACGATGCCTAACCACCACAATTCGGAATTGTCTAAAAAGAACCAGTATATTAATTTGGCCATAGAATCTATTAAATCTCACACGTCAAAGAGCATACGAGCTGCGTATCGCGATTACAACGTTCCTTTTACCACTGTACGTGATCAGCTCCACGGAGCTACTCCATGCACCGAATATGAACCAGTTGGTAGGAAACTCACCAACACCGAAGAAGCCGTGATAGTCGAGCATATACTTGACCTAGATTCGAGAGGATTTCCACCGACAAAGGATATACTATGTGGAATGGCTGATAAACTGCTAGCAGAGTGGGGCAGCAGTAGGGTGGGCAAGAACTGGCCAGACAACTTCATCAAACATACAGATAAGCTAAAAACATGCTACACTCACGTGTACGATCGACAGCGAGCTCTGTATGAAGATGCGACCACGGTCAAGGCATGGTTCGAGCTGGTTCGGTCGATAAAGGAGAAGTACGGTATCCTCGACGAAGATACCTACAACTTTGACGAGACTGGCTTTATGATGGGTGTGATAACCTCTCAACTGGTTATCACAGGTGCTGAGAAGTGTGGGAGATGAAAGGCTGTTCAGCCGGGCAATCATGAGTGGACTACGGTCATTAATGTGATCAACGCACTCAGATAGTCAATTCCGCCCTTCATCATCTTAAAAGGCAAATAGCACATTAACACCTGGTATAACGACCCCACCCGCATAGAGGATTGGCTTATTGGTGTCAGTACCAATGGCTGGACAACAAATGAGCATGGTCTTGAGTGGTTGAAGCACTTTGACAGGCATACGAAAGGGCATACCCAGGGCCTCTACCGACTGCTGATAATCGACGGCCACAAGAGCCACAACTCTATCGATTTCCGTGATTACTACAAAGAGCATAAAATAATCACTCTCTGTATGCCTCCTCATTCGTCACACCTCCTCCAGCCTCTAGATGTGGCCTGCTTTTCTCCTTTGAAGCATGCATATGGCGATGAGATCTCAGCCTTGGCACATAGGCAGATCACCAAAATCGATAAAGTAGCTTTTATTAAGGCATACAGAGAGGTCTATTTTAATGTGTTTATAAAGGAGAATATCTGCTCAGCCTTCAGAGGAGCTGGCTTGATCCCCTTCGACCCAGAGGTAGTGTTATCGCAGCTTGATGTAAAGCTCCATACACTCACCCCATCTGCACTAGAGACTACTACCTGGGAGTCCCAAACCCCTCGCAACTTGCATGAAATTGATGCTCAATCAGCACTGGTGTCCGAGAGGATAAGGAAACACCACAATTCCTCTCCTACTGAGATACTCAAGCTGGTTAATTCACTCACAAAGGGTGTGGCAATAGTCGTGCATGGCACAGCATTGATTAACGATGAACTCTCCACCCTCCGCAAGACAATAGAAGCCAACGACAAGAAGAAAACATGTAAAAGGAAGTACGTACAGAATCAGGGCATCTTAACGATTAGAGAGGGCAGTCAATTGGCATCTGTAGAGGTCACTGCGGAGGAGGAGGGTAGTAGAAAGGCTGGGAAGAGGGCATGTGGAGAGGGTACACAGAGCGCTATACGCACTTGTGGGAACTGTGGAGAGACCGGCCACAATCGCCGGACCTGTACAACAGAAGTATTAGAAAGCTCAGATTCTGAATAATACTATATGATTTAGAATAATGTAGTAGATTGTTGTGGTGCTAAGTACTACTTGATTATACTAGACGTTCCTTGATTTTAGTAGTAGAGCTGATCGGTTTGGTTGGGTGATCGGTTAGGATATGAACTACATTATACGATAGATTTATATTACATAACTAGCATATAACTATATTAATAACTTAACAGATTGTATAGCCTTGTACTAGCAATAGTTTATTTAAATTTCTGCCCTATTAACTTTTAATAGTAAAGTATTAGCTTACTATAACGTACTTCATAAGCGAATTAGTCACATAAGCGAATTAGTCGGGCATTTCTTGGCACCATGAACAACACCACCATCTTCTTGCATTATGACACTACCACCTAATTTTATATGATAATTACATTGCGCAAGGTTTTTTATGTGCTGGGCAAGTCCTTACATTATGCCCAGTTGACATACACTCCCTGCAGCGGTATGGAGCTCGACTAGAAGCCTCCGGTATCGTATCCCCATCCTCAGTTCGAGCAGCTTCTGGAGGCGCTACTGGCTCCTGTGATAGCTCAACTACCTCCTTGAGTGTAAGACTCTCTCTTTGAGTAATATACTTGACTTTAATGTTGCGCTTTTTAACCACTTTAGCATTGTGAGCCTGCACACGCTCGAGTTGCTCTGCCATGATTACTGTTGCTTGTAAAGCCAACTTGGTACTCTTTGCCATTTTTCGTATTGCCATCATCGTAGGTGATGTGGATCGTCGCTCAAGCTCATGTTGTCGGCGCTTTACAGCTCTCTGCTGCTTCTCAATCTGGTGCACCGTTTTGGGTGTGTTGGTCAACGAATTTGTTGAAGAAGAACAGGGCTCAGGGGATGGTGATGGAACATTGATCGGACCCAATCTATCAAGCACCACCTCGGGATTGAATGGAAAAATACCGGTGGCTTTAAATGCGCTTTCGATATTACTATTACTCAGTGCTTGGGGACGAGCAGCAGCATAGATCCGAAGGAAGTCGTCCACATCAACGTGGTTCTGACCATTACGAGCCAACATCTCCACACCCTGACGATAGCGCTTCCTAACTGCACTGAAACAGGCGACGTCCAATGGTTGTAGAATATGAGAGGAATGTGAAGGTAGCCATAATGGGATAATGTTATTTTCCCTTGCGTAGGTCTCGAATGGCTCTGAACAGTGGCTGCTATGTCCATCCATAATGAGGAGTCGTTTGGTGCCTTTAGTGTGCTGCTTTGTATAGGGATCAAACACCTCTATAAGCCATATATAGCCTAATCTGTCGTTAGACCATCCGGTTTCGCTATGGGCGATTACCCAGTCATCTGGAAGGCTTGCGTCCTTATCAAACCAGATGTTCTGGAACACCTTCCCTTTGGCTATCACCATGGCCGGTATATGGTGTTTGGCTACGTTGATGCATTCGATAACCGTCATCCAGTCACGATCGCCACGCTGTATGTGGTATCGAGGTGTCAGATTTGATGTATCTGAAGATGTCACGGTGACGGAAAGATTGAATAAGGATGGGTTGACTGATTGTATTCTGGTGTGTGCTTGTATGGGTGAGGCTGGGGCCTGATACCGGTTTTGATGTTCCTTCTCTGGGCACCAAGGCTGCACAGAGCACTAGCCACTGCAGGATCACTAGCCACATGTCCTCAGACAGTACCGGTACAGACAGTTTCTCCCAGTCCTCCTCTCCAGTCTCAGATGGGATGTCCATAAATTGGCTTGCCATCTGACACGAGGGCCATCTACTGCCGTCACAACTGTGGCTGTGCCAATGTCACCTCTTAAGAAGCCTATCTCATCCATATTGTAGATATCCTCATCTTGGATACCATGCTTGTTTGCCACATTCTTAAGAAGCCGGAAATGTTCCCTAATCACCTCAGGATCCTCCTGTTTTGCTCTTTGATAGTCGTATTTCTTGCTCTATGCAATTCGCACTTTAGGGGTACGTTTAACGTAGTTATCCACCCAACATTTGCCGACCGGTGGCTTACCCTGCAGTTGACGCAGCATATTGGCTGTGTCTTCGACCATCCATTTGCGAGGAGGATAACCACAGGCAGCAAGATCCAATATCCACCCGGTCAATGTTTGTTCTTCATCGTCGTCAAGGTTTCTGCCGTTTGCGATGGTTTTGGCGCGTGGAGGATGACCTCGAAGGCGGCGTCGGAGTGTTTCATAGTTCACGCGATATATACGCGATGCTTCTTTAATACTTGGGATTTGGTTGCTTCGTAATGCATGTATAGCGCAGTCAATTCTTCCTTCTTGCGTACAGTCTTGGATCTTTGAATTTACGGGCATGGTGGTGATGAGGATAGGTGGGTGTGATGTTTGGTGGGTGTCTTGGCATTTACGACTAATTCGCTTATGAAGTACGTTAGTCTTAATAGGTAATAACAAATTAGAGTTTAATTCTAGAGAGAGAGCCTAAGAAATAGCTACTATATCTAAAGAAGGTAGTAGGTGTTAGAGAAACACTTAGAGCAAAATACTGGTAGTAGTTATAATAAGAATTTAAGTATGTAGGGTAAAAGGTTCTACTAGGCTTAGTACAGGGTAGAGCTTAGCAAAGCCTACTAGAGATCTTAGGTTTAAGTCTTAGTATACCTAAGTTCTATAACACATTCCCTCTCTCTAAATATAAAAGAAGCTCTTATAAGCCTATTATATAAATTACATCTATTATTAACGTACCTCACAGGTGAGCCATCCACCCAGGCGAGCCGTCCACTATACCAAGATCCCACCAAATTGTACTGTCAACTACAGTATATTCGTGATGCCTCCACAACACAATAATCTACCTTCTTCAAAAGAAGCTCATATATAGCTTGCAATCCAGGCTATTAAGCAAGACGTGAATATCTCTGAACGATACACTGTATAGATCTACAATGTCTCTCGAACAACACTACGAGACCGACGTGCTGGAATGATCTTTCAATACGACTGTATGCCCAACTCAATGAAGCTACTAAAGATGGAAGAAGAGGTGATTGTTCAGCATATCCTTGATCTTGACATGCGAGGATTTCCTCCCCGGCTTGCTGCTGTCAAAGATATGGCTGATTCCTTGCTGGCTGCATGGCACTGAGACCCAGTCTTAGGGTTAGGGTTAGGGTTAGGGTTAGGGTTAGGGTTAGGGTTAGGGTTAGGGTTAGGGTTAGGGTTAGGGTTAGGGTTAGGGTTAGGGTTA